CCGTCACAGCAAAGTGTGACTCAGACTAGGCTTTTGCCTCAAATCTCATAATTTCAGAATACTGGGTTTCTGAGTATCACAATGCTTTGAAGCCACCATGTTTATAATCCACATACAGTGAAATAGAAGCACATATCAACATGAGATTTCTAGACGAGAAAAAAGTTGGAGAAAAGGTCCAGAAGGCTGATATAAACGCTCTTGTTAAATGGAATTTATGTTCTGATTTACAGTTCCCAATAGAGCCAAAGGTTCCTAAGACGGTCAAAGAGAATTCCTAAATGCAAACACCTCTGAACTTTAGATTGTAAGAAATTCAGCTTCTGTAAAACACTGGAGGGAAGCAAAGGTTAGGATAACTTGAGTGAAGCGGCCTTTTCTTACATTGTATGCATGGACCAGGTGTTCATTTTAAGAGGCTTGTTTTACCATCAACTCTTGAAAAAGGTCTCTTCCCCCACCTCCAGCTCTGATAATATAAAAAGAACATGACAGAGGTTGCTTGCATTGTCCTGGAGTTAATAATATGAGCTAACAATGCCCTCTGAAGGTTTTTTTACATGCTGTAACCTCAGATCCTGAGATAACAAACCTCCCTCTGCTGCCAAGTAATTGTTCTTTACAGCCATGACAAACTTCACAACAACTGCACAAAACAGCCAGCTAACTCATGATGACGGCTAAGAAAGGGAAAATGCCTCTGGCAGTTTGCTTCTGATTCAGAGCTGCCTCAGATTCATCCTTGCACATGTTGATAAAATACAAGGAGGCAGACACCTTTTAAAGCACTGTGCAAACCCATCCCAAAACACAGCCCCGCTTTCCACAAATGCATCTCAGAAGAGAACAGCAGCTACACATTGACAACCTGTACCGCAAGGCAATAACAGGGTGCAACTGTACCGTAACCGAAGTAAATGCATGCTTCTATTTCCACATGCGTGTTACCTGGTTAACAGCAACACAGAAGAATATGAGGATGTGCAATGGATAAACTGGCATGGGAAGGAGGGGGAGCTTAACTCTTCCTTCATAGGAACATCGGAAACTGCCTAATACTGAGTCAGACCACTGGACCATCTAGCTCAGTAATGTCTAAACTGGCTGGCAGCAGACCTCCAGGGTTTCAGACAGGATTCTCTCCCAGTCATACCTGGAGGTGCTGGGGATTGAACCTGGAACCTCCTGCATGCAAAGCAGATGTTCTACCACTGAGCTGTGGCCCTTCCCTTCGCAATTCTCCTCTTTTTCACTCAGAAGGCTTATTTCCAGAGGCTGGGGGGAAAGCAAAGGAGCATGGCGTTGTAGGAAAAATAAGTCTGAAGGCGAAAAATACCTTTCCTACACCTGCAAACGCTGCCTCTGCATTATCATCCCATGGCAAATATGGAGGTGGGAACTCATCCTTCCACCCTTCATCACTGCCTCTTCTACACATCTAATAAAGGTAAAGGTAAAGGGACCCCTGACCATTAGGTCCAGTCGTGACCGACTCTGGGGTTGTGGCACTCATCTCGCTTCATTGGCCGAGGGAGCTGGCGTACAGCTTCCAGGTCATGTGGCCAGCATGACTAAGCCGCTTCTGGCGAACCAGAGCAGTGCACGCAAACGCCGTTTACCTTCCCGCTGGAGCGGTACCTATTTATCTACTTGCACTTTGATGTGCTTTTGAACTGCTAAGTTGGGAGGAGCAGGGACCGAACAATGGGAGCTCACCCCGTCATGGGGATTCGAACCACCGACCTTCTGATCGGCAAGTCCTAGGCTCTGTGGTTTAACCCACAGCGCCACCCGCATCCCTAATCTAATCTAATATCTAATCTAATATCTAATCACATCTAATATAAGAGCACAAATTGCGCCTGCTGGATCAGTTCAATGGCCCATCTGGTCCAGCATCCTGTCCTCGTAGTGGCCAATCAGACGCCACATCCTGCACTTAAGGATCCTGTGGAAAGGAAATTTACCATCCTGCTTACCCTTCTCCTCCCACCATTTGTCTTGTTCTAATTCTCACAGATCTATTTTTAAAGGGCAGAGGGGCAGAGTGAGCAGCCAGGTGCCATTAGGACTGAAAGAGCCTTCCGCGAAGAAGCCACGTCATCAAAGCCAGCCCAACAAGGAATGCCCTACAAGTCATTGGTGAGAGCTGATGCCCTCCTCCAAGGAGATCAAAGAGCTTTCTCTCGGCACGGCCACCCAAAGGGCAAAGCATCAGAAACAACAGATGACAGCTGAGAAAAGCAACTCAGAATGACAATCGCCACCAGTAACGGCATTGTTCACAGTTTTTAAAGGCATGCATTTATTGCTATGGTGTGGTGGGGTTTTTTTGTTTTGTTTTGGTGAGCATCTGCAGCATGAGATAGCAGCCGGAATGCATTTTAAGAACCTGCGACCCACTTTGAAACGCAATCAGTAAGGTCCACAAACCGCTGGTGTGCAAACATTTGCACTTAGGCCTCCTTAAGGCCACTGCAGTGGAGTGGAGGGGAACTGGCAAAATCCCAGTAAAGAAGTGCACCTTTAGGGGAGGCAGATTCCACGCTTCCTCAAGAGCAGCTGTAATACTGACATCATGGCATCACCACAACTCTCTTGATTGAACCCATGCAATGAACAAGCTTCAAGTTCTAAGGATCTTGTGATCTGGGTGCCAAATGGCTGCAAACCAGGATTTCAATAGAGCCAAACAACTGAAAAATCTGAAAGATTTAAACCTCTCCTTATACTATAAAAAACTGTGGGCTTTAGCTATAGCAGACAAGAGAATGCATAAATTACAAATACACTGGGGTCTTCTGCAAAGTGACCAGGAATGCATCCGAGGCTAAAAGAGACACTCTTCTTATGATTTCAGTTTTACTCCAGTGAATTTCACAATAATCCTTTCCCCACCACTGACGCTTCCATCTTCACCTGTTGAAACCTGGAACAGTGCCCTATGCTGGCCCCAAACAATTTCTGGATCACTGGCACTGAAACACAAATGCCTTCCTTTCCCTCCCCCTTTCCTGTCCAGCAACATCTATTGTCTTCTCAGCCTTTTGTACGTCGGTTCCAACTAAACCTGCTAAAGAGAGGTAAACAGGACCAGGAGGAAGCAAAACACAACCCTACCCTTGTATACATAACACTGCAAAATGATCTCTGTAAGCAGCTGAGACAATAAGGGCAGGTGTTTTTCCTTGGCACCAACGCACAGCTGCTTCTTTCAGGCTGAAAGACCAAGGGAAAAGCCTGGGAGGGCAAATGAGCACAATATGGGAGTCCACAGACAGAACGTATTTAATTGTTCAACTGTACGGAAGTTAAGGTGAGTACCTTAGCTTACCAGTGCACAGCCAGATCTGAACCACACATTTAAAGACTGTGGTGCCACTTGAAACTGTCATGGCTCCCCCCAAAGAATCCTGGGAAGTGTAGTTTGTTAAGGGTGCCAATCATTGTTAAGAGACCCCTATTCCTCTCAAAGCTACAACTTGCAGAGGGACTGACTGTTAAACCACTCTGGGGATTGTAGCTCTGTGAGGGGAATAGGGGTCTTCTAACAACACTCAGCACCCTAAATAAACTACAGTTCCCATGATACTTTGGGGGAAGCTATAGCTGTTTAAATCGGCATCACGGTGCTTCAAATGTGTGGTGCAGATGTGGTCTTACTCGTTCCCTTAAAGCGACAGTATTTTTTATTCTGGAATAAGAGGATCGCACATAGAGAGACAAACACAGATGCTGATCTTGCTTACTGTTTGAGCCAAAGTACCAAATGACTTCTCCATGTGTTCTGTTCCATAGTAAGGCACCCACAGAACTCACTAGAGCCATGACGAGCAGGATGCAAAACAAAATGAGAATCTGCATATTGGTCACTTTCTCCACATTTGATCTCTTCAAGGGAGCTTTGGTTGAATTCTGGAAAGGAACAGCCAGAGAAGAGGAATCAATTCACTGAGCTCATCATATAAGAGCCAGAGGAACATCTGAAGCTGCGTTATATACCATCTAGCCCCATAGTGTCTGCACTGCTTCACCAGGATTTCAGGCAGGAACTTTCCCCAGAAATACAAGGAGATGCTGGAGACTGTACCTAGAAGTCCCTCTCCTGCAGAGTGCAATGATCAGTTGAGTATAGAAGGGATGAGACAATTATTTAGTCCCAGGTTATACAGAGCTTTGTACATCAGAGCCTTGAATTTATCCTGGCATCTGATTTGCAGCAAGTGTAATTCTTTCAGCAGCAGTGTAACTGGATGGCAATGGTTATCTTTCCTTGGTGGCCATTCTGAAATTCCTGAAATGCACAGGGTTGGACTAGATGACCCCTGGGTCCCCTTACAACACTACAGTTCTATGATTTTAGTCTGCCCCAGCGTGAAGAATCAACAAACATTCTCACTTCTTCCTTCCCTTGGGCGGTTAGGTCTTAACGCGCCCCTGGGGAAAGCGAGGTGAGGTTACCGTTAGGAAATAAATCTTTGCAAGCTTCATTCAAGTGGTCCATGTTAAATATCCATCTGTATTTTAATTGTATTTGTATTGCTCTTTTCACTGCTTACATTGGATCTTATTGTATTACTATTCAGATTCCACAGAATTCAAATTGCAAGTGCAATAAAACACAATATATAAGAAATAAAAGAAGCGGTGAAAATACAATTAAAAATTAGCACAGCACATTAAAACAGCTAGACAGAAAAAATAACCTCAGCAACTTTCAAGTAGCCTATGTGGGGCAGGAAGTTTGGGAACCACTGTGCTAGAGGAGTGATGTGTATCCTCCCTAGAAGTCTCCCGCTTTGTAAGAATTCAATCCTTTAGTGTGGCAGCACTTGCACTTTCGAACTCCCTGCCTACTGATGTCAAGCAGGTGCCTTCAATGTATTCTTTTTTGGCTCCTGCTAAAAACATTTCTGTTTAGACAACCCTACCTAGATATTTAGAAAGTTGATAGGAGCTTTAATCTGTTTTTAAGCTTATTGTTATTTTAACTTTTTGAAAGTCTTAAATTAATGTTGTTAATTCTTCATGTAGATAAATTCACTGTTTTGTCTTTTTGGTAAACTGCTTTTTAAAAAAAACAATCCAGTATAAACTAGATAGACAGACAGACAGACAGACAGATAGATAGATAGATATAAATGAAATAAGCGAAGGTGAAAAACTGGCAAAGCTACTCTTTGGTAATGGAAAGCCAACTTTACCTGCATAAGTTTCGTATCGTGTCCTGTGTAGACAACAATTCCTAAAACCCACTGAGTGTTCCTTATCTGTGCACCTCTTAGTAAGATCTGGTCAGGTCCAATCGGAACTGGACTGAGGATAAAGAAAGAGAAAAAGGTTGGAGGTAGAAACAACAACATGGTCCAAAAAACAAGATGCACCACAAAGATGTTCTTAAAATTTAAAATAAATTTTAAATGCAAATTTTGCATTGCAGTTACCCAACCAAGTAATGTGTACAACGATGTGTGTACTAGGTAAAGTATGCAAAAAATGTGTTTTCTTAAGGGATTTTTTTTTCAACAGAAGAACGTATTAGGCTAATTTTCATGCAAATATGTGTATAATAAAAGAAACCTGCATTAAAATGCTGGTGAATTTTCATGAGGACATTTTTAAAAAATCAAATCAATGTGGAAATATGGGGAACAGAATTTCATATTGGAAAAACAAGAAAATGAGAGAAAACAAAATGGACAGGTTCATCCATCCCTACCAGAGGCACACCTGGGCAACGACCCACAATCCCCTGTGATCCTATTCCCTCATGCATACAGAGCCAACCCCTCTTCCCAGCTCCCTTCAAGTGTGCATAGCCACACACGGGGGAGAGAAGACCTCCAGTATCCTAAAGTAAAGCTTAGGCACATGGGGTGTGTGGGGGATGGGCATTAAACATGGCAATAGTTATTCTTTTATCCAAGGAATACCTTTGGCCATCTAAACGCAGGTTTCCAGTGAAGTCGTACAAGTGACGGTTGGGCCCTTCGCACTCTATCTTCCCAGACGTTTTCATCACTTCTTCTTTTGACTGGAGGCAAGCAGTCTGGGTCAAACCCTGCAAGGGACCAGTCCACAGGCACAGTCATCAACTAAACTCTTCTCTTCTCATGAATTAGGACAGGACTACATGGCATGGTGCCCCTCCAGAAACTGTTGGGACTTCAACACTCCCACGAGCCCCGACTGTTGGCCATGTTGATGGGAATCAAGCAACATCTGGGGGCAGCATGTTAGATACCCCGGGTTCAGGGTCCATCATGTAAAGCAGCCTGCCTTACACTGCATTAAGACTCTCCTGGTTCTACTAGAATATCGTTTCCATTGTGCCAAGCTGTGGCAAATGCGGATGCTGCTGGGATGCAGCTCAGACGACATCTTTCCCATTTAAATAATAAAAAAGGACTAAACCGTCTGCTGCCTCATCTTAAATAATGAACCCCTGCCCCAATTGATTTTTGACAACCCCCTTGAAAGTTGCTGGGGATGACATTTTCTCCACTACCGAAGGAGTGGCACATTCTAGGCCATAGTTTTGGAGGAGTCATAATACAGTATTAAAGCATGCAGAAGGTCCTGCTGTTTCTCTCCAGCTAAAAGGATGAGGTAGCAGATGACGACAGCTCTGCCTGGAAAGCCACTGCCAATCACTGTGGACCAGACAAAGGACCTGTGGCCCTCCAGCCATTGTCTGTCTCCATCTCCCATCAGCCTCAAAAAGCATGGTCCATGGTCCATGGTCAAGGATGATGAGAGCTGTAGTGGAATGGCATCTGGAGGGCCAAAGATTCCCCCAGTCCTGATGTAAACAATATTGGACAAGACATATCACATTTGACTTGGTATCAGGCAACGTCACCTGTTCCTAAGCCTGTGACTACAACCCTGGAGAGAAAGTCTCCCAAGAATGCTTTCCCATACCCCTCTCATAGTGTTGCAGGTGCTATGGTTATGCTAAATTGAGCAATGAGGACATATTTACGTGGCTGCTATAATGAACAACCAATATTCAGACATGCAGTAGCAAGCCTCTTATTCCAACTAATATTTCTGCTATTCCTAGTTGTCATTTCCTCGACTTTTAAAAAAAAAATCAAAAGATTTGTGTTGTTGTTTTTTACCTGCCGTATTTTAAGGTTAGTCTCGCCATCGAGATTAGATGTTTCAATATAGCACATCGCCTGAGGTTCACTGCAAAAGTACAGCAACATGTTATATATCATACACACCATGCTTAAGAAGCAACCTCTAAAAAGAAAGGTGACTGCAAAATAAGTAAGAAAGAATAAAGGTACACTCACGGGCTCAACACACAATAATTCAAGCAGTGATTTCCCCCAAAACTGTTAACTGAATTTGTGGTGTTTTGTTTTAAAAAAGAAACTCTATCATAAGGATTTTATTTATTTTTTAGTATGCAAACAGCACAAAAAAATAATGCAGTGCAGGTTTTATACAAAATCAAGAAACACAGCACCTTCAGAACATGCAGACTCTGGTGAACTGAGGCCTATTTAAATAAATGAATAAATAAATCCTATGCACCACGGGAAAAACTGATGTTACCAAAAGCAATCCTTTGCAGAAATGTCCAGCACAAATAGCATTAAGAGACATTGGCCAGACTCTGCCATAAGGCAACATAAATTTATGTAGCAGTGTAGCAGAACCCACTTCCAGCACAACACTGTTCTAGTAACATCTGTATGGAGAAACCACAAAAGCAAAACAAATTATGTGGTTCATTCCCCTGCAGTGCAATCCACCTTGAGGACCAACAGAGGCAACGAGATGGAACCGTGTCATCCTCTCAGCCCATCTGGTTTCTCCATTCAGACATTACTTGTAATAGTAAGGGCACAAGGAATTGAGCCTCGTGTATCTGTGCCAATATGTAAAAGAAGAAAGTATCTTTCACGGAACACGGGAAGTTGGCTGCCTGCTCTTTACCTAAAGGGAGAGGGTTAATAGGAGAGCATGCAATTCTGAATATTAAATATGGTTTGATATTTAATATTAAACTATGGTTTGATGTGCTCACTTGTTCCAAAGTTAGTAACCGTAGGTTTTCCCAGTGAACAGGAAACTATGGTTAATTAGAGGCTTCCTGGTTGAATTGCAGCTCTCACACAGAGGAAGGAATAAGGGGGTTTGTGTATTCGCATGTCAGCTTAATAGGATTGCCCAAATGCAGCCAGTGTGCTGCTCTAGTGCACATTCAGATGCTGCCCCTATGAGCTGAAGGTGCCTGCATGTAACCAATCCAGGGAAGGGAGAAAGGAAGGCGGTCCCATATTATTTGAATTTCTTTAAGTGCAAAGATTGTTTCTTTAAAAACCTCAGTTTAGCAGAAGTATCATTTCACACCCACTCAGCATATCTGACCTGGTAGATAAAATGATCATGTCTGCTGGGAGGTGCTGCCCATTGGTGACCTTCACAAAGTCTCCCACTGCCACCTGTTGAGCCAGGGGCAGGAGTGCAGCAGCATGAAAAGAGAGAAAATGAACAGAGAAAGACAAGAGTCCATCCATACTGTTAGTTAGTCAATCCTCCATACCAAGAGAAGCAGGGAAACAACGGTGTGTTATAATGAGCATTCACAGTTTTGAGGGGAGCCCATTCGCTGCAGTGACAGAGTCTGGGGTCTTTGCCTCTTGCCAGCCAGCAATGCCTCCTGAGTGGAAGTGGCAAAAGGCAGGCATTGATGCCATGGCATCAGAACGCAGGTCCTCGAATCAGAGGAGGGGAAAGGGCTGCATCCAGGGACTCAAAGAGGGAGCTGGGGAGAAAACAGAGCAGACGTGGAATAGACAGGGACACCAGGGGTAAAGAATTGCATGGTTGACTCTGCCCTTTTCTTTTCCTGGTTTTATCTGCCAGCGGTAGGTAAAAGGTAAAGGGACCCCTGAACATTAGGTCCAGTCGTGGCTGACTCTGGGGTTGCGGCGCTCATCTTGCTTTATTGGCCGAGGGAGCCGGCGTAAAGCTTCCGGGTCATGTGGCCAGCATGACTAAGCCGCTTCTGGCGAACCAGAGCAGCGCACGGAAACGCCCTTTACCTTCCCACCAGAGCAGTACCTATTTATCTACTTGCACTGGCATGCTTTCGAACTGCTAGGTTGGCAGGAGCAGGGACTGAGCAACAGGAGCTCACCCCGTCGCGGGGATTCGAACCGCCGACCTTCTGATCGGCAAGTCCTAGGCTCTGTGGTTTAACCCACAGCGCCACCCGCATCCCTCTGCCAGCGGTCTATCAGGCTAAATCCAATGGACTTCAATGGCCTATAAGCAGCATAACCGCATGAAGGGTTGTATGTAACCTGAGTGAATGGTCCTATTGCACTAAGTCAAAGGTTTTCATCCTTTTATTCCAATTCACTTTATCCAATAAAGGTGTTCCAAGTTTTGCTTCCTTCGATGTTTTAAAACATATCCCTCTTTTCAGGGTTAAGCATATTAAAGCAGCTTGGGTTTTGTTTCCTTCTCACTTTCATTTGCAAATTTGTTCCTAGTTTACATAACGTGGCAGCTACATCGTACCAACGGAAGGGCGATACATGTTCTGAGTGAAATGAAATGTGCCCCTTCTTCATCTGCCCATTTTAAGCAGTCTGCACTCTAGAATAAAATGTGATGTATTCAAATTGGCAAGGAGCTGAATGACAACATTGTACCCTATTATCCTTCCAGGCTTTCAGGATTTTTACTAATGTATTAATGCTGTGAAAATGCTGTCTTACATATTTAATTTCATGATCTGCCTTACTGGCTCTCTTTCTCTCCCCCCCCCCAAAGGATATAAGACGGGCATTATTAACTAGGGCTGTGCAAGCTCCACCCCCCCACCCGACCCCTGACTCAATTTTGGGCTGAATTTGGAGATCTAGCCTTGATTCACCCACAAACAAATCAACTCAGACACAATCCAAATCCAGAAATACACACCTGTATTTTTCTACTCCAATAGTTAACCAACATGGTCATACTGAGCATGCTCCAGCACTCAATGAGGTGTTTTAGTTGTGGGTTTTCTGTCTATACTTCTAGAAAGCTTAGTGTTCCCCCAATCATGCTGATGCCATGTTTCTTTTCCATGTATGGATGGCGCCATTTTGGCTGCATATGGACCCACCACTTGGAAAATAAACCACACAGGACTCTGAACTTCTTTTACCAGGGCTCCTTTCTAAGTGTGGTCCATCTCCTCTCTGCTTCCATAAACAATGAGTGACACATCTATATCAAGCAAGCAGACATGCATTTATATTACACAATTAGTAATCATTCCTTGCTTGGGATTTAAAATGGGAGAGCACATATGACCTGAGAAACACTAAGAATTGCTCTGTGAAGATATATGAACTAAGAACCTTGAGCTCCCATTCTTAGAACCCCAGCACAGATCAAAATTATGAGTATCTAATTCACAAAACATCTTAAATGTAGTTCTTACCTCTTTCCACATAATATTCTGCCACATCCCATTTCTTAAAACTGGAAGAACAAGGAAAAAAAGAAAACTGCATCTTTTTCTCTCTTTTTTAAAAAAAAAGAAATTATCACATATTAATGTGTTCCCTATCACTGATCGGTCTATGAGTCATTGATCACTCTAAAAAGAAAGTAGAGTGGGGAGGCTCATCTCCCCAAAATGCTCTACAAGCAAATTTTAATGCTACAGCTTTCTTTTTTCATCGGGTTGGCAACTGGGGGTCAAGCAGAACTCCCCCAGGGATCAGATTTGTTCTAGCAGTTGCTGAAACAATCCCAAATTCCTCTAAGTGGCCACATTTGTATGGTTTAGCATTGTGAGAATAAGCCTAGCTTATCCCTTCCCCTGCACACTCCCCATGTCTTTGCCATTGTGACTGTGAAGAGCACACTGGAAACTTCCAGTTTAGAATTAACCACAGTTAGTATGTCCTCCAAACACCCAGCGAAAAATAAGTCAGCTTCACAAACTATGGGTTGAAGCTGGCTTCTTCCCACTAACCAACATTAAAAAGAACCACGGTCTGGCCTTGTTTGCACATGCTAAACAATGACTAGGGCTATCCGTGGTTAACGTTAGCAATCATCTATATAACTTAGTTAAAGCTGAGGCATCACACAATCACTTAAACCTCACAATTACATCATAAAACAGTTAAAAGCACCAGCAAGAGGAGCTGAGTCTTGAGAGTGGCTTGAATATACTGCTGTTCTTCACTAGTGACTCTGTAGCTTTTGGGTAATGACAACTCCTTAGCCATAGTTAAGGAGGAGGCCCAGTCGATATGTAACACTAAACCAATATTAACGTTAAGGTTGACAAACCAACTAAAAACTTTGGTTAGTGATTAACCTTTCACAATAGTTCACAAACCATACTTAGGTGGCCAGGGTAGGTTCACACATAACACTGAGCCATGGTTTAGTGTTATGTGTATACCGAACCCAGAAAGCTATAGTTGATAAAAGAGTACAGGGGAAAGTTTCTGAATGCCAGATCCAAGCTGCACCAGAGGAGGAAGAGGAGGAAATCACAGGTCCAGAACGGGAGGAGGCTTGTTCTCATAACCAGCTCAAGATAACCTGTCATTATTTCACATAAATCTACAACATTAAAATGGGGAGGGGGGGGAATGGGCACTGAAATTTGACCCATAAAGTATGCTTTAAATTAAAGAAAGAAAACCTGATGTTCTGCCAAAACCTCAGCCAAAAGTCAATACTGCGCATTTTAATTTAAAAACGGGAGCTTGCAAGTAATTGTATAAACCAGTGTAATTATTTCTCTCTCAGATATGGATTGCCACTGCTAAAATCACTTAAGGGAACGGATCTAAATATACTCAGGCAGCTCATCATATACAATATACTATTCTATGCAATTATACACCATGGTGGAGCTTGAGACAAGTGCGGTGACTGCACTGTCACTGATTGCTCCAACCCAATTGATGCCTGTTTGTACCTTTGTGTAATTAGAGACAATGGGGCTGTGTGAAATGATGCAGAACACGGCATTAATCACTCAGTCGAAATAAAGCATTTCTCATTTTCATTTATTTAGATTTGAATCTGCCATTGCCCACGACAATACAGCAAATAAGACAAAGGAACAGGAACACAAAGAGAAATAATGAAGATAGTAATTAAAGCGGGATAAGGCACGTTCTTGCAGAATTGGTAACGACGATAATGCAGCGTCGTTTCGTGCCCCCTTGGCGCAGTGTAATCAGGTACTACTTATAATAATTAGGCAAAAGGTAAAACTTCCAATCATGACTAATTACCAACACGTGGCATCTAAACAATTATATACTTTCTCCCAATTCTTTCTCTTGCAGGTTGTATTAGAATTTAGTCATAAATCACAAATTATTGAAACCAAAAGTAATCCTTGACCCACTTTGCACATCACAGTAAACCATAGCTGCTGGCTTCCTATAAATGCTTTTATCTGGACAACTTTTCCATTCCCTGCTAACATATGGAAGGAAGGAAGCATGATCCTTAGCTTAGTGCTGCCTCCAAAAGTTCAAGTAAATCATGATCAGTGAGCCCAAAACAAACCTTTGCTACAGATCATGGTTTATTGAGAGCAAAATAAACCATAATCATATATATTAGTTCCGCATTTGTATGAAATCCATCTTTTATTATGGCAGCACCTACACCTTGGAGCTCCCTGCCTATTGCAATCAGATGGGCATCTTCACTATACCCTTTTTAGTGCCTGCTAAAAATAGACAAGTTTATCCAGACATGCAAAATGCTGACATGTGTTTGATTTTCCCCCCATTGCCGATTGTTGTTTTTTACTGTTTTCAATCGCTTGTTTTAACTGTCTTTGACTGATAATTTCATTTTATCCTTTTCGTGAATCGCTTTGAGGGCTTGTATTTTTACAATCAAGCAGCATATAAACTTTGTGAAATAAATGAAATAACAAATAAGACAATCAGGTTGTGACTTCCCCCCCGTGTGTACTTTATTTAAAAGGAAATTAAAAGAAGACCTTACCCACTGTTTTCTTTTTGTTCACCGTACTGTCAGCCTTGTGTCTTTTCTATTGGGAAGTAAAGTACAAACATTTAGTTGGAGAAACACTGAGAAAAGTGATCTGTGCACCCAAAAGGCTAAAGCAAAGCAGAGGAACCGAGAGACAAGACCACTTCTATTACGCTTGACATTTCCCTTAGTGTGCAAAACACAGAACTGTACCGTTTGCATCAAGTTCCAAAATGTATCAAGGCCTTTCAACTCTCTAATGGGCTGATCAGCCAATGCGCACACAATGAATCTTTGTACTTGCAAGGTGCTTTTGCTAAGAGCTCCACCTGCTTCATATTATCCTGATAAGTCTTACAACACCTTGCAAGACAAGTTAGTATCATTATCCCCACAATATAGAGAATGGAATGAGGATTGGGGAGGGAGTCACTAGTTTGTGGAGGCAACTAGGAAGAGTTCGCACCTTTGGTTTCAAGTACAGTGGTACCTCGGGTTACAGACGCTTCAGGTTACATATGCCGCTAACCCAGAAATAGTACCTCGGGTTAAGAACTTTGCTTCAGGATGAGAACAGAAATCGCACGGCAGCAGCAGGAGGCCCCATTAGCTAAAGTGGTGCTTCAGGTTAAGAACAGTTTCAGCTTAAGAACGGACCTTCAGAACGAATTAAGTACTTAACGCGAGATACCACTGTAGCTAGATGGGGCCATAGCTCAGAGGCAGGGCATCCAATGCTTTGCATGCAGAAGGTTCAAGGTTCAAATCTTGGCACCACCAGAGAACCCTGTGTGAAATCCTGAAGAGCCACTGCCAGTCTGTGTAGAAGATACTGAACTATATGGACAAATGGTCTAACACAGTATGGCAGCTTCCTATGTTCCTGCAAATGTAAACAGCCTTCACTTCAACATCCCCCACAGGCTATAGTGCAAACCAAGAACTGTAAAGCATGACAGCGCTGGAAACTAACAAATTACAGTAATTTTCACCCAACACTCTCAATAGCCCTCTTAGAGTGCATAGTATTTTTCAATCCTTATTCCATTTAGCCACACAAGAGCCCTATGATTTAGGTCAATAATGTTACTATTTTACAGATGGGAACCGAGGCGAAGATAAGGCAGACTGCTGAAGGCCACCCAATAACCACAACAAACCACAATCCAAATCCACTCTCCCATGTCTCCAGCATTATGGACCATTCCTGGCCTGCGTCTAGCAGGCAAACATTTCCAAATTTAGCTCTTCTACCTTCTACCAACCAAGGGAGCGGCTTTGAGCCATGTCCAACACATGGTATATTGCTTCACCTATACATTTTAGATAAAATAAAATAAAAATGCAACTTTGTGCCAGTAATTCCAAGGCTGTGCAGACACCGTGGAGCCCTGGGCAGAAACTTCTGAAAGGACGGATTATTTCGGTGGCATAACTTCATCAGTGTTCAATAGAAGCGGGGCTTTAAAGGTCTGTCTCAAGGTAAAGCTGAAATGTTTTGTCTGCAAAGAAATGCCAAATGAATTTGGCTAGGATCCAAAGAGACACACATGGGGAGTTTCTGCCTGCACAGTTGCTCGAAAACCTCTTGTTGAGGAAGGCTCTGTTACAGCTACAGTTTTAATTCTCTTTGATGGATGTCTGTGATGAAGTAATTAGTTTTGTTCGCTGCACTTCTCTATCCATTTTTTTTCCTCCAAAGAAATTAGCTGAATTGTGGTTCCCAGGAGGTCACCTCTCTCCAGGCAACTTACAGGGCCAGGTCTACTAAATTTTAGCACTACGACTGCATCACGTCAGGAACAAAGGAGGCTGCCTTATCAAAGGTCAGACAAGGCTTCTCTAACCCAGAGCCTCTAGATGCTTTAAACTACAACCAGCATAACTCTGGTGGTCAACAAAAGAGGTTTAAGGACTATCTCAAGGCAAATCTAAAAAAAATGTAGTATAATCACTGACAACTGGGAAACACTGGCCTGCGAGCGCTCCAGTTGGAGAACAGCCTTTACCAAAGGTGTCGTGGACTTTGAAGACGTTCAAACTCAGGACGCAAGGGAGAAACATGCTAAGAAAAACATGCACCTCACTGTGATCTATTCCCACCCAGAAACCTATGTCCCCACTGTGGAAGGACGTGTAGATCCAGAATTGGCCTCCACAGTCACTTACGGACTCACTGTTAAAACCATATTTATGGAAGACAATCTTACTCAACTACAAGTGATCACTAAAGAAGAAACTACAACACCCATCAGCCCCAGCCAACATACTCAATGGAATCAGATGATGGAAGTTGTAGTCCAAAGCTTCTGAGGAAGGTTGGGTAAGGCTGTCCACCTAGCAAAGCCTTGTCTGTTCAGGCTGACAAAAGCTCTCCAGGGTCTCAGGCAAAGGCCCTTCTCATCAATTGCAACCTGATCTATTTTTAACTGGAGGCACCAGGATTGAACCTGGAACTTTCTACATACAAAGTGAGAGTTATTTTTCAGCCCTCCGTCACTTCCGTGCAAACCATTATCTGGGCACCAGGCACCAGGCTTGGTCACTGGCCACAGCAGTAAGTGCAAGTGATGAAACATTGCTCTGGGAGGGACTAAGAACTGGCAGCTCTAGCACCGATTTCTGGGGCAAGGTCGTACCCCGGTGGACCTGCTGTGGCCAAAAGACTCAGAAGCAGAGCGGCAACTGGAACATCTGAAAGCTGGTGGGAAATGTGTGCACACTTTTGTGTCTCCATAGCAACTCACAGGGCAAGGTTGTTTCGTGCATGGTATAAGGTCCAAAAAAACAGGACTTTCCCCCTGTGCACCCCTTGCATTTGCTCTGGAGGGTTGGGGAAAACCCCAGATCAGGCTTAGGGGGTAAGCAGAGGGGACAAGAGGGTGGAAAAGTCTTGTTGCGTGAGTGGACCTCTTTCCCCACATGCACAAGTCCTTCTGAGCTATGTTGAATCCCACCCATTTTTATGTTGTTGTATTTCAGATGTGCTGTGAGAACTTTGGTAATTAGGCAGGTCATATGACAGAGCAGTGCTGCCCATTAAGACTACAGACCCTCATAGACTCACCTATCAGTAAGCCCCACTGAACTCAGTGGGGCTTATCTGAGAATATAAAATTAAGCTTTGTAACAACAGAAGAACCCTGATGAATCAGAGGCCAGGTGCTCATCTAATCCAATATCCTCTTACAGTCTGATGGAATGGCCACTTCTAGATAGATGAGTTGAGAGAGAGAGTCAAAGGCCTGATTTCCTGCTCACCCTCTGCTCTTAGCACATTTGTTCTTCTTGTACGGTTTTGTAATGATCCTGGGTGCAATAGGAGAGTGGAATTAAATATCAGGAAACTACATAAATAACTAATACATCCCGATGCACAATTGGTGTCCTTTGAATGCAAGGTGTCCTGCCCCATACACACAAATGTCTCTTGCATGACCACATCTAAGTTTCAAAGGATCGGAGGAACATTGGTTAGAAAAGACAGAGAAGTGCCTTATACTACGTCAGCCCATTGGCCCACCTAGCTCAGTGCTGCCTGCACTGACTGGCAGTGGCTCTCCAGTATTTCAAACATGAGTCTCTCCCTGCCTGGAAATGCCAGGAATTGAACCCAGGACCTTCTGCATGCAAAGCAGATGCTCTGCCACTGAGCTACGGCGCTTTCCCTCCAACAATAGATGGTTGGCCTATTTCATCCAAATGCCCAACGTATACTCACATAGTCTTCAATAATCTCCTTGATGCCAGCAACTGTGAGAATAAATAGCAGTGGCACCAAGGTGGTATATCTTCCAGTTGGTGAGACATCTGGAATTTGCTGAAAAGGGAAAATAATAATAATAATTATTATTTTAATGTTACTAGAACACGGCTATGACCAATGTTTTCTCCTACTGGGAAAGTACTGAGAGAAAAAAGCCAAAATTCCTGATGCCATTTGCTAAATGAAAAGCAACTTCTGGAGGAAAGAACTTGTAGTTGAAAGGTGAGCAGTGAGGGTAACTTAAATCTATTCTTTACCTGCTGCTTCTCTACTCCAAATTGTGACCCTTTCTCTACCGCTTTTCTTCAATGGGATTCCAAATACAGAAGGAAATATTGTTTGGTGGGGTGATTTAGAGTAGAGAACGACTGGGCAATGCAAGGGTGAAGCATCTCCTCCCCCTTGGTGCTTCTCCAGTATAAATTCCCTTGTCTTGAACGTTTTGTTTCTAAGAACCAGTGTTAGGGCTCTACAACATAAATGTGGTGCAATGCGTCACTAGCCTCTGAAACTAGGGCCTAACCTAGCAAGCTGCATTGGACTGCATGGGCTCAGGTCTCAGAGCTCTGCTAAGGGACACAAGGGGTGTGTAACACTGACCCCTTTCAATTGGCAAACAATACAAAGGCTCCTGACTGAAGCACCCCAGGATCATTTCAAATACAGGTTGGCTTTCTCCCTTTGTGTGGTCAATAGGCCTGTTTTACTCTAGCCTGAGCCTCAGAGACCCTAAGCTGGAAAACACATCCTCCAGGTCTAGGCTTAGTTAATGCTACCCTTGGTCCCAGCTCTGCTCTGATACACTTACCTATGGGGGTAGACAACATGTTAGCCTCCATATGTTGTTGAACTGCAACTCCCATCAGACCCGGCCAGTATGGCCGAGGGTGATGGGAGTTGTAGTCCAGCAACATCAGGAAAGGCATGATGTTGGAAGCCCTTAGCACAGAACAACAGTCTGAAAGAATTTGCTGTCAATCACTCCCATTGATTCTATGGAGCATGATCACTGTGCCATGTAATGGTGAGGTCCACAGTTCGGGGGTTTCATCATTGCTATAGGAAAGATATGCCCAGAACATTCACTTGTAATTATATTAAACGGAGTGACAAATGTAGTCAGTTTAATTTCGCAACAGAGGCCTACCTGCAGTAAGGCAATGAAGAGGAAGAAAGCATTAGCCGCTTTTCTGATCTGCTCATACAAGAATCGAGGTAGAAATGTCACCACGCTGTACTTGGCTGTGCTGTAAGTTTTCAGAAACAAAAAAGGAAATAAATGAAGACTTCGTTTAGAAGGTCACGGGAGGAAACCTGTACCAAATGAACTGACGTTAAATTAAACCAGCTGGGGGGGAAATCAAGTCAGTTCTTTCAAATCAATATGTGAACTTCAGCCTTTATAAATTGAGATGTCTAGCAAAATTAAAAAATAATAAAAAACCCAATATGATTACTGTAACACACAGCCAACAAATTCGTTCAGTTAACTGCAGCGAGCATCGTATTCCATATATCAAAACTCTGCTGGTTTCCACAAATTCTGGAGTCCTGATTATCAGAACCAGCAAGGTTTTTTAATGTGATCCAAATGTTCTGAAAATCTATTCTTGATTTACAAGAAAACCTCAGTACCATGGACAGTTCTCTATGGGTTGCATGCCATTAAGTCCTACTTCGAGTAAACTCACTGAAATTAATCAGAATCATAGAATTGTAAAGTTGGAAGGCACCCCAAATGTTTTCAACCCCAGTTCAACTCCCTGCAATGCAGGCATCTCAGCAGAAACTGAAAGCTGAAAATGGACCCAAGTTCACCATGCCTTTTAATGATAATAGACCTTCTCTGAGTAGGATTGGCACTGGATTGAACTCCATGAGATTATTTTAGCTTCAGGTTATGCTGCTGAAAACAGCACATGTGTCAAGTTCTCCCCTTCCACCTCTTAATAAATTGTATTGACATTGTATTGCCAGTAACTTGTTTTTAAAGGACCAAATAGTTTATTCTCCAAAGACACCCATGGTATTGTCATTAGCAGCTATAATGTTGCAGCATCATTGTGGGTGGGAATGCATGTGACACAGATTAAAGCGCGGTAAGAGTAAAGAAGAGGAAGGAAAAGAATACACTGAGAAGACGGTGCCAATGGAATAAAATGGCATCGAAACAATGCAAATACATTTGCAATGAATATTTGTTTATTTATCATTTAACGCAGTCGCATACAGCTTAATAAGATGGTCTTCAAGCAGTTTAAAGAACAAACATGCACAACAACACATGCACATCACACCCGAATTCTGCCTTGCAATTCATCCACACAAATCATCCAGTAACAACTACTTGTTCAATAGCACTCAACCCATTCTACTGCCACTAAACTTGTTAACAATTTTATATATCGCCTTCATCCATGCACGTTCCTGTACAACCAGGGTTCCCCGCTTCCTTCATCTGAAGACCAGCTCTGGAGCTGCATTCCACTCTGAGCGTGGAGGGCATCGGTCCCTCCTAAGTGAAGAGGAAGGCCTTGAAAGTGTGAAAGCTCTAATCTGAGATTGCGCTCATTCCTCATCTTCAGCCCTCCATTTCCCTCCCAAACAGCACCAACGATTCTGCTGCATCATCTATAAATAACGAACAGGTGGGTTCGTTCTTCAGCTGACATACGGTATCTGAACCCTGGAAGACAGGGAGGCACTGAAACGTTGTTATTTAAGGCACGGATTCATTTGTTTCCCTGCTTCATACTTGACACCCTCAACATATGCCAATTTCGCCAGCCTCCTTTACCAATATAAGATCAGCTCTCCCAAGGAAGCTTCCCATGTGTTGTGGCTATACACACATACTTGTGCGGATGTTGTTCAGAACACAAGTAGAATGATTCCCCAGAGTTTCAATGGAACTTTTCCTATGGCGGCACATAAAGAGGCAATGATATCTAGCACTCAATGATATCCAGCTAGCTGAATCAGGGCAATGCAGAAGCTCTGTTTACAAAACAATAGGGGAAACGCGTGAAAGAGAAATGCTGAGCGTTGGGGCGGCTAGTAATGAAGGCTGTTAATACTGTAGTCAGCTTTATCCCATTGCTCATAGCTTCCCTCTCTATAGGAGCTTCCAGTATCCAGCCTCCAATATCTCAGCACTTTATCAGGCTGATATCAGATCAAACAGATTTGTTTAATGGGATGCTTAAAAGTACTTATTTAAATTATTAATACCCCACTTTTTCTTCAAATACCTCAAGGCAGTTTACAAAAATAGTAAACACACACACACACACACACACACACACACACACTACAAACAGCAATATATAAAAGGAATACAGTCATACCTTGGTTGACAAACGCCTCAGCAGTCGAACGTTTTGGCTTCCGAACGCTGCAAACCCAGAAGTAAGTGTTCCGGTTTGCGAACGTTCTTTTGGAAGCTGAACGTCCGGAGGGGCTTCTGTGGCTTCTGATTGGCTGCAGGAAACTCCTGCAGCCAATCGGAAGCCCTGCCTTGGAAGTCGAACGTTCTGGAAGTCGAATGGACTTCCAGAATGGATTCCGTTTGATTTCCAAAGTACGACTCTAAATAAGAATAAGAATAAAAAGCCAGAAATAAAACAGTTTAAAACAGGTGTGGAAAACATGTTTGACCCTCCAGATGTTGTTGGACTACAATGCCCATCACCCTGACCATTCTTCATGCTCACTGGGGCTGATGGAACTTGGAGTCCAACATTGGGAGGGCTGCAAGTTCCCCCTCACTGAATTAAACACTAATTCCTGTATTTTACTAGCAATAGGTTTTATTTGCTCCATCCCTGGTTTAAAAGCAATTGCAATAGGAAGCGTCTTTTTTTTTTAAGTAAAATAAAAAATAATTAATGGTTTCATTATTTTAAAAAACAGCAAAAAAAGCAGCATTAAAAAAACTTGTTATGCAATAAGAACTGCACATAGTTATGGCTGGCAAGGAATTAAAATCCAGTCTATTCCAAGGGCTGTGTCAATCATAGTATTAAAATAGAAATGAAAAGCAAGAAGGCTACAATTTATAGATTGTGAGTAATGTTCGAAAACCATGAGAGAAATACTGCAAGGAAATCAGAATGAAGAAATAAGTGTTGTGCTCAAAAAGAAGAAGAAGAAGAAGAGTTTGGATTTGATATCCCGCCTTTCACTCCCTTTGAGGAGTCTCAAAGCGGCTAACATTTTCCTTTCCCTTCCTCCCCCACAACAAACACTCTGTGAGGTGAATGGGGCTGAGAGACTGACTTCAAAGAAGTATGACTGGCCCAAGGTCACCCAGCAGCTGCATGTGGAGGAGCGGAGACGCGAACCCGGTTCCCCAGATTACGAGACTACCGCTCTTAACCACTACACCACACTGGCTCTCAGTGGGGGAAATCTTAGATTAGAGACAGAGGACCATCTAGTCCAGCATTCTGTTCTCACATTGGCCAACCAGATGCCTACAGGAATTCTGCACAGTACACCGCTTTCCTCACTTGTAATTCACAGTATCTGGTATATAGTTCTCTGGGAAGAGGGGTGGACTGTTAAACCGCTCTGAAAATTGTAGCTGTGGGAGGGGAATAGGGGTCTCTTGTTGGCTCTCAACACCCTTAGCAAGCTACCTGAAATATACTCGGAGTCCTGTAGTGATTTCATGCTCTTTATTGCAGCTTGTAAAAAAGTGATTGAATTGCCCCCCAAACCTCATGCTTTTATATACATTATTTACACAATGAGTCTTGGCTGATTCTGCTTCCCTCCTGGAGCCTGATTGGTCTTTTCCTGCAGGCCAATCAGTTGTTGCATTCTACGATCCTACCAGCCTAATAGGCTGATTAACTTCCTCCTGGAGACTGATTGGTCTTTTCCTGCAAGCCAATCAGCTGTTGCGTTCTAGGATCCTACAAGCCTATTGTTCTAGGATCCAAGCTTAGTACATAACACTACCATTTCCAGGATTCATTGGGGGAAGCCATGATTGTTTCAAGTGGTACCATAGTGCTTTAAGCACATGGTGTGAATGTGGTCCTAGAAGCATATGCCTATCAGCAGGGGCATCTGTGAGGTTAATGAGCACTGCCTTGCACACCCAACTTGGTACAGGGAAATTGGGGAAGGAGCCAGGTAAGTCAGGATGGGAGCTAGTTGCAGCCATTGGGCTTCCAGTTTGCCACCCCTAGTTTAAATAACAGGGCACCATCCAACTTCTCCAACTTCTGTTTATTGCCCATTTATCTGGGTATTATGTCAACGGTAGTGCATTTTGCTCCATCCTTTCTGTTCATTTGATGATTGTGGAGGGGTGGGGAGGGTGGATTATTAAAAATACTGGTGACATGTTTTAGCTGAGAGTCGTTTACGATATACGCTGCAATGCACAGAAGTGGCATAAGAACATATGAACAGAATTTCAAAGAATGCCAGCCAAGAGAACAGCCTTGGAAACATTTTGCTGCCTGGCTCAACACACAAGGTGTTTTCACAGCTACTCAAATAATAAATCTGTCTCGTTTATATATCACAACCAGTACGTCAAGGCCGCTTCAGATTCAGTATGGCAACTACTGCTGCTCTGAACGGAGCTGTGTGGCAGCTATTACCGTACGTAAGGTGGGACACATATGTACAGGAACACAGGAATTGGCTTTACACGAGTCAGTACTACTATTCTGGTTAACCAGATGTTGCTGGACTACAGCTCCCATCATCCCTGGCAACAGGCCATGCTTCCAACTCTACAATTCTATATGATTCTATGACTGGGGCTGATGGGAGTCCAACAACAGCTTGTGGGGCTGGGGACGAAGTACAATATGGAAGTGGCTGGGCTACTTCAGATGTCAAGTTCAGGGTTGTGTGTGTGTGTGCACCCTAATTTTGAATGCTCCAGGTGAAAGAGAAAACCCCCTGCATTTAGTAAATTAGTACTTTAAAGAGGAAATTGGAGCAGCTGTCACTGGAGTCACTCATTTACTACATACAGAAAGCCTTTTGGGGCAAGATGTAAGGTGTTTAGAAAAGTTCATAGGAGCTTTAATTTGTCTTAGTTTCATTTATTGCAAAATACGACAGGTGTCCACTATTTGAACTTTCCAGACGTGAGTTCCGACAAGCTTCCCCAGCATAGCTGTCAACTTTTCCCTTTTCTTGCGAGGAATCCTATTCGGAATAAGGGAATTTCCCTTTAAAAAAGGGAAACGTTGACAGCTGGATAAATGGACCTTTATTGTGGGTGTCTACTTGTTTTAAGTGTCTTTGTTGCATTTGTGCTTTTAACTGTTTTTAATTATCTTATGTGTAAATTGCCTGGAAACGGTGGTTTAGAAGGTGATTAATAAACTAGTGGTGGTGATAAAATGCATGCAGACCTGCTTTGCTGGCTGAGAAAGTCTGCCATGACAAAGCTTTGTCCTTGCCAATAATTTATGCCCTATTTTTTTTTTTTAAAAGAGAAGAGTAGCAAAAACATAAAGTTGATTTTTTAATGGAGGAAAAAAGAGCAGTGTTTGCAGAACTCTGAAGGGGTGGAAAACACAACTTCATATTTCATATATGAAATCAGAAGAGAGACAGGGACAGGAGGAGAGGATTTTAAAGTGCTGGCTCCATATTCCAAGTACATATTTTACTAAGGAAGGCAACTGAACAGCAAACAAAGCAACTCTGGGAGAAAATCAATCTCCCGGATTTCTATTTGAGAAGGTTGGTTAATCAAAAGCAGAAAGTAGTATTGTTTTTACCTTTCATTGGAACAGAAACCTAAGCAATAAAAATATAATTTTAATGCTATTTTTCTGCACTGGCCTTCATTGCTGTTATCCAGAGGTAATGCTTGGCCTGCATTTTCATGGAACTTTTAATGCACAATGATAGCAAAACAATAAAGGTTTTACAAGGACCTATAAAGACCTGAAACAGCACATATATTTCCCCCTTGAAGACAAGCTGCAACAATGTGGGGAATGGGTCATCTCTAGGAGCAAGCCTAGGGATAAGTTGATGCAAGAGATTCAGAATACATTCTGAACCCATAAATATGTTGAGAAATTGGGGGCAGGAACCTAAGCAGGATTTGGGGGAAGAGGACAAGGCAGGGTCAGATCCAAAGCAGTTGGTGAAAGTCAGGTCAATCAATCGCCAGTTAGCCAAAAAGTTCACTGGGTGACCTTGGGCCGGTTGTTATCTCTCAATGCAACACACCTCACAGGATTGTTGCAAGGATAAAATGGGAACGGGAGAAAAATGTATGCCTCACTGAGACAGGATATAAGGATAATATATAAATATGGGAATGGCAGGATAGCTAATGTTAAAGAAACAAGCACTGTGACAAATAGCAGCTGGGGGGGGGATATTGATCCCCCACCCTGTGCCACAGTACTGAACCTGATCTCCCTTCTGCCTCCCCAGTGGCTACTATTTACAAAAAAAGAAAAGAAAAAGGAAAGACAGAAGGACACATTTAACAGAGCACATCACTCGACTCTTTTGATAAAGATTGGTTACCTACTCCTGATGTAGGGAATATAACAGACGAAGCAGGCCTAACTACGTGGCAATATGGGGGAAAACCTTGCTGGAAAGGAACCAGCCATAAGACACAGCAACTAATGCTACCCTTTACTACCTCCACAGAAATTAATCTCTTTACAAACAGTGGGGTTTTTTCTTAAAAAAAATGTTGAGGGGTACTCTCAGTTTGACTCAAGAAAATCACCGGGAAAGGAAATGAAGCCATCATTGGAGGTGGCAACAATGAAACTGACCAATCACCATGCTAGATTCCAATTCCTACTTCACACATTAAACGCTCACTTCCATCTGAGACTCAGGAAACACCGTGGCAGGAAATGAGGCCGCCATTGGAGGTAGCAATGGAACTGACAATTCACTATGCTGTTCAATGGAACTGACGATTCACCACGCTAGAGAAGAAACTAATTTTTTTTAAAAAAATTAGTTTCTTCTCCCATTAGATTCACAAAATGTTTAGGGGTATGCGTACCCCTGCGTACCCCCCAGAAAAAAAGCACCGCATTTACATCTGAACCGTCTTCCATGGAGCTGCATACAAAACAATATAGTTATTTCCTTCCCTTTCCACAAACTTTGATGCTAACAACAGTTCTGTGAGGTAGGCTAGGGAGCATGCCTGAGAGAGACAAACCCTGTGTGCTTCATGACTGAAGGGATATTTTTGAACTCAGCTCTTCCCACTTCTAAGTCTGACACGGACCATACCACATTGGCTCTCACATGCTAGGAAACTAAAAGCTGTTGTGGTGATGCAGGCCATTCCTCCTCCAAAGAAACAAATGTGGCCTAATTCTCACATTATTTTCTGAGGTGGTAAAATCACGATATGGTTTTACCTTATTATATATATTTTTTCATTTGCACTGGAGGTCACCAAATACTTAAAGCATTATGATACCACTTTAAACTGTCACAGCTTCCCCCAAAGAATTCTGGGAGTTGCAGTTTGTTACAAGGTGCTGACTGAGAGGTGTTGGGAGACTCCTTCACAAAACTATAGTTACCTGTGAAGAGAGATTAACTGGCTCTAAACCACTCTGGATATTGTACCTCTTTGAGGGGACGAGGGGTTTCCTAAGAGCTCTTTGCATCCTAAAAACTGCATCTCCCAAAATTCTTTGGGGGAAGCTGTGACAGTTTAAAGTGGCATTATAGTTCTTCAAATGTATGGCCTAATGCAGCCTCATGTGGCAATAACTGGTGTATTTGCCACAGCAAGACAAAAAGCTAGTTTCTCTGGCATTCGTAGCAAATAGTAGCTCTCGACCTGTGAGGGTCAATCCAAAGAACCCGGGAAGCTATGATTGTCAGCTTCCCGCATAGATCTATGCAGCCCTATCCATTGTAGTCCATTTGTTCTGTTACCACTGGCGATATAAACAAGCCCATTGTCAAATAAATGCACTTAGGAAGACACTTGGAAGAAGAAAACATGTTGAGTCTTGTTGAGTCAATTGATTTGGTCCCTAGCCAAACCTTGGGAGTTTTACAATCCTCTTAGTTTTCACAAAGGAAATCTCCTTCTAAAATCCAGAGAACCTTTCTTTGATTAGAAGGCATTCTGCTGAAAAGCTAAACCTGTTGACAAAGTGTGATTTGTTAAAAGGGATAATTCAGAAAAGCTACATGAGGACAGCCTCATTTCCCCTTAATGTAGAAAAATGCTAGACATGTGAATAGTTGAACAGAATAATATACTCTTCTTACCAAACAACAAGCCGAAGGGGGGAGAAGTCTAGAGTCCCCAAAGGATGGTATTTCAGAAAGCACAGCAGTACTACGATCACACATTTCTCATTTGACATTTAACAACAACTTACAAACACAGCAACCTGAAATTCCCTTCCTTCAAGCAGGGCAGTGTGTTCTCCTCACTATAACCATTAACATTTTGTGTCTGGATAATCCAAATGGTGTACCAAGAAAAGGATGGATTTTCTCATCCAATAACAGCAAACAGCCTCTTTTCATGCACCATCTTGGCCAGAAGTCCACTTTCTCATCCAAATTAAGCACGTGTGTGTGTGTGTGTGTGTGTGTCTGCAGTGGTGACTACTATGTAGGTCTGGGCAATATCTGGTTTTCAACGTTGTGATGTATCACCAGCTAAACATCACGATATAGTGATATATCACGATGTCTGAAAATAAGGAGGAAGGAGGACTTTGATGAGTGCATGAAACTATTTCTGGTGGATTTTTCATGATACAGGCAAGGTTTACTTTCGACTAGTCACCTGTCTTACCATGTGTTTGCAAATTATATATAGTGACACATCCTTTAAACCAAACAAAAAGGTGGGCTGTCTTTACTTTTAAATGAGAGGCATCTAGTAGGAAGAATAACAGGCTGTTGAGTAAAATTTTCAGTTATTAATTTATCACCAGCTACAAAGACTGACCAAGTGGAACCATCGTGGGAAGCTGTGCAAACTTCACAAAGAACATGCTATTGTCTGCCTCAGGCCCATTGTATGTTGTCAAGGTGAACCCACGGCGCAATATCATTGTTATGACATTCCTGTTTGCCAGAGGCCTTCCTGTAAATGGTCAGGCAGCAACAGTATCAATATATCACTCTAAAGTCGCACCACCTTTCAACAGATGTGGAAAAAGTAAGCGAAGAACAGATGCTGTTTTTTAAGCTGTTTGATAAAGATGTCTAAGTATTCATCCAATATTTCAAGCCATAATTGTTCTTAAAGCAAGTCACTTTTTTTTAAAAAAGGCAGGTGTATAAGCAGCAGGATACTAGTCTCATAATGATGGATTTGAAAAGCCAGGTGCTGTTGATGGTATAAAAACAATAGCACCATTTGACGTCTAACAGTTTCAGCAAAAGGATAAAAACTGACCAAGGATGGGGGATGTTTTTCAGAGTCTTCTGCCTAGTCAAGTAGGTGTTTCTGCTGCCAGTAGAACACTCCAATTCAAAGAAAAAGATTGCTCAATAACGGATATTTATTTGTACTTCCTGAAGGATTTTTAAAAAGAAATGTTTTTATTCAATTAATTTATTTAAAAGGGTTATAATCTACCCTGCAACTGGTAGGATCTCAGGGCTGGCCATGACAAATAATACAGACAGATAAAACAAATACAATTTAATACTAAAATCCTTTAAATATATATATTACAATCCTTCAATCTGGACATCCTATTACATTAACGCCAGCCAAAAGAGAAAAAGCATTCGGTTGGCACTGAAAAAGCTACAGAGCAGGAGCCAGCATAAGTTTGTTAGGCCTTGATAAGGGTTTTGCCTTGATGGCGATGCCTGTTGTGATTCTACCTCAACATCCCAGAACTCCGTGTGTAGCTCAGGTGTGGAACTGCTCTACTTTTTAACACGATGGGATCAACTTACTGTGAGACACACCTGTGTTCTATCTCCTGATACAAGCATTTCACAGAAAATGGAAAGTATTAAATTCATGAAGTTATAGCCAAAGGTGAAAAACATGAGTTACCTAGACCTAACACAAAAAAGAGAGCAAAAACAGCCATCTCACACATATCAGCTTTTTTCTTTTCTATTTTGGACTAAGATTAGTCGCGTCCCCCCCCACCAACTGCCCTAATCCCTATATCACATGCTCCTATAAGAATACCGGTCTTGCAGCATTTCATGGTGCTAGGTTGCCTTGCATTCCAATTAAATACTCTGTACTTATGAGAATTGTCTGGTGTTACTGAGTTTGCAACTGCTTGTCCGTAAGAGCTAAGCTTAACTTGAAAGTACTACATTTCCATTCAGTTCAGGAGACCCCTCTGGAGTTGTATGTTTAATGTTCTGTTTTTAGAAACCAACCACGACAACCTCTATTCTATGGAAGATCTGCATATGTACAGATCAGTCCCAATGGCCAGCCCCACCACTTCTGGCAATGCTGATCCCCTGATGGAGACGAGTGGGGATGGAGAGAATGCCTGAGATTAGTTCCTCCCATCCACTGTCAAAAAGATGAACACACTAACCACCTGTGTGGCTGTACACAGTGGAGGAAGTTCATGCGCAGGTCCAAGGCAACCCGAATATGCTGGTGCCTGGGAGAGAAAAATCCAAATAGCAACTCCATGATGCTGGTGAAAATACAATGCTAAACTAAGCAACTAGTTGCAGACTTCCAGTGGCGTCCCAATATCTGCTTACCATAGCAGGTCACCTACTAGAGCCCAGCCCTGTCAAGACTTTGGATGCCACAACCCAGGACACAATCTAGAAAGGATACAGGAGCATATAGATGTTCCCACAATTACAGGCTCAATAAATGTTTCATGCAGTGGCATCAGTGGGAAGGGAACACCATGCATATGTATCCTGAGTGCTTGGAAGGGATGGATGCTCAGACTGAGGCTCCTGCCCCCAGATGTAGTGGTTTTGCCCAACATCTCTAGCTTTTGGGATTCAATCTTTGGTCATGTTTCTAAAATAGCTAACCAGATCATCCCAAAAGCAGCCCCTTTAGCTCTTCACTCTATTTTCACCGGCCCCAAACTCAGCCATAAATATCTTATTAATTGTTCCTCTTGGTTGCAGCCGGATCAACAACAGCCAGAGGCCGGAAACGTCCTCTGAGTTTATTTTAATGCAAGTTGGTATAAGTGTGTTTGACTCTTGCTCTCATGGAAAGATCCAGCGGGTGATACGGGTGGAAAGCAAGGGACCAAACTGCATCTAATCAGTTTGACATGGTTTGGTTTCCGTTCCTAACTTTCATAACTTCTTGAGAGTTCATGACCTCCAGAGACCCACACTGGGTTTCGGAGGGGCTTTATCAGATAGCTGTTTTGCCTATTCTTTATCTGATTTAAATGCTTATCACTTCTTTCCAATCGTGCACTGTAACAGTGAAACATGAGATTGCTTTTTTGTTGTTGTTCTTTCTGGGCTGCAATTTGCAAAATGAAACCATTATTTTTAAAAAGCATGCATAGAGTTCTGCCCATCTAGGTACATATGGCGCTTGTCCACATGTAGAGGCCCCCTGACTGGTGATGCTCCTGCTCACATACACATCTTTTCCAAAGCATGCACATCTGTAAGTGTGCAGGCTGCATCCACAGTGACACCAAATGCATGGCTGATGGCGCCACTGTGACGGTGATCACCACTGCAGTGACTCACACACCAAATGATGGATTGTGCCTCTCAAAGGCTGTGCCTCCCACTAGCTATGCTCACTTCATGCTGATGTACTTGCTGGCTACTCGTGGCTCCAGCCCCCTGTTCATTTTATTTGCCCATCTTCTACATTTTCAACCACATATTCATTTTCTCAACACAGCTATAAAACTGTAACACAAAGGGCTCTCCATCATCCCTAGAATCCTCACAGGTAAAAATATGTTAGAATGTTTGTTTTGATCATTTAAATTGGTCCTGACTCCTTTTTCCCTCATCTGTCACAGAGGTGCTTGCCCTCTGCATGAATTTCATTCTCAAATAACATCCTTGATCATCATGGGCTGCATCGGGGAAGGGCCTTGGCTCAGTGCTTGACCATCTCCTCTGCATGCAAAAGCTCCCAAATTCAATGCCCACACCAACACCCCACAACAATACTGACCTAAATGGGTCAGTGGTGTCTCTGAACAGGGCAGCTTCCCCCGTTCCAACAACAATTCTTTAAACCGAACAGTATTTTACAACTGTTCTATTTGCACCTTGCATGTGGATTTTATTTGGCAGGTGTTTGGGAGTAAATGCATACCAGCACCTGCTTTGAAAAAGTATTTATTTATTTGTTTGTTTGTTTGTTTGTTTGTTTGAGGCCTACAAACTGGGCTAAGCAGCAAAGCCGCTGACTGGATTGGTCATTAGCAGAAATGCTAATTCCGTTGTTAATCCCTTAACATAAATCTACACAACTTTCCCCCATTTGTGAAGGCACACAAATACCTTGGTATCTTTTTTTAGCGCTGTCAGTTTCTGGCACTACGCTTCATCCTCATTTCTTTTTAGAATGTTTCTGTGTCAAAATCCAACACGTCATCTTTCCACAAAATCTCTCACGGCAGGATTCTGTGCAGAGCTGCTGCTAGATGCTGAAGCTAAGGGGCAATTCTTAATACCTGGGCAGCTTAGGGATACACCACAAGTTGCACCACAGCGAAGGGAATGCGCCGGAGCAGACATGAAGCCATGGCATGATAGCCCACTGCCGGCGGTGGAGCAAGCCAATCAGGCGCCTGGGGCAGCGCGCGTGCCCTGCACCCAGGGGTGGGGCCATCAGCCCATGGGGCACGGCAAGCTGGGGCAGGACGTTCCGCGGTGCCTCTGAGAAGTCTGCCTGCCTTCTCCCACTCAGCCGCCCTACATCTGAGGGGCAGGCGGTGGGTGGACCATTTGGAGCAGCACGGAGCCTGCAGGCGCCCAAGCCACCGCGTCACACCCAGGAGAGACGCATGGCTCAGGTGTGCTGCAGGCCCTGCGGTGAGTGCCGCCTGGTATTTTGTCACCCCCCCCAGTGGTGACACCCAGGGCGGCCTGCCCCCCCTTCCTCTGCCCTCTGCACTGCAATCCAAAGGGCCACAAACTGCATTCAGCATTCCTATTAAGGAATATTCTTCAGCTAGGTTCTCCCAGCACAACCCGCCTCACAGGACTGTTCTAAAATGAAATAACCCTGCTCTGAGCCCACGCATGCCTTATTTGCCACAAGGAAACGGCAATCTTGTACAAAAACCCCTCGAACAAAGAGCCCTACTGGATCAAGCCTATCTGGTTCAGCATTCTGTTTCCACGTTGGCCAGCCACTGGGAAGCCCTCAAGCAGGAGAGGAGAGCCATAGTTCTCTCCAGCTTCTTTTCTCTAGCAACTGGAATTTAGTGGCACACAAACTCTGAGGCTGGAGTCAATACATAGCCGCCCTGACCAGCAGTTCTTGGTAGTTCCTTATTCTTCGTCAATTTGTTGAATCCCCTTTGAAAGCCTTCCAAACTGGAGCTAAGGTGAATGCCATAGTGTAATTCTGTATTGTTTATTTGCTTGCTGGGCTCTGACATCTAACCATGCTACTGATGGAATGGTCATATTTATTTATTTGTTTGATTGTAAGGTAAAGGTAAAGGGACCCTTGATAGTTAAGTCCAGTCGCGAATGACTCTGGGGTTGTGGCGCTCATCTCGCTTTACAGGCCAAGGGAGCCGGCGTTTGTCCACTCCACAGACAGTTTTTCTGGGTCATGTGGCCAGCATGACTAAGCCGCTTCTGGTGCAACAGAACACCAACACCAGAGCAGCACACAGAAATGCCGTTTACCTTCCCGTCAGAGTGGTACCTATTAATCTACTTGCACTTTTTGGCGTACTTTCGAACTGCTAGGTTGGCAGAAGCTGGGACCTAGCAATGGGAGCTCACCCCATCGTAGGGATTCAAACTGCTGACCTTTTGATCGGCAAGCCCAAGGCTCAGTGGTTTAGACCACAGCGCCACCAGCATCCCTTGTATGATTGTACCATCTTCTAACTCACGGTGGCACTCACAAGATCTCCCATTTAATTCTGACGACAACAACAGCATTGTGGCGTTGGTTACCCTTAAAGATAGTGACTGGCCCTCAAGGTCACTCACCGAGTTTCAGTGTCTTACTGCTAAAACTAACAAGCAGAAGCTAAAGTTCTTGAAGCGAAAACCGTAACACCCGTAATTATAGCCTCCAATATTTGTCACTTATTGCTACTCTTTGCAAAGAGTCCAATTAACTATTAAAATTGCATTACAGTCAAAAATGGCATAGTTTTGCTTGCAGTATTCGTCTGTTTCTCTCTGTCTCTTTCTCTCAAACACATCACTTGTCTTTCAAATATAGCATGGCTTATGTAGCACTGCTTTATCCATTTCATTGTTCCCAGGGCACATCTGAATATGAGGTGTGTGTTTTCATCTCAGTGCCTCTGCAGCCAGTAAACCACTTAAATCTGTAATAAAAGAATAACTGAGGTGGCTTCTGTTTTTCCTTGGTAAAAATAGAAAGAATACGTTTTTCAGAACTCAAGCATCAGGAATGCATATTTTCTCGGATTAAAAACTGTTAAAAGCTCCTGCTTGTGTGTTTCTTTGTTTATCAGAGCAAGGCTCCTGCTGTGCTCAACACATAATGATGCACTTTGCAAAGAACTTCCAAAGAAGCAGATTAAAAAGATCATCACTGCCAACCTCTTTTGAGGCTGCAAGAAAGGTCTCCTGCCCTTTCTGCCTCCCATTCCCTTCACTGCAATGCGCTCTTACAGCATGCACAACATGCTCTCTGTGTGGTCCCACCCTTCCCTAATGATGAATCGCAAAAGAGAGGGAGACTGCAGCTAATGTTGCAATCCTATACCCACTTACTTGGGAGTAAGTCCCATTCAAATTAATTGGGCTTACTTCTGAGCAGACATGCATAGGCTTGCACCATGCAGTCACTTCCAGACAACCTGTTTATTGAGCATACACCCTAATTTGTTTGCAGGGAGGCTAGACGATGTTGCATCAAGAAAACGTTATCCCCCACTTTCCAGTGCATCTTCTCATCACTTTCCATATTGCAAAAGTCTGGGGGTTTTTTAAGGGTGGGGGAGAGGATGTTTGTTGTGCAGGAGCTCCAAATCAACTTTAATTGTACAATCTGAAATACTTGATATGTGGCTAAATGCCACTCCAAAATATCAACAGCCTGGGAGCACCCCACAATGCATAGAACAGGGGGGGAAGACAACACAAGGTCCACAAACCAAGTTCAAGCCAACTTAGCTATTCCCATGATTTAACCCTATGCAGTCTGCCCTGGAGAGATGGGCCCTGGGCATCTTCCCCATGTCTTCTTGAGGTCTCTACACATCTTGCTAGCTGCTCTTCTTTTCTTTAAGAAGGGTGCAAAAGAGAAGGAGCCTGTCTCTGTGCAAAGTCTGTGCCAAGACTGCACTGGCTGACCTTCAAAGCCGTTCCAGCCGTGACCATGCTACTAAAAGTTTACTACATCTCCACGACCACCTCTGGTGTCCAGTTTAAGCCTTCTGGGACACCCACTTCAAAAATGCACACACAAGCTATCAGCCCGACTTGAACACCATCTCTAACTTTCTATGGGAAATTTAGCATTTTATGCTTGGCAGCAAGGAAACCAAGTTCAAATCCCTGGTAAGCCGTGAAACTCTGTGGGTAACTTAGGATAAGTAAATCTCCCATCATGCCTCACAAAGTGTACAGGAGGATCTATTAGATAATATTTACAAAGCAGTTTGTACACCAAAAGGATCTCTAGAAGAGTGTTCTTCAACACTCTTGGATTCCCTGGTGTTGTTGGACTACAATTCCCATCATCCTTGGGTATTGGCTAAGTTGGCTGGGGATGATGGGAGTTGTAGTCCTGAATCACCAAGGTATCCAAGATTGAAGAACACTCCTATAAAAAGCATTACTAACAATAAGGTAAGGTAGCTAATACCTAAAGCCAGCCTTCCCAAACCAGCCGCCTTTCTGATGTTTTCGGGTGACAACTGCGGTCATGTCAAGTGAGGCTGGTGGGAGTTGTAGTCAAAAATGTGGGGAAGACACCAAGTTGGTGAAGGCTAATCTAAACCAAGATGCAATAAGCAGGAAGGAAGGAAACATAAAAACAACTAAAGCTGTTCAAACATACTACAAGATCACAGTAAGTCAGAATAAAAAATAACATTCTGTAGACATAATTTTAAATGGGCATCTGCCATCTCCCACTTGTCAAGCAGTACAGAAATATTTTGCTGTATGAGCAAATGCACAGCCCTTAAAAGCCTAAGAGGATCATTTATCCAAAATGTTCAGATAATCAGTAGATCGGAAAATTGTGAGTGTTATTTATATAGGGCATGATCTGGTCAAAGTGAAACAATTCAAAGTTCCATTGATTTCAGCAGGAGAAAATTAAGTTCCTCCTTAAAGCTGCACTCCTATGGGTGGAATTCAACCAGAGTTTACTCAGAGCAGACCCAGAGAAATTAATGGTGTCAGTGGAACTACTCTTGAGTAAAACTTGGTTGAATACCACCCTATACCTACACACCAGGAAGAAAGCCTCACTAAATCCAGTGGGACTTACTGACTTACTTGTTAAGAGAAGCTGAGATTTATTAGGAGACCATTCCCTTCACAGAGCTATAATTTCCAGGGTTCCCTAGGAAGGGCGATTGTCAAACCACTCTGAGAATTGTAGCTCTATGAGAGGAATAGGAGTCTCCTAACAATGCTCATCACTCTTAACAAACTGCAGTTCCCAGGGTTCTTTGGGGAAGCCATGTCTGCTTAAAGTGGAATGGTGATGCTTTAAACGTACGGTACAGACGGGTCCTTACTCTTAGGTAAGTATGCATAACATTGCGGCCTTAAGCATACTGCTTTGTTTCAGGGAGTAGAGAGGATTGACATTGGGACTTCCGGGGTGGCCGGGACTTCCGGGGTGGCGCCATCGGCAATGGCGGACTCCCTCTGAACTGGAGGGACTAGCTCCGCGGGAAACGGGTCTTCTCCGCTACGGCGAAGCGGGGACCCTTTTAAAAATCACAGGCGGATGAAGCCTGTGACCATGGGACTCGGCGGGCACCTTTAGCGCCCCCCCAACTCGCTAAGGAACCCACTAACGGGCTCCGAAGTGAAGAAGGGGAAGCGGCGCAGTGCTGTGAGTCAACTGCTATTTCCGTGGAGCAAAGCTGCATAGCCGTTGCCGGAGAGCGCTGCCTTTTTCCTGGGACAATTTGGACTCTAAAATAAGCACCCGTGAGTACTTAGACTTTGAACAACTGGACACTAAATGGGGACTTGTGAGCAGAAAGGAATTGGATCTTAAAAATCTATTTCAATTTGGTACGGAACGGGAAGGTCTAAACAGGAAGTCAGCCTTCCGTTCTTTTGTAGACAGAATAAAGCAAAGACAACGTAAACTAGAGCTCAGAAAATCGCCTTTAAAGGATTGGATTTCATCATTTAAAATTGTGGAACCCCCCTTCGACAGCAGGAGAAGAAGGGGGATTTTTTTCGGACTCTTTAAAGTGAGTTTAAAGTAAAGCAACTTTCCTCCGTCCTGATCCTGGAGCGGGGTGTCAGGACTGACGTTTGAAGTTCATTGACCAGAGACAAACGTTTTTGACAGATAGCTAAAAGAAGAGAAACATAGTGATTCCACTGTTTCCCTTCGCACTTTAAAGGAATAAATATTGACAAAGTATCTCAAAAAGGGAAACTTTGTTGCAAGAACAAATAGAAGTTTTCCCCCTAGAGGGAGACTGTGAAACTGTAACCAACTCCAGGGAGCCGGCAGCTGTTATGGATTACAATCGTGGGAATAGGCATTCGACCTTGCAGGACAATGTATTCAGAAGCTTTGTTGTGTGCTTTCTATAAAACAAATGCCCTACTGGAACAGTTACATGAGAAGGTGAATTTGATTGCGACTTCGACTAGAAATTTTGAACAGGCAGTGGGAAATTTTGAACAGACAGTGGGAAAATATGTGGAGCCCACCCAGGAATTAAATCAGGAGTGTGTCCTGACAGAACAGGCCCAACAGGAATATGAGTTTTCGGATTTGACAAATGAACTTGGAAAAAGCCAGATTTGGAAAGAAAAAGTTTGGTTTGGCTTGGAAATGGGGGGCTGGTGGGATGTTTGGACTTTTCAAATCTGGCAATGGGCCGTGAGATGTTTGGGATTGTGGGGGCTCTTAATTTTGGAGGGTCTTTGAAACATGCTTTTAAATACCACATGGAATTCAGTGCTGAATATGGAAAAGGGGCTGATCTGTCGAGAAGGGTTAAAAATATTGCCAAGCTGGAGTTACCACGAGCAGGAGACAAGGGAAAATACAGTTACAAATATGAAGAAGAGCTGCGGAAGGGACATGGAAGAGACTTGAGGGCCTCGGATATAAGGTTGCCAGGTTAATGGGCTAGATCGATGGGATAATAAGGACTGACAAAACCCGGAACCAGGAGGAAGGGACACTGGATGAAGATTGGATCTGTTTGTATTTCTTTTTTCTACCATTAGAACTGTTTTATAAAATTGATGAATGTTAGAAAAATGTTGGAATGAAATTACTCGGCTTTAGTAAAGATGTTTAAAGAATTATGAAAGAATATTATGCTTAGGAGAAGTTGGTAAGGATAAGATTTAAGTTTTAAGCTTTAAGGTTTATTTTCTTATAGAAAGATAAGATTAAAACAGTTTACGGTAATGTAATGACAGAATATTATGAAATATGGAAAGGATTTGCTGGGATAATTAATAACTAGGATACAAAGAAAGGGAGGAGGAGGAGGTCAAAGAAAGAAGGTAATGACAGTTGAGGATTCGAGAATAATGAATTTGTTTTTAAATGTTCTTAATTGTCTGTGGTGTATTTTTGTTTTTTTTTCCTGTTTTTTTTCTTATTTTTGAATTTGTATTCGTATGGTTGGAAGGGGTTTGTTTTCTTTTTCTACTTTGTTAACTATTTTTATTTTGTATTTTCTTCTGCTTTTATTTTACTTTGTAACACTTTGAAAATTTCAATAAATATCTTATAAAAAGAAAAAAGAGAGAGGATTGACATTATTTTCAAGAGAGTTTCAGCCAGATTAGTAATAACCCAAGTTGGAAAATGGTAATCCTGTTGTTTAAAATGTAATGTTTATATGCAAGTGTAATCACAGTAAGACAAAGCTGTAAAAGTGAGTCAATAAACTAGTTCTTAACTACAATGGGGCAAACCCCAGGAACCAAGTCATGAAAAGCTTCCTAGACAAAAAGGTAAAGGTAAAGGTACCCCTGCCCGTACGGGCCAGTCGTGTCCGACTCTGGGGTTGTGCCGCCCATCTCACTTAAGAGGCCGGGGGCCAGCGCTGTCCAAAGACACTTCCGGGTCACGTGGCCAGCGTGACAAGCTGCATCTGGCGAGCCAGCGCAGCACACAGAAACGCAGTTTACCTTCCCGCTAGTAAGCGGTCCCTATTTATCTACTTGCACCCGGGGGTGCTTTCGAACTGCTAGGTTGGCAGGCGCTGGGACCGAACGACGGGAACGCACCCCGCCGTGGGGATTCGAACCGCCGACCTGACGATCGGGAAGTCCTAGGCGCTGAGGTTTTACCCACAGCGCCACCCACGTCCCTTTCCTAGACAAAAGACATCTCAAATAGGGGGGGGGCATTATTTGTTCTCTGTCATTTCAGAAGACAGAATTAGAACTAACTGTTGAAAGTTGGAGGGAATCAGGTTTCAGCTAAGTGTTGGGAGAAAATTCATAAAGGTAATTCTCTTGATGCCTGAAAGTCTCAGTCAATCACTGCAGATGAGGGCCTCCCATCCATACCATTTTAACAGGAGGTCTGCTCCACACAATGTAGGAATCAGGCTTTTATTGTTGTGGCATCTCCCCAATGGAATGCCCTACCCTTGAATATTAGACAGAGTTGATCAAATGGAGCTGCTACACCCATGGGGGGACCCATTCACTTTTTCTAGTGCAGATGGGCCTGATCCAGATCAGGATAACAGCAGGGAGCAAAGGGTTAAAGCCCCCTAACACACAAGTACACCGCCCAAGGTTGGGAAACAAGCCTGGACAACCTCCTCCCGCTTTCCACTTACATTTTGAAAATCCATCCACACCATCTTTAATTCCATGAACGACATTGTGTTTCGTCAGGCTCTCAGGGTGTGCCAAAGAGCCATCACCCTAAATCTTTCTTGCATAATTCGGTTGCATAAATTATTTTGAGGCACTTTGTCAAATTGTTGCTGATCTCCTTAAATTGAAGCTATAACCACTTCGAAACACAACGAGGAGCCTGCTGATCAAAGCCTTGCTGTTTATTAGGGCTGTTAAAAGTCTTCAACCAACACACTGCTTACTTTGCTTTGATTGGATTTTTAAAACTCGCTGTCCAAAGCAAAGCTTTATGATGATGGGGTGTCTCCTCCCTTTCTCTGCCCAAATTACAAATTACTGTATTTATCACTGAAAGCACCACCAAGGTGGGAAAAAATGGGACGTTGGCTCCAATTCTACCAGCCTTTTTTATTTTATGTCTTTATTGAGCTTTTCTTGGGTAGCAATAGAATATACTGAGACTCTGTTTTCAAGTCATAGTATCATTCAAAGAAGTCAGTCATATTCAGAGGCATTACTGTATAGGTAATATAGGGTTGTGGGAGAAGAGAGAGGGGTGGAAAGGGGGAGATGGTAACATTTCATTCTTTAGCACAGTATATGAGCATAAGCTTATGTGTCAGCGTCACATAGACAGGTATTTTATTTTTGCTGGCGGTGTTCTGAAAACTAATTTCACACTGAGTTCACTGGAACAGACTTTGATTTACAACATTGTAAGGGCCCCTTTCTACATTGCAGGCATGTCATAAAGCTTTTATCTACAACTAACCCAGCATGTTGTCCCAATATGATGGAAAGTTATGGGTTGGGAACAAGTTTGATCTATGGTTTCTTTAACCACAGACCTAACTGCGTCTACTGATCTATGTGATGACTCTCTCCATTACTTTACTCAACATACAATTATTTAGGAAAAATGAGGCTTAGGTGATGAAAAAGACCCCTGCCTGACACCTGGAAGAATCAATATCTGTCGGACTGCTGGTGATGCAACAGCATAATAATAATAATAATAATAATAATTTATTATTTATACTCCACCCATCTGGCTGGGTTTCCCCAGCCACTCTGGGTGGCTCCCAACAGCATCCTCCACTGCACCTGAGTGGGGCTTAGGGGATCCCACTAGTTTTTGGCAAGGGGCATGACAGGCTTTGTGTCACACACACTGCTCTAATCTCTTAACAGAGGGGAATGACCAGAGGGCTTGGGAGGAATGGCCAGAGGGTCTACCATTCCTCTCCCTTCTGCCCCTCAGTATCTGCCACCTGATGGGATTGCTTGACTCTGCCTAAGGGTAGGACTGGGATGCAACATGAGGTCTAAAGCATGACTCTGCTCCTGCTACTGTATGGAAGTGAGTAAGTGCACGAACAAGGCTGATACATTATGCTTATTACGTTCACGCGCATGGCGTATTCCTGCACCCTTTGAGAGACCAAAAATCAAGCACGGCACAGCTGTAATCTCTCTCCTTGGTACGGGAGCTGCCAACAGTGCCATCCATTATTAGGTCTTGTAATTGTCTTGCTGAGAGAGCCGCTGTACGATGGCTGGTAACTGATCTCTCACCATTGTGCCCCACCTGTTACTGCCTCTCGCCTTATTCTCCTGCAAATAAGAGCCTATTATCCATCACCTGCCACTGACCTTCTCTTCCTTTCTTGACTGCTCTGGCCAGGAGGAGCACACTGGGTCCTTGCCTGCCACTGCTTGTTACTCACTCGACTTACACAGCTATTGTTGTGGCTCAAAGGGCACAGCTTCAGCATGGGCCAGAGCCAAGATGGAACAAACAAACAACCCTCCCCTGTAGCAGCAACACCAGAAATCAGCCTGGTGTGGACATGTACAAGCATAAACCACGACATCTTCCCAATTATATGCTCCTGCGTTACAGTTAGGCATGTACTCCTCCCAACCAACTACATAATGCTTCCAAAGTCAACTGTTCCCACTCGCCTTTCTCCCCTCCACCTCTCCCCCCCCCTTTCTTCCTAATGTAACCCTAATGTCTCAACAAATAAAACTGACCTATGGAAAATGTAACTGGAAAAAAGAGAGATTGTGCATACCTTTGTAAACCAAGAAAACTTTAATAAAAATATTATTTTTAAAAAGTCAACTATTCTGGACTCAGGACCAACTTTTGACCCAAAGGTGCATTTGGGGACCCATTTCTTAATCTTTTGCCCTATGGTTGCATGGTGGCAGCGTTCCTCTTGCGACCCACTTTGGACCAGGCTGTGACCCACTAGTAGGTCCAGACCCACCAGCTGACAAGCGGTGAATCAGATCACCTCCAGATCCCGAACTGCAACTCCCGCTGGCCCCAACCGGCACTGCTAATGCTTGGAGATAATGGGAGTTGTAGTTCAGCAACCGCTGGAAACATTTAAGGTTAAACCACCTCTGGATTAGGGAATCAGAACGTGGCTGGCAAATGCTGCCTCTTACTCGGAAACTCTGCCACTTCAGAGGCAGCAAGGGCACTTTGGTACGCTGAATTTGTGGGTGGAAGCCTTGCCAGTCTCCCTCACCACCACATGAATACTTTTTATCAAAGTGGACCTCTGGCAAAAAACAGACCATTGTGCCTGAGAGCTGTAGGATGGAGTCAAAGTCAGGGAGCCACTCCCAGCAAGCCTAACTTCTTTCCTGGCCCATTTGGAGGATCAATCCAGAGCAGTCACTTCCCACACAGTTCACTCTGCTTCTGCTTCTCTCTCTCTCCCCCTGGTGCGCCTTCCCCTTACCTGACCCGGTTGTCGTGGAACTTGCTCTGCTGTGGCTGGTTCAAGTAAATGGTGCGGGCTGCTGCCTCCTCCTGGTCCGCAGAGGACGTGGCCCCGGACATCTCATCATCTGCCTTCTTGTAGCCCGAAGAGGAGCAAATGGGTCCTGCCGGCAGCAGGCAGCAGCAGCAGCCAAGCAAGAGAAGAGAAGAGAGGGTGGGGGAAAGGGGTGGGTGGGGAAAGGAATCAGTTAGCAGAAGGAAAGATACAGAAGGAGAGAGGCGCGGCGGACGAGGAGGCGGCGGCACGCAGCAGCGCCAGCAGCAGCTAGCATCACGCCGCGCGCATCTCTAGCGAGCCGCCTCGGTGGCAGCTTGCCTTCTCCTCCTCCTCCTCCTCCTCGAGCAGCCTTTGCAAAGTGGCCCTGGAGAAGCAGGATCACAGCAACAGCAGCCTGTATGCCTCCCTGCCTCCCTGTTGCTTTCCAGCTCTGTCCCCAGACGCGCGCGTGCATGTGCGCGCAAAGCAGCCGAAACCTCCCCGCGACACAAACACACGCGCGCGCATACACACACACAAACGCCCCGCACCCAGAAGCGCGGCTGGCTGCTGGAAAGACGGAGGGAGGGAGGCGCCGCGCTCGCAGGCGGCGAAGAATAAACAAGAATCAAAGTCACGGCAACCGAAGGAGTCGCGAGTCCACCCACTTATTGATCGGCGGCGGCTGCAGTCTCGAGCTCTCGGGCAGCAGAAGTAGAAAAGCGTCGCTTAGTTGTTGTTTTTTCCGGGCGCCTGGTTTGTATGGTGTGGAGCTTTACAAGCGACGCGGGAGAGTGGGGTGCACGTGGTGGGTTTGTTACCACCCGGTTTAGGGCGGAACTAGATCGTGTGGCAGATCCACCCGTGTCCTCAGAGGGAAAGAGGTGGAAGCGCGCGCCCTCCCCCCAAGAAACCGGAAAGGAGTAACAAACATTTGGGAAGGGACAGCAGAGCAAAGCGCACGAGTGGCGCGATTAAAAAAAAAAATGTTGCCATTATTATGTTGGCCTCCAGGAGCCTCTTTCCTAATGTTCAGCTCCAACGATGAATCATCCAGTGGGAAACGGGTCCCATAAGGAGGACTCCGGGGTAACTTGGGATATATGGCTAGAAGACGCCTCCGAAGCATCTTCCCGCCACCTGGTGCCCTCCAGCAGTTTTGGAAAACTCCGACCATCCCTCAACTGGCCATGTTTGCTGGGGCTGATGGGAGTTGTAGTCCAAAGCATCAGGAGTGCCTGAGAAGCTTCACCGAATATACAGAGCATCCCACAGAGGCCAAAACTGTCAAGTCTGTATACCAGGATTGGGGTATACACCATATTCTCCTGGGAATAATGGGAGATATATTTTGGGGTCAGAGGCAGTGGGGAGGGGGAAGAGCCATAAATAGATGGGGAACTCCATTTTCTCTCTTTCTGTCACCCCTTTCTCCCACTTTTCCTGCTACCAATTTTTTTTTCTTCACACCCTTTTCTCTGTCACCCTATGTGTCTATCTCCCCGGTTTTTGACTCCTTGACACCCACACGATTTTGGCCAAGACTTTCAGATCGCCCGCTCCTGTCATAGGCAGGTATAAGCTGAAATGGATAAAACACGAGGCATGAAGAGAATTAGAAAGACTAAAACCCCTATGCATGCTTACCCAGGAAAAAGGCCCATCAAACTCAATGGCACTTAGTTCTGGGCAGATATGAACAGGCACGAAAATATACTGTCCTTTTGAAACCTCAAGCCTCACTTACAATGCAGGAGCTGTTCAGATAGATTTAAAAAACAAAACAAATGTGTCTCTGTGCAGAGCTGTTTATGAAAAGTGCCCTGATCCTCAGTGACATTAGTATGGAGGAGAAAAACAAGAGTGTTTACCTTCACTCTATTTCAGGGCTTGTAAACAAAATGTAATGGAGAGAAAACTCCTTAATTTCAAGTTGAGTCAAACTTGTCAAGAGAATCTTGCTTGTTGCTAAAGGGGAAAGTCACAAAAGGAAAGTCACATGTTTATTGGTTACTGAAACTCGCCCCCCCCCCCCCCCCAATATCAACTACCAAACCTATTATATATTTGAAAGTTACCATTTATAAGGAGACGGTCTTGTTTCATTGAAAGAGGCACTGTGTTTTAAGGGCACTATGAAGAAGAAATCCAACCTGTTTAAACTACTTCATCTGGCCACAAATTTCTCTTGTCCTTCCCTGCCCAAAATTTCTCCATTTCTGCTAGGTTATATGTTGCATTGTGATTCAGCTGGAGAAGAGCTATTGCAAGATATATTGAATGGAATCACCCAAATGTTGAGACCAGTTTCAGAGGCCCTGCTCTAGTTCAGCCTATCATCTGAATTAAGAGGAGTGGCAGGGCCTTTACAGCTGTAGCACTCCATTTATGGATTTCAGTAGACAGAAAGATTCACCTAGCACTGCCTTTCTTTTCAGCACCACCTTGAAAACTTACTTTTATTTGCCAGGCCTTTTATTTTTCCATTGGATCTTTTTAACTGCCTGCTCAATTTTGCTTTTTTTTATTTTGGTGTATCTTTGGAGATCTGCAGCTGAAGAGTCCCTAATAATCATTTTCTGAAAACCAAATAAACATTGCCCTAGTGCAGAGAGCCACTGAAATGCTGCCACAATGGAGTAATATTTAATTGCAGGGGTATTTCCTGTGTTAACTTAGTTTTGAGAAAAGGAGGAAAACACAAACAATCCTACAGCTTGGGGGCAAATTTCACTCAGAATTCTAGTCCCCCATCAATGGGCCAGGAATATAGATATATTTAAAAATTACAAATACAGCTGTCCCAGTTACTTTTGTGATTTCCCTGGCTTCAAGCTTATTGCTTGCATTATGCTGCTGGTTCGAACGGCAACATTTGTCCCTTTGTGAACACCTCAGCAAAATAGGGTTACAAAAAGCAGCATTATAAGCCCAGCATACACACAGACTTTAACACAGGACTATTTGCTAATTAGGGGGACACGAGTGGCTGTACACCAGCTCCCTCGGCCAATAAAGTGAGATGAGCGCTGCAACCCCAGAGTCGGCCACGACTGGACCTAATGGTCAGGGGTCCCTTTACCTTTATTTGCTAATTACAGTGGAGGAAGCATTTGGGCAGATGACTTAATATCTCCTGCATGCAAAAAGGAATCTACTTGCAATCCTTTGTCAAAGAAGCACCTATTCAAACAAAGCAAAGAGCAAAGACAAGGGAACAAACTGCATGTGGGAATGACAATGCACACTGAACACTGGTGCTCACAGATGGGACACAATGGCCAATGCTCTGGTGTCATGCCTCAGCCTGCTGCATCAGCTACCACAACAGAAGTCACCCAAGACATTGTTGCTAAGGTGTGCAGGTTCCCATTGCCTCCCCAGAGGGATATCTTGACCTTCAACTCAATTGCCAATGTAGTGCAGGTCTTTTTTCATCTGAGGTCCACATTCCCTTCTCAGCAACATTATGAGGACCACATGCCAGTGACGGGAGGAGACAGAGGCAAAAGCAGGTAGAGCAACAAATATACCATCAGTCAGGTTGTGTATCCACAACAGACCCAGAGGAGGAATGACTGCAGGGAGGAGCAGAGAAAAGAAACGCCATCTGCAGCAGCACAACTGGATGTCTTCCTCTGCCCCAGCTGCAGCAAAACATGTCTCTCCCACATCGGTCTCTACAGCCACAACAGGCGCTGTAACTCCCCAACAGTTCGACTTTGCCCCTGAAGGCGCACTCCTCCATAATCTCCCAAAGACAGACAGATGCCCGGCAACCAATCTGTCCAGTAGACTAGTTTCTGCTCATGTATCTCTCTATCCAAGCAAGCAAGTGGCATTTTCAGAGTTCATTTTCAGAAATACATTCCAGCCAGGCAAAAACACAAGTGCAAAGTGGGGCCAGTGAGGGGTTGTTGCCTAGGGTGTGTTTTGAGGCACACAAGCAGGCCAAGTTAGTTAATTTCAGGTCAGCTGGCATTGCTAGGGGAACCTTAACCCCAGCTGATGAAGACAAAAGCTATGCCCTTCAAAACATTTACAAAAAGAAGTAACATCCCTAAGAGAAGGTATAGATAAGACCGCTGCCACTTTGAGTTGATTGATAGCTGCTGAAATTGCAATGTTTTGCCACAAAATGAGCCTGTAATCATTCCTGGCCTGCAGAGGTAGCAACCACCACTTAAGGCAATTCAGTTGGCACAAGCAATAAAGCAATCATAAGCAGGAAGCAGCATGAAACGTATTTAGAAATCCGGAAGGGAAATGTTGTGCTTTAACTACAAAAAGTAAGTACAGTAATAATAAAAAGCAGGAAGGATAAAATTCACAATTGACGTTTTAATTCGCTTGCATTTGGATGCTCGGCTTTGTAAAAACAAAGGAAATATGCAAGGTAGTGGCTAAAGTGTTTAATGATGTTGTTATATTTAGAATGGAGAACACGAAACAATTTGTCTGCTTGAATTATTTAGACTATTCCTTGCCTAAAGGTGTCTCTTTGAGCAAGGTGCCTTGTTCACTCTCGTCCTGTGCTTGTAGCGTGGGGTGATGTGGATGGCATGGATTCATCTGTAAGAAGGGCATTGCCATGGCTTGTATGGAGGTGTGTTAGATGAGCAAAATAGTTTGGGTTGATTTGGTCAGATGCCTTTGGGTCTGTGATCTTTAAAGCAATTGTTCAGACTTATGTGGGGTGGGGGGGACGGATCAAAGCAGCAATGCTAAATAATTGTATTCTGGAAAAATATCAACACCATGGGGGGTGGGGAAAGAGGGCTGTAGCTCAGTGGTAGAGAAGAAGAAGAAGAGTTTGGATTTGATATCCCGCTTTATCACTACCTGAAGGAGTCTCAAAGTGGCTAACATTCTCCTTTCCCTTCCTCCCCCACAACAAACATTCTGTGAGGTGCGTGAGGCTGAGACACTTCAGAGAAGTGTGACTAGCCCAAGGTCACCCAGCAGATGCATGTGGAGGAGTGGGGAAGCGAACCCGGTTCACCAGATTACGAGTCTACTGCTCTTAACCACTACACCACACTGGCTCTCATGCAGAAGGTCCCAGGTTCAATCCCTGGCACTTCCAGCAAGGTCAGAGAGAAGACTCCTGTCTGGAATCCTGGAGAGCCACTGCCAGTCAGTGTAGACAATACTGAGCAAGATGGACCAATGGTCTGACTCACTAGGAGGCAGCTTCCTGTGTTCTGTGTCACCATACACTGCAATAGAAAACTAGGTACCATTAGCATTTAGCATTGGCAGATCTCAGATTATGCCATTAAGCCCTTGTGTGCATTAAGATCTTCCAGAGAGGTCCATAAAATCTAGGACAGCCTTCACTAACTTGTTCTCCTCCAGATGTTTTGGACTACACTCCCCTCAGCCCCAGCCAGCAGGAACTGGGGCTGATAGGAGCTGCAGTCCAAAACTTCAGGAGGATACCGGGTTAGTGAAGGCTCATCTGGGGCCTTCTTGGTGGTGGCTTCCCAGTTACAGATTTCTATGTCCAAAGAGAACTGCCCGTCCAATTCCTTTTCCAACTTTGGAAAATTGTTCTAGAAGACATTTTCATGGTTGTAGCTTGCCCTTGAACCTTAAAGTGAAGGGCAAGTGATAAATAAATTCATAACAACTATTATTGTTATTGTTGTTAATATTATCATTATTGCTAGAACTTAAGAGTTCTGGTGTGCAGCTATATTTTTATCATGAGCAATGCAGTTTTTAAACTTGTCTTGGAGTTTGGTGTTAATTTTGTTCATGATGTGATTTTTATCTTTACTCTTCTTTTTGGGCATTTCATTGTTACCACTTGCAGATCATTAAGGAGAAAAATCAGCAAATAAAGAAATAAACAGAGAATGATTCTAGCCAAAGAAAGTTATTTGAGAGTCGTAAAAATCTCAGTGAGAGAGTCACGGACTTGTTTAAATCGGTGGGACTCCAATATGGCTCACTTTGGCTAGATCTTGCCCATTATTTCCAGTGGATTTTAACAGCTGTGTGATGCCAGAAATTTGACAGATGCCATTTCCGCCATGACACAGATATTGTAAAGGAGAAGTCTACATCTGTCAAATTTCTACATCTGGTGTGCTATTAAAGGCACCAAGGCTGACGGAAAGGTGTCATATTCCATCATCATTATTACAGTATTATTATTGTCCTTCACCCTAATGTCCCAGGGCGGGTTACAAAAATTTAAAATGTTTGTATTTTTTTTTAAAAAAACCAGTTAATTGAAAACAAGTTAAACAAAATTACAAAGTTTAAAACAAAAATCAAATAGGCAGCAGCTCTATTAGAATACATGGTTTTTATTGCACGTCTTGGTATGCAAGGGGGATGGAGGGCCACAGGTGCTTGCTGCACTCCAACTCCCATCATCGCAGACCTGGGGATGGAGGAGTCCCACAGCATAGCGTACACCAGGGACAGGTTCCCCATCCCTGGTGTTCAAGGCACATCCTCTGCCGCAAGAATAAGTTCGACATACAGTGGTGCCTCGGGTTAAGTACTTAATTCATTCCGATGATCCGTTCTTAACCTGAAACTGTTCTTAACCTGAAGCACCACTTTAGCTAATGGGGCCTCCCGCTGCCGCCGCTGCATGATTTCTGTTCTCATCCTAAAGCAAAGTTCTTAACCTGAAGCACTATTTCTGGGTTAGCAGAGTTTTGTAACCTGAAGCGTCTGTAACCCGAGGTATCACTGTACTTGTGTGAGCATCCTCATTTCCAGCAGCTCAGAACCTAAGATCGCAAGCAGCTCATTTGCTTTCAGAACAAACCCATGAGACAGGGACTGGCCAAGCTGTTGCAGGACACCAAAGGAACTTGGTAGCTGAGAGAGGCTTTTAAACTTTTAAGTTTCCCTCGTTCAAACCGAACACACTACCCACATCTCTGCACTGACTCCACGATCCCAAGTGCCTTTGGGCCAACATTATCACCCGCCACTTAAAAGGCTCTTCCCAACTCCATATTGAACACTGAAGAAGTTTTTTTGCTGTGTGCCTCTGCACAAATGCACAGTGGCGCTGCATGCCAGCTCTGCACTTTCCTGCAGGGCTGGCTGCTGGCAGCGCTACCACTCTCCACTGACCCAGATGTCAAAAGGTTTTCAGATGCTACTGCTTCTGCTGTTATGGGAAGATGTTCTGGGTAGAACGGTGGACGGCAGTAAAGTCTGAACCAGCTGCTTAATAGGGAAGACCATGAGGATAATATTTTGGCTTCAATGAAATTATTCCTTTATTGCATTTCTACCCCACCTTTTTATCCAGGGAGCTCAAGTTGGTGCACTTGATTCTCCCGCTTCTCATTTAATCCCACAACCCTGTGGGCTAGGTTAGGCTGAGAGGCAGTGACTGGCCCAAGGTCACCCAGTGAGCTGCATGGCCAAGTAGGGATTTGTGCCCTGGTTTTGCAGGTCCTGATCCAGCTCTCTAACCACCTCAGCGAAGAAGATAAAAAGCAAAGATAGTCATAGTCCAAACTGCCAGAACAGTTTGTCCTTGCACTCATGTTAAGTCCCTTTAATGTCGTGCAAGCGGGGCTACAAGAGGGCTGGGGAACCGGCTCTGCCCCTGTGGAGCTGGCTACGTAGAGACTGTGTCACACGTTCTCCTGTCTTGTTCCCTATATAAAGATCTCAGGGATGAGACCATCACGCCACTCCTATCTGCCATCCCGGGCCGCTCTTGTGAAGCCAAATTGTTCTCACTCCTAGCCGACCAGAACAGCTCGACAACGGAGAAGGTTGCTAAATTTATCGAGAAAGCAATGAGACTGAGAGCTGCCATCTGAATGACATCAGTGTCGTCACCCGGATTTCTCGCTTAGGATCTTATCACTATTATCATTATGTTTTATTATTAGTATTTTATTATCTCTGCCAAGTTTTAAGTACTGAGATTATTAATTTATCTGCATCTGGTTATTATTATCTTTCTCCCTGTCCTGACCATTTATATTTATATTCTTTCAATTTGGCTGGTCTATTTACTTAACCGACCTGGAACAACCTACCAGAGAAAAGGCCGCCGCCCATGGGACAGAGGGTCATTGATGAATGATAATCCAGCTTTTACCTAGGGTTTTAGTAGGCCATAAGATTATACGGTAACTATATTTGTAATGTATTTTTGTCGGTGTTTGTCCTTTGATGCTATGGCCTGTTGGCTACGCAAATAAAGTCCTTGTTGTTGTTCCATCCCGAGGGCCACATTCTCTTCTTGGCAACCTTCCAGGGGCCACATGCCCATAGTGGGCGGAGCCAGAGGCCAATGTGGGCGGACCAACAAATGTGCATTGTATCTTTTGTACGGCAAACTGGTTTATTTACACTCACACGTCCTTCTCTACCTTCCATCCAGGCAAGCAAGCAGCATTATCAGAATGCCAGGATACTTTCCAGCCAGTTAAAAACCTTTGAGGAGGGTGCAAAGCAGGGCTGGTGAATGGGGTGAGGTTCCTCATCCCTGGGGTACAAAAGAAACAGCAAAGCAAGTTAAGATGTTGGAAAAGGGAAGCAGATAAATGATTTGGTTCTCCTGCAGTTCATCAGAAAGTACTTTTATTTATTTACTTTATGCCATGAACGGGCTGCATGCAGAGGAGTGGTGGGAGGCACCAGCTGGGGAACGCCCAAGGCAACCCCCAGGGGAAGGAGGCTCAGAGCCAGGGGTTGGTGGTGGGAACATTATGAGTGATCAGAGAGAGAGGACTAGGAGGAGGTGGTGTCAGAAGATGAAGAGGCAACAGGGTTTAGTGAGCAGGGAGAGTCTGTGGCAGAGAGCAGTCCAGAACCAGAGGCAGAAGAGGAGAGGGAACAGGAGACAGAGATGAGTCAGGCTGCTGAAGAATCCAGGGAGTCTCCCCCTCCTGCTGCAACCAGTCCCCATCTCTCCTGGTCTCCCAGAACATGCAGAGAAATTAAGAGGGTGAAGCAACAGCCAAAGTTGCTTAGGAAGGACCTGGGGGGGGGGCCTTAGGGCACGCTGGGGAGACAGGCATCTTCAGTCCTCACAACTGCTTTGTTTAATACCCTCAACAACCCTGTGAGGTAGGTTAATCTTCCTGTGGCGTACCATCACTCAAGAGTCAAGATCCTTAAAAGCACGCGTTGGTCAGATGCACTGTGTACTTTAGCATCCATACCTAAGCATGAGTAGCAACATGGGTTTAACACTGTGCATGCCTTGAAAAACCCTGGTGCAATCATATTTTCCATGTTATGTACATGTGTGTTTCAAGACTTATTGCAGGCAGATATTACTTCCACACTTGGGCTTGTTTGCTGCGGAAAACACTGATGTAAAACGGGTATATCTGCAGCAATTTGTTTGCTGTGTGGGGCTTTGCTAATACGATTGAGGAAAATTAAAGGCAACCTCAGAGTTTAACGTGAAGCAGATGCTTGGCAATTAGCAACCGCAATTGCAGCTGAAGGATAATAGCATTATTAGATGCATACTGCAATGCCCTCCCCGTCAGAGCTGGCAATGTAATTTTGATTTAAAGGATATGAGTAGCAGGGAATAAATGTCATGGCTCTACTGAAATCAAACACAGAGTAGCATGTCCTCACCAGAACACACAACAAACAAGCAAGATAAAAAAGAAAGTGGAGCGGATTAAAATGGCACACAAAAGAAATTAAGCAGCTGCTGGGACTGATTAAAAGAATTATGCATGCATCACTCAGCCAAAACAATAAGAAATGTACACGACAGATGCATGTAAGTGCATTCATTGGGGGTGGAGGAGAATAAACGCAAAGGGCAAGTTTGTTAAGAATGGCCAAAGTGGAAGCCTAGTTTAACCATAAATTATTTGGGCAACACCCAAATAAAAACAGAGGTTAAATACATTGAAAATAATATGTTATTCTAATAGCATAGGCTCCTTTGGGCTAGCAAATAAGTGCACAAACTTTACTAGCCCATAAAGATATTTTATACGCCTGCATACCAACATATGTGCATTTGATTTGGGGGGTTGTCTTTAATCTCGGGGGGGGGGGGAGGAATGAAGTTAAAGGCACAGCTTTTCTGGGTTGGTGAAATTAAAAGGGGGAATAAGTGTAGGGTGGCCAGAAGGAAATGAGGATGGGGTTCCTGCACCTTTAATACTTGTACGGAATAGGGAATTTCAGGAGGTGTGGCTTATCAGGTAGATGAACAAATATTGAAGCTGCAGGGCTCCCATCCTCTTCTTCACCTGGATGTTCAAAGTACCAGGGGACATATGAGTCCACCTCATCATCTGAGGCCCTTCTTCGTGTGCCTCCTTTATGACAGGTCCAGAGGGTGGCAACACAACAGTGCAAACTTCCCAGGCGATCATATCTCCTCTTTCTTTCCTTGCTTTTAATACGAGCCAGAGTTTGCTAAATCCCAGGCTGGATTTTGTTTTGACTGCCATGGAGATTAGAAGAAGAGATAGCCTCTGAGCATTGAGAAAGAACCTTTCTTAACTAAGTGAGTGAAAACAGCCTTGCGTAGCTTTCAGCTAAAATACATATATAAGCAGTTTTTAGGCTGTTTCCTCTTCAGGAACCTTCAGCTTTTGCAGGAAATTAAAACAGCTGATTTGCGTTCACATCTTTCCCTAAGCATAAGGGCAAAGAGAAATGTAAACAGAAGGAGAGATGTGGGACCTGGAGCAACAAAATGTTCCCACGCCCTAGTCTGCAACTGCAGCCTTGACTTGCTGTTCAGGTCTCTTACACTAGAGGAAGTTTCAGGAGTAAAGTAGTACCAAAATACACCTTTGTTCCCTCCCTACCACAGCCCTTTCCCTGCTGTATTGTGTAGCCATACAGAGTTGCAAGTGCTACATCTCAGTATTTTATGAAATATACATGAAAGGGTGGCAGTTCTGGATAGAAGGCACTGGGCAAATCAAAATCCTGCTTCCTTTTTCCCCCCCAATCATTTTTTTGAATGATTGAATATGCGGAATTAGATAATCTATCAGAAAGAATAAAAAATAAATCAAAGGAAGTATTTATCACAAAATGGGAAGTCTTTAAAATTTATTTGAAAAATAGTAATGACAGTTTAAAGTCTGTAGCAGCATTTCAATCACTTCAGTAGGAGTTTTAAGTTTGATGGAAAACCCATGATAGAATAAATAATATTAGTACCAAAACATGTTATGATATGGCAGTGAACAATTGATGAGAAATAGAAGAAGTAGACGAGAGGTCAGGTTTATAGAAAAAAGACCATTTTTATGTTAAAAGTATTGTGAACACTATTCAATGTGTTGTTGTTTCTTTTTTAGTTGTCAGGAGGTGATGGATATTTGTTTATTTTTGTATTTCTCTTTTTTGTGATGTATTAAAGTGAAATAATAAAAAAAAGAAATCCCCTTCCAGAATCCTTATCATAAGCTGTCTAGTGCATGGGTAGGCAAACTAAGGCCTGGGGACCAGATCCGGCCCAGTCGCCTTCTAAATCCGGCCCGTGGACAGTCCGGGAATCAGAGTGTTTTTAGATGAGTAGAATGTGTCCTTTTATTTAAAATGCATCTCTGGGCTATTTGTGGGGCATAGGAATTAATTCATTATTATTTTTCAAAATACCATCCAGCCCCCCACAAGTAGGACCGGCCCCCTGCTGAAAAAGTTTGCTGACCCCTGGTCTAGCGCATGCACAGGGCAAGCTCAAGAGAGCTGGCTGCCTACCGAAAAGGACAAGGCCGTGCCCCTCCGCACCCCCGTTCTATGTACAGAAGCAGCTGGGCTGCCAGTTCAACACTGGCAATGGGGCAGAGTCCACCACGGGTCCTCAGATGTTGTTGGACTACAACTTCCATCACTCCCAGCCAGCTTAGTCAATGTTCAGGGATGATGGACCTTGTGCTGCAGCAACATATGGAGGAGGCCTGAGGCTGGAAAAAAACAACCTCCTGTACCACATCTGAGGGATGCAGGCTATTTTAGGACCTGCACGGAGAGCTATGAGGCACACAGAGCTCTGACCTCCAACAGAGAGGAACAGCTGGTCGGGGAGGGGGGTGTTGGCTGTGGGGCTGCCACCGCCGCCACCCCTTCCCCCACATCGGCTGCGTGAGGACATCGCCTCACTCTGCCTTATGATAAGGCCTGCCCTAGACTTGAGCAACTTATCTGTCCTTCTCTTGTTCGCCTCCTCTTTCTCCTTCAACTGGCACCCAAACATTCTGTGTGTCATACTGCTTTTAGCCATGGACTTGGTGAACAGGCTAAAAAAACATAAGAAGAGCCTCCAGGATCACGCCAATAGCCCATCTAGTCCTGTTCTCGCAGAAGTCAAGCAGAAGAGGCCCGTGGGAAACCTGCAAGCACAACCTGAGCACAAGAGCCCTTTCCACTCCTGTGGTTAACAGCAGAGTATGTCTGGCTTCTGCTTTGTAAGTACAGTGGTACCTCGGGTTAAGTACTTAATTTGTTCCGGAGGTCTGTACTTAACCTGAAACTGTTCTTAACCTGAAGCACCACTTTAGCTAATGGGGCCTCCTGCTGCTGCCGCGCCGCCGGAGCACGATTTCTGTTCTCATCCTGAAGCAAAGTTCTTAACCTGAAGCACTATTTCTGGGTTAGCGGAGTCTGTAACCTGAAGCGAATGTAACCTGAAGCGTATGTAACCCGAGGTACCACTGTAAAGCCCTGCTGACTTCTGATGATGTTGTCCGGCTGAGAGAACAAGGTTGCACAAAATGTAAGTCAACAAATCAATGGAGAGGGCATTGCACAGGGTGGGGACCAACACCAAACTCCTTGTTCATTAACTCCTTGCTCATTAAAGGTAAAGGGACCCCTGACCACTAGGTCCAGTCATGGCTGACTCTGGGGTTGCGGTGCTCATCTCGCTTTATTGGCCGAGGGAGCCGGCGTACAGCTTCCGGGTCATGTGGCCAGCATGACTAACCAGAGCAACGCATGGAAATGCCGTTTACCTTCCCGCCAGAGCGGTACCTATTTATCTACTTGCACTTTGACGTGCTTTCGAACTGTTAGGTTGGCAGGAGCAGGGACCGAGCAACGGGAGTTCACCCCATCATGGGGATTCGAACCGCCGACCTTCTGATTGGCAAGTCTTTGGTTTAACCCACAGCGCCACCCGTATCCCTTCTTTGCTCATTACCTCCTTGTTAACGGTGGCATGTGGAAATTATATGCATCAACAGAAGTTAAGGCGAACACTGAATCACAGTTGGAAGAGGACACTTTACCCCGGATAAAATAATGCCGTGACTTCTGTGTTTAGGAAAATAGGAAAGCTACGTTCATTGCAGGAAACGCGTGCTTGAGAGGAAATATCCTAGTTCTAACTCACATCCATACCAGACATTTGAAGCATTCTTCTACCACTTTAACAATCATTGCTTTCCCAAAAGAATCCAGGGAACTTGCTAGGAATTGTAGCACTGTGAGGGCTTCTCCTAACCACTTCTGGCAGCATCCTTAACAACTATTCCCATGATTCTTTGGGGGAAGCCATGGCTGTTGAAGTGGTTTAAAGACTGCTTTAGATGTATGGTGTAGATGTGACCTAACCAAGGTGGGAAATGCAACGAGCCATGCTGGCTCTTCCATCTCCTCTCCCAAGATGAGGGTGAAGGAGGAGGAAGTAGGAAATGAGGTCAGCAACCATAAGAGCATTGGTCTAGCCTGACAGAAGATCAGCACGGGTTAAAGGATACTCTCTAGGAAGCTTGGAGGTTCTTCTTTCTATCTGCTCTTTCCCATGCAGATGCATCAGCCTCTGGTGCAAGCCGAGTTACATCCCAGCACCTCTAACAGCTGACACATGCCAGGCATCAGACAGCTGAAGAATCCAGAGCAGGACCTCAATGAATGCAGCGTGCAAGGAAAGTGTTCCTTAAGGTCCCAAGGCTCATAATCCGAGTCATTCAGGGTTTAAAGCCGGGACCTTAAACTGGGCTTGAAATCAAACTGGCAATCGTTTTCAACTTTCCAAATCTCTGATTTCTGTATTTAAAAAAGGAGTTAGGATGCAGATGTAAAGGCTGCACAGAGCTATCATTAATCTCGTCTTCCAGGCAGCTGAAATATATTTTTGCCAGCAAGTGAAGGCCTCATCCCTTCTGAAATATGGAACTCTGGCACTTGTCCTCAGAACAGCTTTGACATCTATGAAACACCACTTCAAAATGCAAGATTGAAGATTATCTCTACCCACACGTACTGGCCTCCCTACTCTTAAAGCTTCAAACTTCCATTCATAACTTCATTAAAAGCACAGGAAAAAGCAACCGCCGAAAGGCACATTTACCTACAGGCATGAATCTCTTCCAGCAGAGGAATATCAGAGGCATACTGTTTGGTCTGCTTTTTGCACAGCAGGATGACAAAATCAGCCGCCCTCCTCCAAAGATTTCTGTGGCTTTAGAGGGGCTCAAGGCTGATTAAAATGATCCCTGTGGACAGCTGCAGAATAGATGTTACCAACTGCTCTGTGTTTGATTTAGAGATGGGAATGGATTTTTACACACACACGTAAATGAAGCTCATTTTTGTCAGCATATATCTGCATTTCTGGATGCTTCTAGAACAGCCCATCCTTCCCAACTGAAGTCTAGAGAAGCAATGAACTCCCACACCCCAAAATTCTGCTCCAAATAAGTCTACGGCACCTTCTATTCCAAGATAATTATAACAGCCCATGTTTTGTCAGTTGGGTGTAAAAATGTCCCATCTGCAGACATGAACGTACCTCTGGCTGCAACCCTATGTACATTCATAGGAGCAGTGCATTTTTTCTGGAAAAAAAATGTTTAGGAGTACTCTCATTTTCCTACTCATATTGAAATACTGCCCCTCAATGAGGCCAAACTTAGATTCACAAAATGTTTAGGGGTATGTGTACCCCTGTGTCCGCAGACAAAAAAAGCACTGCATGGGACAAATTTCCACTGACCTCAAAGGTGCTTACATCTGAGTGCACATGCAAGAGATTGCACTGTTCACCAACTGAGATGCATTTTGAGTCCTCCTCTATTCTGGAGACACGGACAAATTTCCATTTTTCAAGTGTGTTTTTTAACAATCAAAGGTGTCTTGGATTACACATTTAACAAATTCTAGGAAGTACACTATAGCTGTGTACACACCATATGTTTACAGTACAATTAAAGCACATGACTTCCCCAAAGGAACCCTGGGAACTGTAGTTTTTTAAAAGAGCATTGGGAATTGTAGCCCTGTGAAAGGCAAACTACAGTTCCCAGTATTCTTGAAGAGGTGCTTTTAACATGTTTCAAATGTGCTTTGAACATATGGTTTGTGTACAGCCTATTACGGACTCATTGTTAAAACCGTGTTTATGGAAGACAATCTTACTCGGCTATGAGTGATCGCCAAAGAATAAGATACAGCCTAATCCAGAATGTGGCAGCTAGACTGGTGACTGGGAGCGACCGCCGAGACCACATAACACCTGTCTTGAAAGACCTACATTGGCTCCCAGTACATTTCCGAGCACAATTCAAAGTGTTGGTGCTGACCTTTAAAGCCCTAAACAGCCTCGGTCCAGTATATCTGAAGGAGCATCTCCACCCCCATCATTCTACCTGGACACTGAGGTCCAGCACCAAGGGCCTTCTGGCGGTTCCCTCACTGCGAGAAACCAAGTTACAAGGAACCAGGCAGAGGGCCTTCTCGGTAGTGGCACCCGCCCTGTGGAACGCTTTCCCACCAGATGTCAAAGAGAACAACAACTGCCAGACTTTTAGAAGACATTTGAAGGCAGCCCAGTTTAGGGAAGCTTTTAATGTTTGATGCATTACTGTATTTTAATATTTTGTTGGAAGCCGCCCAGAGTGGCTGGGGAAGCCCAGTCAGATGGGCAGGGTATAAATAAATTATTATTATTATTATTATTATTATTATTATACAACAAGGGTGATCCATGATTGATTCTCCCAAGGAAATGCAACACTTTGAAACAGATTAGAAGGGTTCCAAATTTTATTGGAGCAGCAGCCCCGGCAGAGAAGACCGTTAACTCCCTTCCCCCTGCCAATTTGTTCCCACTTAAAATCATAGATTACCACCCATAAAGCTGCTATTAGCCCAGCAGGTGAGTGGGAGAATAATAATGCAGGGATAAGATCAAATACAGTATCATGAATTTTAAATATGGAGCTATGTATGCAGCTTCAAATTCACCATTTTAGCCAGTCTGAGTTTCAGGGCCCATCCACTAATGCTACTCCCAATGAGATTGCGAGATTTAGAACTACCTGTTCCTCTCATACAGTTTCCCACTTCTGGCACCACTGTTGCCACCATCACTGTTCTCTCGATATGACCGCCCCTTTCTTGCTCTACTGCTCCCACTTTTCGAAATGGCTACCTGCCATACGCATGGTAGCATCCTTAAAGGGCAGTTTCAACGGTGCCAGCCAAATCCAGAGAGCCAAGAGCCTTGCCTGCTCTAAAACGTGAAGATACATCCCAGCATCCTTCCTCAAACGAGGAACAGCTGTAGTCCCCACTAAGCCTAAGTTCACCGCAGCACTGTTGTGTGTGCTTCCATTCAGTTATTGAGAATACTCTGTGAAGGATGTTAACATAATGCAATACATTTGTTGTTCTCATAACGGTACTGCTGCATAATGCATGAGAGCAATCCTGGCTCAAAGAAGTGGATTCTCAAAGAACATTGTTCGTCCTTGACATAGCGGCTCCCACAAGTCAAATACAATCCATCAGCTGGTCCTTTCCATGGTCTTTCTGCTCTTCCATTAAAAAGCTAGTCTGCCACAGGTCATCCCATGGTAAGTGTAACACCTATTTATGCAACGTATACAAATGCCTTAAGGAAGTTTGTCAACAATTCCATGACTGCTTGGAAACTCAAGGACCCAGTAGGCTAGAGTTGTGGTATTTCCCCCTCTCTCAGTACAAGGACCATAACAACTCATGCAACAGCAGCCCTAAACCTAATCCTGGGTTAATAGTCATGAATCACTCAGCTATTAATGGTGGAAAAAAACCCAAAGGAAGAAAATGTAAGCCCATCAAATCACTACTCATTAATCTTTGCCTAAAGCAACGTCAATAAAAACAGGGCAGGAGTTCTGATATTTGGTTTCATTCCAATTGCATTACTATTGTGACATTCCAGCGGGCCAAACAGATCAAAACTGAATAGATGGGTAACGAATTCTCATCAGCCCAGAGGAGACCTATTCGTTTTAAGCATCAATTGTAACAGTAGATTAATGCTTAAACAAACAGTTCCACCATGTGTCCATTTGAAACAAAGAACAAATGCTGATTTGAATGAATGAATGGGGCAGGGGAAGAGCACCTGAAAATTTTGTGCCAATAAGATCAAAAACAGAGACATGACCTGCAAACCTAGGACCTTCCAATGCACAGCAGAGGTCTATCATGAGAATTAGGCTCAGGGAAGAGCCTTCAATATCTTATTTGGAAAGAGGATACACAGAAGCAGGTGGGCAGTGGGTACGCAATGTGCCAGGGCCCTAGTCAGCAGGGGATGTGCACTCTTAACTTTCATATACTGTATATACTCAAAGAGGATGTCAGCCAGACATCTATAAAGAACATGAAATTTTGCAGGCATTCTGGCCTGGGCACCAACAGGTACCAGTTTTATAGTGGTGTTAGTGTTCTGGCTCGGGATCTGTCTGTCTTTCTGCAACTTAAGCATAATGTAGGTTTCTGTCAACTAAAAGTATACAACCAGGGCAGCCATACTAGCTTCACTGTGCCATCTTGTGGTGCTTGGCTTTGCTATTAGAAATTTCACAAAGGAACTGCAGTTCTGTAATTTCAGGATGTAAACCAATTACCTTTTCCAGGAAAGCTTTTTCTTATGAAAGGTAATATAGATGAGATACTCCAAAGGTCACGTTCTTTTCTTTGGTGTTAAGGCCCAAGCAACTTCAATTTAATGTCTTTGTTTCCTATCCAGAATATAGCCTAAGGGGAAACCGTCTCCAGAGAAAACATCTCAGCTTCTAAGCTGACTTGTTTTTTCCTCCTTCCACCTGCCAAACTTGTCAACAAAAGAAAGGGGGGGGGGATATAGCATCACATGAAAACAATGAAACTTACGATCCAGACACCTGCCTGCAATGGTCAAATGGTTGCAAAAAAGTTTCACATAATGCTTTGTATAGTTGTTGGAAGCTGAGTTAGGTGAAATCTAGAGACTTGGGGTTGTAGCCAATGCTAGTCTTACTCAAGATATACCCACTGAAATTCATGGACATAACTATATCTTAAAGCACAAGCAAATACATGGTAACTTCAGAATTAACCACATAGCAGGGAGGGGGAACCTATGGCCTTCCATGTATTGTTGAACTACAACTCCTATCATCCCTGACCAATAGAAATGCTGGCTGGGACTTTGAGTCTAACAGCATCTGGTGGGCTACAGATTCCATATTTTTGCCAGACAACCAGACAGTTACAGGTACTATACATTGTGACTCCTAGTCATTTGAATCCATCCTAAGAAGTCAGATGTGTGTGGACGAGTGGGTGGTGGGCAGCAGAGCTTTCTCTTTCATTGTGTTCTGGTCTGATAGAAGATCCTTCCAGAGAAGGCAGGTTAGAAGTTTCAGAACCACGGAGAGCTCCAAGTGAGCAACTTGCTCCAAAAGATGTTGCACGCAGACTGAGGCCTTTTAAGCCTCTGCCTCCAGACTATCTCTCCGTTGCTCCATCCCATTTTGGAGAACTTCAGGTTCTTAAAAGGCCAAGCCTCTGGCCTGAGGATGGGTATTTTCCTATGTTCCATAGTATCCTGCCAGATGTGTGCCTTGCACTACTGAACTGGTAAGACAGAAGGCATTTGGTTCCTCAGGCTCAGGGAAGGTTCTGTGATGCTTCTGGCTATGTCCCTATGGGCCCTGGTAGTATGAGAGGTTTTTTTTTGGGGGGGGGGTTCTTGTCTAAACAACCTGAGTCACAGTGGTCTCTTGATCACCAACAGTTGGTTCACAGCCCTGACTTGGTCCTTATTAGCTAGGGCCTCTGCAGTCTCTGACTGTATCTAGATTGCTGCTGGATTCTGGGGTTATAATACCCATTCCACACAGTGTGAACTACCATAGTACAGATTTAGCAGCAAGAAAGGGGCACAGTGTGGATGTTTTATTTTGCGCTAATAGCATGTTTTTGCCTTTCTTTCCAATATGTCTTCTAGCTGAAAGGATTGTGGAGATAGGGTAGCTAGCGGCTTATCTTGTTGGCCAAATGGGGGAGACCAGCTGGGTCTCACCAGGTTTGTAGGCCAGAGTGTTCCAATCCCTGGTCAAAATGTTTCCCCATCTGTAGACTGAGTGAATTTACTCATGCTATTTTTTCCCCAGCTGTCATAGTTCACTTCAGCTGAACTAATGCATCTTCCTTAGGCTGGCTTGCCTAAGGCCACCCACTCGCCAAAAAGACCCCACCCCAAACAAAACCCCTGTGTTCCCATCCAACAATTTCATGTTGGAGGGAGTGTGTATTATAATTGCTGTGGATCCAACCAGAGGCTCCTACTGCCAAGTGTAGACATTCTGTCATCATGAACATTTTACTTAGTCTAATTCACTGCATTTTTCATTACTTATCTCTGTTTGCTTTGTTTAATCATTTTATTACAGTAGAACTGTTTTATCAAAACTTATCCGAAACTCCCTCAACCAGTTCACACAACCTTTTCTGAGACACAAGATTTGCCAAACGTGACTTCTTCTGCCTCCTCACACCATTTATTGGAGTAAAATAGTCTTGTAAAAGCACAGGTTGTATTAAGATCCCAAACTAACACATCCTGAAAAAAATGCTTGTAATCTAGGGTTTCTCAGGATGTGCTCATCTGTGATTTTGTATTAGAGCAGGGATGAGGACCGTGTCACCCTCCAGATGTTGTTGGACTCTCTCATCACCTCTGACCAGTGGCCATGCTGGCTGGGGTTGGTGGGAGTTGGAGTCCAACAACATCTGGAAGGCCACAAGTTCCTTACCTCCACTGCACAGATTAATTCCCCATTACCTTTATTAAGTGAATACAAATGACCCATTTGCACCTTGCTAGAATAACCCTTTTATCTGATCTCCAGTTCAGATGACACCAGAACAACAACGGAAGGCTCCAGCACTGCTGTATTTTCTAAAAGGCTGCAAAACCTTGTTTTGTTGCACCTGTTGGTTTTACCTATACAGTATTCTTTCCCCCCCTTTTTTTGGTAAAGCAGTTTTTTATTTATTTTCATCTTTTAGTGCAGTTTAACATCGCTGCATTGAGATATAAATTTGTTTACATTAGAGAACATGGCATGCAACGATTACATAAAATTAAAAATAGAACAACAAAAATACTGTTGTTTTTAAAATTATATTCTATATATGTTGTTTCCTTTTTTCTCTTTTTGTACACTGTCATGATATTTTCTTTAAAAAATGGACAGTTCATAAGATTAAAATATTTGAACAATTTGTATATGCTTTTATTGCCATTTCCATTTGTATGTGTGTGATAGATTTAAGTAAAGAAATAAGTAGCTAGCCACAGTTCCCAGGGTTGCCTGTGAAGTGGGATTGACTGTTAAACCATTCTGAAAATTGCAACTCTTTGAGCGGAATGGGGCTCCTCCTAACAACTCTCAGCACCCAGAATATTCAAAATGGTATCAAAGTGCTTTAAGTGTGCAGTGCGAATGTGGCCTGTTAGTACCCACAAACTCATTGCCCACAGGTAGCTGTGGTTTCACTTAGCTTTATGTGTGAACTGGACCTGCAAGTGCTTCATCACACACCCAGTATACAGAGCAAAAATCATATTTACTATTCACCGTATGATCAGCAGCTGTCTGGTGGCACAGTAAATGCAGACTGCACAGCGAGCTGGACAGGCAAGGAGAAGCAATGCAGAATCATTTTGCGCACATTCCCAACCCTCTACAGTGGTACCTCGGGTTACAAACACTTCGGGTTACAGACTCCGCTAACTCAGAAGTAGTACCTCGGGTTAATAACTTTACCTCGGGATGAGAACAGAAATCCCGCGGCGGCAACAGGAGGCCCCATTAGCTAAAGTGGTACCTCAGGTTAAGAACAGTTTCAGGTTAAGAACAGACCTCCAGAACGAATTAAGTTCATAACCAGAGGTACCACTGTAATTTGGTCATGTAAAGTTAATATTTTACCCATAGCAGACACGAGCCATTAGCTGGTTTTAAAAAGTGAGCAGCGCAGGCAAAAGGTTATATACATTCTGTGGACCTCAAAAACTTATGATGTGTGCAAGCTCTTTAAACCTCACATCGTTCCTATTTCTGGGGTGTGGATGGCAAGAGTATAATGGCAGTTATCTCCTAGTTATATTTAACAAACTGCTGCCTTAAAAAAAAAAAAGCTTTTGTCTGCAATAATCTACAAATCTTTACAAATGCTTTGATGGTGACGAATCTTAGTTGCTGCCGCTCATTTCTGATCTTACCAAGCAAAAGCCACCCCCACCCCCACCCATTCTCTACCTCAACCACTTAACATTCCTTCCAATTTATTATTAACTCTGTTGTCAAATATGACTTTCTGTAGGAATCTCAAGTACAATGTGCTCAGAGTGAGGTAAGGTGGAATGACACAAAATATGCTTTATGCAATTATTTCCACATGCTGGCAGCCTGCTTCACTAAGAAACAAAACCCATGACCTTGTAAATGCACACAGGAAATTTGATGTAATTAAAGCAAATACTTTCCTGTGTGGTAGTTTTATTTTAAGAAGTGTGCACATACCAATTTGTACTGATTCCAGCAAGAAGGGGCTATTTGGTTCATCAGTTCCAGTTAAGGGTTCTAAATTACCCTGCCTAAGGCTGGTACACACTACGTCTTTTGAAGCAATTCAAAGCACATTCTTCTCCTCAAATAATTCCCATTTCCCTATTTATATTAATATATCTATTATTTATTTTGCTTATTTATTTATGAATTGTTTTGTGGTCAGAAGCTATCAAAGTGGTGTAGAACAAGATAAAGAGAGTTAAAATATTAAAAAATAAAAAACAGGCTCTAAAAAAACAATAAAAACACACTCAACCAACAATAAAATCATTCCTAGATATGTGCAATTAATATTCCATAAAATGATTGGATTGCACTTCAGGAAAAGACTTCTTAAAGAAAACATCTTCAATAGCTGCCTAAAATCAAGATACCAGTTGCCCATTTATCAACACAAAACAACCCCACAATGTGCCTTAGGATGGTGTGTTTTGGGGGGCCTTTTACAGTTGGCACCATAAAAATAATAACAACATAATTAGTTACACATCCTTCCCTGTAAGGTCAAAGGATGGGTTACATCTAAAGATAGTACCATACAATAACCCAAATATAAAGAACTTCACTCCCAAAATACCACATAATACATGCACTTCAACAAAACAGATGGTATATAAGGGGGCACTAACAAGAATAGTTCAAACTTTCCAAGGCCAATGAGAAAGAACCGCCTCTTCAATGACCACCTAAAACTTAAAAGAAACAGTGCCTGGTGCACCTTCATCTGGAAGAAGTTCCACAGTTTGGGGGCCATTACAGAGAAGGCTCTGTCACCAACCATTAGGCTTTACACCTCTTTCACTGTCACCATTCTTTGTACAGCCAACAAAGCAACCTTTCCTGTGACTGTTAATTGGTTAAGATTCATTCCTGCATTTCTCATCTCTTTCTTTTTCCCCTAAGACTTTCTCACACTTCCATTGCCTTTTGCCCTCTCGCTTTCTCTCCCGGCAATTTGTCTTGTAATCGCTTTGTTCCCCAGGACACGATCTACCTGTTCTATTTTAAACCTGCCTTTGCTACCTATAATTATCTCTCACATTCAGATCTTGGTCCTTGATCCTTTAATTGGCTTCTTTTTAAAAAAAACACCCCACAACACTCTTTGATCCCTTATATCTTCCTCCATGCCAAATCATTTTCTATTTAAGGACAGCATGCGCACAATCTTTTAATGTTATATTTACCATTTGATCAGTTTTCCTCCCAACTGCAGTTGGATTCCCTTGTTTAGTTACAGACTAGAAAACTGCCCGGTGAGTCATCAACCGCGAACCTGATGCTCTCACTTTGGGTTATTTAAACCAGAGCTTTCTGAACTGTGTGTCGCGACACATCAGTGTGTCGGCTGCAGTGTGTAGGTGTGTCGCACGAACGCTCTGCACGCTCCTCCCAGGGTTGGAAAGGGGTTTGTTTAACCTCTGGTTTGCTAGTAAAACTGAATTACTGTGTCGCAAAATGATGCATGTCTAAAAAGTGTGTCACCAACATGGAAAGTTTGGAAAGCTCCGATTTAAACGATTCTTCCACCCTTGCATAGGACTTTCTCCTAGACTGCTGCTGCTGCTTTAAAAGTTCAGTGTTGATGCCTGGGACCTGGAAAAACTGTATTTATTCCAGCCTTGTTCAGTGAGGGCCCTTCCCCTTCTTCATCTCAGTTGCATTCTTGTTTCTCCAACTAATCCAGTTCTATTTGGGGGCACAGAACTCAGCCAGAGAAGGGACTCATGGCTTAAGACTCACAATCTTCTTAATGTAGTCCTTCAGCAGTTAACTTCTTAGCCTTCCTTTCTTAATTTTTAACCTTTGCAAAATGACACGGGGAAAGAGGCCTCCAAGGCTGGCATTCCATGCACCGGCCAACACAGAACCCACATGCAAATGAAATAAGATGCTGCCATAATGCAGCCTTTGCCAGCCTCAAAGGTGTTTTGGACTACATCTCCCATCAGCCCCAACCAGCACCATGGCTCAGTGGTAGAGCACCTGCTTTGCATGCAGAAGGTCCCAAGTTCAATCCTAGGCATCTCCAGGTAGTCCCCTAGGAATGTTCCCTTTCTGAAACTCTGAATAACTGCTGCCAGTCAGTGTAGACAATACTGAGCTTCTTATGTATATAGGTCATTTGTTATTTTGTACATGTGTACACTTGAGCCATTGACCATTCTGGTATACAGTGGTACCTCGGGTTAAGTACTTAATTCATTCCGGAGGTCCGTACTTAACCTGAAACTGTTCTTAACCTGAAGCACCATGTTAGCTAATGGAGCCTCCTGCTGCTGCCGCGCCACTGGAACACAATTTCTGTTCTCTTCCTGAAGCAAAGTTCTTAATCTGAAGCACTATTTCTGGGTTAGCGGAGTCTGTAACCTGAAGCGTATGTAACCTGAAGCATATGTAACCTGAGGTACCACTGTATCTTGTTTTGTATTTTACTGTTTATTTAAAATTATAGTGCATTGTGTGGTTTTATTTTAGGTCATTTCTGATCTGTAATAAATTATGAGGCCGGTAAAAAAGAGCTTAATGCAGATTAAGCATGCTCAGAAGCCAAAGAACATTGAGCATTGGAAAAGAAAAGTAGGCAACTGGCTGGCTGGTAATGGCTGGTGAAGAAGATATCATGGTTTCAACAGCCCAAGAGAATTCTAAATGCTGCTGATCAGCTGGTGGAAGAGGCTAGCAGGGAGAGAAGACAAGGAGTGCAGAAGAGGAAAGGAGCAGAGTAGAAGGTTTTCTCTCTCTCTCTTTCTCCATTGTCCTGTGCTCAATTTCACTCTACCCTTTTTCCTGCTCTAGGAGAAATGACCAAAAGAGAGCAAAGGAAGAGGCACAGAGATATAAAAAGAGCAAATATAACGATCTTATTTTCTGAGTAGATCATTTCCTGGTTCACACTGAGATAATAGTTTTAACTGTCCCTGGACAAAACTGAGAGCTGAACACAGAAATCAATAAAGAAATCCTAGATTTTAATGTGGGCAGAAGTGGACAGCAGTATGTCTACCCCACAGCACCCCCAAAAATTAAAGATAGCAGCAATCAGAGGCATTATTGCTCTTACTAACTCAGTTTCTGACTAGTATAAAATCTTTTTTAAATGTAAATTCCAGGCCCTTCTATGATAAATTGAACCTGCAAAGAGTTTTCAGTTGTATCTTCTGCCACCCAAATTCTGGCAGCTTGTTAACGGCACAGAGTAGGCGTGGTAACATGTGCTGCATGCATGACAAAGCAAGCACAGACCTGATGCCATAGCCTGGACAGATACACCCACCCTACATTTTCAACAGATACATCTGTACAGCTGAATGAGTGCATAGGTTAAAAGTTGTATTGATCTGCTTTTGATCACTTAAACCATTAGCAGTGGTTACAGATGACTCTACTCAATTTGTGAGCATCACTGCAGAGAACTTCCAACATTCTGCCAAAGAATGTGGTCCTCTCCAGATGTTGTTGGACTACAACTCCCATCAATGGCATGGGATAATGGGAGTTGTAGTTCAGCAGCATCGGGAGTGGCATCATGTTGGATACCCATCTATTATAAGGTCACGGCCATCCTTCTTCTTAGGTCACTTTCCGCAATAGTTCCTTCCTCCACACATCGCATGTGCAAGGTGGCTGCCATCATGCTATGATGTCATGATCTCCCTCCTTATAGGCACATCATATGCACAGGATGGTGACAAATTCTAAGGTTCTTGCTGCTCCTAATTGCTAACAAAGCACCACCACTAAAGAGCAATGGGGTGCAAATCAGGTTGCAGGTTGGAAGCTGCATGTGACCCAATCATACGCTGCAGCTGGGCATCCAGACTGTCACTCCTGAAGTGACAACAAAAGCAGAGTTGGGCCCACAAGAAGACCAGGTACAATCAAGTGGGCAGACTCAGCTGCAACTGAGAGCAGCTTAGTCTTCTCTGTAGAGACCACTGGGTACCACTTTGCCAGGGGGCTGTTCTAACCTGGAGCCAGCCTTGGGTGTCGCCTATCTCTGCTTATGGCATGCTGCAGCCTGGATTGTAATAGCTGACCAGGAAGTGGAGGCAAATGGCCACTTTCTTGGGCAGGGGGCTGCACTGCATGGTTTCTAGGTGCCAAACGTGCAACTGCCCCAGTAAATCATGGTGGAAACGTTTCGTAAAAGGTGCTGGAACTGCAGGAAACCTGGTTTCCACCTTCTATAGAAGGGTAGGTTAAGGTTAAGAACTATCAGTATGAAGCTTTTAATAATACCGCTTGCAATCCCTCCCAAAAGCTCAGCAGGGAAAGGTCTGGGTCACAGAGCAAATGCAGACAGACTCAGAAGTTAAGTATATGCCAAACAAAAGGAAAGCAAACCTCATTCATAACAGAGGCCAGAGAGGAATGCTGCTCATATTGATGCTGAAGCAGTAACATCCAGGGAGGTCTTTTAAAATGAATATGCTGCTGCAAAACACCCAGCTCTTACATGCTGCCCTTTTCGTGATGCCTTCTGTGTACACATTGGCTCCTTCTGCTAATAAGGGCCAGGATCTCAAGGGCATGGACTGGCTGGATGCAGAGGAGAGGTGGTGGAAGGGAACCCCCGGGGGAGACAGCTCAGAGCCCAGGAATTGGTGGTGACTGATGACTGAGAAGGTGAGAGGGGGAATCAAATATCCTTGGTTTTGAATCTACCACCATACGTATCCTTGTTTCTATTATCTGTTCCCTAGAGATGATAACACTTACCGTAATGCCAGGCAAAAGACCAGCAGCCAGTGTTATGCAATTATTTGTTTGCCGCCAAGTCAATTGTTGCAGCCCAAATCTGGCCCACAGAGCCACTTTCCCCAAACCATGCCCACCAGCCTCACACCTAATGTCATATTTGGCATTAGGTATGGGGTACTTGGAAACCCTGCTGGATCAGCTACGTGACCAAATTTCCCACATGAAGTCCCATTGCACAGCTGGTGCTTGCAGAAAGCAGGCTGGGGTTCTGCTGATGGGGAGTGACTTCAAGTCTTTTTGATTTGCTACACAATAGTTATCCATGGGAACGCAATCATGCAGCCGATCCCTGCAGGAAGCATAGTAGCCTTTATGGCATCTGCGGTTAGTCAAGTCTTGCAACGGCACCAGCATTCGTTTTGATCACAGTCCATTTGCATTCCAGTCCAGATGCACTGTTAGAAACTTCCCTGAGGCGTTCTGAATAGCATTTGGGGCAGAGCATTCAAAACAAGAGGCAGCCTGGACCATAACACCATGCAGTGTTGAATTCCCCATGCATCGGCTCTTAAGAGACAAACTACCCATTTAGAATAATCATGTGGTCAAGACTCTGATGGGGCTTTGCCACACCCAGCTGCAGGTGGGATGTTGCATGTTTAAAAACTCAAGTGTACCAAAAAGACTGCTTGCAAATAGCAATACTTGGCTGCAGTCTAGTCTTCCCATTAGAGGTTTTTTTTCAACCTATACAGAGGATAGTACTTTATACACAACCCTCCACCTGCAGTCTGAGGCAGCAGGCAGGCGGGGGAATCAATGACTACCAAAAGGAAGCTAAAAACCAAGCAGGCGTTCATGAAAGTAAAAAAAGACCTTTGATATTGTTTGATCTGCGCATCACTACTGCAGAACAGTGCAGCATTATACTAAGCCACGCACACACCAGACTAAAAAGGTGGCATTGAATCTCTCCATCTAATTGGCACCAGACATTTGAGGTGATACCTTGTAAGAAGTAAGCATTATCATTTGAGCAACTCATTATCCTCAATGTGTTACCCATTTCATAGATTCATAATGTGAACACTTGAACCGATTGCATAATATACTCTTTATATAGGTGTGTCATTTCTGATTCAGAGTTGATCCACTGAAATTAAAATCGCTGTTGATTACAGAGGGCCTACTCTGAGTAAAAGTTTGTTGACTACAACCCATTGGGTGGAATCCTATGTAATGCTAAGGAGACTGTTCTGCTAGGCAAGCAGAAATGATTGAACAATCTCTCACCCCCCTGGACACTGTTCTTCAGGATCACCCAATGCTTTAGAGTGGATTTAGTGCAAGCACAAGAGGCAGAGAGAGGGGAAGCCCCATTGCACTAGCAGGAGTCCTTGCAGGGTCTTCCACTAGTGAAACTGGTATTTCAATCTGGCCCATTATATTGCAAGTATTGTATTATTACAGCTGTCTGAATCAGGTGAGAGACAGTATATGGGCATTTCGCTCTCTGTGCTGACAAATCATGACAAATCACCCAAACTCATGTCTATTCTGCTAAACATGAGAGACTAACGTGGGTTGATTCCCTACTGCTAGAAGGCAAAATCCACATGGAACATGGAGTGACAAGTCTGTTATCCCCAGGCTGTTTACAGTTTTTCATATTGATTTCCCAAGTTCAAACCGAGAGCCACATTGTTCAAGGGGAAATCACTTCCAAGCCTTCATGAAGCCATCCCAGCACACTTCCACACTCAACTGAGGCTGTGGCCCACCATTTTGACCAATTCTGAAAATCACATCATGGGTTCAGTTCAAATGTAGCAATAAGTCATGGCTTGTGCCCAAATATGACTACAGGTTTAACGGGATGGGCTTATCAAATATGCCATCTAGGGCCCTTTCCTACATCACTGCCCCACTGGCACCACCTGGCAACAACAGAGACCGGTAGCACACCTTTTCAAAGTCCTACAATGTCCCCAATTTAGTGTTACTCCAAGGTAACACTTACATCAGAAATGTAAATGGTGGTTCCTGCCTGTCCATTTAAATTTCCCATAATGCCCCGAAGAGACAAAGAATGGGGGGTATTGTGTGAAATTAAATGGTGGATCCCTAATCCAGTTGCCTGCTGCTTGTTATCAGTGGCAGATAAAGGGGAATCCAGGGAAGGCCTCAGGAATGAGCCTTGCTAGAGCCCTGGGGCTCCAGAAGCTATACAGCAATGCTACGTGGTGACACAGGGCCTGTTTGTGCTAACCAAAGTTTAAAGTCGGATTTTCAAATGCATCTCACGCAGAGGTAAGCCATGGTTTGTGTGGCTTTCTTCCCAAACAATAGACACTGAGGGCCATGGTAGCCATTGATTTAGATGTAACACCCCAACCATAGTTTGCTCAAACAGCTGTTCAGCAGCCATGGTTTGTTGGAAAGAATTATCATGCTTTGCAAATCATGATTTGCTGCTATGTAGGAACTACCAAGTTGTGAATTTTCCATTGCTCACAAAAGCAACACATTTGGACAGTAGAATTTATTTCTAAAAAGGTAAAGGACCCCTGGCAGTTAAGTCCAGTCGCGAATGACTCTGGGGTTGCGGTGCTCATCTCACTTTACAGCCGAGGGAGCCGACGTTTGTCTGCAGACAGTTTTTCCAGGTCATGTGCCAGTATGACTAAGCCACTTCTGGTGAAACCAGAGCAGCGCACTGAAACGCCGTTTACATTCCCGCCGGAGCGGTACCTATTTATCTACTTGCACTTTGACATGCTTTCGAACTGCTAGGTTGGCAGGAGCTGGGACCGAGCAACGGGAGATCACCCCATCGCGGGGATTCAAACCACCGACCTTCCAATCGGCAAGCCCTAGGCTCAGTGGTTTAGACCACTGTGCTACTGAGATATAAGACTGGTGTTCCAAAAGAATGCTATGGCCCTGATTCAAGGAAAGTAAATGTCTTTAAGCTTAAATCAAAATGAAATAAACGGGATGTTAAATTAGTAGTGACTAACTTCTCCCATTGATTCATGTGTCCGATTGATTTAAATGAGACTTAAGTGCAGTGGACTTCCTCTGGATCGGCAGAAGGGGCCTTTGAGACACAAATTCTACTGCAGAGTTGGTGCTGAACTGTTGCAAAGAAGAATGCAAATGTAACTCCCCAAATGAGGCATCCATAGAGGGGAATACACATTTTCCCAACCGTGATGAGTTGTTTTGTAGCTGGGAAATGCACCCCCTACCTCCTGAATGGCACATCCATTGCTGTGTGGAGCGACAGCTGGCACAACAATGTAAAGACTTGGAAAAACAACTCATTCTGTTGTGTCAAAGAAAAAATGAAATCAGACCAATGGGGGGGGGGGGTTCATGGACACCCTGGAAGCCACACGATGCTCCTAGATTGTCACTGGAGGCCCAAGTGGCTTTTGCGGCACAGCATGCCTTTCGCCAGCCCAGGTAACTTTTCCCTTGCGCACACAAGCCCACAAAGTTAGAAGACTAGCACTATACTGGGAAGTACAGACAGCAAAAAATTCCCATTAGCTAAATAAGGATAATGGCTTTGCACCATCAGGTCGCCTAGCATTTATAGCTCAATTTTGCAAACTTTGAAAAGGGATACTGTAATTACTGCTTTGATACAACAATATTTTGACATCCCCTGGATGGAGATCACAAAGGACTGGAACAGCATTTATTTATTTGAATCAATATTAATGGTGTCAACATCTGACCTCTAGATTTTTTGCAAGCTTCAAGTGATGCTTTTTTTTTGGGGGGGGAGAAATGCACTTTGCAACCACCTAGTGTGATATTGACAACAGCTTATTTTTAGACAACTTAAAAGAGCCAGGAAGGAAAGGATGCATGTCACTGCTCTCTGTGGCTTCAACGAAAAAGAGTTGTAAGCATCTTAGAGAATAACTTAAATTTAAATCAATGTGCAGCCTCTTATTATGGTCATTTGGTGGCACTAAAGCATGGATAGGAAACCTGGGACCCTCTAGATGTTGACAGCCTCCAACTGCTACCAACCTGAGCCAGCATGGACAATGGGCAGGGCTGATGGGAGAGAGACTCCAGCAACATCTGGAGGGCACCAGCTTTGGGAAATACTGACCAGCGTGAGGGATGGAGGTGGAATTTGTTTGGTACACTTTTCACAGTGGACTCAATCAATTTGATTTTGGGACTGCAACTATCAGTCAGATTGTGCACATTCTGTGATCTGCCATGAAATTTCAGTCCCTAAAAGCATGTACACAAATAAGGATTGTGTGTAAAAAAATAAACAAACCAAAAAACAACAACCCACCTATAGAAAAGGTGTATATTGGGGGGGATGCACTTCTACTCAAATGCATATTTTATAGCATGTACAAAATGCATACAAAGGGAGGAATTCAACGGCACACTCTTCCAATTGTTCCATCAGTGCAAATATTTCAGCTTTCCCAATGGAACGATCCTACCTTTGGCCTCTGCACTCTTCTGGGGGTTGTCCAGAGCCCCCAGAACTGATTTGGGTGGGTGGGGGCGCACGAGGGGAGGAAAGGGGAGACGTCCTGGTGCACAACTGTGACGCACAAGAAAACTGGTCATAGTCCTGTGCTGCCACCCACAGCAGAGCTCAATGGAGGGAGAAGCCAGCCAACCAGCCAAGCTTCGGGGGGGGGGTACTTGCCTGGAGGCAGAGTTCATATACAAGGTCCAGTTCAGTCCAAAAGTCAGGAGTATCTAAGTTCACCTAGTCAGACAATCCGGGGGTCAAGAAAGCCGAGGGTCCAAGGTCACGAGAAGCAAGAAGCAGCAAGGTTTGATCAGGAATCACAAATGTTGTTTCCAGCAACTGACTAAGACTAGAAACCCTGCTGAAGGATGTTGGAGCCAGCTGGTTCTCATCAGGAGCAAGAAGGCTCCTGATCATCAGCAGGTGGAGTGACTTTGCCTTCTGCTTCTTCAGGTTGCTGCTCAGCAGGTGAAGCCAACTCTTGGCCCATGACACAACTGCTGCTTCCAGCTAGCGCACCTACTTAGTTGAATCTGGCCCATAACATGTAATGGTTCATGGGGGGATTAAGGGGGGGGGAAGCATGCATGTGAGGCAAAGTGGGAGAGTAGCAATGTTGTGGAATGATGTGCATTGCCATGGCACACCACACCTACTGATGTGAATGATATTCAGTGCTGCAACCTGCCAGAACGTCAGCCAGAAAGCCTCTGTTCATAACACAGCAGGTACTGCCGTGTGAAAGGGACATCAGAAAATGGGACAGAAATGCTAGCTTACACAATACTCCCTCCACCTGAATGTACTCCTAAGCACCTCTGAAATTTTTGCAACCTAGGCAGTTGCCTAGCCTGCCTCTATTGTTGGGCCAGCTCTGGTCTGAAATCTGCTTATCTGAAACATTTCTGCTTTGAAAACTGAAACGATCAAGGAAGCCAGCAAAGATAAAAAAATTAAAAACCGCAATCACCAAAAATATAGCAATTGAAAGAGGAAGAGTCAGCAGAATTAAGCAATGTATCAGACATGGTTTGGGCCCCCACACATTCCAGGAGGCTGCCAAATGACCCTGAGGACAGACAGTGGAACCATGGAAGCGAGCGGCAGTGGCCTACGAGGAAGTGACCAGCTGCCTCAGATCCTTCACATTTTACATCACAGCATTGTCATGATTACAGGAATAAAACGGAAGTTTTGTCCCTGTTAAGCCAGGCTTCCTCAGCCTCAGCCCTCCAGATGTTTTTGGCCTGCAACTCCCATGATCCCTAGCTAGCAGGACCAGTGGTCAGGGATGATGGGAATTGTAGTCTCAAAACATCTGGCGGGCCAAGGTTGAGGAAGCCTGTGTTAAACTCATTAACTTGGGAATAAGCAGCACTGTGTTTTAGAAAAGGGTATGTTTTTAAAGTAATAATAATGAGATGATGAGCATCTGATATGTAACCATGTACATGCCTGGTTAGCCTTTCCCCAGGTATAAAATGTATTATTTTTTTAAAAGAAAATTGGCAACTGCATTGGCAATTGACGCCAGCCCCAGTAGACCCCCTCCCCATCACCTGCTGCTCTCTGGGTGGCCATCTGACAATGGGGCTGGGCTTATGGGGCCAGATTTTGATTCCAAATCCAACCTAAACTGCACCACTATATAAGCAAGGACTAAATCTCAGTGGTAGAGGGCATTCATTGTTTCAAACGCTAGGTTCAAACTTCAGTGAGAAATCCCTTTAGCAGCTGCCAGGCAGACTCAAGAATACTGGGTAGCAAAGACCAGTGGTGTGATTTCAGTAAAAGGGAGTAGTACTTTACATTAGTCCACTAGGAGTTTCATCAAAGAATTGCAAGGAACAGCTAAGGAACAAGTCAGAAACATTAAAAGGCATGTAACCCAACATAGGTTTCATGGACACAGCCAAATTCCGGAACTAGGGAGGAGAGAAATTTCTGTCATTCCCCAGAACAGATACTAAACAGTATGGGCACTGACCCGACGCAACAGCAAGTTTCAATGCAGGTACAGCAGTGTTTTTCAAATGACTTTGCAGATGCAAATAGTGAACAGATGCCCTTAGTGGACTGTGCTTCCCCGAAATATATTTCATGAGAAAACTCTCCCAAATGCATGCATTAAACGAACCCAGGCTGATTCACTGTGCTTCCTTGCGTCAACCCTAGAGATGAGCACACCTCCTAGGAACCTCATATCTTTTCTCTAATCTCCTGCCTGCAACACCTCCACTGCCAATAAATTTTGGGTGCTACCCGTAAGCTCCTGAAATGTGACCTGGGGGCAAGATGCAAGCTAGATGAGTGAAGTTCGAAAGCATAAGAGGAACAAAAGTCTGTGGCAGAACACATGCTTGATGCATATAAAATCCAAGGTATAATCCATGGGTGGTGAATCTTTTTTCAGGCTGAGGGCCACATTCGCTTTTTGGGCAACTTTATAGGGGCCACATGCCAGTAGTGGACGGGACCAGAGGCAGAAGTAGGCGGGGCAACCAATGTAAGCTCTATCTTAGTACATGATGTGGTTCCTACACACACACAACTGTCTAGTCTCCATCCAGACAAGCAAGAGGCATTATCAAGATTTCAGGGACATATTCTAGCCAGGCAAAAACATGTGGGGTGTGAAGCAGAGCCAGTTAGGGGTATGGCCTGGAGAGTGGTCCGACGGCCATATGGAGAAGGTTGGAGGGGTACATTTGGCCCCCGAGTCTGATGTTCCACACCCTTAGTATTACCCTGGCATTTCCACTTAAGTTCTAATTTCTTAAACTGTGGTGGGAGTACTGGCAAAGGGAGTCTTACCACAAGGCAAGGTGAGGTAACTCCTTCTGTTGGCATCTTTTGGATGCCATGAAAGGCAATAGAGAGGGATACGGGCTTTTATTGTCTGAAACAGACCACTTTCAGCTAACATTGGGCATGTTGGAAAATTCTTCTCCAAAGATCCCTGCAAAATGAATAGGAGCTGCACAAAAATGTTAATGGGCTCCTGCATCTCATGTCCATTTCCATTGGCCTCATACATGATAACCGCCCAAAGGATTGTGTTCTGTGTTCAGTATGTGGGTGGGAAGGCATCCGGATTTGCTGCCTCCCAACCCCAAAATGCACCAAAGCAACCTAGGGCCAGCCCTACAGCTAGGCAGAGTGAGGTGGCTGCTTCAGGCTGCAGTTGCTGGGGGAACCGGGAGCTGCAGCATAGCATGGCAGGACAGAGATGTCCAGCACCACCCAAGCCTAAGATGGAGAACCTGTAGTCCAGGGTGGAGAAAGCCCGGGAAAAGGATAAACACACACACATGCACACTGCCATGGCTTAGATAAAAATCAGAGCTGCTCTAAAGTAAAATCAAAACCATCCAGGAGAAAGATGGAAAGGAAGGAAGGAGCAAGTTCTGTTAGATGAGCTTCAATATCTCTTCACCAACACGTGCAGGAGTAGAATGTTCACAGAGAGACTACTGGGAATGAGAGAGAAACTCGATTCAGCTTGCACTGAAAGGCAAACCTACCTAATTTTCACTTTCCAGAACAACATATGAACCAAAACATAACCACCCTTCAAAATCCACACTTCTCCGGATTTTGCAATTGCAGTTCTCCAACCAAGCAATGCATACTATCTATCTATCTATGAAAGTAACATTACATTGGGGAGAATTGCTTTGCAAAACTGTGCACATTAGAAAAAATTGCATACCGCTAAGACTTGCATATCAGGAGAAAATCACATTAATATGATGGTGAATCTTCATGAGACCTTTGCTGAAATAAATAAACTGCAAACTGGTACAAAAATGTGGAGAACTGAATTTGGACTTATTAGCAAGGCAGCAGTCACGGTTGCACGGGTTGTAGTCTGGATGAAGGAGCACAACGTCATCAAATGCCTGGTCATCAATTGCCTCAGACAGAGAGCAATGGTATTGTGTGCGCATATACACACAATTTAGGATACAGGCCATCATAAACACACACACACACACACACACACACACACAATAAGTTAGGCCATCTGTCCTTAGAATAGTGCTCATTGATCTATAAGTGCATATGTGACCGCTGATCTATATGTGTCATTGACTTATGTGTGCATTGATCTGTATTTGCATATATGCATTTTTGCATTTAGTGTGCAAGGTTGTGCATGTTTTAATGCAGATTATGTGTATAATTACTGGGATCAGATCAGGAGAGCAGGATAATTTAACCACCTTTCCCACTGCTGCAGGTCTGGAGGAAAATCCCTACTCTGAATCTAATGTTTACATCCGGAAGGAGATGGATCACCGGGTGCACTAGTTATATGCCCAAAACAGCGCACTGGTGGGTTTATGCTGGTTTATGCTAATCTCTCCGCCGGTCAGTGCAGGCTTTGCTATTGCTGCTGCTGGCTGACAAGTTGACAGGTTTCGTATTTTATTCAATTTGCGAACCGGCCAGAGCAGCAGGCAAGCGCAAGTCATAAAAAAAAAAGGCACAAACGAGCCGGGTGTTTTAAAACGCACGAGAGCGCACTGCAGCGAAAATCCCCGGGCCGGTTTGCAAGGGTCAATCCGGCATCGGGCCCAGCCACGAGCAGAACCCTCCCTCTCCCTGGAGGACGCTAAAAGCGAAACTGGAAACCGATCGATCCGGAGCAGATTGGCAACGACCCTTTCCCCTCCCTCTGCCGCCCATCGCACCATCTCCCTTTCCGAAGAGCAGCTCTTTTGGTTCCGTCCCCCCCCCCCCAAGAATGCCCTGGCCTGACCTCATCCAACCAGGCGGGCAGGAAGGTGAATGATGTCACGAATCCCCAACCCGGTCGCCATGAAATATGCATGGAATGAGCCTCGCGCTTTCTCTCTATCGATATAAATATGAAATGGAAAGCTCGCGCGGCGAAGAAGCGAGAGGCGGCTTGCTGCTGCGCAGTGGATGCAGCGACGGCGGCGCGGGGATAATAAAGACGCGGAGGAGGAGGAGGAGGAGTGGGGGGCTCCGGGGGCGCTTCTCCCTCCCTCCGCTTCGCACCCCCTGACCTCCCCACACACACACCCCCTTACCAGCGGCCGAGTGGATCTTGGTTTTCCTCTGCAAGGACATCTTCAGCGCCTTGTCGAGGCCGCTGGGGTTCGGCATGCTGCAGCAGCAGCCTGGCGCGCCGCGGCTCAGCAGCGCCCAGGCAGAGGCGGGAGACGAGCCCGGCGGCCGCCTAGGGCTGCGGCAGCAGTGGCAGGAGGAGGAGAGGAGGCGGCGGCGGCGGCCGAGACGACCCCGCCATCCACTCCTGGCCGCTCGCTGCCTCGCGCGCGCAGCTCTCTCCCGCGCGCACGCGGGCAGCGGCGGCGGCGCCTCCCCTGCGGCTGGCGGGCGCTTTGGCCTCGCTTCTTGAGGGAGCTGCTCAGCCCGCGCGCCGCTTTTGGCCTCGGCTCTCCGCTGCGGCTCTGCGAAGGGCGAGGAGGGAGGGGGCGAGCGGGAGTTATAGGGCAGCGCCAGCCACCTCTGCGGGGAGAGAGGGGGGAGGCCTGGCCGAATGGAAGAGGAGGACTGGGGGCGGGTGGTCCACGCGCCGACTCGCCGCAACCTCCCGTCAGCTGCAGAGCAAGGTCTCCGCTCCGGCCACCAGGGCGCACGTGCCTCATAAGCAGCCTCCCGCGCGAGGCCGGGAGTTTGGCGGGAAACGCGCCCGCTGCACGTGGGAAGCGTGGCCTTTGGGTGCGGAAGTCGTGCCCGTGCTGCGGGTAGTGGCGGCGGGGGCAGGTCGTGTCCGGCAAGAGGGACAGAGAGCTGGCGAAGAGCAGTCCTTGGCCAAACCATGTTTTGTGAATATATATACAGTGGTACCTCGGGTTACATACGCTTCAGGTTACAGACTCCGCTAACCCAGAAATAGTACCTCGGGTTAAGAACTTTGCTTCAGGATGAGAACAGAAATTGTGCAGCGACGGTGCAGCAGCAGCAGGAGGCCCCATTAGCTAAAGTGGTGCTTCAGGTTAAGAACAGTTTCAGGTTAAGAACAGACCTCCAGAACGAATTAAGTACTTAACCCGAGGTACCCGAGGTATATTATTTATTAAAGTTCTACTCCGCCCTTCATCCGAAGATCACAGAGCGGTTCGCAACAGAAATAATTCAAAAGGAGAACACAAAAGTTCTGGCCCTTAGATGCTCAAAGAGCGAATTGTCTCCAGCAGGGGTGCCAACTTGAATAAAATGTTGCTAGATAATAGATCAGAAGACGCAGCGCCCACACATTTGAATGGCAATACTACCCATCAACTTGGGTGGGGGCTCCCTCAAATATTTGGGGGGGGGCTGAAGGGTCCTCAGCCCCTAGGAGTTGGCTCCTCCTTTGCCTTTTCAAAATGTGGGGGTTTTTTGTGGAGGGGTGTTATTCGATGGTTGTTTTTATATTGATTACCGTATTTTTTGCACCATAACACTTTTTTCCTCCTAGAAAGTAAGGGGAAATGTCTGTGCGTGTTATGGAGCGAATGCCTGCGGGTGGCGGGGGGGATCTGCTGCAGTCGTGAGCAGAGGATCCATGGTTCCCCTTCCTTCCCTCCTCCGTGGTTACAAAGCATGGATCCACATGGATCCTCAGGATTTTTGCATTGGGCTACTCCAAACTCACTGTCAGATCACATGTCTGTGGCCACAGCATGAACCACAAAAATCATATATTCACTATTTCGTTTAGAATATTTTTTTTCTTGTTTTCCTCCTCTAAAAACTACATGCGTGTTATGGTCTGGTGCGTGTTATAGAGTGAAAAATACGGTATATATTCTCTGTTTTTATATTGTTGTGTGAACTGCCCTGAGACCTCCCGGTATAGGGCGGTATATAAATTCAATAAATAATAATAATCCTATGGCTGGCAAAGAGCCTAAACTAAATGCTTTCTGAGGCATTTAAAATTTTATTTATTAAATCTGTACACTGCTCTTCTTCTGAAGATCACAGGGCGGTTCACAACATAATACAAAAGGAGAACACAAAAGTTCTGGCTTCAGGATGCTCAAAAAAAATGAATTGTCTCTGGTTTCAGTCAGCAGGAGCCCATCCACTCACAGTGCCGGCACAGTTGCTGTGTTCCTCTTGATGGGTAGCTGCTGGTGGTGATTTATGGCATTTTTGTTTTATTTCTAGCTGCAGGGAAGAGCTCTAGCTCAGGGGTAGAGTGCCTGCTTGGCAGGCAGATGGGCCCAGGTTCAGTCAGCAGCATCTGCAAGAGAACTGCTGCAAAGGCGATTCCTCCTTGCAAACCATGCCCACCTGCCTCACACCTGATGCCATATGAGACATCAGATGTAGGGCAGGTGTCCACATGGAAAGAAGGGAACAACCAGGAGCTTAAATTGAGCTCCCAATTGCTTCTTTGCTGGAGCAAGGCGGTCGGAGTGACCGATATATCATTTGTGACAGGGGAGGGGAGAGGGGATGCTGGTGGGTGCATCATAAGTGGGGTTTTTCCTCTGCAGACCGGTGGGCTATCTCTCCACTTCATGTTTGTGGAAAACTAAGAAAATACTCGTGCAATGATACAAATTAGATTTATTGTTTCACCAAACAGGTTAATTACAGTGGTAGCAATTGGTCTCTACAGCCACAGCAGGCACTGTAACTCTCCAATGGCACACTCTTCCATTGTCTCTTGAGACAGACGGATGCCAACAAAATAAATAAATAAATAGTTACAATAAATAACTAATGGACTGTTCGTAAAATGAAATTGACAGCAGGAACTATACTGCTTGCTGGGACTCAAAGAACTGATTGTTAACGTAAACATTAAATAAGAAGACCACCAGTAAACAGTCTTGTCTAGACTAGGAATCTCACCAGCCAGCTGCTCTTCAATTCCCACATCGATGTATCTATAAAGGCAGTATTGATTCTTTAAAAAAGTGTAACTGTATTGGTATTCTATAAACAGTGTGATTACTTATGTCAAGTGGCAGTAAGATATCCAGAGATTCCGTAAGAACATCTTTGGGGACATTGGAGAGATTTATTTACAATATGGCTTTGGAACAAAGCCCTGATTGGTCGGTCTTCTTCTTCCATTTTTTAAACAAGGCTCTTGCATTATTTGACCCAGACTTCTAGTTTGTTCAGGTATATGATCTGTTATGCAGTCTGGAGGCAACATTTATTTGTTACTGTTTTTTACTTTTCTCCCAAAGGAGACCAGGGTTCCATGCACATAACCCAACAGACCGTCAGAATAAAACATTGAAAATAATCATGTAAAAACCCCATAAAGCAGTAAATTCATGCACATTTCAGTCAGCAGAGTTACCTTAGAGGGCTCTCACCTGTGGCTCCTAGAAGCTGTCAGCATGCAACAGCTACCACATCCCAGGAAATGGCTTCAACTGGCCAGCCAAACCAGATTAGGGTAGCCCTTGATGAGTTAGGGACTTCCCCTCCATGTGAAAACAGGCTGCAGCAAATTGAGTGGATGAGACCAACGGTGGATCCAATGGTCAAGAAGGTGGTTTCTGCATGTGCTGTAGGGGGAAACTCTACAGGTAAGGAAAACTCTGATCCTAAACTTTGGCTGCCTTGAGGGATATCTTTGGGAGAAGAAAAGACAAGGAGTAAACCCTACACAAATCCGGAGTGGAGTCACTAAAATGGTTGGATGGTGCCTTGTAAGCCTCCTTCTGACAACTCCTGCAGCCAGGCTGAGGTCGAATATATTGCTCTTGTTCTGGCTCCCTTTGGGCCAAGAGGGAGTCTTGTCTGGGCAGCTTGTGCCCTGAGGAGGTTACTTTGGTGCTGTTAACGCAGTGGTTTGGCTTCATTGTCTCTCAAGACAGATGCCAAGTAGTAATAGTAGTTTGAACCAGTGCTTGGACTCTTACATAGGGCTATTCTATGAGTTTTGAAGCTCAAAATTGTAACTCTATCTCTGTCTACAATGGTACATTTCAAAATCACTTGTGCATATGACACACTACTTAGCTGCTATATGTGGAAAAGTATAAAACTATGAGAATGTCTTTGGTAAAGATTTTAACTTGACTTTGACTATAATGAGTAGAGCAGTGGAGTGACCTTGTAATTGTCTTTGTGAGTTATCAAATGGGTTTGTTGGACTGCTTCAGCTTATACACAGTTCAAGGGAGCAAAGAAAACAGGCATTTCAGCACCATGGCTAGCTCTGCAGTGTTCAAAGCAATCAGATGTTGTGAATTATTTCTTGATCAGCACATGGATTATCATCTAGGCTTTTTCACATTTCCTCCACCCTTGTAATGGTTCAAGCAGCATATTCCACAGCAGTGCTTCTATGCTTAAGGACAACATTTTTGAATGCAACGTGGAATAACATTGCAGGACAGGTTTATCTCTCTGATTTAGGCATGACAACTGCAGCCTGCTGCAAAATGCTACGGTTTAGAAAGCTGCCACTCCATTCTACTTCACTCCTAGTTTTCCGCTGCCCTCAATAGTTAGTCAACATCCTGTGACTTTCAAGCATGCCAGGCATGTATGGTTCATAAAAGGGTAACGAAAATAATTGAGCAGATAGCTCAACTTCCCTGTGAAGAAAGGTTGCAGCATTCGGAACTTTTTATTTTAGGCAAAAGGTTAATGAGAGGCGACATGATCAAAGTTTATTGGCACTTTCACAGGTGCCACATAATACCCGTACCACATCTGTAAGAACTTTATCATTTAGGGCAGTGGCACTTTGGCATTCCCTGCCTATTGATATCAGGCGGACACCTTCACTGTATTCTTTTCAGCTCCTGTCAAGTGGTATACAAATGTTAATAAATATTAATAAATAAGTTTGCAAAATTATGCATGGCAAGGAGAAGTGGTCCTACACATCTTGTTTACACCCAAATAGAGTGGGTTATATAACTGCAGTTCACCCAATGCAAAATTCATAAAACCCAAACTGTTTAAATTTAAGGCAAATAACAACCCATTCCTAGGGCATACTCCCTGAATAAGCAAACAAAGCAAGGCATTTCAATCCACAGGCACCCATCGTAATGTCTCTCCAGTATGACAATGATGCCACTTCTGATGCATGGGATCCAGTTTGGTGTAGTGGTTAAGAGCAGTGGACCGGAATCTGGTGAACCGCATTCGCTTCCCCACTCCTCCACATGCAGCTGCTGGGTGACCTTCGGCTAATCGCACTTCTCTGAAGTCTCTCAGCCTCACTCATCTCACAGAGTGTTTGTTGTTGGGCAGGAAGGGAAAGGAGATTGTGAGCCGCTTTGAGACTCCTTAAGGGGAGTGAAAGGTGGGATATCAAGTCCAAACTCCTCCTCCTCCTCTTCTTTTCAAGTATGTTGGTTCATGTGTTTAGGATGGTGATTCTACATGTATTTATTTGAAAGAAAGTGGCTCTGAATTAAATGGTACTCCACTGCAATTCAATTTTCAAAGACCCATGTTTAGGACCATAACCTATATTGGCTCAAATCCAGTTGTGGATTAGAACAGGATTGGTAGTCTTAAATCTGCCCAAAGTTGCACCATGACCATTTGAAATTTTAGGGTCATTAAAAAATACCATCTCCCACCCACTCCATGTTGGAGGCATGTAAGGATAACAAGACTCTCGACACACAATCAATGGGGCAGAATCACTTCCTGAGCATCCAGAGTAAAGGTCGAAGAGATGAGCTATCAGTAATCTAGCTCAGAGATGGATTAGTGTCAAAAATAGTTGCAAGGAGGGACTTCCTAATGAAAGTGTCTTTGTGTTCATGATGCAGCAGACCTAACAGTACACAGATCCTCATAAATAAGGACATAGATCCCAGAGTCATAAATAACAGAAGAATAGTCCTGCTGGATCAGGCCAATGGCCCATATGGCATCCTGTTCACACAGTGGCCAACCAGATGTTCATGGGAAACCCACAAGCACAGCAGCACTCTCCCCTGTGGTTTCCAGCAACTGGTGTATAGAAGCCTATCACCTCTGACTGTGGTGGCAGAACATATTCATTAGGGTTAGTAGCTGCTGACAGCCTTTTACTCTATGGATTTGTCTATTCTCCAAGTTGCTGGCCACCACTGCCTCTTAAGAGAGAATTCCCCAGTTTAACTATGCTCTCTGTAAAGACGTACTTTCTTTTCTCTCCTGAATCTTCAGCTTCTTTGGATGTCAGTCAGTTCTAGTGTTATGCAGAGAGATGATTTTCCCCCTTTGTGCACACTATGCATCATTTTATACACTTCCATCATGTCACCTCTTAGCTGTCTTACGTGCACCAGAAAAGAGGAGGGTAAGTTCAAGTTGTTCCATGAGTGCAATGCTTTAGGGAACAATGCACAAGTTGATGCAACTCATATTTCTTCCCCCACTCCTCTGAAAGACTTCTTTACAAGATCCAAGAGACCTATCCAACATCATGGGATGTGTCTTACAGCCTTGCAATGAGGGAGGGAGAAGTTCTGTTGTGTGTTGAATGACTTCTGCAAGCACGCCGTTATTTAGCTGGATAAAACCGTGTCTCTCTACAAGTGTGTATATTTGCATGTGTTACTAAGAATTCATGTAAATTTGTAAGAAATGGAAGCACTGTTCCTTATACTGCCTACTACAACCTAGGTCCAATGAACTGGAATGGTTTGAGGGTTACAGCTAAAGAAAAAAGGCATTGCAGACTCCATTTTTAAAAGAGGACATTTTCCGTCTCATTCAGCTTTTAAGAGATACGCAAATGAGTCACACATCTGTTTTGTTCTTGCACTTTTATTATTTTGTCAGGTATTGGTATAAGCTTTAAGGTCCAAGTATACAGCTTCTCTTGCATTTTTGTAGTAAGCATACATCTTTCCCTTAACAAGTGATGGCATCTGATTCTCAGAAAACTCTCCATGGTTCAAAATTACATGTGCAGAAGAGACTGTCTTACAACAAAATGATAAAATGTACAAAAACGAAACATAAATCGTGCTTGCTGCTTGCAAGTTACTTATCCATGGCACTCTTCCACCATCAAATTAAAAAAAAGTTTTCGAAAAAAACTAACTGGAATGTGCTTAAACGTCTGTTGAGTAACCTAAACATACGGTTTCTGTATTCATTAAGCAATGTTCTGAGGTCAACGTAGAACTGGCGAACATAAATTAATAGTTCTCTAATGTAATCTCATGGCTAAATAAACATTCTGTATAAGTCAGTCCTTTGAAGCAAATTTCAGTCGACCCCCAAGAACCACATCCACTGTAAAGGTTAATGGGCAACAGTAAGCCATGTATAAAACATGCAAAAACTGCCTATAAAATTAATAAAACCAAATGGGCAGGGTATTCTATAAAAATATCCACTGCATATTTAAATCAAAACACCTACTCTATTTAAAGTACCTCCTGCCAGATGCCCAGGTTTCCAGTTACTTTTGCAACATAAAAAAGGATCGCTCATAGAGCAAATGGTTAACAAAAGATTATTTCAACAACTTCACAAAAACTGAAATCTCAATAAAGATCATACTGTTAACACAAACAATTACGTTTCTATATTACAGAAGTGCTTTATATAAGGGAATATTTTAGAAAAATATAATTGCATGAGGCCTATTCGATTGATCTTCACCCTTACACTTGCCTTTTAAGAAAAGAAGTTCACTGCCACATGTAGCGAGGTCACCTCCAATTTTAAACTTCTTTTACACACTCACTCCTCATATTCAAAGTTAGTAAAATACCACCAGGCTCCCAATGGAGTACACAAATTCAAAAATTTGAGGAATTATCCACTGCCTGCAATGTTAAGCTACTACAGGTTGTCGACAAATTGGGCAAGTGGAATTCTCAGAAAGCCAGCGATCAATACAGTGAAAATGGAACTCATGCATACAGGGCAACTGCCTTAGTTTATTTCCTGAAACATATTCATTAATGCAAACACTACAGGTCTTGCTTACTTCACCCTCTTCTGCACCAGGAAGCCCATAATTGCGAGTAGAAAGATTGTCAATTTGTTCTTTGGTTAACCCCCTCAAATGGTCACTAGTACTTTCATCTAATAAAAGGTAAGGTACAAGACGAAGGATGGGAAGCGTTCCACTTTCAACAAAACTGCTTGCATCTTGGAACTGTCTGTTACCTTGAGCTTCATTACTTTGATTGTAGTGTTGGGTCGCATTGGTTTCTCCATGCCATTCTCTGCTACCTTGTTCAGCAGGCCTGCTTCGAAGAGAAGCTTCACTGAACTCACCAATGCTGCTTAGTGTGTGCACGTTAAACAGTTCTGACTGCGTGTCTGCCGAGTGCTGACCACTCCTCTGAGCTTCGGAATCTGACTCGGTGCCCATTAAGGAGCTTAGCTCTCCAAATCCAGTCATAATTTGCCGTAGAATTGATCTAAGAGCCGCCGATGAAGATTCCCCGAGCCCAATTTCAGATATCCTACGCAGGGGTATCCGTATGGTGCTAACATACGTCCGTATGCCCGCATGTTCAGATCGTGAAACGGTCTGACGGAAACCCTCCCTATCGCTTTCGAAACTGACTGCGTTGTCTGCCGTGCCTGCTCTCGAACGAGTTCTAGTAGCAATGCTGTCTTGATCTCTATTTTCTCCAGTACGAATTCTTCTCACCTGAAGGTCTAATGTAATAATAGGATGTCTTCTAGGTGCAGTTGTGGGTCTGGTAGATTCCTCCTCTTCCAATGTTATGCCCAGTGTTGGCACTTGGTCCTCACCTTGCTCAGGAGGCGGCTGGGCTGTTTGCGCCTGGCCAGACCTTCTATGGATTTGCTGTGCATTCATACGTTGCCTTCTTTCCAAATGGGACTGAAACTGACTACTGAATGTTGATCTTAGTCTTAAAACCTCTGGCCTTTGCCTTGCATTCCTCCGAGTTCTAGCTCTCCTTCTGTGAACAGTCACTGACGAGACTCTGTGAATTCTCCTTTGCCTAATAATGTTGTGTTCATTGTCATCTAAGACGTTGTTGTGTGCTGCAAGGCCTGCTGAGCTTCTGTTTCTGAGTCTGCCAGGGAATAACTGAGTTGCTACTTCAGCATTTTGTGTCACTGAGCCACTAACGTTGCCAGCCCTTGACGAGGCAACTGCACGACCAACAGTCTCTCTCAATGTCCTGCTCCTTGTTCGGCTGGCTATGGGACTCTCTTCTATCAGAGACCTGTTCTCTACCTGCCTTCCATTGGGATCACCAAGAAGGTAGCCGTTCAATTCTTCCCCAGGAGCGTCAACACTGTTATGTTCATGATTTATATTTATTTCAAGACTAAACCGAAATTCCCCGCTACTCGGGTTTGCTCGGCTTACAGCCCTCCAAGTCTGGTTCCCACTCTGTCCACTATGGCTGGAATTTCCTGTACGGTGGAATGTGCTCAGCCACTCTAGCAGCGAGCTGTTTGTTGAATTTCCCCCAACAGTTTCTGCATCTGTAAGTAGTTTTTTTAAAAAAAAGAAAGAAGAAATTTTTCATGACTCGCTTCACTTAGACAAAGCAGCTAACTGCAATTGTCACGTGACACCTCAAATACATGCTAGCCTGAACAGTCAGTCATATGGTCATCTATCACATACAGAGCTCTCATTCTGCTTCCCTTACAAATGCTATGAAATCTAAAAGCCAGCCACCCAGTACAGAGGTCAACTATGTTTGAAGAGTTATATTCTTTGCTTCTTAAAGATGTCAATCAAAAGCCTAATCTGATGCACCAGTCTCCCCACAACTTCTCGTGTATCTAAGAGCTGTGTACAACCTCTATATCTACCCTTCATGTAAAAAAATAACTGTCTCCCATCCCGAATCTATAGTCCCCACTCAATTATTTTCTGCTTCCGCTAGCCTAGAAATTTGAGGCATACATAATTATCTTTCATAGCGTTGATGCTACAATTTAGACCCAGCAAACAAGCCACATAATTTATACCTAGCTGTTTGTGTGTGCGGGCACCTGTATACACAACTGTGCACATTTCAGTCATATTGTGTACTGTTTGGACACGTGATCTCAGTAACGTGCGAATGAGCACTTTTAGAAATTCCAAATAAGCAGAACTCTTTTAAAGTTTTATGTTAGTGGGATTTCACCTACTAGTTTCTAGGTTCAAAACCCCGAGGAGCATAACTGGATATAGTAGGTGATATTGAGGGGGGTGGGAATCACATGTGCAACTGGGTCTCAGTCTTGGAAGCAAAAATGAAAAGCTTTGAAAGAGCAAGCCATGCCTTGACAAAAATAGGGAAGTCCAATTTGCGCTGGTGGTATCTGGTACAAATAAATGTACAAGTTACAAGTGGGGAAGCCATTAAAATCGATAGGAAAACTGTGTGGAAGGTCATAGGAGAGGAGAGTAGTGTCTGGAGTTAGCAGCCCACAGCAGAGGAAGAAAGGAAATTGCTTCTCTATTCTCTCCTCACCCATCTATCTCTGTCCTCCTCATTGTTAGGGTCCAGAGTGCTCTTTCCTGCCTACCAGAACAGCCAAAAATAAGAAAGCAAGGTGAGAAAGCACCAAATACAGGAAAGGTTTTCAGGTGCAAAGAAGAATGTTGTGAGTCCAGCCTGTTTCAATTTGAATTCTTCTTCAGGGGCACTCTTAAGACCAACCAATTTTGGTTTTATTATCAGAATTATTTTGCAACCAAGTTGGGTGTAAAGGCTGAAACTGGTTGTGCCTAAAACAAGGTATACTAACTCTGCGCATTCTAGTTTCATCTAATACTGCAGGTGGAAAGTGTTTTCATATAATGACAGCAAAAGACCACAGATTACATCTTGAATAAGTAGCCAAAAATATTTGCACTACTCAGCAGAAGTATAGCACCTTTGTGCCTTTCACTTCTCAGCAATCTAGTGGAGCTTCCTTCTTTCACAGGATTAAACAACATCTTCATACAAAAAGCAGATAGCTTTACTTGCCATAAGACTGATTTCCTGCAGGTCTCTTTCCTTGTCCTTCTATTAAACACTGCCCTCACCTCTCTGCGAAGTGCACTATATGCAGCCACAGAGCACAGACTCTCTTGCCTAGAAATCCTGCTCTAGTTTTCCTTAACTCCCATGCAGCAGCTCTGCACAATGAAAATGCTATCCTTTCTCCAACTGTTTACCTTCCTTTCCTTGGACAAGGTCATTGCAATAGGGTTTGTTGGCTGCTGATTTTAACAAATACTAATTTTGCTAAGGTACCTAAAGAGCCTGCACCTGCCAGAAGTTAATCAAGAGATTACTATATTAAAATGACAGCTTACCTCCGACAGTACCTCCTTCCCAGTCTCTATTTTCTCTGTCAGAATGTGATGCCAAATGTTCCTTTGCACCTAGCAAACGCTGCTGCAGCTCATTTGCTGTTATTTCTCCTGAAACAGATAGCAATATGACCAGTTTATTTATTGGTTCAGATACTGGTTGAAGACATAGAAGCAAACAGAGCAGCTATTCCTATTTTTAACTAATAAAAGCAACATAGGAGTTAACCTGGCATGACCAGACTACGGAAGCAGAATTATAAGCATGCACTAGACACAAGGACAAGATGGTTGGACAGTGTTCTCGAAGCTACCAGCATGAGTCTGACCAAACTGCGGGAGGCAGTGGAAGACAGGAGTGCCTGGCGTGCTCTGGTCCATGGGGTCACGAAGAGTCGGACACGACTAAACGACCAAACAACAAAGACACAAGGTTCTGCATTTTGACAATGCAGTTTTGATACAGCAATCCAAAATACTGGCTGGGAGTAACATTAAAAGCCCTGCCACTTGTGCTGGCCAGAGCAGAAGGTGGCAGTGGTGGTTTTCTAAACATTTTTGCTGCTATAGTTTCAGGCTGGCACAGTAAAGAGACCCTGATTAGGCCCTTCTTTAGGAAGTGGCCTGGCTTTGGATTCAGCAGATCCATTGCTGGCCCTTCTCTGCCACTATAATGTAATGGGCCTTTACAATGGTTTTCACAGGCAGCAGTATGCACTCCACCACACTTTCAGCAATTGGGCTGGGGGGTTTGGCTGCAGTGGTGACCCCATGCACCAATAAAGCCCAGTAGTGGGACACCTCTTCCTCTAAACTCATTTAACAGTGCAGATCAGGGGTTTGGATTGCTGTGCCTAGTACTGACCAAAATGTAATGATTCTAGAATCAAGTTTAAGAAACTGAAATCTAATATTTTGTGTTTCCTCTGTTTTGCATAAACCTAGACTTCATTGAGAACTAAAAGATGAAAGAACAAGGACCAAGAACAAGGAGTTAACCTGGCATGACCAGACTACGGAAGCAGAATTATAAGCATGCACTAGACACAAGGACATTTTTAATGCACATTTTTAAAAATAATTTCTATGTTTCCAAAGCACATGAGGAACAAATTCTATCCATAATTATGTTTATCTACCCATTGCTTCATACCAAGTTTATTATACAGTTTCAAAATGGTGGATTAAAAAAAGCTGTATTCAATTTGTACTATGTTAACAGTAAATCTGTATTAAATGTAAGAATTCTATTAGATTTTAAGTACTAGAAGTCTCACCTGGAGTCCCCAGAAGGTTGTGATCTCTCATTAACCTGTAGTCTTCATCACTGAGCTCATTAATAAATTGGTAATAGGCTTCCTCTCTATTAAGGCGTTCCTGTTGCCACTGTCGCTCATCTTCACCACTGTGGCTTTGAGATGTGGTCTGCCCACCATCTTCCCCTGAGTAAGAACTAGAGCAGTCCATTCTGGGAACACCAGACTGTTGTAAAATGGAAAGAAAAATAAAGAAAGTTATCTGGGCTGTGTGTTCCAAAATTGTTGGTGTGTTTGATTCAGCTCTTATATGTGTATTCAATATCATATACCATTATTTACTGTAGTCAATTCCTGGCTGCTAGGATGGCTGAGGTTGCATTTCAATGCACATTAAGTGTGGAGTCAGTTCTACTGAATACAATGTAACTTACTTCCAAGTAGAAAAGCATAGGATCAGCTTGTAAGTTTGGGTTTAAATCTTACTCCAATGCATTTATCTTGTCAGGTTACTACTTCAAGTATCCAAGAGGTTACAGCCACTATGCAACAAGTATTTATGGTACAAATTATGCAGGAAATGGCAGGAAAGACCATTAAGTTCATCTGAGTCTCTGTCGCTAAATATAACATGCAATAGAGTAAATTTAAGCATGCTTCAAATGGAGGCCGGCCAACATACGGTTCTCCAGTGACTGACTGACCTCTTCCAAGTGCCCTTTCGTGCAGATTGGTATCATACTTTTAAGAACTGTGAAAATCCTATACTAAGCAGTGGCCATCACTTACTCTCAACTACCTAAATAACTGCCCAGAGACAGCAGTTAATTAGCATGTTAGAAGAAGAAGAAGAGTTTGGATTTGATATCCCGCCTTTCACTCCCTTTCAGGAGTCTCAAAGCGGCTAACATTCTCCTTTCCCTTCCTCCCCCACAACAAACACTCTGTGAGGTGAGTGGGGCTGAGAGACTTCAGAGAAGTGTGACTAGCCCAAGGTCACCCAGCAGCTGCATGTGGAGGAGCGGAGACGCGAACCCGGTTCCCCAGATTACGAGACTACCGCTCTTAACCACTAGACCACACTGACACCACACTAGGAGTAGAGCTGATTACAATGATAGGAGCAAAGCAATGTCCTTTATCATAGAGCATATGTTTTGAATGCAGAAGGTCCCAGATTCAATCTGCGGCATCTCCTAGGTAGGACTGGAAGTGACCCCTGTCTGAAATCCTGGAGACCTGCAATCAGTCAGTGTAGACAACACTGAAGTAGATGGGCCAATGATCTGCCTCAGCATTAAGGCAGCTTACCTTTTACTTACTTATGATGGTTAACACTCAGGCATCTAACAGCAAAAAAAAATAGTACTATGGATTTGAATGAAGAATCAACAGTAAGAGTGAAAGCAAAGTTCTCACGTTAAATATTTCCTTTTCCCTCAACCCTGCTAGAAGGTGGAAGTGATACAGATCTCTAGCAAGGTGCGATGTTGAGAATCTTATCAGATAATTCCAGTCTTCATTTTTTTCCAGTGCTCTTTGAACAGGCAGGGTGAATGTTACGCATATCCTGTATGAGAAGGTAAAAGAAATGTGTAGAACAATCTACGGTAACAAGCAAAAATCATAGGCTCGGATTTTAATAAATAACCCATCATCTTTCCAACCCCTTCACAGCTGCTTCCCTCTCATAGTGTCTATAGGTCCACTGTCTCTGAAGTCCACTGACTTTAACTGGACAGAGAAACATTCATCAATGGAACATTGTCCAGCAAGAAAGTGCAATGAAAGCATTTGTAACTCTTAAATTTCTGCAAGTCTCGCAATAGCTAAAGGCAAGGAACCCATGGGGGGGGGGGGATAAGCTGGAGGTTCATCATCCGTAAAGTACAGCATAGCTTTTGAAGGACCTTTTAAACACCTATATCCATGTACATGGGTATCCTTTTTAAACAATTCCTCATTTACTCCAACTTTGCTACCCCTTTTCTGCATAATATCCTTTATGGGTTATGCCCAGCGAGGCTGGTCCGTATGTAACCACCGTCCTTCAACCCACCATGGCAAGCCAAATTCCACAGGGTAATGGCATTTAGTCTATTGCACGAAACACGCTCCCGGCGTGGTGGATCTCGGGGCACCTTTCAGACATTTACGGCAGCATAAGTTTGAGCTGCTAAGGTGCCACAACGCTTTTGAATTAAAGCCAACTCCTCTCCCTCCCCCTCCTCCTCCCCAACACGTCTTTGCCAAGCTTCCCTGGAGCTTTGGCCGGAGGCGCTGAGCTCCTCCCTCCGCTCCGGCCACATTTAAGAGCCCTGGGCGGCTGGGGGGTGGGGCGACTCCCAGCCAGCCACTTGCTGGAAAGACGCTCCGGGGTCCGCCCCGGTTCCCGAGCAGCAACCACCGGAGCCCGTTAGGCCGGGGCCCGGGCTAGGGTATAACGGCCGGTTGCTGGGAGACCAGGGTAAGCCTAGGCAGCGGCGCCCACACAAACCCCTCTTCGCCCCCGGCAGCTATGAGGAAAGTATCCTCCGACAGATTGCTTCCCGTAATAAAAACGCGCCCCCGCCCGCCCCGCCTTTCCTCGGCAGCGGCTACCAGCAAGAAACCGACAACCCGGCCAACTGCAAGGCACCGAGGTGCACCGGCAACAGCGGGCCGCCGGCTGCTGGTGCCTCGGCTCTCAGTTCCGCCAAGAAACGCGCAGGCGCGGGATCACGCCTCTCCCCCGCCCACTCCATGCAGCGCTACAGCGCATCCCGTGGGAAACGAGCTGGCGCAGGCGGGGAAAGAGCGGCTGCCCGATCCCCGGGCGGCTTCTCCGGGGCGCAGGAAAGCTGCGTGGCCGGCAGTGCCGTCCGAGCATGTCAGGAAGAGCGATAAAAGGTTAAACTAATTGGAAATAACTTGCAGGTGACAGATTGGCTTAGAAATTTATGTAAGTTAAGTGATGTTTAACATGTACAATTTTGAATTGAAAAGATATAAGGATGTTAATGAACTAAGTTAGGTTTATAAGAATTAGGATTTGGAAAGCCGTTATAAGGATATGCATGGAAATTCAACCAAGGGGAAGCGAGGAAGTCACTTAATAAGTGTAATTTTAATAAGATTATGATTTATGTTCCTTTGTGTGCTTTATTTGTTTATAATTTTGTGAAAATTAATTTTAAAAAATTTGAAAAAAAGGGAAGAGCGATAAAAGGGGAAAGTGGGTCGGGTGAGAAAGTTCTGGGGGACAGACCATTGGGGTCTCTGTGGCCAACCAGCTGAGCCCTCTCTCTGGGCGGGGCGCAGCAGCAAGGGCAACTGAAGCATAGGCTGCTACTGGGCACGTATTCAGCGCTTCACCCAAACAGAGAGCGTCGAGTGTAAAGAAGAGGTAGTCAGTGTGTTGCCCTCCAGATGTTGCTGGACTTCCAACTCCCAACATCCCCAGCCAGTCAGGGATACTGCGGGATTTAGTCCAAATGCATCTGGAAGGCGCCCGGTTTCTCAGCACAGAGTAATCCACAGGAGTGGCTGCAGGTGTGACGGGAGTGGTTATATGCAAGTTGCACCAGCTCCAGAGAGGAGCTGTTGCCTTTTTCTCTCTCTCGGGAAGTACAGCAGACAGCATTGGGTATACACATAGAAAGCTGCCAGTCAGAATACACAGTACTGAACTAGATTGGCCAGTGGGTCTGACTGAGTATAAAGCATCTTTCTACACTCCCAAGACAAGCTCCTTAGGAAAAAAATATGCATTGGCTACCATCCCTAATAGGTAGGCCTGGAAACTTTTGAGATGAAAAAGATGAGATGTGCTGATAAATATTTGATGGTTTTTTGCCTTGTAATGGAACTCCAAAATCTGCCATGAGATGGCCTGCCTCACTGCACCCATTATACAGTGGTTTTATGCATAACCAAAGTTAAAAGAGAATTTGCAGCAAAACTGATGTAAAGGATTCACACACTTTGCTACCACAAAATGCATCTGCGGGGTTTTTTTTTGGTGTGCATTATGCTTTCCAGGTCACATACGGTCAGTCACATGTGCACATTGGTAATTTTCCATCATTCCTGATGACAGATACAAAATGAAAGCCATAGTAACCTATTTACCCCAGCAATCTGCCTATGAGCAGTATAGAATTAGAAATCTGCCTGCTAGACAATAGGAATTCATATGTGCTCATATATAGGTGTTCTATGGGAGACTATGGGGACAGTGGAGGGAAATTCACTCTTTATAGTGGATGAACATAGAAATTCACTGAAACACATTATTCACCTGTCGTTTAATCTGACGTCAATAACTGTGGGTGGTATCCAACTAACTTGTTCCATCAGTGCAAGAAAATTTGCTTGTGCAACAGAACTTTCCCTCCTCTCCTGCCCCTATGTGCCCCACAAATATGTTGTGGGGGTTTCCATAACCCTCTGGAGCAAATATGGGAATGGTGCTAGACATGTGATGGGGGGGGAGTTCTGCTGCACAAACAGAAATTCTTGTGTTGATGGAATGAGTTAGTTGGATAATGCCCCATGGATGTAGGCCTAAGGAAGCTCCTATTTCTCACTTTCTTCCAACTGATGTCAACCTCTAAACAGCAACACTATGCAGACCTATGTAATGTATAGGACCCATTGAACTCAGTGGGACTAACTTTTCAATAAACATGCAAAGAAATAGATTGTGAGACTCTTCCTGGTTCACATCTTCCTGGTCTTGGGCAGTGAATTCCAGTAATAGTCATTTTATAGAATTATGCATAGTCTCCTGCCTCACAGTTTATTTCCACAAACCAAAAAATATCTTACTTGGGCATCAAGATTTTAATTCCACAATCGTTTATTCTCTAATATAATAAATTATGTTGCTTTAGTCTAAGCAATTGTCCCCTCCACTTCACAATCTATTACTATTCTTCCATCAAACTCAGTTTGCTCTGCAACCAGCTTTCACAAAGCCGTTACTGTACCTTCTCTTCAAAGCAATCAAAACAATTCCCTCTCCCCCAAACTCATACAGTAATAGATCATGTAAAACAGTATTAGGGCATTAGAAGAGAATGCATAGTTGAAACCATTTTGGGCATACTGTTGTTTTATTCTCTCAGGTTCACATTGGATTAATTACTACTTAGTCTGCAGAAAAATAAAACTGGTTGCTCTCCCTCTTCACTTCACAAAACCACCCTTTGCTTGGAAAATTCATATAAATAGGCTAAAGAGGGCAGCAGGTTTCAAATAATGGTGAATTTGCTGCAGTGATATGTTAAATTGATACAAATTTAATCTGAGCACTGTTCCAATCTACTAAAATAATAAAGGACAATGACTCAATTGTAGGCTGTTGAAATGATATGCTTACTGAAAAGCCCTGTAACACTTTTCTAAATGCAAGAATCAATTATGAAAAGATCTATATTGAATTATTGTGTACAGTAAATTCATTTTATGGTGTGAACTGTTCTGCATGGCAGAAGTGCCATTTTGATGGGTGGGGAACAATATTCACTACAAGGTTCAAGGCCTGCTACTTAGCTACATTCAGCTGCAGACTGAGAAGCGGATCTGAAGCTCAGTGGAGCAGCATAGATTTTCATGCAAAAGATCTCACTTTCCAACCCACTTTTAGGGGAAGACTGCATTCATGCAGTCTTGCTATAACGCTTGCTTTCTCATGCAAAGTAGGTCGGCAGTGGCCTTAAACTGTCTCTGGGTGGAGCTAGGAGTCCACCATTACTATCCTGTCCACGTTTAGGAGGGATAATAAAGCTCTGCCTCCGTCAACGCCAAGGGTGGGCCTTCCAGCTGTTACGGGGGACCCAACTCCCATCAGCCTCAGGGATGAAGAGAGTTGGGTCACGGGTTCGCCACAACCGGCTCTGCGCCGCCCCAGAGCAGCCCTGGGAGGGTCAGGGCTTTGCTGCCTCCCCCCACTCCACACATTACGTCTTCCGGTTTAAAAGCAATATGCATTTCAACAACACGAAGCAACCCCGTGACATAATAACGCTATGAAATAAAGGCTTTCAGGTCAACCTTGGAAAATGTTGCTGCACCTGCTGGTGTAGTCTCATATGTGCTGCATTTAGTAGTTCTCCTTCAAGGCATCTCCCTTTTGCCGCCCGTCCGCCAACTCCAACCTTTCCTTCCTTCCTTCCTTCCAAAAACGCGTTTCCTTGGAGATGGCGCATCAATCGCGAACTCCGAGGACTTAAATTCCTATCACGCGCCAAGCCCACATCCGGTGACCCCCCTCTGACTACAACCCCCAGCATGCAACGCTGCATCCACCGCCGTCAAAACCCGGGTTCCAAGCACGATCCGAAGACTCTAATTCCCATCACGCGCCAAGCCCACATCCGGGGACCCTCTGACTACAACTCCCGACATGCCCATTTATCGCGCAGGCTATGGGGCCGTCCCACTTTGGTCTCTATTCGCTACACCTGCCCAAGCCTTTCGGCTGGTGGCCGCCGAGGCGCGGTGCATGCCGGGGGAAGGGAACTGAGGTGAGGAGACGTGCGAAGAGGGGGCGTGGCTTGAGAACCGGTTGGATTCCACGTGGTGCGCTTTCTAGTACCGAGAGAGATACCAAAGGAAAGGGGCGGAGAACGTTGGGGTGGGGGGGAGAGAGAGAGCGCGCGCGTAGGTTTTGCGACGCTCTTGTTTTGCAGCAGCGTGGTCAGGCGCGGCTGCCGTATTCCGAGGTGCGAGATACCGGCTGTGTGTTATTCTGTGTGTGTGTGGTGCGCGCGCGAGCGACTCGCCTGTTGGGTTCTTCAGGCGGCTGAGGGAAGCGGCCGCCACAGCAGCAACCGCCGCCTCCCCACACAAGGCACCGGCTCCGGCTCGCGCCTGGTCCCCGCGCACGCGGCAGCCGCCCTCCCCTTCCCTCGCCTCCTTCACCTGGATGGTCCGCGTCGCGGCGGCCGGGCCTCCTCCTCCTCCTTCTCCCTCACCCTCTCCCTCTCCTCCTCCTCCCTGGTGCCTGTGGCGGCGGCGGGCGGGGGCTCCTCACGGCCGGGTGTCGTCTGAGGAGGCGGCGGCGGGTGCGGGCGCTGAATGAAGATGGACTATGACTTCAAGGTGAAGCTGACCGGGGAGCGCGAGCGCGTGGAGGACCTCTTCGAGTACGAGGGCTGCAAGGTGGGCAGGGGCACCTACGGGCACGTCTACAAGGCCAAGCGGAAAGACGGGTGAGTGGACGGGCCAGCGGCTCGCATATACGCACAGAGAGAGACAGAGCCCAAATTCAGTGGTGCAGTGACCGTAACGCGAAAGGGAAACCCGGGAATGCCGCTGCAACGGAGCGTCAAACGGTGCAGCCCATTTAGCTTAGGGTGGACTCCGGGCGGGTGGGCAGTTTGCCATGATGGTCGCCTCAGCCCACGGAGGGGGAGGGTGTCTCTTATTCTTCCCTTTCCCCGCCCCTGTCCCTGCTTTCCGTTTCCCTCAAATGCCTTTCTTCCCTTTCTTTTCTCTCCCCCACCCCCCTCCGCGGTCTTTTCCCTCCTCCTCGGAGCCGCCCCTGAGGGCTTTCCTGTCTGCCACGCTGTCTGCCTTTGCTGAGAGCGCGCTCCGGGTGGATGGGGGGCTGCGTGAAACTCTTCCCCCTCCCCGGCGCCTTCTTGGCTTTTGTGAGGAGGAGATCCCACTTGGGCAGTTCCCTAAAAGTCTGTTCACGGCAAGCGTGTCCGCCTTGTGCTGGCGTGTGTTTAAAGAGCCTTACGACGCCCTAAGGGCTAACAGGTTCATATGCGGATTTTTTTGGACTAGAGCCCTTTTTATATATACGGTATAAAGACAATGAGGAATGCTGTAGTCCCTGGAAGCTCACGCCACAGCTACTCTGTTAGCTTGTAGGGTAGAGTAAGGGCCCTCCAAATGTTGTGAACCTTTCCAATGGTTTGGGATGGTGGGAACTGTAGTGCCCCACCATCACTAGGGTGTCACAAGACTGCTCTTTCTGTCTAGGTCCTAGGAAATATAGGAAGCTGCTTTATGCCGTATTAGACTATTTCATATGTATTGTTAGCGCTGACTGGCGACATCTCTCCAGGCTCTCTGGCAGAGAAATGCGTTTCCCATCAGCTGATGCTTTTTAAAACTGGAGATGCCATGGACCTGAGTGCAACTGCAGGAAAGGCACAGGCTCTGCCATTGAGCTCTAGTTTTTACTTGTAAGAAAGTCCCACCTTCACACCTACCCCCTGGTAACTCCTGCTGCATCTCTGTGCATACACCATGTGTTTTGTATTACTGTACTTCCCATTTCTTTTCTAATTATATTCCTCTTCTTTTTGCCTCCTTAATCCCTTCTTCCTTCCCTATCTTTTTGTCTGCCACCTAATCGCTTCTTTGTCCCTCATACTCCATTTATTTTTCAGTGTGATTGGTCCCAGCACTTCTACCTCGGTTTAATCACTTAAGAAATAGTTATCACCTAGTCCTAGAGGCTTTTTGTCTTCCCCTCCCACCACTTTAGAATTGCTTTCCCACATGCAAGTTTGCATGTGGGAAGGCATGAGGCACTGATATTCTAATAATCAGACTAGGTGAAGTCTAAAATGTGGCAAGGGGTAACTGATCCTTAAATAATCTTAGAACATAATCTGTCTCTTCCTGCTTACCTTTGTAGAGTTATGTCTGTGGCTTTCTCCTAAACAATGCCTCTTGTCTCTCATTCCACGATTAGCACATTCTTGAGTTTATACCTGGCCGTCTTAGTAACTGTGGTTTTATTACTAGTGGGGTTTTTTTAGCAGTTCTCATCTTATACCTTACAAAACATCCTATTATATTAGATACAATAAGTGACAGCCAGCATGCATCCAGCTGTAGAAATCCTCTTGTGTAATCTTTTGAAACAGAGCTCTCTCAGTTAAATAAATTGTTCTACTTATTGCAGACCCACCCGGTTTCTGTTGTTTTTTTGCCAACCTGCATTTGATTTTCATTACTTAATAGCTTGTCACCATTTTGTACTTCCTTGCTGACTGCTTCTGTGAAGGATACATACCAATCATCATAGAGGGTTTGGTGATTTTTTCTTTTGAAATACATCTTTTACCTTTTTCTTAGTAGAGCTGTGGGGAAAAGAAATTGAATTGGAGTTAGCTTCCCACACTTAACAAGAGATAACTTGTTAATTGTAACCTAAGTTGCATTACCTAGCCTAGCATTTTTGTAGCCATAAGAATCTGTAGTCTGCATTTCTTATTACTTCTGGGCATTTTATATTCTAAATGTTTATGAATTGTGGAATCTTTAACAACAGATTTATCCTGCAGCTCCAGCTTCATTTCTCTTATGCTGGTTATGGGTGATGCACTTTAATGAGCTTTCTATAGTAACAAGTGATACCTTAGTATTTCCAGGGGAAATGCAATTTGCACATGACTGTAGCATGTTGGAATCTGGGGAGGTTTTCACTATGCATAAGGATGCATGTGTGGTGGTCACTCACTATGCATAAGGATGCATGTAGTTGCTTGTGTAAAGGGGTATTTTAAGGTTCCACATGCTGATACCATGCTTCCCAAATTGGACCTGAAGCCATTTTGGTGGTTTTGAAGTAGGTAGGTATTTATGAACTTCACAACCAAAGTCTGGATGTAGGGCATGTTCATCCACTTTCTTTATTTTAAGAATACATTGCAGTGGTACCTCTGGATGCAAACGGGATCCATTCCGGAGCTCCGTTTGCATCCTGAAGTGAACGCAGCGCGGGTGGCGATACGCCACTTCTGCGCGTGATTCATTTTGATGCACATAATATGATGTAAAACCTGGAAGTAACACGCTCCATTACTCCCGGGTCGCTGCGGAGTGCAACCAGAAAATGTTCATCCTGAAGCTACTTCAACCCGAGGTATGACTGCATTAGAAAATTTTGAGGCTTGCCTATTAAACCTCCCTATTCCAAGTATGTAGGTAAGACTTCAAAATTAGTATTTGAAAGACATGACTGTTTCTTTTGTATCAAAGAATCTTTCCCTGGCAAGTTGTCAGAACTATTTAAACCTTAATTTGATTATTTATAAACCCAACTTGCTTTCTGATTATTTACACATGAGTATATGCAATGTGTAGACATTCTGTAAACGACATTCACAGGAGCATACTGACTTTGGAACGAACTTGGTTTCCCCCTCCCCCCATCTGTGATTCTCTGGGTGGCTATCTGTCATGTATGATTTAGTTGAGATTCCTGCATTGCAGGGGGCTGGACTAGTTGACCCTTAGGGTTCCTTCCAGCTCAACAGTTACGTGATTCTGTGAAAGGCAATTATGCCTTTGTATGTGCCACCATACATAAAATAACTTGCTATTCTATATTACACGTTTGTGCAAATTACTCTAATGATGTAAATCTTGATAAAATCTGACACTGACATATTCAAATACTAAAGTATTTACAGTTCTTGAGGGCAAACCTGTTGCTGCTCAGACAGCTTACCCTTTAAAGGTCAACAGTGTCATCCAATGGCGCCTGTCCATTGGTGGAAATTAATGGAAGGCATCAGTCAGCAGAAGTGGAATGGAGGCAGTTTTAGTGATCCCTACCAATCTAAGTTGAGGTCTTTCAGGGGTTCAGCATCTCCTTGAAACTCACAATGATAAGCAAAATGCTTTGAAACAATCTTCTGTTGTGATTAATGTATAAATTACACCTCAATCCTGTGTGCTACTTGGTATTTGTTTCTATGTGAATAATAAATTTTTAAGTTCAGTTCAATATTATTCTAAACTTAATAGCTTTCAGTTTGCTTTAAAAACTATAGGTAACTTGCAGCTTACATACATTTAACTTGTGTGCAATCAGCTTTATGTACTCATCAAAATAAAAATAAATCAATAAAAGGGGACAGAAAGTGGGCTGGCATCTGGGAAAAAAGACTTTGGCAATCCCACCAGCCATTGAACCCAGTGTGTTTTGACTATATGTGATTTTGGCATAACTGCCAAATAACTTAAGAGTCGCTTGTAATTTAAATGTAGCTAGTGTTCCATGTATGAATATTGAATTATGTCTTTAGGTTACTCTAGTGGTGCTCTTTTTATTTGCCAGTTTCAATGTGCAAAAAAACCCCAATATAATGAGGTTGCGTTTTTTTATATGATGTGCATATTAGATTTTTGAAAGTGTTCTCCAGTTCAATCAAAATAAAAAGGGATCCTCATAACTACAAAAGCAACTTCTTAGTTATTTGAGTGCAGAATCCATGACCGATAGCTTTGTATGCTAATACAGCTCCTGAAAGGGAAGTAGGTCAGGTAAGTTGTGTTTTGCTGTGTGTCATTTGCAACCCTTTTGAAACATCTCCCATATTTTTATTAACGTAGTGTTGCTCCAAAAAAGCTGGTTTCCCCCAGGAACACACTACTCCAACACCCAGTTCTATGCATTTACCTGATGGTGGCTTTTCGTGCCATAGCAGTCTTGAGGGCAGTATCTTGAGTTATTTTACATTTTAACAATTATCCCATCTTGCTATACAGTCTAGACCACTGATGGCTTAACAGTGATAGAAAATGAATAAAAAAGTAAACATAAGACAAACATTTAAAGGAGCAGGATCAATAGCTAGCAAGTCTCGCAGCAGTTCCCAACCTGTGGGTCCCCAGATGTTGTTGGACTACAACTCCCAGCATCCCTGAGCTCTGGCCTTGCTTGCTAGGGGTGATGGCAGTTGTAGTTCAACAACATCTGGGGACCCACAGGTTGAGAAAGGCTGCAAGGCAATACTTTATCATTTTTTAAAAAACCTCTCTGAAATACCTGTAGTCCCCTAAAGCCAAGCAGTTAAGAAACCAAGTGGCCCTCTTTTAGAAAGGATTTCCCTGAGAAGTACTTTTGCTTATATAACCACTCACCACACCTTGGATAACAAGGGAACACATAACAGGATATGATGCTGAACTAAGTGAATGGGAGTTTCTATGGGAGGAGATGAACCCTTAAGGTACAATAATGTTTAGAGTCAAAGCTAGCTCTCTGAATGGAAACCAAATAAGAGTCAGTGAAGATGAGGCAGTATAGTGGAATGCTGTGCTCCTTGCCACAGACTTCAGTTTATAGTTTTGACAGATGCATTTGAATCATTTAGGTTTCCAAATGCTCTTCAGAGACAAACACATCACAGTATTCTAATATGGATGTTTTAAAAGCATTAGTGACACATCTTTTTTTGTCTAGGAAATGGAGGGTGCAATTGGCATACTAGCCAAAGCTGGTATAAAGTGTTCCTAGCCAATGTTAATTCTTGGAGATCCAGGAGTGGTACCTGACCTAGAAGCGCTCCCAAGCTGTGGACCTGATTCTTAAGGGATAGCAGTGTGAACCCATTCCGAGCAGGTTCTGTGACTATCTTAGGATCATGTAAGATGGCTTTGAGTGCACACAACTGTGACAATCTGATATAGTTGTCATTGCAACAAATTTGTAGCTTTGTAGTTGGTTTAGTTGTTATATGAATGGACAGTGTAGTCTGATACCTTCAGTGCTTAAGTTATTGAGAATGGGGAAGTAAGGAGGGGGCCTTTTTAAAGTCATGAACCCTCCAAACTTTAGTTGAGTCATGACACAACACCAACAGCCTTCTAAAACACTTGGTGAGTGTTTCCCCTTGCTGCCACCCCCCAGTAACATGAACATTGATTACCTGGTCATCCAATCTTGACAGTTTAACTTCAGATGGTTCAGCAAAGAAAAATCCCAAGACACACAAAAACTTGATTTAGTTCATAAGCAGTTCTTTTACTGTATTTTTAAATAGTCAGTGCAATATTAAGAATTGAGTGGCTGGAAATAAAACATACTCATCACACATCCTTGGGTCTGTCTCCCTAGGGTAAAACCATCTGTTTATTTACACCCCCTTCTTCTTGGTTTTTAACTGCTTAGCAGATCTATTTAGCAGATCCATCACCTGTGACAACTAGCAGTTTAAGCCCAAACATTACACATTTTATTGACTCAGACGATTGGTGCATCTAGCCCTTTACAACAGTGGCTCTCCAATATCTTTCCTAGAGCTGCTGCCTGAGGCATTTTAGGTACATATGACAGAGATTGAATCTGGGACCTTGTATTTAAAATGGAGTTACTTGTGCTTTAAAACAGTCACAAAAACTGAGCTTCATATAGGGGTTCTGACGTAAACATATAAATTTTATAAAGCTGTTAAGGAATGAAATGATCAGTGACTTTGAACTATTGAATCACATGTACACAACTAATTGCATATCTGAAATAAGAGTGTGCATAAGGTACTTCCAGAATTTTAGCTACAAACCAATTATGTAGAAATCAGGGCCAAACCAGGCAAGACAGAATTTCCAGCTTTTAAAAAGTAAAATAGTTGTGGAGGGCAGGGACTGATCAAGACTGAGATCACAAGTGGGGGCAAAGGGCTAAAGTCTCCCTACCCTGTCCCACACTAGTTTCTTGATCCAGATCAGGGTCCCTGCACTGCTAATTACTTTAAGAAGCCATTAATGCAGCTGCTTATTCTGTGAATGGTGACTTGCCTGGTTTGGCCCTCAGTCTTATTAAATGACCTACTATCTTTCATATGGAATTTTCAAATTCCAGATCATTATCTTATGCAGCATCTGTGAAAATGGTCATGATTAGGAACTTTAGACTACAGTCATAACTCGTGTTACGTTTGCTTCATGTTATGTTTTTTCAGGTTGCGTCCCGCGACGACCCGGAAGTACCGGAAAGGGTTACTTCCAGGTTTAGCCGCTCGCGCATGCGCAGACGCGCAAAATGATGTCACGCACATGCGCAGAAGCAGCGAGTCGCAACCCACGCGTGCGCAGACGCGCCGCTGCAGGTTGCATTCCTTTCATGTTGCAAATGGGCCTCCGGAACGGATCCCGTTCGCAACCAGAGGTACCACTGTAATATTCTTTCTTATTTAGATGAAGGACCCATCAAGCGTGTCACTGTATCCAGGAGGATCTAGTTTCAGATAATTGTATGATGCAGATGTATTTTTAATATTTTGAAGTATTTAGTGGTAAGAGAATATACATTCTTATTTCTATTAACCTTAATTTTGCTCAAGCAAAATTTGAATTGCTAGGTTCTGTTCACTAGCCTGATTTCAGGCACTGTCTTCAGTGTTTTTCAAGGCATGTTTTCATGATAGGTGAAGTTTGGTTTGCAATGCAGCAGGTGTACTCTGACCATAATACTATCGCCATTAATAGAACTTAATATCCTTTAAAGCCTTCTAGTCCTTTTGATCCTGTTTATGTTGTTGACTGTCACCAGCACTTTGGCAGGAAGTAAGCTTAACAGTTTGGTTGTGTGCAGCAAATAATTCCCTGTTGCTTATTTTAGGTTCCCTGCATGTTATGCTCACTCATACAGAGCACCATGCAACACACTAAACAAATGGTCTTTCCCATTCTGTGTATTGGCCACGATCCTATTTTCCTCCATTCTATGCTAAATGGTTCCATTTCTCTTTCATACTGTTGATCCTATCTCCTCTTACTTTGTGCCTGCCTTTTATTATGCAGTGTTTATGATAAATGATTGCTTTTTTAAGGCTTATAATATTTTTTATTTTCTAAATAACCTAGTTAAAGTTAAGCTTGAAAAGAAGCGAGTTCAACCTACACTTATTGGGTCAGGCCTGGTATCAGTGGCTGACAGCCAGGTTGGGCATTGGTTGAGGGTCCCAGGTCTCAGAAGGGCCTTCCTGCCAGGCCCAGGTGACCTGCTGAGGCACTGCTTGGCTTTCAAACTCTACTTGCATCCACAACAGCCAGCTAGCCGCCTGGCCCTCTCAGCTGCTTTGTCTGAGCTCTGAGAAGGGGTCAAGGGGTTCCTTCTCAGAGCCAGAAATTCTGGGCGATGCTTGTGCTGCACCTGTGGTTTGCCATGACTGCTAGAAAGACCAGAGGGGGAATTTAAATTAATTGCTGAGGCAAACCCTAGCAGTGGCACAGGTCACCTCACCCAGAATGGCTCACTGTCACTGAAGAAGAACCCCTTTGGCTCCTTTCTCAGAGTCAAGTGCTGAGGAGGTGGCAAAGAAGCTATCCGCATTGCTGCTGCTTACTGCACCAGTGAATTCTCTTTCTTCAAGTAAAATGGGTGTAGGCAGAGAGCAGGAAGAATAGGCAGTAGCAGGGTGAAAGAGTATGCTGCAAAAATAAGGATGGAGGCATTGGCCATCTGAAGCCTGGTGCTATCCCTGTTTTGGGTGTTATCCGGCTTTAGCCATAAACAGAGCCGACCCACTGAAATCAGTGAACTTAAGTAGTTTAAGTCCATTGATTTCAGTGGGTCTACAGGGTATGGCATACTTGGACAGTACCTATTCTCTCTTGAAAACGGAAAGATCAACAGTTTGCATAGTTCTCAAACTATGAATATTTGTGTTCTCTAAACAAAGACAGTCTTTGTCTTATGCACATGAACTGCTATGTCCAGTAACTAGCAGCTGTGTCTAAGCAGTAAAAGAGATGAGAGCTGGGAGTTGAAAAAAGAGGGAAAATGTATTTCTGGGAACTCAGAATTGTTGCAAATGTGACAATTATGTAGCAGTTAATAAATATCAAGATTTTTTTTCAAGGGCAGGTGCAAGTCTTTCTCAATAATATCCTCCCTTTTTGTTTAATATTTACATAAATGAGGTCATCTGTTAACTTAAACATGAACTTTCCTCTCTAGACTTTTGTATGGCTTTCAGGTTCTGATTTTGTCTTGCAGGGCAATTCCAGAAAGTGGTTCTGAGAAATGTATACAGGATTTCATGTTGTCTTTTCCACTGTGTGCTTTTTAACATTTACATGAAACTAACAGATACAGTTTGAAGTGCAGTGTTCAAGACAATAGATTACAAAATAAGAACATTAAACTTTAAGTGCAGCTAATCCTCAGTTATGAGTTAGCACCTACCTTGATCAAAATGCCATGCAGATTAGTTGCACTCTCTAGTTCTTGAGAGTTTCATTGCATTCTTCTATGTTAAATAACTTGCTTATTGGAGCATTAGCCAGTAACCTCTATCACAGTGAAGATTTCAGTTTAGTTGCAAAAAATCAAGTCTTGCTAACAATCACTCAGTCATGTTTTAGTGCAACAGTTGAGAATCTCTACCCCCCAAGCCTAATGAGGCCAAACAGACCTCCCCATTTGGTCCACAGCATAGTTTGACCCAAACCACACCCATCTGTCTTATCACCTGATGTCATATGATGTTGGGCACATGGCAGGTAAGGTCATGGGGGCTAAATTGAAAACAAATAATTGAGATTGCAGTCTAAATTGTGTACTTAGTTATTTCTCTTCTGATGCTTGTGGAAGTGGTTGTATTTGAATTTGACAATTTTTTTCTGGAGTTCTTGATTTTTCCTTTTGAAGTTGAATCACCTGACATCATACGATGTAATGTTGCTGACAACTGGTGGACTGCCCTTCCTACCTGACAAAGTGACAAGTAGTGGTGCTGTGGCTCTGGCCCATTGGCTGAATCCAGTTCCCCAGTACCTCGGGTTAAGAACTTTGCTTCAGGATGAGAACAGAAATCATGCTCCGGCGGCAGCAGGAGGCCCCATTAGCTAAAGTGGTGCTTCAGGTTAAGAACAGTTTCAGGTTAAGAACAGACCTCCGGAACGAATTAAGTCCTTAACCCGAGGTACCACTGTAAATGGACGGGATGTAGAGCGTAGAGTCCCCTAGGTTTTAGTATTGGGACCATTGTTTTTTAACTTGTTCATAAATGATTTAGCCTTGGTGTGAACAGTAACATAGCAAAATTTGCCAATGATACCCAGTTGTTCAAAGTGGTTTAAGCAAAAAACAGTTGTGAAAAGCTTCAACAGGTTCTCTCAAAACTGAGTGAATCGGCAGTAAAATGGCAAATGCAATTCAATGTAAATAAGTATAAAATAATACATATTGGGGCAAAAGCTTTATTTCACACATACACTTACGTGGTCCGAACTGGTGATGACTGACTAGGAATGAAGCCTTGTGGTTGTAGTGGATGGCTAGATGCTGCAACCTTTCCTCATAGAAGAAACCTTTCCCAACACTACCATATCCTTTTTGAGGTGAGATGATCAGAACTATGTACAATTTTAGTCTGGAGTAAAGGCGAGTAAGAGGTGACATGATATAAGTTTATCAAATTCTGCATGTTTTGGAGAAAGTAGTCAAAGAAAAGTTTGGCTCATTGTGCTAGAACTCATGGACTTCCAGTGAAGACATCTACAAGCGAATTAAAAGAAAGAAGGCAGTTTTAGAAGGCCAATATTCTGTTTCTCACCATCCATTTGGGGGAAGAATGAAGAATCACAAGTCCTAGCTTATATTATTTAAGAGCAGCTACAACAGACCTAGATTAATTAAGCAAAGACCAGAAAATAAACACCAGGGGTTTTATTGATCTTGTACATTTAAATCTTTCGCTTCTTCCAAGAAGCTCAGGGTGTTGTATATGCTTTTCCCATCATACGCTCTTTAAAATTAAATTTAAAATTCAGAATCCCACCCAGGAAATTATAATTATTAATATTAATAAATATACATTTATATCTCTCATTTCTTCCAACCTGGAACCCAAGGTGGCATACATGAGGCATCAATCTCTTGAGGCACTGATCAGACAGACACCTCCTTAACTTCAGCAACACTAGAGTTCTGTGCTTTCAGGCTGTGCTCTGGGACCTGATTTTTTTTGTTCAAAATCGGAAATTTCAGGTGTGATTTCAGGTACTGTAGTGCCTTTTGGCAAACTGAGTAAAGAAACTTAGTGTGACACTTCTGTGGCTTTTCTATTCTGTCAGTAAAATGCACTGAGAGACGGCCCTATTTCTGATCTCATTTCTCAATAAGGCAGCTTTAAAACCACAGGTGCTTGCTTTGTGTAACAGGCAATGTGGAGGAAGTTACATTTATACCAGAAAGTTAGTATGAAGGCAGGTGGGAAAGGTAACAAGATATGTGACCACATCCTGGGAGAACATCTTTATTTAGTGCTGTGATGCAGAATCATCTTGGATTATTGCCTCTTCGTGAGATAGATAATGGGTTTAAGTATTAGATTGCAAAGTGCATGCTTCCTTAATCAAGGCTGATGCAATTTTCTAATTAACAGTGTATTAGAATATATTGGTAATATCCTGCCAAAAGCAAGAGCCATTATGATGTAGTGGTTACCGTGTGGGAGTCATAAAGTTTACTATGATTCTAATCCATTGCTCTGTCTCTTGAGCTCAGTTACAGGGCTGCTGTGAGGCTAAGATGGGGAAACCACATACAACACCCTGAGCTTCTTTTAATTCATTTGTAGCTGTCTTGGTTCCAGGAATTAAGGTTGACCATACCAGGTTTAATGTTCCGACAGAATTAAAAACCTGAATGTCTTCCAGTGGCATTAAGTATTCTTTCCTTATAGTTGTCCAGATTTTGAGCTTCTAGTCTTCTAAAGTTCTTTGTGTGAAATTTGATATGAAGCCTGCAATCTAGCAACCAGTTTAGAATCCTGGGAATTGTGGATTCTGTGTTAGGGGAAGGAAAATGAGTTGACAGTCTTCGGGGATGGAAGTGATCCCAATAACCCAACAAACTGTTTGCGCAGCCTCCTACTATTGTGAACCACCCTGAGATCTGCGGATGAAGGGCAGCATACACATTTAATAAATAATAATAATACTTTTGCTAGCTAAAGTCTATAAATGACTATGAATGCAAGCAGTCAACAGCGTAGAAGCACCTACTTTGCTTAGTCTACTCAGAGTCCCTACAAAAGGAGACAGTGCACCTTAAAATTTAGCATGTTTTCTCCTCATGCCAGATACTTAACCATATACTGCCATTGACCATTACTTATATTTGTCCTCCCAGTACTTCACTGCTTCTTGAAAATCATGTCCAAGTGCTACAAAAACATCAAGTTCAAAATAAAGCGTGAAGGAAATGTTCATATGTTGCTGCCCATTATTCTTCACTTGGCTTCTGCATTCAGAATTACCTGTGTTCTCTGCTGTCATGTTAAACAAGCATTTTGTAGCTCCCCATAAAATATCCTTATAAATTGGATAGCATATGCTTAACTGCCTCCCATAGGAACAAATGAAACTTGAATATTTTTAACTTTAGCTTCCTTGGAAACCTGCTGAAATGCACTGTGTAAAGACATTGGGTCAGATCCAGACTTGCTTTTCTGCAAGTGTAAGGTGTCCTTCTGTTTGTGCAGGTATTTCTGGTCCAGTGGGGGCTGTTTCTGGTTATAGTGTTTCTGATTTTCCCTGTAGCACCCCGTGTCACCTTCCACACTGTCCTAAAGGGTCCCCTAGCCAACCAGTCCTTTTTGACCTTGACTAAATATGAGCTGGGAGGAGGTTTTGGTGCTTGCTTTATGCAAGACAAGTGCCTTGTTGGAACAGATGCATGAGAAGATGGATTTGATGAATGAGAAAATGGATTTGATGACTGTTGTGGTTAATAACTGTGAACAAACAGGGAATATTGATACAGAAATTATTCAGGGACCAACTCAGGAACCTGTACTGACTGGGCAAGTGCAGAAGATAATGGAGGAGGTTGCGGTTGCACCTCAAATAATACAAATGGAGAGACCCGAGGCCCTACAGGGGCATAAGCCACTGTCTTTGAAGATTGGAGTGGGCCAAGGGGAGTCTGGAGCTGAGGAGGTTTTTAACTTTGGAGAGACCTTGAAATATGCTTTTAAATATTTTTTGGACTACATCGATGACTGTGGGGAGTGGGACTGTGGGGAATGGGCTGGTTTGATGAAGGGAGACGGAGATAATTTTGGGTTGGAATCCCCCAGAGCCCTACCCCTCAATGAGAAAGGAAAGAAATTAAGAAAGAGACCAACAAAAGACAAGGAAAAATGCAAGTATAAACAAGAAGAAGAAGATCTGCAGAAGGGACATGGAAGAGACTTAAGGGCCTCGGACATAAGATCACCAGGTTGATGGACTAGATGGAATGGACAGTAAGGACTGACACGACCCGAGACCAGGAAGAAGAGATGTTGGATGAAGATTGGAAGAAAATTTATAAAGAATTTTTCTTTTCTAGGGAATTAGCCTAAAATTAATGAATATTAGGGGAAATGTTGGAATGAAACTATATGACTCTAGTAGAAATGATATCAGGAGTTATGTATAATCGAGTTTTAAGCTTTAAAGTATTTTTTGGTAAGATAAGGTTAAATAAATTAAGGTAATTTGAATAACAGAATATGGGGAAAAGATGGAAAGGATTTGTTGAGTTAATTAATAGGTTAAATTGTTAAGATAAATTATTTAATAAAAATTGAGAAAGATGGAAAGAATTTGCTGAAATAACTAATCAAACTAGAATACAAAAAGGGCGGTGTGAGGAGGTCAATGAAACAAGCAAATGGAAGTTAAAGATATATAAATATGGGATTTGTGTCTTTTTTTCTTTTTTTATCTTTTTGTTGTATTGTTCAATTGGTTTTTATGTTTTGCTTTTTTAAATTCTTTTTTATGTATTGTAGTGTTGTTTTTAATTTTTTCCTTTCTTTTCTGTAACTTTGAAATTATTAATAAATATATATATATATTTTAAAAAGGGTCCCCTAGCCTTTGGGGGTTAAAAGAAGAAGAGAAAATGAGCAAATAACTTCCCGTCCCCAACATAGTGACTTGTGAGTCGCACTCATTAGATTTCTGGATCTAGGCCATATTGGGGTGAAGTTTAAGCATATGCCATAAAATGTGAGCAAAGATGCAACTAAATTTTGCAGAACCAGTTTGTTTACTTCCGAGGCAATTTAAAGTATCTGTTTATAGCTGAGTGACTGGGAATAAATTCATTATTTGATCCCACACCCACCCTGTCTCAGCAACGCAGCAGTGTCTGTTCCCTGGACCCCAGTTAGACAAATTTATCCCATTCTTACCTGGGTTAGTTCCCTTATCAAACTTTGACTTTGTGAAAGCTGTAAAATATCTTAACACTGCAAAAGCCGAAATCCTGGAATGACCTGTGTGGTGAGTGTTCTGTTATGAAACCCAATTTAAATGCTACTCCAGAGAACTGTGAAGTCAAAGCACTTAGAAAATGAGGGACTGCATTGCTAATAAAAGCAGAGACGACCACAAAAGTCATGTCTGTGCACTGCTTTTTTCCGCTTTTATTTGTTAGAAAATTATGAATGATTCAGCATAAGTGTTTTTCAGGACAAATACTTCTTTCTGGGGTGGGAAGTTTTGTGGTCGGATTGGACTCTCATGTATTCAGTTTAAAATTCAACTCTAAATATTTTTCCTATACTTGCTTGGTTTCTGTTCCCATTACAAACACTTAATTGTGTGTTTGATTCTAAATAGTGCTCATAAGGCTACTTTTGCATTTACAGTGCACTTTTTGAAGATTGTTCTCTTTCACAGGAAAGATGATAAAGATTATGCTCTAAAGCAAATAGAAGGTACTGGAATTTCTATGTCTGCATGCAGAGAAATAGCAGTAAGTAATTTTAATGGTAAATTAAGCCTTTTTCATTAGTGAATATGATTTCATTTATGGCCACATGCAACACATTTTCATATATGGAAGATACAGTATATATTGCATCTAAAAGCTTTATATTAAAATACAATTCAATTCGCTGCATCTCCAGGTAGGATTGGGAAAGACCCCTGTCTGAAACCCCAGAGAGTTTCTGCCAGTGAGTGTGTACAATTGTCTGATTTGTTATACAGGAGCTTTGTGTGATGCTATATGGAAAATGCAGTTGATTAGTGCATAATGCCATGATTTGTATAAGCATAATTTCAGTAGCATCATTGCATCCTGAGGGAGGTACATTTGACCTAGTTGTAGTCTGGTTTATGTCTTTATAGACATAAACTCTTTATACCACCTTAATTAAAATGAAGCCCATATTCTTTTTTCTTTTCTTTTGTTCATTCATTCTTTGTTGTGGATTAAGAGCATCAAAGATAAATTCTGAAAAACCAGCATATTTAAAGAACTTAAAATTATAAAAAGAATTGTCGATTCTATTTTCTGGCTTGTGTGTGAACACCTTCCTAATAGATAGCATTTGTTTTACAGCTGCTTCGGGAGCTGAAACATCCAAATGTAATTTCTCTGCAAAAAGTGTTTCTGTCTCATGCTGATAGAAAAGTGTGGCTTCTCTTTGACTATGCGGAACATGACCTTTGGGTAAGGAAGTCTGTTTGTTAGCAGGTAATGGGCTATGGTTATTATTGTTTGGAAACCAATAAATTGGTTCTGCAGCAGATTGCTCATCTCTGAAGCATGCTACAAGGAAAGAAAAAGACCCAAGTGATGTGTAAACCGCTCCATAGTACACAGTGTTCCTTTCATTTTCATTCTTTGAAATACACATTTGTCCTTGATTTGGGGCAACTTCACACATCGCTTCAAACATGGCAGTTTTCTGTGTGGGAAACTCTCCTCTTTTCCACTGTATATTTAAGCATTCTGCATCAGTTAAATGTCACGGACTATGAACATGAAGAATCACACTGCCTTAAAATGTTTTAAATAAACATCAATAAATGCAAACAAAACAATCAGCATATAACAGCACAATTAACCGTTGGCATTGTTGTTGTTGCTTTTAAAAAAATAATAGAACCCAAGAAATACTTTTCAATGCGTGGTGAAGTTTTTGCTTGTGCCTAAAAGAAAAGAAGTTGGTACCAAGTATTAATGAGCACAAAAATTACATGATGTTGTTCTTTGAGCCTGGGTCAGCAACTAGTTTGGCCAGAGGGATGATTTGGAGAAGGGAATGTATGTGGTTGGGCTAATCTGCCTGAAAGTGGTTCTTAAGTCCTAAGCAGCTCTAATACCATCCTTCAAAGGGCTTAATTGACCCAGTTGCTGGACCTTATTTTGAGGAGCCTCATTTATGTTGGGTTTTTAGTAGTGATTTGTTAAAGAATAAAAGGAGAATTCCCTGGATTTTTCCGTGTACAAATGTATCTCTGCGTTATTTGAGGGGCCTGCCTGGTGTTTTTACATGGGTAGAATGTGTCCTTTTATTTAAAATGCATCTCTGGGTAATTTGTGGGGCATAGGAATTCGTTCATTTTCCCCCCTCCAAAATATAGTCTGACCCCCACAAGGTCTGAGGGATAGTGGGCCGGCCCTCTGCTGAAAAAGTTCGCTGACCCCTGGTCTTATACATGGGGGCGTCTTATACATGGAAAAATACGGTACTCTTTGGTGAGAGAGCCCCAGCAGATGTTTAAAATCACAAAACATTCAGCAAAGTAAACTGTGGAAATATAGGCTGTTAGACCTTTAAAATAACCCCTTTTAAGCTTCTTCCAAAGTTCTCCACTTCCCTTAGCATAGAAATAAACCACACATATAGTAAGTTAAAAATGGTTTACTTACAAACTCCTTAAAGGTCAGATTCATGTTCTTTTCCATGCAGCAGCAATAAAAAACAGGCAGCACAACTTATTTCCAAAATGGTATGGGTTTCTAAATTATTTTTATTGATACACAGGGATGGCTTGCTAAAGTTACATGGTCTAAGCTTGGAGCATCCAGCTTAAGCATTCTTAATGGTTGGGTTCGCATGGTGGAAAGGAAAAAGAGAACAGAGTTTGGTAGCCCTTTCTTCCAAGGTTGAGGGAGTATGACCTAGCTAAGCCTGGCAGGCCTTCATGCATTAATTAGATTTAAGCATGTTGGTTGTATATCCCACAATTTAGACACCTGTCTGTTCATATTTGCATGGTACTTGGCAATTCCAGCATAATGTATGGATGCAAACATGAGAAGAACACTTATTTGTTATCTCCTGCATGGTTTGTATGTGTTCTTCCTCACAAAGGCCCCAAGAAAAATGTTAATCGCTTTCATAGTGGTTCTTTATAAAGTCTTACTTCTCTTTCTCTATTTTTACAGTAGTCGGTCTTATAAAATATAATTCTTAGATTTTAACTTGAGCCTTAGTTTCAAGGATCAGATGAGAAATGTTGGACCCTTAAACAACATGTATGCAGTATCCAAAGAAGTTAAAGGAACTCTGATCCCTGATGAATGAACTTTAAAGACTTTATTATTGTTATTGCTATCAGTAAGCTTGGGTCAGATTGTCAAGATGGATGAAATTATAAAGAGATGGACTAAAAATTGTTTAAAAGTGTTTTTCTTTTAGACTTAAATTTTGCTGGAAGCTTTAGTTTATGAGTAAAAAATGGCTGTACAGTTGATAAGGTGGAAATGCATAGATTCATAGCATTATAAATGTGTGCAGGTCTGCTTGTGAAGCTCCTGAACAAATCATGTTTCAGGTATATATTTGACCTTTACTGTATGAATAGTTTTTCATTCTTTAACATGGTTATACAGTAGTCAAATCTTTATAGTGTGAATAGAGAAATACAATTTTAGAATGGAGTCTTCAAGATATGGTCTCTCTGTTTTTGTTTTTGTTTAGTTTCTTTTCTTATTGCATTATGAAAAAGCATTCAAATCTTATTAAAAATAATAAAACACCCTATTAAATAATCAAAAGATGGCAAAAGGGGTTTGTGAGTGTGAGGAGAGTATAATACTAACACAATGTGGTATACAAGATAGATAAAATTAAGATGAGAAGATAATAGTAATATGAAGCTAAAGCACTAAACATGAACACAGTGCTTAACTAAACGGGGGTTGGTTAATTCTGTGGAGAATTATACATGATTTTGTTCAAATCCCAAGAAATGCCATACTGGTTAATGAACCCAGGAGGATTTTATTTGCTGAAGCATTGCATCAAAATATTTGTACCAGTCATTATTAACTATGCTTGTTTTCTATTTTTCAGCACATAATAAAGTTTCACAGAGCTTCTAAAGCAAACAAGAAGCCAGTTCAGTTACCTCGGGGAATGGTGAAATCTCTATTATATCAAATCCTAGATGGTATTCATTACCTACATGCTAACTGGGTGTTACACAGGGATTTGGTAAGTAGATCTACAGTGGGGATTAGAAATGGGTATAAGGCTTATATGTAGTGATGGTGCTTCATAGAGGATATCAGGTACCGAGGCACTAATGATTTGCTTTAATTTGTAATTTGGCACTATAAATGTCTAATGAATAATGTGTATTTCTGTTACCTGGAAAAGAAAATGGCCTCTTCCCATAGGTGCTTTTACATTGCCTCTTTAGCAAACAGAGCACATTAAGAGCAAAATTAAGCATGACTGCATATTTGAAACTCTCGGATTTTATGTGGGAAATATTTAACAAGTCTAATTTTCTGTGCAAGCTTTTTAAGAATCTAAGAATTGCCTTAGTGGGTCAGACCAGAGAGCTGTCTAGTTCAGGGATGGAGAACCTGTGGCCCTCCAGATGTTATTAAACTCTTAATTCTTATCAGTCCTAGCCAACATGGTCAGTGATAAAGGATAATAGGTGTTGTAGTTCAGAACACCTGGAGGACCACAGCTTCCCATTCCTGATACAGTTTATCACTATTGCTATATATGGTAATTGCTAGCCAGATAGCTCTTAAAGATTCACAACCAGAATGGTAGAGATAGCCATCTATGATGTTTGCCCTTAGCATCTGGCAGTCTGAAATTGAGTGCCTCTGAACATGGTGGTACTGTTTTGCCTAATTGCCACAGAAGACCCTCCCTCACAAATTTGTATATTTTCCTAAGCTAATGAGCATCAACTTACCTTGCGGAAGCCTAATAAGATCATATTTTGGGGTGGGGGTGACGGCTTCTTTGTTTTTCTGGACGCCAGGCCCTTTCATTGGAAAGAAAGGTACTTCATTGTTACTGCATTCTTTCATTCCATTGTCCAATAGATGTTTCAGGCAGTGCCAGTATAAACAGGTTACAGTGTTGTCCCTACATAATATTAATCCTTGGTGGACTAAAATATTCAAGCAAACTTGGGTGTTGGAGTAAACAGTTGGATGGTGTATGTTTGATCCAGCCCACTGTGGCCATGGTGCCTATGTGTGAATCCCTGGAGAACATAAGAGCTTGTTTCATTCCTCCGTCTGATTTCTGAGCCTACTGTTGACTGGATTAACCTCTTTGTGTTCAACGCCCTACGCCCTATCAGCTTGTGAGGAAGGATTTCTTATTTGTTTCAAATTCAAGGCTGCATTTATTTGTATATACACAGCCATTGCTCAAACAGTACCAAAAGTGGATAATTGTTTCTATCAAAGTTAATATCATGCATGAAATTATTAATCAGAAACCAAAGTTTCCCATTGTAAATATTTGCCAGTATGTGGAAAACAGAAGTGGATGTCTCAAGAGATGGGTAAATTTATTAGAGCCTAGTAGGTCAGTTGTTTTGAGTATGGTCTAGACTAGCAGCTACCTCTATTGGGCTGTTATGAAATGTACTGGTGGCCTCTGCTCATTTGAAGTTTAGAAGTGCTGCAAAGCAACCATAGGAGCAAGAAAAGGTTACTGAAAGAAGGGATTTAGAGAATTGCTGCTGAGTCCCAAATCCATAAAACAGCATTTGGAGCTTGGAACTTCTTGCTCATTTTATATATACCTGGCCATTTTGTATGACCAATGTCATCCATGTGATGAAATTAGATACAAGAAATGGGCTGCATTGCCTATTGCAAAATAATCATCAGATGAGACTCTAAAATTAGAATAGAGCACAGTAACACACCAAGCATGGATTGGCAGTCTCTAAACTTTGAATAGTAAACAAGGCTTAGGTAAAGGTAAAGGGACCCCTGACCATTAGATCCAGTCGTGACCGACTCTGGGGTTGTGGCGCTCATCTCGCTTTATTGGCCAAGGGAGCCGGCGTACAGCTTCCGGGTCATGTGGCCAGCATGACTAAGCCGCTCCTGGCAAACCAGAGCAGCGCACGGAAACGCCGTTTACCTTCCTGCTGGAACGGTACCTATTTATCTACTTGCACTTTGAGGTGCTTTCGAACTGCTAGGTTGGCAGGAGCAGGGACCGAGCGGGAGCTCACCCCGTCGTGGAGATTCGAACCGCCAACCTTCTGATCAGCAAGTCCTACGCTCTGTGGTTTAACCCACAGCGCCACCCGCATCCCATATAAACAAGGCTTAAATTGGTGCAAAAACTTACTTACGACTCTTAGCAGTCTGTGACATTTTTGCACATTTGGAGCAAATCTTGGATTTCAGAACCCACCCCAAGATTGTAGTTGAACCCGTCTAGCTATATTCATTTCTGCTGGTGTTCATATATTGCATCTAAAGTTTTTCCTTTCTGTCTGTGTTAACCTATGCAGTCACCAAGTAGTGGAACTAGATTTTCCAAGACATAATGTTCTCCACAAGCTATAAGATTTGTGGCTACAATTCATTAGGCAGTTCTTAGAAATCAGGCTGTCTTTGTGTGTATAATCTGCCAGAGACTGCTTCTTCATTCAGAGAGCTTTGTGACTGCTTATCAAAAATGACGTGGAAACTGTGCTTCCCAGCAGGGTAGGAAAGACAGAGAGGCACTGCAATATATATTGTACTGTATCAGAAGTTAATAGATAGTTGGTATGTAGGTACAAACTAACTTTGCTTCTTCAACTTCCACATCTCCATTAAAATATTCTGAAGACTGAGGGTAGTATTCAACTAACCATTACTCTGCGCATATTCATTTAAATTAATGAACCTGATGTTAGGTCCACTCTGAGCAAAATTTGGTAGAGTATCACCCAGAGGTTTAACAGTCCAACCATATTCTAGTGATATACAGCCAAACAAGAAAGGTTAGATTACTAACAAGTTCCTGACCTCTGAAGTACGAGCAGAAGTAAATCCACAGTGTATAGTTAGAATCATACCAAGTTTTCACTACAAGGAATGAAGTGAGAAAGTATTAAGCGTGAAGATTAAAATGGCAAAAGCCCTGAACAGAGCAGGTGGAACTAATCTGTAAAATAATTGGATGTGCCACGAATATGACTCATATAGTCCTTAATTTACTTGACTGGAAATGATGGTCCACAGCACATGTAAATACCACAAGTTTTCATTCCTGGGAATATGTTGTTTCAACTGATTCAGCATCCATGCCACCTAAGTAGCATTCTAATTAGCTGTGTTCTGTCGAAATCATTAGGATCTGGATGCCTTAGTTGTATGCTCACTTTGGGTGAGATTTAATACAGTTTGCATTGAAAGACAGTAAAGCTGAATTCCACCCAGTTCAATAAAAAAGTTAGGCAGGCTTTGCTTTTTCTGGACTTAACTGTAAGCCTACAGAGCTGGAAACAATCCTGCTTTGAAGGGCAAGGCAAACAATCGTTTGGCTTGGATCAAATGGCAAATGTGATCAAACAAGAAAGTAACTGCACTAAAGTGTGATGGGCAGTGCATAATTGGTCTTTGACTGAAACAATCCAGGGTGTGCTCATAATATTAGAAATTTGTTTTTATCTTAATGGTCCAGGACCATTAGTATCACAGACAAATCACAGCTCATTGAGGGACTCAGGCTTTGATAGAAGAAAACACATCTTAATTTTTTAACTAGGAAAGTCAGACAGTATTTGTCTAAGCTATTCAGACTTTTTCAAGTACTAGAAAATTAAATTATACTTCAATCATATTAGATTTAGACTATTTGGGGTTTTGTAGTAAATGCAGAAGCTCTAGTTAAACTCAGAGTAAAAAATTAATTTTCCTCAAATGTACGTCTACAAAAATTCATTTAACAGATCAGATATATCCAAGCTGCTTTTGGCTCAAGGCTTAGCCCCATGTTTTCCATATAACTAACCAAAGGTTAGTCCTTTGGTTTATTTATACTTATTAAAAATGAAGCATTGGTTTAACTTGGGGGGAATTATTTTTCCATAGCATTTTTTAGTCCTTAGAAATGTAATTGTCTAGAAGATTCATGTGACCTATTTCCTGTGATCTGTAATCCCATATCAAAGTGACAGCCTTTCATGTTGCACTATATGCTGATTTTAATATTCTGTGTTGCTTCAAGTTGTGTAAGTAAACTGGCAACTCAACCTCTGTGATTGCTTTCAGAGTATAAGAAGTTAGACTCTCACCAAGCTAAAACAGCTGGTTACAAAACAAAATATAGTGTATTTTGTATTTGTGTAGGTGCAGCATTTCTGTACCATGTACCTTTTTATTTTATTTTTTCCGTAGACATATTTTAAAATGTTCAACTGAAAAAACCAATTATTGTGCTTCAGAAATTCTACTTACTTGTGTTTTCTAATTAGTTGATGACACTGTATGTTGGTGGAAAGCCTGGTGCTATCTGTAGCATATATCTTTTACTTAATGACTTTTAACATCTTCATTCTTTATAGTTAAGCTTTTATCTTGGTTCTCACCAGTTTCTCTTTACTATTTTATGGTGTTCCTATTCCATGCTGCCCCATCATTAAGCTTATTTCCCTCATAGCTACTCTTTCTGTGTGCCATGTTGGTCTGCCTCCTCCTTTCTGTGAACTAAGTTCTTACGTTGCTTAAAGTGCTGGGTTAATTTAAACTATGATGTCAAATTTCTCTCACCCTAATTTTCCAAATTTGTAAAGTTGGGATAAGTGACCCCACACCTGTTATCATTGTGTATTAATACCAGTAGCAAACTCACATGCTGTTTAGCCAAAGCAGAACAACGGGAGGCTCTTGATATACTCCAAGGTTTACAGCATAAAAACAAAATATGGGGGGGGGGGCTAAGGGGAGCAATTCCCACCAAACCGCCTAGTGAAAGCGAACTACGTTCAGTGTCACAGAATGCAAAGTGCTGATGGGTGGGGAAGGTAGAGAAATGGAGAACTGGAGCAGCGAAAGAATGAAATGGATTATCCACATAGAAGGCATGTCCGGCTTGCTAGAACAGTGAACAGGAGTAGACTACAAGTGCCACACTTCAATTCCTAAAGGAGTACTGAAGGTAGCAAGCAAGAGAGTAGAAAGATGAACTGCTATTGGTTTCTGCATTGAGAAGAAAATACTATTCTATTCTGAGACAGTACTTTGCTGATACTGCCATTTTGGGTTCACACTGCTTTTTTCTTTTTGAAGTTGTGTGTGTGTGTGTGTGTGTGTGTGTGTGTGTGTTTATTTCATAAAATTTAGATACCTCTTGACTGTAAACACCCCCCCCCACTTCAAAACGTTTTACAAAAGAAACAACAACAAGATCAAGGAAAAATCACAACCCTACTTTAAAACATCCAAAAAATACTAAAACAGATTAAAATGACATCAACTTTCTAAGCTTCTGGGTAGGCTTAATTTTTCTAGAAGTTGACACAGTGTGGCAGATTGAATTGTTACTAGCCAGAGCTTGTTGAATGCTTGAAGCTGGAAACAGCTTAGTGTGAGTAGAGGTCCTGGGTGTCTGAGGATCCTTGACTAGAGGTTCCAGGCCAGACGTATATAGAAATGCTGTATTTTGATTACAGTGGTACCTCTGGATGCAAACAGGATCTGTTCCGGAGCCCTGTTCGCATCCTGAAGAGAACGTAACCCACGTCTGCACGTGCGTGGGTCTTGATTTGCTGCTTCTGCGCATGCGTGTGACGTCATTTTGAGTGCCTGTGCATGCGTGAGCAGCAAAACCCAGAAGTAACGCGTTCCGTTACTTTCTGTTCGCCGCAGAGCGCAACCCGAAAACGCTCAACCTGAAGCAACTTTAACCCAAGGTATGACTGTACTTTGGTTTCTTTGTTTACATATGAAGTAACTGATTGATTAATATAGCAGTAGAATAGCTCCCACTGTAATTGTATTTTATATCATGGTAGGTTGATGATACTGGCAGATTACTGTTATTGAACAGCAAGTGATTCTGGACCAGACTCTTATATTAAACTTTGTAAGCTAGTGTAATGAAGAGTCGGACACGACTAAACAACAACAACAAGCTAGTGTAAATGCACTTTAAAGGAAGCACGCTGTGTTCCACCCAAGTAATTATTCCATATTTTTAGTAAAAGGTGGTTAGATTGTTACAAGGAATTAAGCATACAGCTTTGCCATAGTGTAAAAGCTAAGATTTTGATGCAAACTTGCTCTTGACCCTTCTTCCCTATTATTTGAAAACCTGGAATATGTACAGATCCATAATTCTGAGAAATTCACTTCTATATGATCGCATGGATTTAGTGATACTCAAAAGGGGAGAAAAATAAGATTAATCTAGGCTGCAGTTGCTTCTCTGCGTAGCACATTCCCTGATCCATTGCTAAGTGTCATTAGCAGCAATGCAGAGGAGAGCGGTGGCGTTGAGAGCTGCAGCACAGGCTGACCTTCCTGAAATAATTACCTAGACAACGTGACAGTTAGGAAATCCTACATTCTTAAGGCTCAGAGTTGGTAAAATGCATACTGAAATTATGTGAGACATGACAGTTTTCCAGAACCTCCAAATCAGCCCCCTTAATATATTCAATAATGGCATCACACTAGCATCCAGCCATAAATAAAGTCGGAGATGACGCTTTTTTGGATACTGCCTTTGCCAAAAACGCAGTGTGTTAGCATATAATATCTCTTTCCATTTAGATCAAAGAGAATTCTGCATATTCTGCTCTGTTGTTCATAAATATCTTGTACCAGTCCCTACAAGAGACTGATGGCCTGATAGTGCCACAAGTAGTTTATATATTTTTTCCTGGCTAAGAGCACACATCTTAGTGTAACTTACTGCCTTGTCGCCATCTTTAAACCTGTCCAGAGTCATACCCTTTTTCGAATTTGTTCTTTACACATTTATGTGTCTGTGATTGTACTAAATTACCTCTGTTCCTATCAAAGATGTTTTCATTCATCTATCAAAGCTTCCTTGAAGTACTTTTATCTGGCATACATTTTATGCTTGCTTAAAATCACAGATAGGTGTTCACATAATTGCTTCACATGACAATATTGATCAGATGCAGCAAATCCTTTTCTACATACTTAAATAATAGCCCACTTAAACAATAGCCCAAAGTGGTGTGCTTTGAGCTGTTGATGCAAGCCTTTTTTCAAAAGAAGTAGTTTTTTCTTGAAATTGGCTTGAACCGGATATATACTACTCTACACATCATCCTTGGCTAAATTTGATGATTAATGGTTATTTTATATAGGTTTATAAACCTTATAAGAAAACAGCAAAAATAGTTTTGGTGTAGCTCTATACAGCTTCAAAAGCAATTGTACCAATGTTTGCTTCTCACGTAATGATTCTGAAACTACCATATCTGCAAAGGCAATTCTTATAAACATTGCCTTTGCAGATGTGGTAGTTTCAGAATAAACTCTTATAAGCCACTCTTATAGTGGCTGAATTGATACACTAAGAGCAAAATGTAAAAGTTTTGTGTAGAATCTAAATGTTCATATAGTAACATCTAGGAAGATATGCAAAATATTTCATTGATTGCTTTTTGTAATTGGCTAATACTGGAAATAAGTGAGCCAACATTTTTCCCAGGTGAATTCTGTAATGACACTGCTCATCTGAAAGAAGAGCATGGTGTGGAAAGTTATTGAAAGGAAGCTCTTCTAAGAGGAAGAAAATGTAAGATGGGGAAGAAAATTGATTTGGTCAGCCATATGACCTTACAGCAAACTAATAATCCACAGGCACTATTAATGACATTCCACTGCATTTTGGTTTAAAATTGGAAAAATAAAACTGCTAATTTTAGGCACAAATGTTTAGGTTTATCTTGGTATATGTATTGTATTTTTTTTTTTCCACAGAAACCTGCTAATATTTTAGTTATGGGTGAAGGTCCTGAGCGAGGAAGAGTAAAAATTGGTATGTTTATATCTTTGATAAGTCCCAGTGTAGCATTTAAGATAGAATGTTCTAAAGGTACAGCTAACCAGGTTAATACTTTCTGGATCACACATAAAACCCCATAAAATTAAAAGAGGTAAAATTTGTTAATGTTGGATGGAGAAAAGTGAAGGACTCCTTTGCCTCTAAAAATGTTGCTTTACAATAGTACTGAATTATATAAATATCAATAATAAAACGAACATTAGTAACAGTTGTATAAAGTGCTATTGAGAGGGTAGATAGATTATTCAGGGATGGGAGACAAATTTTAAAAGCTTATAAGCATTGCTTGAAGGAAATTAAAACAGCATTTTTAATGGATAAGATAACATTCAATTTTTGTAGGGGGAGCTTCTTGTGACACAGATTCCATATTCTATAAAAATGCTCTTTAAAAAATAATTAAACTCTAATGTAGCAGTAAAATTGGCATAATGGTATGATCCAGCATGTTGCGGAAGTATGTTAGTATCCTAAGGACTTAAGTGTTTGCACCAGCAGATGTTAAAGGTGAATATTTTCCTGTCCTCTGACTAATTATCTGAGACGGGCTGCCAACTTGAACAAAATATTGGGGAGGGGCAGGGAAGCCCAGCCCCACATAATCACATGACGTGGCGCACACACACCATTTGAATGACAATGCCCATCAACTTTGAGGGGCGGCTCCCTCAAATATTTTAGGGGAGGCAAAGGGACCTCAGCCCCTAGAATTTGGCTGCTATGATCTGAGATGAATTGTTTTGTAATTGACATAGAATTCCATACATTCTTTTGATTGTTCGAGACTATTGATCAACTGCCAAAAGCAGGGTTTTTTTTCTCATTGGTGGCCCTATATATGAAGTTCAAAAGGAATAGAATTAGACCAGTGTTGAGCACATGACTCTTTAAAAGGTTTGTGAACATACAAGAGTACTAACACTAGCAAACTGAGGTCCTTTTGTAAGCAAACAATGGCTATAATTTAGGTCAGCCTCCCAACATATTTGACGTTAATTGAAGTGGTGCTTCTTGTGATGCAGACAGCTTTTCCCTTACTGGAAATGGACTACCTGCTACTTTTGCATGCAACAGCTATGTACAACATTTCAAACTAATTGATTGCTCCCCAAAATGGTTACACTGCATGGATGGATGTGAAAGAGACCTCTCCAGTTCATTTAACCTATCCAGTGCCAAGAATGGCAAGATGGACTCGTAAAAGTATAATAAAGCTGAAGACGCACTGCCTTATTTTGACAACAGAAGCAACAACAAAATTATGTTTGGACTTCCACTGTTTAAGCATTAAAACACACACACAACACACGTATTTGAATATAAACACTGTACTTCCCACTCACCCCTCTCTTCTGGAGCTATTGCGTTTTTTCCTCCAGCAGCTAAATGTTTCTTACCTTCTAAGATAGAAAAAGTTAAATTGTTTTCAATGTCTAAAATGAAGCATAATACAGTTTTAAATAGGGCTGTGAATAGGCACACACGCTTGTTAGTAGGACAAAGGGAGATGAATTTATCTCTGGTGAAAATGAGATCTGGAACCTTGCTCCTTAAAAACACACAGGCTTCACAGTCTTAAAGCTGGCTCAGTTCTTTGTATGGTCTACAACTGCAACCTCGGATCCCCAGGTCTGTTGGAATTTGTAAAATAACGAGCTGTATGTTCGCGCCTACACTCAAACTGTATGAAATAGTTTTTCTTACAGAAGTTAAATACTTCTCTGCTATTTGAGTATGGGTGCAAACAATCCAGGTTTCATTTGTAAATTCTTCCTAATAGGTGAAAAGTATTGAGGCACTAGAATATAGCAGGAATTGGGAATTCTTCCCATCTAAGCTTAAATGCAATTCAGCTACAATCGATAACAGCCTCAAATATCAGTTTTCTGTGATAAAAGAGATGGAAATGTACCAGCTGCCTTAGTTCCTAAGAGCTGAACTGTTTTTGTCAGGTTAATAAAGGACTGGCTTCTAAAAATGGGAAATCTTTCCAGCCTAGTATACACCTGCCTTGTTTTCCCCATATATAAATCCTTGTGTGTTTTTCCGTTGGGCTGGACACCAGATTTCCCAACTTTCTGAGGAATGATCAGCTTGATTCAGAACCTGCATGATCAAAAGTGTGTTAGCTATGATTTAATAATGCTTCATTTTCTGTACCATGCTTTAGAAACAAGCTTAAAAGGAACTTTTTAAAGTTAGACTGAGGATGTTTGCAGTGTGTGTCACATTTGAGCTCACTCATTTCTGAGTAAGCAGTCTGTGCGCTAAAATTTAAAGCATCTTCCCCCTCTTTTTACAGCTGACATGGGCTTTGCCCGACTATTTAATTCACCTTTGAAGCCTTTAGCTGATTTGGATCCAGTAGTTGTAACATTCTGGTATCGAGCTCCAGAATTACTGCTTGGAGCAAGGCATTATACCAAAGCTATTGGTAAGTAATGCACTGTATACCTGATTTTCCATATTTTAAATTCTAATTTTCCCTGGTGTGGTTTCCTTCCTTCCTTGTTTACAAAGATGTCTACTCTTGAAATCTTAGAATTGGACGGAATCACAAGGGTCGCCTAGCCCAACCACCTGCAATGCATTTTGGCATTTGGAAAATATAGGAAAGCATTGTGATTCTAGTGTGGAAGAAAAGTGATTCACTGAACCCTACTTTTTAAGGCTGAGTCTTCTATCATGTTTGGTTGCCCAAACATGTGCATCACTCTTAAGTTTTAAGTACTTCAGGGCACATAACTGGCAAAGACCACATTGAATTTACAGATGGTTTCACTAATTAGATAAGAAATGCCAGCAACATTTAATTCTGAAGACTGATTTGCATTATTGAATAGTGTCAGGAATGTTTTGGCTTTGAGCCAGACATGCACAAGCAGCATGATGCTCTCACAAGGTGCCTCCACAATTTTTTCTCAGATTCCCCCCCACATAGCAGCACCCCTCCATATCCTATACAATTCTGGAGGGATCATTCAGCTTTCACAAGTCTGCCTGCAAGCCTTTGATTTTAGTAGACTTGAACCCAGAGCTTGAAACAACCTGTTTGGTTTGGTTGAAATACTATTGAAAATACCTATTTTTTCAGTGTGCTTTTGAGCACTTTCTTTTATCCAAGTCCTCGATACTAGAAGTAACTGTGCAAAAGCCCTCATTGACTGAATTCAAAATGTTAGTGAAGCACTTTATTTTGTCTGACAGTAATCAGTTTCATTGAGTTTTAAGTGCTAGTATTATGAAAGAAAGAAATTTCTCCCCAGTGATGATCTTTCGTATGTCCCCTTTAAACTCCCACCACCTTCAGCCTCTCCTTGTGGGAAAGGTGCCATGATTCAGTTCCTTGATTGCTGTGATATACACCCTTTCCAAGTCTGTTATATCCTTTTTGAGATGGAGCAAGCAGAGGTGCACATCAAATTTCCAAATGCAAAGAGACCTTAGATTTAAATAGAAGCATTACAGTTCTGACTGTCTTATTTTCAATCCTTTTCTAATCAATCCCTAACAGTGGCCATCCAACATGAGCTGAAGAACTGTAAGGAAGGGGCTATAGCTCAATGATAGAGCACCTGCTTAGCATTACAAATGTCCCCAGTTCCAGTTCATGATACTTTTGTGTAGGTCTGGAAAAACTACTGACTGAAATCCTGGGGTCCTGCTGTCAGTTGGGTGTTGACAATACTGAGCAAGATGGACCAACAGGACAAGGCAGCTTCTTATGTCTTCCTGGCTAGTTACCACCAATGCAGATACCTGCTTTGCTATATATGAAATTATGGTTAAAAACAACAACAATGCAGTTTGCATAGTCTTCTTTTGCTCATTTTTCTCTAGTATCAGTGTTAAAATTAGTAATGCATTGATTTTGCTAAATACAGCAGCAGCCTATCTAGCTGCCTGTGTTCTATGTGTGTTTTTCATGCTCCTGGTTATTGGCTGATGGTAATGAGAAGAGGAAGTAGAGAAAAATTGAATGTTATATGAGACAGAGACACAATGTGTAACAAGAGATAGAGCTAAATATTCAGCTATTGTGGAAACTGAACATTTAGCATAACATTAGTTTAGTCTACATTCCTTTAACCTCAGCAAAATGTTCAATTTTTAAATGCATGGGGTCATGTGTAAAATCTTAAGGAATAAAGGGGAAATGGAATTGTCTGTAGAAAATGTACATATAACTTAAACAGAGTTGCTTGCTTTGAGAGGCCATGTGTAGCCTCTGCTGCTGTTCTTCAGACTATGCTTTCTCCTTTCAGAAAAGACTGTTTGATTTTTCCTTCCTCCTTTTTCGTAAAGATATTTGGGCTATAGGGTGTATATTTGCAGAGCTGCTAACATCTGAGCCAATATTCCACTGCCGACAAGAGGACATAAAAACTAGTAATCCATATCATCATGACCAGCTGGACAGAATATTCAATGTAATGGGATTTCCTGCAGGTACATATTCTATACATTCATTACTGATGTACTCCAGGCTATACGTATCTCCAGTACCATTTTAATAGGACTGGCATATTCTTTGTGCCATAATATTTACTGAAAATCTAGTAGGCTTGAAAGAAGCTACAGTAGCCATTGGAAAATGTCAATTTGCCTGATCTTTTTGTGGATGTGCATAGGTTTATGCACGGCCTACAAAGAACACTGTGAAATTGATCCCCCCCAATATTTTTATTTCTTGAAAGTTCTTATTGTCTTGATAAAAAGAAACAAAATCTTGAGGGCTGATAGTAGTATTTACTGCAGGAGTCCTCAGACATTTTGGACTGGGCATATTTTAAAATATTTTGTGGGCTCACAAAATACATTTTTCACAGAAGACAAACTGATGATGCTCAGAGCCCCCACTCCCACCCCAAACTGACAAAAACACAAAGCAGGCAGCTGCCCCTCCCCAAAAAACAAATAGGTGAAAGTTCACTTTTAAAAAATAAACTATTGGGAGGGGAGGGGCAAAGGGCCTTGGTAGGTAGGCTCTGGGATGCCCATGTGAATCATGTTGGGGATTCAGACCTACTGTGTTAATTTCATTGTGCACTGCTTTGCCTACTTCCATAGCAAAAATTGGTCTATATTAAAAATAGGTGTCTCTTTGGTGACTCTGATCTAGTGTTGCTGAGGCGACTGAGAGAGGATATTTTGTCCACTCATATTCATCTTCATCAATGGTGATCAGAAAGCAAAGTTTGGCATATAAAGAGGAGAGTGAATTATGGTTTTGAATGTGCAAGTGATGATGTCCTATTTCCTATGTAGAGAAAGATGAAAGAGTGCTATTAATATTCAATTCATAGATAAAGATTGGGAAGATATTAAAAAGATGCCTGAACATTCAACGTTAATGAAAGATTTTCGAAGAAACACGTAAGTTTTGCAAAGATCTAAGTAATTGTGATGATTTCTACTGCATCAGGGGTTCATACATTCAGGAACCAGGCTTCCTTGGCAATTGCCTCTTTCCTCTCTCTGGTGACCACCCCTTCCCCACAAAGATAGTTGCACCTCTGAGTTTTCTGAGAACAGCTGGGAACGGGTATGTCATGTCACACTACAGGTTTGTATTGATAACCATGTTGTTTGTGAAAAAGCCCAGTGGAGGCCAGTAAGTTTGAAGGGATATGTACTGGCCCTTCTTGGTTTAGTGGATCCTTGTGTGTTCTGCATGATTTTCTGAAGCTGTTTGAAACAAGCAATAACTGTTAATTTTCTCATTGTATAGATACATTTGAAGCTACATAGCACATATAAAATTAGTGTCTTGGCTAAAGAGACAGTTTGTTGCATTAAAATCTATTGTGCTTTAAAGGATTGGTTTTTTTATGTGTCGTAATATTATGTTTTAAGCATTATCAAACTCATAACTACTAGAAGTATGTGCATCTTATATTGTACAAGAGGGATACTGGTTGCTAACCAAATCTAATAATGGGAAGTCATTTCTATGTGGCTGGTATTAAAAGCAGTGTGTGGCCTCAGGCTACTTTTACAGCGCTGGCACCCTTTTGAATCACAGATGGACCAGACAATTCAGCACAACCAAGTTCATTAGCAAGACCTATTGGTTTTATCCTGTCCTCCAGATTTGTACTTTCTATTCAGCTTGATGCATTGTTGTGACTTACTGTTTTCTTTCAGGTATACCAACTGCAGCCTTATCAAATATATGGAAAAACATAAAGTTAAGCCAGATAGCAAAGCATTCCACTTGGTAAGACTTGGATAGTATCAAATTGTTTGCTTGTGAATTTTTGCACAGTTTCTGGAAGCATTAATTTGAATCGTTTAAATTGCTTTTCATTGCATCTCTTCACAAAAGCATTGGTTGTAAAGTTGAATTTCTGTGCCATTTCATATTTCATAGTAATTCATGTCCAGAGTAAAACCCTATGATCTAATTAATAGTTTACTACTCCCAAGTGCTAGGCGATAAGTCAGTTTTTAACATTTCTGCAGCACGTATGGTGGCAGTAGATTTCCTTCCTTTTTTAACATGCCCTGACAACCTGATAATTTGGATAGCTATTAGTTGTATCAACAGACTGCTGTGGTCAAGTGATAGCTAATGATAGAATTCAACGTGGTGCTAAGGAGATTGCTTTGCTTTCCCAATGAAACAATCTCCCCTCTCTCCTGTGCACACTGTTCTGGGGGTTCTCCTGACCCTCCAGAGCAGATATGGGGGAGGCATGACGTGGCGTGTGCAGATGGGAAGGCCTTGTATTGGTTCCTGCTAGTGGAAGATTTAGTTGACTCTGGCCCAATATTCCTTTCATTATCTTGCTTATTTACTGCGTACCTCCCTACTATGGAAGGGAAATATGGGGCTGAGGCTTCCACTGAGAAGGTTGTTCTTCTTGTTTGTATACTCAGTCTGTTCCTTATGTTGAGTTGTTTGAAGACTGGGATGCAAGGATTTGCATTGATAGGTATGTGTAGTAGCAAATTTATCATGTAATATGGCTAGCTTAAGGATATGGCTTTTCCTCACCCCAGAAGGCCATTTATCCTTGTATATGCTTCAGAATCCTGTTGCATCCAACATGCTATCTTAACACCTATTGTAAAACAGCTGCAAGCCTTATTTTAGAGAGTACTCAAGTAGCCTAAAAAATAAGGACTTCTCAAAGTAGGCATGAAAACAAAACTAATGACTGAAATGATCTAAAGATCTAAAGGGAGCACAAGGAGCCCTATTTTTACTGTTATTATTTTTGAAAAACCAACCCCTCTTCTTTTGTTAAGCATGAGGTGACAACTGTTGGCTGTGAATAGATGTATCAATCGACTGGAGTATTAGATGACCAGATTCAGTTAATATTTAGATGAAGAAAATTATTTTTCGCCTTTTAGCTGCTGGCCCTAAAGCCAGTGTTTTTCTTTAATCTGCCCAGATTTTTTTTTAAAAAAATTAAGCACAAATCTCTAACACAGCCTGATCACTTGTAAGGTATTATTTTTTATGACTATGCATAAATTTGGAAGGGGTAGATTTGCTAAAATACAAAGCAAGGATATCCTCTACCCCCCACAGCCTTAAACCCAGCAATCCAAAACCATTTCACCATGTGCTTTTATCACATGGGCTAGGTTCACTACCAGAATACTTGGGAAGAATGTTAAGTATATTGGAAAGCGCAGTGAGAGGTTGTACTTATATAGTGTGATGGGCCTATAACATTAACAACCTTGAATTGTTTGTACAGTACAGTAGAAATTAAACCTACTGCACTATAGGTGTGATATGCTCTGTGGCCCATTTATGTGAGCAAGTAAGTCTTGTAACTGCAGCTTTTCCATGGGTAGCATTTTATAGATCATATAAACCTAATTCTCAGATTATGGAAGCCTAGATTATTAGGAACCAGGTTATATTGAAACATATCATTAGTCCATCTAGCTCAATATTCTGTCAGCAGCTCTTCAAGTTTTCAGATGGGGGTCTCTCCCAGTCATGCCTGGAGATTCTGGAGATTGAACCTGGTACCTTCTGTATGCAGAGTATAAGCCCTGCCACTGAGCTAACTAGACTTTATAAGCATACAGTGGTGCCTCGCAAGACGAAATTAATCCGTTCCGCAAGAGTCTTCGTCTAGCGGTTTTTTCGTCTTGCGAAGCAAGCCCATTGACGGATTAGCGCTATTAGCGCTATCAGCTGTTTAGCGGCTATTAAAGGCTTAAAGGCTTAGGGGATTAGCTGCTAAAAGGCTATTAAAGGCTATTAAAGGCTTAGCAGATTAGATAAAGGGGGGGGAAAGCGAAAAAAACCTCAAGACTCGCAAGGTATTTTCGTCTTGCGAAGCAAGCCCATAGGGGAATTCGTCCTGCGAAGCAACTTCAAAACGGAAAACCCTTTCGTCTAGCGGTTTTTCCGTCTTGCGAGGCATTCGTCTTGCGGGGCACCACTGTATAAGGAAGCTTTGTATATTCACATTGTGGTGAAATATTTTCTTGATTGATTTGACAGCACTGAATGTCTTGTGTTTTTAACTATGCATAGCTACAGAAATTGCTTACTATGGACCCAATAAAGAGAATTACCTCAGAACAGGCTATGCAGGATCCTTATTTCTTAGAAGATCCACTTCCTACATCTGAGTAAGTGGTCAGTTTACTAGATACTATCTGTGCAGCTCTTTAAATGCTTTATTGCTTTCAGTGTCACAGCGTGACTTGGTGGGTGTGGAATGGAGGAATGTTCTGAAAATAACAAGTGAGATGCTCCTTCTTGATAAGTTATAAGAAATGGCTTTACTGTGCCATTTGCCATTTTGAAGTAATATTCCTATTAATCTTGTCCTGAGCCTTTGATCCCATTAGTCATAGCAATAATCCTGTTACTCACTGACAGGTTGATTATGCATGCTATAGATCTTCATAGTCAACTGCTAACTGCCTGCAGGTCCACTTGAAATTATAGATGACATTCTATAATAAGTTTATATTTATTTGAAAACTTGATGGGTGGACTATGGTGAGGATGGGGACCGCCTTCCAACTTCACAACCAAAGTCTGGATGTAGGGCATATTCATGCACTTTCTTTGTTTTTAAATATAACGATTTGCTTTTTAAACATCCGTATTCTCAATATGTAGGCAAGACTTTGAAGTTCGTATTTGAAAGACATGACTATTTCTTTTGTGTCAAAGAATATTTCACTGGCAAGTTGGTAAAACTATTTCAACCTTAATTTGATGATTTATGCACCCAATTTGCTTTTTGATGTTTTACACATATGTATGGGCAATGGGTGCAGCCTTTCTGAAAATGAAATTCACAGGCACATACTGACTTTAGAACAAACTTGGTTTTCTTCCATCATATGATTTGTTTGGTGTAGCCTAAACTGCCCTTGGGAAATATCCCTTTCTTCTTTAAATCATAAATTGGTATCTCAACTTATTAGAAAAATATTTAGATACTAATAGCTGCAGAGATCTGTATGCAAAACAATAGGTATAATTGCCCATCAGTTAAACTGTGCAAACACTGCCAAAAACATAAAATTTTGCAAAAATTATTCTTTCCCTACTAATTATCAATAGGAAGGAGGTAGAGTATGGAAGACACATCCATGACCCTTGATCTCACATTTTTAAAACAACAGGATGAATATGCACAGCATTCAATCTTTGGTTGTGAAGACTAAAGGTAGCCAGTTTTTTTGTGTAGAAGCAGAATAAAATTTGCAAAAACTGCAAATAACTGCAATTTCAGTGTCTTCTGCGATCTTCTTTGTGGACCTCTACATCACTAACGAACTGATTTTTTAAAAAATGCACAGATTTTTATAAAATCTTTCATGACTAATTCCTCTATTTGTTCCAGTTCAAAGTGTGTACTGATTACATATTTGGGTCTCATTGCCCCAACTTGTTAGGCAAGGCAAAACACAGCCAGAGGGGTTTTACATTCCAGTCCCATAGCAGAATATGAATACTTAACTGAAGAGCTTTAAAGAGGCTATCAGAAGTACTTGACCTACTTGAAAGGTATAAATAGGCTGCAGAACTTATTGTGTGTAAGTCAGTATACCCAATAAACTCTGTATACAATACCAAGTAAACAAGCACAGTGGTCTGAAGCTGTATGATGTATTCTGCATCAGAAGCTAAGGAGCTTATTGCTGGCCTTGTAAACTTCATAGGAGATCGCCTAGGACCATTTCTAAGCTGTTTTGAGCTCCTCAGAGGAAGAGTGGAGTATTAGTGTAATAACATAAATGTGCAACATAATACCATGGTGTCCCTGGGCCTTTCTGAGGAATGTTTTATCTCTCTTTACCTCAACACTCCATGGAAGAGATTACTAGTAAACTGGATTTGAATGGGTGTTTAGTGAATTCAGTTTCATTGCTGGGACACATACTGGTCTAAACTATTGCTTCTTCTATCACCCACTGTAGAACGCTGCAATATCAATTACTTCTGATACATATCTTTCTGGATTCTTATTCTGCCATCTTCCTATCTCTTATCATCACCACACAAGTCCCCAAAAGGGTTGTCCCACCCAAATTAATGGGGACCCTAGTAGCTATTTGAAATATTTGTTTAAAGTGTTTTTGGTGGGGGTTTTTTTTTAGCAAACCTGAGCCCCTTTATACTCCCTTTATTCCTCAACAATTATGGGATCCGTTGTCATGTGGTATTCCATCTTTCCCCTACATTTTCTGGGTTGTTTTTTTAAATAGACCTTTAACTTGCATCTAACTTTCTAAGCTATCAGGAGTCTGATTTGCCCTGTTGAAATGAATAATAAAGTGAAACTATCAAATGCCTGAGTTAACATTGATAGGGCAAACATACAACCCTGACTCTCTTATTTATAATACTCATTTTTTAATGGCTATTAGACTTTTGGGGTACATCCCTCCCGCCCCCAGCACCAGTATTCACTTAGACAGTCACTAGGAGCCCAGTATTTCACTTAGACATTTTTTGGATTTTGTTTTTCTCTTCTGTTAATGAGCCCACTTTTTCACTTATGCATTTCTTCTGTTTCTCCTATAGGGCTTCCTTGATAGCCCACTGAGGAATTTAAGTTAATATGTGCTCCAATAGCTTTTCGGTTGGAATATGTTTTTCGAATGTGATACCAATAAGATTTCTACCACCCTTCATCAACAGATCTCAGGGGCAGTTCACAAGACGAAATTAATCATTATTTCCAGCTAGGACTTTTAAAGTGGTCCATTGGTCACAACAGCAGGCTGATACAGTAAAAAAAGAAAAGCATGAGAATTATAACTTGAACATTCAAAGAAGATTGGCACAGCCCCTCTACAAAGATTATATGCAGATGTGGGGGGGTGTGAAATGGGCTACTGGTTTCTGATTGGCTTTTATTTGCTGTTCTTTTATAATGTTGCACATGTTGCTACTGTTAATTTTAAATAGATCTACAGATAGAGAGTATAAATCAAATGATAATGGCTTACATGGTCACAGGTAGGTGATCCATAACAGCTGTCCTTACGTTAGATATGCAGTCTCTTCACTGATTCCTTAGCAAAAAGTTCAACATGGAATTGGGAAACATGGAACTGAAGACAGCTTGCAATAACTTTAGCTTTATTTGCATGGGAAATATTACTTGAAAATAAAACTATGGTACAAAATAGGTTAGGGGGCAAGACATATGAGCAAGAAGAGATGAATCATCATAGAATTTAGTATTTCCAGTCTTGTATAGAAATGGGGCAGAGCATTTTTCAGCTTGTCTTAGCCAGAAAAACGTGTTTGGGATGACTTGCTGGTATATGGTAAAAACAGCTAGGAAACTGTGTCACTTGGCTTCTTACTAAAATGGAGGCTTGCAAGTCTATGCACTGGCAAACTTGTGCTTGGGCTGTAATATAGTCCATTACTAAACTCTGTATTATAAGCAGTGTATTTAATTGATAGCTGGAGATCTTCTCTCTTACTGAAGAAACTGATAGCCTTTCAGAACAAATTGTCATACTTGGAACACTTCAAAGACTAAAGTCACTTCCTAAAAGACTAAAATCACAAATGGCAAGTGACACATAAAGCAGCTTGAACCAGGATGAAAACCATTTTATTACCATTATTAATTATGGGACACATTTTTTTTCTAGTAGGGATTTATGCTCTTTGCTTACACACACAAAATGATTGCTTCTTTTTGTTTTTATATTTGCAGTGTGTTTGCAGGTTGTCAAATCCCATACCCAAAACGAGAATTTTTAACTGAAGAAGAGCCTGATGATAAAGGAGACAAAGTAGGTATTTATTTGAAGGTTAAAATGAGAGAAATACATTTAGGAGGTGTATTTTGTTAATCAGGTTGGACAATTTTATAATTACCAAGTTGTTAAGGCAATCATATTTTTGATAGGGTTAATGGATCTGATTTCAAGCATTTAAGTTACTGAGAGTACATGATTTATTATTCCATACTTTTACATATATGTCCCTGATTGTTGCTACTACTTTTTTTTAACCATTTCCTACCAAGATAAGAATTATAGCATAAAATAAATTAATAATATGATGAGATGAAGGTTAATTAATATGGATAGAAGTTAACATTAATTATGGGTCATTCCAACTCTATACATCAGACATGGCAAGAAATTGAGAACTTCTGCACCATTTCAGTTTACATAAATAATATAGAAAAAAATTAATATCAGTAATCAGATCTGATCCATGGCTTGTAGAATAATAAGGTTTAGAGCATTTTCATGGTACCTAATTTGAAGTCTTTTTATTATCTGCAACTCTAGAAAGTGATGATTCCAAGTTCCTTTCATGTTAACTTATTTTGAATAAGGCTATAATCCTAAAATGCATAGTTGAAAACATGGCAAATAAATTGGGCTTACCTCTGAATAAATAGTTATGATAGGGCTGTATGGTATGTTTATATTTGATTTTAATTTGTTTGCATACTTAGGTGGAAATAGTAAAGTAATTATTATTAAGTAATTAGTGGCTTTGTGCCTGACTTAGCCTTACACAAGACTGGATGCTTCCTACCCATGAACTCCCTCTGAGCTGTATCTTACATTTTTTTCTTTAACAAATTGAGAAGAACCAGCAGCAGGGCAATAACCACACAAATGGAACTGGTCATCCAGGGAACCAAGACAACAGTCATACGCAAGGGCCTCCCTTGAAAAAAGTGAGAGTTGTCCCTCCTACCACTACCTCAGGTGGACTTATCATGACCTCAGATTATCAGGTATTTCTGTTTTCAGCTTTCAGTTTTGTTATGGTACTGTGAATCATTTATATTAGCTGTTATGTCCATACCTACTAAAAGTTGTATTTTTAAAATCTATTTGAATATATGTTTTAATTGTTAAACACAACTGATTCAAGTCAAAAGGCACCAGTGGAGACCTGCACAGTGTGTCATTGCTAACTAGTTCAGTTCATACATCGTGCCACACTGTGGTATGAAGCACTTGAACTGTGGTTTGAGTCTCAAAACAGATAATGGACAACCCATGGTTTGGAGCTGTTGGTCTGGTTTCATTTCCCACCCTCTTAACAATTAGCTACATAAGTTGAATCCATGGTGCAACAATCTCTAGAGCTGTAGAAATAGCTGCCATAGTTGTCATTTCCGTTGTGTTAAACATGGCAGCATTTGACCAGCCACATATGTAATATTCTTTCTCTCTCTCTCTCTCTCTCCCTCTCTCCTCCAATGCGTTGCTCAGCGTTCCAATCCCCATGCTGCCTATCCAAACCCTGGACCAAGCACATCACAGCCACAGAGCAGCATGGGATATTCAACTACCTCCCAGCAGCCTCCACAGTACTCTCACCAGACGCACCGGTACTGAGCTGCACCTAAATAAAGTCAATGCACTGTTGCTAAGGCTGCAGGACTGGCCGTGCTGCTGTCTGCCTGGAACCTGGCGTTGGGCTGCAAGAATGTACTGTAAACTATCACATTTTCAAAATGTCTGATAGCCAAGTTCCACTACTTTTCACAGGCTGGGAGTAGTGGCTCCCTCAGATTGTACCCATTATGGAATTAGACTTGAAAAGAAAGTACTAGCACAGTTTGTGTTGTGGATACGCTACTTCCATAGTTTACTTGACATGGTTCAGACTGACCAATGCATTGTTTTCAGTGACAGTCTGTAGCAGTTGAAGCTGTGAAATGTGCTAGGGGCAAGCATTTTTGTTGTTGTGAATTCTATTGATGTTAACAACGTTATCTGACCAATAGTACGCAAAATCTCTTTAACTGGTATTTGAAGCATACAGTATGTGTTAATGAGATGAAAGCAAACTAACCGTGGCTCCAATTGAGAATTTTTTTTATATACATTGACTTTTAGTGACTTTTTTGTGGGTTGATTCATTTTCCACATTGATCAATGTTTTATGACCAACAAATTTGCTAGAGAGAGATTTTTTTAAAGACACAAAAAATGAGCATTTTTCCAGCAGATTTACAAGCCTCCCAAAGATTAATTTTCAGCATATGTTTATTTTGTTCTCAAATCTATGACTTGACTGGTATTAAAGCTGCTATTTGATAGTAAATGAGTGTGTTACTGAGATAAACCTGTTTGGTTCAGCAACCAACTAAAATGATTGTCATAGACAGTGTTTTATTTTTCCTGTTGGTGTTAACTGATTTGTGAGCATGCTTGGAATTAAAAAAAAAAGCATGAGTGACGTTCCCTGCAAACAAACAAGCAGTGCAGCATTCATTCAGATATTTTTGTCATGATTTTTTGAGAGCTGGCTTGATGTAGTGGATTTTAAATTTTAATTATTTTTAAATATGTTCGCACGTTGCTTTAGGGTCTCCCTTATTAAAGCAAAGGATTAAGGTGTTAGGAGAACCTTAGAATTTGAGGAAAAGCTATACCATACAATGTACTGTATCAAACTATTTTACATGAATGACGCAGGTATTCTGAATTTTAAAAGAAATCAACATTGTTAAAAACAAGGTGTTACATAATAAAATTATTTTTCATAAATCTGCAAATGATTTTGCTTGTGCTTTTGTCGGTTGACGCTAAGAAAACATGCGCTTGGCCTATACAGCGGTACCTCGGGTTAAGAACTTAATTCGTTCTGCAGGTCTGTTCTTAACCTGAAACTGTTCTTAACCTGAGGTACCACTTTAGCTAATGGGGCCTCCCACTGCTGCCGTGCCGCCAAAGCACGATTTCTGTACTCATCCTGAACTAAGGTTCTTAACCCGAGGTACTATTTCTGGGTTAGTGGAGTCTGTAACCTGAAGCATCTGTAGCCTAAAGCGTCTGTAAGCCAAGGTAAAGGGTAAAAGGACCCCTGACCATTAGGTCCAGTCACGGACAACTCTGGGGTTGCAGCGCTCATCTCGCTTTACTGGCCAAGGGAGCAGGTGTACAGCTTCCGGGTCATGTGGCCAGCATGACTAAGCCGCTTCTGGTGAACCAGAGCAGCACATGGAAACACAGTTTACCTTCCCGCTGGAGCAGTACCTATTTATCTACTTGCACTTTGACGTGCTTTCGAACTGCTAGGTTGGCAGGACCAGGGACCGAGCAACGGGAGCTCACCCCATCGCGGGGATTCGAACCGCCGACCTTCTGATCGGCAAGCCCTGATCAGCAAACCACCCGCGTCCCGAGGTACCACTGTATAATAAAAGCAGTTGAGGGCAAGAGCACCTCATTTAACATAACACAAGAAGCTGTCTTGTACAGGATCAGACCAGTGGCCATTTAGTCCAGTGTTGTCTACCCTGAAAAGCAGGAGCTCTCCAAGGTCTCCAGCAAAGCTCTTCCACTGCAGTGCTATCTGTAACCCTTCACCTGTAAAAATGCTGCAGAACCCATTGTCTCTAGGGGAAATAATTCCTATTGATAATCTAAAGAGTATCAACCTTTCCTTCGACTGTTTTTTCCCCACTGGTTCCTTGGCTGCATATCTAAGGTAAGTATGTTTTAATACAGTTTATATGCAGTAGTCCATGCCAGAACAGCCCAATCTCATATTTGTGTGTCGGAGCCAGCTGTGACACAGTGGCGAAGTTTAGCATAAAATTATGACACAGAGAGCCAGCAATATTTTCATGATGGTAGGAGCAGCTCCTCTCGAACTTCCCTCTCCTCCTCCTGCAAACTTCTTTATTCCTTTGTCCCTCTCCAGCCGCATGGCTGTTTGCCAGTGTCTCACGTTACCTCATCCGGTCAAGGCTTTTATTGCCCCCTTCACCGTATAAGGTCAATCACTGCCCAGAGGAAACACAGCTCCAATACATTCCAATACATTGTAAAGCTCAGAGTGCTGATCAGCCAAGGTCAGGGGGCACCCTGCAATATTACAAGCCTTTACCGTGGCTTTATGACTCCCACATTCCCTCTTTCTTTACTTTATATCAGAGTCAATACGCGATAAGCAACTCTTTGACACCGGAAGCGGGCTGCGGACTGGAGAACCATGCAGTACATATAGAGATTATAGAAGGAATACATTGGATACAGCAACACAAAATAACACAAATAACTACTATAATGATCACTAAAATCAATAACTACTATAATGATCACTAAAATCCGGAAGCCAAGAATATAAGAATTCTGATTCCAAGCTGCATGGTAGGCTTCCTTTTAGTTTAATAGCCATGCACTGGTGTCACTTCTATAGCACTGAGATTTGTCACTGTATATTCCTGTAAGAGAACAAGAGCTATTAAAAGTGAAATTCAATGTATATTGACAGTTTGGATATATGCCCCATGATTCTTCCCCTCCTTAATTTGAAAATAACAAAAAGTTTGCTTAGGGGATATAATATTAGTAAATTGAAAAGATCCATTGACAGGCACACCATGAAGCATTATGCCTGAATAACTGGCATACACACCCAACATTTAGAAGCATGCAATAAACTGGCAAACATAATCATATCTTGTACAAAAATATTATCCCTCCATATCTTATGATAATTTTCTCCCCTAAAAGTCTTATTCAACAACGCTGTTCTTCTAGTTCAAAAGTGGCTGAGCCGTGGATACTGCCAGCCAGAGTAGGAAGCTGACGACAGCTGCTTGCCAGCCGATGAGGTGAAATATGGTGGTTTCAACTGGACTGGTCGTCTGCTTCTCTTCCTTGTATAACGGTGCAGCAAAGGATGGCAAGGCAAATGGTTAGGAAGGAAAACACTGCCAGATGCAGCTCGTGTGCAGCACCTCTAGGTGGCGCATGCGGAAAGGTTTCAATGCTTCACCCACAAAATGTTGACAAAGTGTAGGGGAGTTCCACATGCCTTGAGGCAGGACAACCCACTGATATCGCTGGGTGGGCTGCGAATTGTTATATACTGGCAATGTAAAAGCAAACCGTTCCCTGTCTGCTGGAGCCAGTGGGATGAAGATGGTTCAATGTGGCCGAAAGTCAATTGTTCAGAAATAAGCTGGTCAGAGATAGCTGGTGCCGCTGCTGCGGATTTTTCTTTTGGTAGAGGCCACTGTTCTACCCCCACTGGGGTATCGGTGATCCTGGTTTGCCACCCTGGAAACAAGTTGTATTGGTGGCTACAGGCTGGTTTTCATTTAGCGCTGCTGCCAGCAGATAAGCCTTGTGGGTGGCTTTAACTACAGACTGACAAATGCGAAGCATGGCTGCTGTGTCTGTGGCAGGATTGTGTATTATCAGTCGCAACACAAGTTTACAATCCTCATTGGCATTTTCAAAGGTCAATTGTTTGATAATTATTTGTTTGGCTTCAGGATTTTCAATTTGGCGACTCACTGCTGTAAGCAGCCTGTCCATAAAGGAAGAATATGATTCTCTTGCCTCTTGCCTGATTGAACCCCACCTTGATTGAATACTGGTGGGTTCTGGGATTTTTCTCATTGCTTGTTTAGCAGCAAGAGCAGTGTCCCTCAATAAGATTTGCAGCAGTGTGGCTTGCACTGAAGCTTGAGCGAAGGGACCACGCCCCAACATGGCATCTAAGACATCTGCGAGGGTAACATTTGGATTATTTCCTCTGACTTGTTGTAACAAAGCTGGAGCATAAGCACGGCAGGCAGTTTCCCATTCGTGGGCAAACAAAACACCAGCTGATGGGGGTAACACTGTATGGGCCTCTGGAACCAAGAGCTGGGCTAATGTGGCTTCTAAAAGCGCCTGCGTATATGGGGCTTGTAGTCCATTTGCCTTTACTGACTGTTGCAGCTCTTTCAAAATCTTAAAGTCAAAAGGTTGGTGTTGGGCTTGAGTTCCTGCTGGAGCGCCAGCAGGGGGCACAATAACAGGGAATGCCATAGTATCCTGAATTAAGGAACAGCCAAGGACTGCACATTGAAAAGGAGTAGCTGGTTCTGCCACTGAAAGATTAGGATCATTGCCAGCCAGACCACGGTATTTTTGCAGGATTGGGTCCTCTGGTGAGGAACTGTAGTCTGGAGGTTTGGGGTCTGGAGCTACTGGCAAAGCAAGTATTGGAACAGTCTCTAACACAGCAGGCTGGAGTAAGGAAGCTGGAGGTTGTGTTGGCAATGCAGCCATAGAGATATTTTTTGGTGATAAAGAGTCCATGGCATAACGAACCTTGCACCATGCATTTAGAATCCGAACACTTATGCTGGGGTGCCCATGAAAATGTTCCCCGATCTTGTCCCAAAGTTTTAATTCCCAAGTCCCATCTGCAGGAAACCAGGGGGAATGCTCTTTGATAGCCAGAATGAGCTATATTAAATCACCATCAGGAACTTCCAATTCGTTGGAGGAGAGGAGAAATTTTAAGTCTTTTAAAAATTTCTGTTGGGGAGCAGACAAAGAGCTGCCCATTTTTCTAAAATCAATATAAATAAGGGATCGGAACTCACCGGGATCTTTTTAAGATGAATAGCGCTTGAAACCCTGGCCGGGCGTAGTGAGCCGATGATATCCTTTGCTAGGATCGATAAACCTCACACGGTTTCCTTTTAAAATCCTCTTAGTCTGCCTCAGACTGTTTTCTTCAAGTTGCCTCACACGGTTTTCTTTTAAAATCCTCTTCCTCTTAGTCCTCAGACGTATTCTTTTATTCAGCCTCACACGGGGCACCACTTGTCGGAGCCAGCCGTGACAAAGTGGCGAAGTTTAGCATAAAATTATGACACAGAGAGCCAGCAATATTTTCATGATGGTAGGAGCAGCTCCTCTCGAACTTCCCTCTCCTCCTCCTGCAAACTTCTTTATTCCTTTGTCCCTCTCCAGCCGCATGGCTGTTTGCCAGTGTCTCACGTTACCTCATCCGGTCAAGGCTTTTATTGCCCCCTTCACCGTATAAGGTCAATCACTGCCCAGAGGAAACACAGCTCCAATACATTCCAATACATTGTAAAGCTCAGAGTGCTGGTCAGCCAAGGTCAGGGGGCACCCTGCAATATTACAAGCCTTTACCGTGGCTTTATGACTCCCACATTTGTGACCACTGCTTTCCTGCCTCACCACTTCTTACAGGGATTATCTTTCTGCTCCAGTCAAAATACATTCCTCATCCTTTCTGAACTAGTCATGGGTTATCGATTGCCAACAGAAGTGATGGTCATGCAATAGAATTGTGTGGGCCTCCTTTACCTGTGTTACCAACACTTATCCATGCTCTGTGTGGGAAGAGGAATGAGTTGGCTACTGTTTCCTACTTGTCTACGTTACTGAAAGCCCCACCCAGGAACTGTGTAAAGAACAAAATGCATTGGGCACTGTTTCTACCAGTCAACATTTCAACTGTGGAAGGCATTAACTGGGCTGTGGGTAGCAGGCCTTTTGTAAAAAATAATGTGCAAGTGAAAGCTTTGGGGGTGTGGAATGTGCAGTTCCCAAAACATTTGTGCAGTTCAAATTTCAAATAATTAAAAATTTAGCTGATGTGGAAAGTGACAGCATGAGAAGCAAAGTGAGTAGCCAAGCCATCTTCAAGGTTATCCATTTCTCTTCCCCCTGCCAAAGACACTGCACAGACACCACTGCTACACTCCATGGAACGTTCATCAATGTTTCTGAGATCATGGGGGCTCCCTTCCTGACAAATCAGGAAGCAACAATGTCTGTGTTATGGCAAGGGTGGTAATGCCAGGAAATACCTAATATGGCATTCTTAACAGGGATTGCTGAACTGTATTTGAGCATCTGGGCTTCCCCTCCCCTTTGTTTTTTATAAAGGATGGCTCCGTGGTAGAGCATCTGTCTTTCACATACCATATCTCAAGATAAGATTGGGAATGCCCCTGCCTGAGACCCTGGAGGACTGCTGCTGGTCAGGGTAGACAGCATTGAGCTTGATGGACCTAATGGTCAGACTGTATATGGCAGCTTCCTATGTTGTTCATTTCTTAAATATCTCTCCAAATAACATTTCATTGGAGTTCATGATATCTCTTGTTTGAAGCTTGAATATAACACCCACCTGCATTAGTGCACAGTTGTGAAGATTGCCTGCCACTCTAAGCTTGTAAGTGTGATGGAATGTGTGCAGATTATATATAGATAAACACAAAGATTCTCACACAGCTAGATCGCCACACACACAGACAGACACACAGTTACACAGCAGAAGAGAAAATGTAGAAGCATGTTGCCAAAAGGCGCTATATTGTGTGGAGTGGACACCATGCCCATGAATACAGTGGTCCGTGGCATTGGGCCCCACCAAGAAAAGAATCCTGGATACAATCTAAATTTTCCCTTTGGATTTGAAGAGACAAAAATCGGAACGTAATGCTTCTGATGTAAAAAAGATATTTTAAAAACGATGCTTTTGAAAATATATGTGCATATTTAAGTATTTTCTCCCCACCAGCTGTAGGAAGAAATGCAATGAGAAAGAAGGGGACTCTGCCCTTGGGCCTCTCAGTCTTTAAAAGGCTGTGCATATACTCTAATACTCTTTTTACTTGCATATGAAGGGATGCTATAAAACTCAGCTTGGGCTTTTAACTCTGAAATATCATGTCGAATATTTCTGCCGCTAATAAATATTTGACATAACTGCACTCCAGAGATGGTTGCTGCTGAGGGTGGGCCATTGTGTTCCCCTCTAACAGAAATGGGTAAATTGCTGCTTTAGAAATCCAGGCTCCTGATGTATGGTTTCTGTCATAAGCAAAATGCCTTTGGGTGATGTGCATTTAATAGAGAGAGGTTAATATGTTGGTGATTTATCTCAATGTGGTAAGATCATGCTTGGAAGTCGGTAATCCCAGGAGCTACATTTAAAAGCATTCAATAAAGAAGATTTAATAGAGCTGCTAGCACTAGTGAAGGGTTCAAGGATTTTAGAGGCAGCAATCTTTATATAAAAGGAAACGATAGGCCAATAAAAGAGTCGGGAGTCTTTTCCTATGGAAAGCCTATTGGCCTCTACAGTTTTAGTAGGGCAGCTGTTAAGACAGAATATCAATAGCTTATGAGTTACTTACACTGGCTTTTAAGGCCAATGGCTAAAGCTGACCTAGAAACATCCCTGTTCAGAGGCTGTATTTTTGGGATGTCAAATGCTAGACACAACTAGGAAAGCCACCACACAACCTTCTTGTGAACTTCCAGGAGGCATGTGGTCTGGCTGCTGTTGAAAATGTAATATTGGGTTAAATGGACCCTCATCTGATCCAACAAGAGAATTCTGAGCCTCCTTAGGCTTAGCTTTTGTGGCGCAAAACTTCCCCTGATCACATCAAAATGCATTAAGACACCTGAGCTTTCTGAATAAATCATACAAAATATTCCTACAGGGCTTCATTTAGCATGGGATTTACATCTCTTGCCTCTTCATGTTTAAAGATGAGATGATAAAATACTTGAGAGAAGGATTATATATCACTAGGCAAAGTCCCATTTTTTGAATAAGAGTGATTAGGACTTAGCTTCTTTTAAAAGGGTAAATCAAAAGTGGAGGGGGTGGTAAGGTAAATAGAAATAAAAGTACCCACTTCACTTTGAGAAGTAATGAAGAATCTGTAATCTGCATCTTCCAATATTAAGAAAGCTTTAGGAACTGTTTATTTAACTTACATAGATGTCTAACGCATCCTGATGGTGATTAAAACTCAATCAAGGCAAAACTAACAACAAAAGCTGGAGACAGTTTAAAAAGCTGAAAAATGTAAAGAAGAAGAAGAATGACAAAAATAAACCAGTGACTTAGATTATGTACAGTTACTTCTCTCACCCTGCTCCTTTGCTTTACATGAAATATTTTGGGTAAAATACTTAAATTGGAACTTTGGCTATGCTGCAAGTTTAAGAATTTATTTTTAAAATTATAAACCACCTTTTGTTCAAAAATGGCAGAATATCCCTCCCTCCTGCAGCGATTATGTTTCCCAAAGTGTTTGGGGGGGATGACATTGTGCACTGTGCTGTGCCATGGACTTTGGGGGATGTGCCCTCTCTGCCCTCAGAGATCTCTAAATAGACGTGCTTTGGGAAAACTGGGGCTGGGGTAAAGAGAAATAGCATCATTCCTCAAGAAATATTGGGTAGGATGCCAGTACTTAATAATCACTTTAATTCCAGTCACTGGAAAAGGCATACATCCACATATATTTTAAAATTCCTCTCCCAAATAAATGTGATTGAAGTGCTCATGAAAATAATTCACTGTGATTAAAAGCTAGACCTCTCTGTTGAAACAAAAGATTCCCCACTTCTCCAGCCTCTTTTCTCTCCAGTTCTGGGCGTTTCTCCAGTCTGCTTGGTTTTATTTTGCAGGGTGGGAGAGAAATGGTTGTGCAGTTTTTGGACAAGTGAGACCAGGGCAACTTGGGATCTTCAGGAGTCCCAGATCTACTTGGAAATGTGAAGATCTCTGAATCACCTTGATTCACCTTGTAATCCACACAGCACGTCCAAAACTGATGCATACTCTTAGCCATGACATCGGGAGGGGGACAGACCTTTTTGGGTCCACAGGAGGGGGGATAACTGGTTTGTTTTTGTTCTTATTTTTATTAAGTATTTTGTGTTTTTTTCTATTGCAATTTTATGTTGTGAACTGCCCTAAGATCTATGGATGAAGGGCAGTATGCATCATCATTGTCATAGATCTTTACCCAGCACTAACTTTGATGTTACGTGATTTACAGGTAGATTGCCCTACCAGTCACAATCCCTTGCATGGGGGTCCCAAGCTTGCGAAGCACAGTGCAAAGGGCATTGCAAGCCTCCCCACCATCTCCTTTCTCTCTGCAATATTAGATGTCAAAAGGGGAGGAGAGGGGATTTCTCAAACCATTCTGCAAGCCTCCTCATGCTTCACCTTGCCATTCCCTTCTTGTGCAAGGTGTGCTCCTACTGCCCATTGACATGGGGGGCGGGGTTACAAAGACACCTTGCTCCAGCAAAGTAACAAATGGAAGCCCACTTTAGGATCCCGATGATTCTTTTGAAGACACGTCTTTAACCTGCCTCACACTAACATCATGCATGCCCACAGATGTAGGACAGGTGGGTGTGGCTCCCCCAAAATGGCCTAGTGAGCCAAGTTTGGCCCATAGACCAGACGTTCCCCACCCTGCATCTCATCAAGCTACAGCAAAGGAAGGAAAAGAAGGGATGCAGAGCCAGTTCATCTGAGGGTCCACCCCAACTGGCCAGCAGAAGTGATAATGAAGAACTTGTTCCTGAGTTTGCTTATTTCCTCAGCTCCCCCAGTCCATTTTCCTTTTGTGTTGTGTCTTTTTATATCGTAAGCCAGAGGGCAGGGACTGTCTTGTTTCGTTGTTGTTGTTGTTGTTGTTTAGTCGTTTAGTCGTGTCCGACTCTTCGTGACCCCAGGGACCAGAGCACGCCAGGCACTCCTGTCTTCCACTGCCTCCCACAGTTTGGTCAAACTCATGCTGGTAGCTTCGAGAACACTGTCCAACCATCTCATCCTCTGTTGTCCCCTTCTCCTTGTGCCCTCCATCTTTCCCAACATCAGGGTCTTTTCCAGGGAGTCTTCTCTTCTCATGAGGTGGCCAAAATATTGGAGCCTTAGCCTCAGGATCTGTCCTTCCAGTGAGCACTCAGGGCTGATTTCCTTCAGAATGGAGAGGTTTGATCTTCTTGCAGTCCATGGGACTCTCAAGAGTCTCCTCCAGCACCATAATTCAAAAGCATAAATTCTTCGGCGATCAGCCTTCTTTATGGTCTTGTTTTAGTGAACTACAAGTCACTCTGAGAACTCTCTTTGACCGGAGGACAGGGTGAAAATTCATAAATAAAAGATTGTGGGTGGGAACAGAGTCACACTTCTCAAGCCTAAGCACATTGGATTTCATACATATACAGTACGGCAAATGCAAACATTACACCCAACAAAGGTATTTGGCAGGGCAGGTACATCCAGTAGGTGGAGTGCAAAGGCATAATCCTCAGCCATGTGTAGGGAGGAAATTAGAGTGAAAGAATCGCTCAGTCCAGGTCCTCCTCTCACATTTCCAGAGTAGCCCTACAACTCTGAACCAGGAGTGCAAAACATTTGAATACATTGCCTCACAGTTCAAGTTCAAGTTCAAGTTCACAAGGTGCATTTCTTTCCTAAATCCACTAGATGGCAAATATCAATGGTACTGTGCAGTACTTTAAGAACAGCAGGCTTTTAAACTACATTATATACACAGTGTTTTTCTGCAGAAATATCAGTTAAGCCAAATAGTATGTATATGGGATAGTCTCTAATGTCAGTCCTGGTCAGAGTAGTAGACCCATTAAAAATAATGGCTATGATTAAATTAGGTTAAGTTCAATGGGTCTACTCTGATGAAGACATTGGATACTCCGAAGGAAGACAATTGGATACAACTTACAGATTTCAGTTTTTTCTTTATGAAAGCAATAACTATTTTAATCAGCTGCTCTATATTAAATACTACTACTTTTGTGGGGTTATGTTAATAAAGAATTGATTAAAGGGCAAGCTTTTAAATCGTTCCACTCCCCTACAATCTGAAACCCCTTTCCTACCTCTGGAGGCAAACCTGATGAGGTCTCTCCCTGGATGCTGTGCTCTTCTAAAACACTGTCAGAATTTTTTTGAGGGGCAGGGCAGCGCCATATGTAGGTTCTGGGAGACCTAAGTCTTCATCAGAAAATGAGTTGCCCAGCTTCAGGTCTGGAGCCAACATGTATAAATCCCTATATTTCTACTCTGGATCACCACCTCTGCCTTTCTTCCTTCAGTTTATTGGTTAGTTTTTCTAATAAGGCTGTTTCCCATACTATTTGATACCATTGGTCCATGCTTACTCTTGACAGGTCTCTCTTGGCTATGATGTTTCTGGCTGTTGAGAGTAGGTGGGTTATGAGCTCTTTATGATGTGAATTGGCATTATTATCTTGGAAGATGTTTAGTAGGGCCAGTTCTGGGGTGACTTCTAATACTTGCTTAGTTATTTTGAATATTTCTTATATGATTGCTGTCCAGAAGAGTTGGATTTGGGGACATTCCCACAACATGTGGAGGTATGTGCCTGTAGAAGTGCATCCTCTCCAGCCAGGCCCCACTTTTTAAAGCAAAGCCCTTTGTTCCCACATCCTCCAGAATACACCCTAAGCCAACACAACTCTATTTGCCATATGTATCTCTTCTTCTTCTTCTTCTTCTTCTTCTTCTTCTTCTTCTTCTTCTTCTTATCTCTTCCATTGCAACCTCTTTCTAGAGTGGCCATGCATCCTACTTTACAGAGCACAGTCCTCTACTTGAACAGAAGTCTTATCCAAGCCCAGTTTATGACAAAGAACTAAGAAGGGAGACAACAGGAGGGGCCTTGGAGTTGCCCCTCAGCAGTGAGCATCTGGAAAGCCGACTGAGCAGCACACACATCACCTTGTCACTGTCTTCCCCACTATGGTGAGACTGCATTTCTGTTGAAATTGTAACAATTGGGATGGATTCAACTAAGTTGTTTTACTAACAGGACCCTAGTGCAGGGCTTCTCCTGGTGCAACAGGACTTCCCCACCTTCTCCCCGTGTACATGCCCCATATTGGCTCTTTGGGTGTCAGAGAGAATCTCCAGAACAGCACAAGGGGGGGGGGAGGTTGCTTCATTGGGCAAGGAGAAATGCTTGCACTGAATGAAAGCCTGATTTAATGCAACACTGAATTCCTCCATGTTACTAAACTTGCATGCATGCATACAAATAAGCTTATGCAAAGTTCATGCAAATCTGCACTCTCCTTTGCGTTTTTATTGGAGGAAGGTAATGCACTTTTCTCTCGCTCTGGTATCAGGTTTAAGGTGCTGGTTTTAACCTTTAAAGCCCTATACGGACCAGGACCCTCGTACCTACGGGACCGCCTCTCCTGGTATGTCCCACGGAGGACCTTACGGTCTTCAAATAAAAACATCTTGGAGATCCTGGGCCACAGGGATGTTAGGCTGGCCTCAACCAGAGCCAGGGCTTTTTCAGCCGTGGCCCTGATCTGGTGGAACTCTCTGTCACAAGAGGCTAGGGCCCTGCGGGACTTGACATCTTTCCGCAGGGCCTGCAACACAGCTGGCCTTCCACCAGGCCTTTGGCCAAGGCACAGTCTGACCCCCTCCTTCTCATAGAACTGTACCCCAATGGTTGCCATTAATTTGATTCTGAATTGATTTTAGAATGAATTGATTTTAGAAGGTATTTCAATTAATTGACTGTGATTTTAGGTAAACTGTGCTATTTTTACTGTTGTTAGCCACTATGAGCCCGGCTTTGGCTAAGGAGGGTGGGATATAAATAAAATTATTATTATTATTATTACCCTTTTCCCCATTATTTTTTGTCTCTCCTGCTGCTGAAAAAGGAGGGCCAAACTAGATAGGAGTGCATCTTTGTACTTAACCTTTAGGGCTTTAAAAATGGAAATAGCAGTCACTGGGGAAGGGGGATAATAGGAGATTTCCTCCCAAATGTGAATAATAGCTTCAAAGGAACATTTTTTGGTTAGTACTGCAGCAGGGCAGGGAAGGCATTAAATCCCCCCTCAAGGCCTGCTGCGATCCTGATTATGATTACAAACACCCAACAGCTGCTACTCCTGTCTAGATTGGCCCTTAGGTTGTAAGCTCCTTAGGTTAGGGGCCTAATATAATCAACTGTTTTATATTAAGAACTGCTGTTTCTATTACTACTTTAAAGTGAACATTTTATACCATTTTATGACCACCGCTTAGAGGTTTGTTTGTTTGTTTGTTTAATTGATTAAGTGGTGTATAAATGTTGCTAAATAAATAATCATTTGAAACAAACCTTGCTAAGCAAACAGATTTTGGGGGCTGCTTATTTAAAGCACTGTGTGCATTGATTACAGAAATATGCTCTGTACAAGATGTTTGAAGATGGCATAGAAACTGCAGCTCAGTTACTGGCCAAGTCTAGTACATAGATCAGTTGGTTAGAGCATGGTGCTTAGAATGCCTAGTTTGCAGGTTCAATCCCCATATGGGACAGCTACATATTCCTGAATTGCAAGGGGTTAGACTAGATCAGTGTTCCCCAACCTTGGGCCTCCAGCTGTTTTTGGACTACAATTCCCATCATCCTTGACCACTGGTCTTGCTAGCGAGGGATGATGGGAGTTGTAGTCCAAAAACAGCTGGAGGCCCAAGGTTGGGGAACACTGGACTAGATGATCCTCAGGGTCCCTCTCAACTCTACAATTCTATGATGCCTTAAAGCAGGCTGAGTGACCACTTGGCAAAGGAGTGAGTACCTGAAAGTCAAAGGGATCAAGAGGCTTACGAGTAAATGGCTCCTTGGGTGTAAGGGATCCTTCAATAGCAGCACTGAGTGCTTACTGCTGGTCCTGGGTGGAGCATGAGACACCAGACCATACAGCCCCTCGTTGAGGTCTGGTAGGTGCTGGAACAACACTGGGCTTTCACCTCCCAGACCATGGCAACCTGACTTAGTGGCTTTGCTGTATCCATCTATCTCTTGACTGGCCTGTGCTGCTGACCTCTAGATCTCTTCTCCACAACTTTCCCTTTGGACTATGCTCAATTTTGACCATAGTGTCACCTAGATTCTGCCTTGTTCCTGATTTGTGTTATTGCTTTTTGGAGTTGACCTGCAGTTGACCTTGTTGCGTGGACCTGCCCCAACCAATGCTCAAGAACTGAAACATAACCTGGAGCAGGAAAGCCATCAGTTTTGCTTTATACCTACCATATGATGACTTTCCACATTATTTCCCCTATGTTCTGCCTACATAAAACACAACTGCATTACCAATTTTCTTGCAACATTCATGGAGAAGAATGGAAAGGAAATCAATGGATTTAAGAACTAAAGTACACCGAAATGTCAATGGCCCCTTTGAGGGAAGAAAATAAGCCAGGCAGGAAGCTGTAGTGTGCAGTTGTTATTAAGATAGATTTTTAAACTGAAATTTTGGTCTTATCCTACTTGATGTTTCAGTGAACTTTCTGTTCCCTTCTTGCTTCATTTTGAGCACTACATAAACACTGACAGATGGAGACTGTCAAAAGAGTAAAGAGATCTGAGGAGTGAGGAAACTGTTAAGAAGCTGAAGAGATGGAAACAAAAGCGGTCTGTGTGTGTCCTGATTTGGCTTCAGGGAATTAACAGCTGATCCTTCACTGAATCCAAGAGCTCTGGCTGTACATACACATGCACACACTCTCTTTCTCTCTTTGTGAGAAAGTGGGAGAAATTTAGACTTTAGGACCCAATCACTGCTTGCTTAGTGCCAGGAAATACTTCACACAGAAAGCAGTTAATCTGAGGCCATATTGCGCCTGTACATAAATTCATAACTAACAAGAAGTTCATGGTATATATGGATCACTAGAGAAAGGGTTCGACTATCCTCCATTGCTGCACCCCCAGCCCAAATTGGCAGCCCTTTCTTTAAAGGGGCAGCTGCTTCCAAAAGAAGAAAACAGGATCTCCATCTTGTTAGGCCAAAAGTCTCTGATTACTGTTGCATCTAGGGTTGCAATATAAGATAATGCAAAACAAGAAGAAAAAACAACAACTAAGGCTACTTCATTCTCAACAATTTCCCCACACAAGTACCGTATCTCTTCCATGAAAGGAAAAGCACATACATGAAATGACCACAGATACACAGGTGTATCATATGGTGTGTGGAACATTTGGCCCTCAATTTTAGCAGTAATCAATCCACAAATTCCCCCCTCCAATTTATTAAGTGTTATGCATTCATTTGTATACTGTCCAGTCAACAAAAGCCTACTTCTTACACATAAGTCCCCTAGGTGTAGGATGGACGTTTATCAAGCATTCTGCATCCTTAGGAGTTATGTCTTTCTGTGTGCACCCGAAAGTGGCTCAGGTAGCACCTTATTAAAGCCAATTGGAGCATATCCAGGTAAGGCTGGGAGAGAGTGCAGTTTGAAATCCTGCAGAGCCTATGACAGTTAGTGTAGCCAATACCGAGCTAGATCGACCAAGTGTCCGAGTCAGTGTAAGGCAGCTTTCCTCTAATGTTCCTATATCTGGCTGCTTGAGGCCGAGCAGCAAAGGTCACCCTGGCTCTCCTCCAAATCAAGGTGCAGATAACACAGTAGAGCCAACTGGGTTATTTAGCACCTGAGAAAGACAATCCCATAAGCACTTCTCCCCTTCCCCAGCAATAAATTAAATAATTGAGAATTTCCTGCCATTTCATGACACCCAAAGTCAGGTGCCTCAGGCAGCTGCCTCACTCTGCCTAATGGTATGGCTGGCCAGTTTCACTCACTGCTCTGTAGATTAGACACTATTAGCTGAGCCTGAGATTAATGTCTCTAAAGAACACTCAATTAATCCAAGTGACAAGCAGGCATTTGTAGGGCTAGAACCTGAAGAATAATAATAGATATTATACATGTTTACATATTGGTAGTTCACACTTTATTGAAACCAATGCTAAATGTTATTTTTAAATGGTGGCAAAAAAAGAATGAAAAATATGTACGTTGAAATCCCCCAAATGCCCACAATCTTCATGTTTAATGCCTGGGAATTTGAAATGTTACAACCCTTTGCACAGCTGCTTCTTAGGATCTCTCTCTCTCTCTCTCTCTCTCTCTCTCTCTCTCTCTATCACTGCCCTAGAGATCCCTGGCATGTTACTATAGGTTTCTACTGCGAGATTTTGTATGACAAAGTGGAGATGCATAGTTTCTTTGTAATATTTTTATTTTATTTACAGATGCAGGACTTGTGGCAAACAAGAAGGGCTCCTAAAAAATAGGCAGGAGATCTGCTAGGTGGACATCAGATTTCCAGAGTGTAATCTTCAATCAACTCACAGCTTTCTATTCCCCACATCTTTTCCTCCAAGTTGAAATGGCAAAACAAGCATTAAGCTATTTACCTGCCCATCCCCTTAGCTCTGAAGGGTGTCAGCTTCCCAAACTCTGATGGAAATTGCATCACAAAAGAGAGAGGTGTCCCAGGTCATTAATGACTATTTAGCGGTGAATAACATCTAGGCACACCTTTGGACTGGTGTCTTTTTCTTGGGTCTAATCAATTTGGCTTTGCCATATCTGGTCCAGAACCCACTGACCACCCTTAGGTCCAGCATGCAACTGCTTTTACTGGCTTTTGTGTACAGCCACACAGTTCATATCAAATCAAATCAAAGGTTGCATGCAGCCAGTTGTAGTTCTGCAGCACTCTACTGGATGAGCATCACTCCGACTTCCTTCAAATTTTGTAGCAGGTGATGACCTCAAACGCACAAAGTTGATTTTGCTTGACACCACTTATTTGACCATTTTGAGGCAACTGTGGCTTGCAATTTAAGACAAAGTGGCTGACAGAACAATTCATAAAATTCCTCCCTTAACCTTCTTGTCTAAAGCATTAATACTTTTAATCTTGGAAAGCTCTCTAAAGGATGAGCTCCCAGGAAACAAGTGGAGCTACAATGCCATTTGCACAAATTGCAGAGTTCTAAAAGACTATGCTTGACAGTAAAATTGCAGATTGTCTACCACTTCCCTTCTGCAGCTGTGAGCCATTCACTATTTAAATGTACACGGCTAGAGAAAGGATGAGAAATACAAGCAGGTAATTGCAAGAAGGTACAAAGGTTGGGCTGTGTGTATGCTGTACCGCTTGTCTTTCTTCATATAATACAAATTGTACCTATGCAATTGCAGATGGTGAACAAGATCCAGCAAGTGGCTATAAGTGCGGTGGGATTTTTGACATTTCCTCTTTGAATGATAGATCCATAAACACATCAAAAAATGCTTAGGGAACTTCGCATGAGAGGCTCACGTTTGAGAAATATCACTGACATGTACAGAACTACTTGTGTGGCTCTTCAGCTAGAGAGATACTTCATAATTAATAGACTATATATTACAAAGTAATAATGGCACTTAGAATTATAATAGGTCTTACGATAATCAAAGGAAGAAGGTACTTAAAAGATAATCAAGTCCAACTCCCATAATAGGAATACTCCTCAAACATAAGTGATTCCTGATTATGCTCCTTTCAGCGATGCTTTAAACATTATTATTATTATTATCTTAAGGCATAGCAATCATTTCCATGGATAAAATCTGAATTGAGGGTAATATGCAAAGTGTGGTGTTTTGGGGGTTTTGTGTGTATGTTCCTTTGTATAGTGACAACAAAGACTGATTGTCTTGATAATGTATTAGTTATCGAGCTACAGATCAATCCAATTGTAGTGAGGAGGGGCATATCCATAGTGAAAGAACTGTCATATCCAAGCTCTGCTTGGCTTGTACTGCCCAGCCAGAAGCTGGAGGAAGACAGAATCTACTTTGATAATTCTAGTGTCCTCATGTTTCTTTCTTTTTCATTTCCATTCTAGGAGCATGCTGGGGGAAGAAGGAGCTTTGGATCCTGTGGATTCATCCAAGACTGGCTGGTTCAAATACTGACTGGTATTTATCGGTTGCAAATGAAGGTACAGTGAAGGCAAGAAAAAGTTTTGAAAAATAAACTAACTGAATTATTTTTTCAAACCATTCCACATTCAGCTGACCATCTGCATTCCCTTGATCTTTCCCCGGCATGCTCCCTTTTCCTCCTTTGTGTTGTCAGAGCACCAACTGCAGGGTGGGGTGGTTGAATTCCTGTACCCACTTATCTGCAAGCAAGCAAGCCCCACTGAGCTCAGAGGGACTTACTTTTGAATAGAAGAGCACAGGCCTGCACAGTCCAGTCTTTACAGGATGAAAAATGCTTCATCACATACTTCAAGTTACATCAAAGCCTCAATCCATGACAGGAAGATTTTGCTTTCGAAAAGGCTGAGCTCTGTGCAAAATATTTAGTTTCATTCATTCAGTGCTCATATATCACTCTCAAGGTCCCCCCCCCCACAAGCTGCAAGATAAGCTCCTTTTAACTACATCTTTTCACAATAGCCTTTTCAAAGGGCATGACAACTATGTACAATATAATGAGCTTTGGCTGCTAAACCTCCGCCGTAAATAATGATGCACACTATAAAATCTGACCCTCATGTCACGCAAGAGGGCATGTGTTTCCAAGGGCTGGGTTAGGAAATTATGTGGCTGATAAAGCAATGTTTATTACAAATGCAGATGGTCAGCTGAATGTGGAATGGTTTGAAAAAATAATTCAGTTAGTTTATTTTTCAAAACTTTTTCTTGCCTTCACTGTACCTTCATTTGGAACTGATAAATGCCAGTCAGTATTTGAACCAGCCAGTCTTCTTCCAGTATACAGTCCATCCACAACCGCCATTCTCTGTCCCTGCCCAACAGACACTCAACATTCTGGGGCCACAGAGCATGCTAAGTCACCAATGGGTTGGTTGTGGATGGGGTCCTTTAAGATTTTTTCCTAAATATACATCTACTTCTGCAAACTTTAGGGTTCTCCCCAAGCATGCTGATGTATCTTGTTTTTCAGTGGTTCTATTTGGGCTACAATTCTATCAGCACCCACCAGCTGAGTTTACTATTAGAGGAAATAATTATTAGTCAAGTATTGTCATTTACATGGTGTTTTATAGCAGGTTCCTGCCTGGCTTAAGGAGCTTATTGAATAATGACTAAACCAATCCGTATGTTAAGTAGCAAGCAGCACCTAAGAAACTCTGAAGAGTGGCAAAATGTGAGGAATCTACCATTTCACCTTAACTCCCTCTGCTATAATAGCGTGATTTATTTATTTACAAGAATCTTTATAAACCATCAATTCATAAAAAAGTATCAGGGTAAAATAATTACAGTATCATCAAACTTTAAAATCTTAAAAATAGAATAGAGAACAAATGGCCAAAACTGAATCAAAGTAATTCTTTCAAAATTTGCTTGATGATAAAATATAAGGATTTGAGGTGCCTGTCTGCATTCAATAAACACAACAATGGGGATGCATTTCTATTTACAGTTTTTGTTACAGAATTTGTGGAAGAATGGTATACATTCAATAGCTATTTTTCTGGAGCATTGTTCATTTATAATAGATCCAAGTGGTGTTGAAAAAGCATTTCTTTTAACCCGGGGATAGAGAATGAGCATGACTGATTTTAGGGCTTATGCTTAAGCAGGAAAGCTTGTGATTAGTTTGCTGCATTTGCATTAGGTGAGCCATTCACAAGAGAACAATTGTTCCTCCAAATTTTAGAAGACGGCAAAGAAACAATGCCACTATTTCTGCTGTCTGTTCTATGCCACCTAGGTAATGGAAGGTGGTACTCTCCATGGTGCTGAATAGATGCTTGTACTACTATTGAATGATCACTTGCTTGATAAATGAATGGAATGCACTTTAATCAAACACACAATTACATAGTAAAGCCTTGGTGCTGTTTTCAAGCCCCATAAGTAATTAGCCTTACTGCCATTGAAGTATTGATTTCTCAAAGGTCACCACAAATTAAAGGGATACATATAATATTGTTGTTCTCTCTTGGTTATATGTAAATAAGGATATCTGCTAATGGGTTAATCACACAGAATTTGCAACAAAGCTTAGACAAAATGATATATTCTATTGACCATAGGTGTTCACCACAGTAACAAAACATAATTTGGGGGTGATCTTCATTAAAACCATTAATTACCAATGGTAATTCTGCTGCTGACTTCAATGGGGATATTTCATACTAATGGCTAGCCTCTGAAGCCTTGTTGAAATAAATTGACTGGAGAGCAGTAATTTCAAGTAATTTATCTGATCCAGAAAAGATGGTACAAGAAATGCCTTGATTTAGTAATGCTCCACAGTGACCATTATCAGTATTCCTGATGCTACTCCAATAATCTTTTATCACACACCCATAAAAATGCTGAAGCAATTTGCATATTTCCACTAAACAGAAAAAAATAAATCTCAGATTTACATGGTGGATGAAGTCATATCACACAATACTTTAAGCTTGTTTGTATTTTAATGATCATTTACCGCAAAGCTTTCCAAACTTTTAACGTGGGTGACATTTTTTAGACATGCAGCATTTGACGACACCGTAATTCAGTTTTACTAGCAAACTGGAGGTTAAACTAACCCCTTTCCAGCCCTGGGAGGAACACAGGGAGCATTCATGCAACACACCTACAGCAGTCGACACACTAACATGTCACAACACACAGAGTTTGGAAAGCTCTGATTTACTGCATATTTTCTCAATCTCTGAGTGTAGGAAAACTGAATGCGAATGACAAGGAACTGGATGTTGCTATTGCTTTAGTGCTCTTTCAGCAACTCAGTCAGCCAGGGCTTTTGTAAAATAAAGTACCAGTCTGGATGGAGAGTGGGTTTGACCTAATAAATTGGTTTTTGTTCCATTAATCTGTTAAATGTGTGTACATTAGTCACTAAGAGAATGTAGATGGTAACACAATGTATCCACAATGGCAAAACATGTTATATGTTCTCTTGCAAACACCTGCTACATTGTGTACTTGCAATGTCAACAGTTTTAATTTGGTCTGAATTCAAACCGTATTCCAACAGCATGGCTGCCTCTGACAAGGCAAACTGCACGTGCATGCTCTGAATTGTTAGCTACTTATATGGTTTGGGTCGTTTCTAACTGAACACAAGAAATTCCTGGAAAATTGAATGGGTCTCTGGTGTGAACTAGAAGGGTGCCCCTGCATATCATGCAGAGCTATACCAACACAGTTTGCCTTCAGTTAACATTGGCCATTGATTCATATTTATTTAATAAGATTCCAAGAGTGCCTAGGGAATACCTCTTCACACAATACTGTGTAAACTCATCAATGCACAACAACAAATTCCACCAAAGTCTTGAATACTTATAGCTACATTATGCAAAGTGCTATGTGTGTAAGTATTCAGCAAATGGTGTGATTCCATCCTAACATGTTGCCTGTTGGTGTCCTGTACATGATTGGTCCCTAGTCTTGCTTCTACCACATCCCTGTACTATGAAATGCCTTTGTGCCATGCCACATCCAGTAATGTTGATTGTTGTGGTTTGAGGACCCGATCCCCCCAAAGTGGAATGAATACACAAGGACACATGATATAAGGTTAATGGGCAAGAAAAGGCCACGACTTTATTGATTACAGCAAGTGAAAAGGTATTGGCTTAGAATTGGATTACGTCAGCTGACTCCACCCCCTCAAAGAGGGGTGAGTCTGAAACAAGGGGGGTTTATTCACCAGTAGGTGGAGCCTGTTGATGCTAATCCAACTATAGGCTCTCCCCTGATGTCACCGAGGGTCGTGCCATGGCCTCCCGCCAAGCAGGCATCGGACAGAATACACGACCGCCAGGTTCCTTTAACGGAATACCCAAAAATTGAAGGCATAGGCGATGGCCACACCTAGCCCTTCGACACCACAACACATTATTCCAATGCCTAACCTACCCACCAATACCATGAAAGTTGTGATGATTGCTACGAGGTAGGCGAAAAAACCAAAAAGCCTAATGCCAAATGGAAAAATTCCTACCAGGCCCCCCGGACAACCAGGGCGACCAACCTAAGGTCCATAGCAAGGCCAAGGAAAACTAAGACCCTGAGCTCAAAGGGAGTGGAGGGTGGGTGACTCGCGACGGGACAACGAAGAGTGAGGCTGAGGAGGGGCTGGCGCCGCAGCATTTAGGCTGCTGAACACGCCCCCTCGGAGGCACCTGGTTGGGTGCCTGCCGATGGGCGTGGGCGCCAACCAAGTGAGTGGAAGGCAGGTGGCTAACGCCCCCTGCTAGAGGTGGAGCTCGGGCTCCCGCCCACAACCACTCCCCTCTCTTCCAGGAGGAGAGTCTTTGTCAGCCTAACAGTACCAACCAATGACGGTGCACCAGATATCTAGTTCTTGATACAACAGTTATTGTTTTGCCCTATTCTAACTACTATTTTCTAGATGTGTGTTGTCAGGACATTAGGCTATGAACCTAAACATACAAGAGGAATTCACCTAATGAGTCCTGTCAGCACAAGTCCTGTATGAGAGCTTTCACTTGTGCAATGGGTTTTTCTCACCCCACCCCTGGGGCCCCCTAAAATTTGCTTTGGATGCATTGGGGGAACCCCCAGAACACTGTGCTGGGGGGTGTCATTCTGTCTGACGAGCTTCAATGTTTGTGCTGACAGGACTTTCATTGTAGTGTGACACTGAATTTCACCCCTGTATTTCTATTTACGTAAGTGGGGCATGATGCCCATTAAATTTGTTTAAGAGTGAGACATTAGGTATATAAAAATTCAGTACACTATGGGGAAAAACCCACATTGATAGTTACACACACACACACACACACACACACACACACTGTATACTGTATTTTATTATTGTTAGCAGCTTTGGGAGCCTAGTGCAGAGTATATAAATAAATAATGATGAAATGCTTTTATTCATCCCACTAAGAACTATACAACATGCCAGAGTGTAAGTTCCCATCACAATAGACAATGTAAACATTGTAAGGTAAGAATAAATGAGTAGCATGTAGACACATTTGATGGCTAAAGATAAACTTCTGAAATTACTGAAAGGGAAGAAAATGTTTTTTGTAAGCCAGGTATTTTTCTGTCACTTGTCTCCTCCAAGTTCTAAGCAGACCCAGCCCTTCTAGAATGTTTTTATTCACCTCATGGGACATCAAATCTATGCTCCAAAACTATATAGCATAAAGTAAATTGAAACAGAATTACTTTGTTTTCTAGGAAATTGCCTGATGTACAGATGATGTTGATGATGATAATAATGATAATCCGGTTTAAAAGTTAAAATTAAACAATGTGCCTTTACCCCTTCAAAGCTTTGCTCTCTGCCTGCTATTTGTGTTGCAGTTACTTTCCTTTTCAGTTTTAACAGCTACATTGTCTTATTTTTTTCTCAAATAAGGGGCTTTCTTTGCCAAAAATATCTACCTCTACCAGTTTAGCACAACTGCAATTATTTTATCAGCTAAAGAAAAGATCTGCTACCCAAGACTTGACTTACATTTCTATAGCTTATTTTTCACAGTTATTCCGTTTTCTATTCTGCAAACAAGGAAGCCGTGTAGAGAGGTTTGTCTATATGTGCCAGCAGGTCACAACTTTCTTTGACTGTGTTGTGTTTCTGAAGCGCTCTAGAAAAAACAAACATGACAGGTTGTTACGTAGACCATCAGCACAAATTATGTTCACATTTTCATTAGAATTCTTGCACGCTCTGGATTCATGTCTGGCTGCATATGTGACATAACTTGAATAGATATAGTCATATCTGAGTAATTGGTTTGAATTGCATTGTATATTGATTTGCTTCATCTTAGATATTGCCTTTCAAATTGCTGAACAGAAAAAAATGAATAATATGCAGGCCCGTGCAGAAGGGAGCAGCCGGGTACACTTGCTGCGGGCCTCAGAGAGTTAAGCTGGCCAGGGGCCTACTGGACTTACACAGTCATGCCAAGAACAAGACTCCTACTCCATGCCTTGGACAAGCTCTGCTAAGGCCAGAGAATATGCATCACTGGAACTATTACAGCATTTCCCTTAGGTGATTGAAGAGTTTGACCTTAAATAAATGTATGTTTTTTGTATACTGAAATGTTACAAAAATAATTATTCATCTTCATGCAGACATGATTGCCCCTGAGTATTGAATATATGAACCTAAGGATATGTATTTTAATAAAGGGAACTTATTTTTGTAACATCAGCTCTGGATCCATTCCAGTCCGGCTTCCGCGCTGGTCATGGGACCGAGACGGCTCTGGTTGCCCTAACAGATGATCTTCGTAGAAAGCTGGATCGAGGTTGGTCGGGGCTGCTGATTCTTCTAGATCTGTCAGCAGCTTTCAACATTGTCGATCACGAACTTCTGGACCACCGCCTTGCCGACGTGGGGATCCAGGGCGCAGTCCTTCAATGGCTGCGCTCGTTTCTCTCTGGTCGGGGACAGAGGGTGGCGCTTGGGGGGGAATTGTCATCGCGCCACTCCTTGGTGTGTGGAGTACCTCAGGGTGCGATACTCTCCCCGATGCTTTTCAACATCTTTATGCGCCCCCTCACCCAGCTTGTTCGGAGTTTCGGGCTGGGTTGCCATCAGTATGCTGATGACACCCAACTCTATCTGTTGATGGATGGCCATCCTGACTCGGCCCCAGACACACTGACCAGATGTTTGGAAGCTGTGGCTGGATGGTTACGTGGGAGCCGGTTGAAGCTAAATCCTTCGAAGACAGAGGTCCTGTGGCTGGGACGGGGCGATATGGGATTGGGGGCAACTCCCATCTCTTGCGGGGCGCAATTAGTGCCAGCACCGTCCGTTAAGAGTTTGGGTGTAATCTTCGACACCTCCCTTTCCATGGAGGCGCAGATTGCAGCTATAACAAAGGCGGCATTTTTCCATCTCCGCCAAGCTAAGCAGTTGGCTCCTTACCTCTCTCGCCCTGACCTAGCCACTGTGATCCACGCGACGGTCACCTCCAGACTGGATTATTGTAACTCGCTCTACGTGGGGCTGCCCTTGAGACTGACCCAGAAACTCCAGCGGGTGCAGAATGCTGCAGCGAGACTCCTTACGAGGTCTTCGCTGCGAGATCGCATACACCCGGTGCTATACCAGCTGCACTGGCTCCCGGTGGAGTACAGGATCAGGTTTAAGGTGCTGGTTTTAACCTTTAAAGCCCTTCACGGCCTAGGACCCTCGTACCTACGGGACCGCCTCTCCTGGTATGCCCCACAGAGAAACTTACGGTCTTCAAATAAAAACATCTTGAAGGTCCCAGGCCACAGAGAAGTTAGGCTGGCCTCAACTAGAGCCAGGGCTTTTCGGCTGTGGCTCCGATCTGGTGGAACACTCTGTCACAAGAGACCAGGGCCCTGTGGGACTTGACATCTTTCCGCAGGGCCTGCAAGACAGAGCTGTTCCACCAGGCCTTTGGCCAGGGCACAGCCTGACTCCCTCCCTCGGCAATCTTCGTGGAGCTCTGGCCCAATGGTTGCCAGTGGCTTGAATTAATTAATTTTATAATGAATGATTTTAGAGTGTTGTTTATCCTGTACTTTTGCATTGTTTTATTGTTGTTAGCCGCCCTGAGCCCGGCTTCGGCTAGGGAGGGCGGGATATAAATAAAATTTATTATTATTATTATTATCCTAATATTTGTATCAACACATGGCCAGTTCATATAGGTATCTGGCAGAATGACCTTTACTGGAATATCCTGCTGCTGGTTCCATTTTGAATGATTCTGCTTTCCCAAACTGCCTGCATGTAAAACCAAAACAAGTCAAATTAATCCTGAATAAGATATTGGGACCCTGCTCCTGTTCCAGCTGTCTTTCACCCCACCCCAGCCATCTACCACCAGCTGATCTGTGGGAAGTATTATGACTTGCTCTCTCTCTCTCTGAATGTACATTGATGCTACTTATAAGCTACTTGGGAGGGATTTTGTATTCTGAAAGGCAGAATATAAATAATTGTAATATATAAATAACTGTTGTCTCCTCTCTGATGTGTGCAAAGGCCTGTGATCTTTATCTGCAGCCTAAAGCGGTGCAGTCTGGGGAATGCCTATCTTGATTCTAGGGAATGCATTAGCTCTGAATGACCATGCAATGCTACTGCAATGTAGTGCTGTGTGACACTGTGCTCACAAGTGTTCGAAATAGTAGAGCAGCATATTTTTCGATTTACCCCTGCTTTAAGGAGAGCATCATACAAATACCAAGGTCATACCAAATCAGTTAGCTCTTTGGGTAAATTAACTTCACATTTTCTATTAGTACATATTCTCAGGGCTCATACCCCCCGCCCCACCCCCAAATTCTGATTATAAATTAGTTGGTTATAACCTATGGATAGCTCAGTTGTAGAGCATGAGACTCTTAATCTCAGGGTCATGAGTTCGAGCCCCACGTTGGGTGAAAAATTCCAGCACTGAATTGCAGGGAGTTGGACTAGATGACACTATTGGTCCCTTCCAACTATACATTTCTATGATACTGTCAGCACCACCTTCTGAAACCTACCCTTGAACTATCAAAAAGTGATGCTTTCAACTCTAGCCCGTGAAAGGTATATCACAGCTCAGTAGTCTTCAACCGTTTCAGAACCCACCATTATGCCAAGCATGCACTGGGACACCCATTGCTTAATTTTTGCCACCTATTTGTATGATGGTAGTGCAGCTACCTCAGATCAAGCCATGACCTTGTATTGGGTCCCAACCCACCAATGCCATAGCTGAAGGTATTGAAAGTTGCTGAAACATTATCACACTTCCCTTCCCTTTCTCCCAATCTAGGCGAGCCACCAGGATGACCAAGACAATAGGTGTCACATCCTCTTGCCAGAAGCCAGACTGAACTGGCTCCAGATACTCAGCTTCACACAGCAGTCTGAAACATTATTTGTGCTCTTTCCAGAAACCACTTTCTTACTAGCCACATTGCATGGCATATTATTGACCAGAATATAAATTATTCCTTAGGGGTTGTTGTTTTTTAAGAAAAATAAAAAAGGTAGATGAAAATGTTCTATGATGCTATGGCACGGGTGTCAAACACAAGGCCCGCGAGCTGAATCCGGCCCGCCAGACCTCGTCATGTGGCCCGTGTAGCCGCCGCCGGCCGCCAGCCTTCACCTTTTATTCTCGCTTTTTTTTTTTTTTGACACAAGAAAGCCGCCTCTTCAGCGCATGCGCGGCAGCCTACAAGCCAGAGAACGTCTGCCCTCTAGCGGCGCCGGCCGTTCTACACAGGAAACCTCCACTTTACATGCATTCAGGAAACCTCCACTTGTTTTTATATTGAGCATATATTGAGTCCTATAGATACAACCGGCCCTTTGAGGGTGACCAAACTGCTGATGTGGCCCCCAATGAATTTGAGTTTGACACCCCTGTGCTATGGAATAGCATAATTGGAAAACATTTATTTCGTTAAGCTAGGTTAGGCAAGATACTGCCAACTACATAGTGATCTCTTACTATCTAAAAAGATTAAATAAAACATATATTTCAATTGTGACTATAAAATTATTTTGACCAGTTACTTTCTGCATACTGGGGAAAAATAGAATTGCCACAATGTCAAGCAAGTACATGCCATATTTAAAATATATTTTATTTCTCTGTTTTCTTCCTGCAAAAGACATGGCTGACAACTATATGCTTGGGCAGCTGCCTTACTCTGTCAAGGGACAAATAACTGAGCACTGTGCTAAACAAAGTGAACATTTTAAGCATTGTGATGTTTCATGTGTTCACCCTGTCATTGTTGACAGATTCTATTGATTTTTTCTTGGGACCTTTGTATTGATTCTTCTTTTTTAAAAATTAACACACCTAGAGAAAAATATTGACCTGGAATGTCTCACATACAACTCATCCAATATGAAAATGAAATGCACACAGCAAACTAGAATAATACCACAGTGTCTACCTTAGTAATGATACTGGAAGTAACACATCAGTTACATATCATTTGATATTATGTATTTTATATCACCCCCCCCCCCCAATTCAATCATCTCATTCAAGGCATGTAGACATTTTTGAAGAGTCTAGAAGGAAAAGTATTTTTTTCACAAGCTGATTCAGCACTAATCTCACCTTATCCACATCAATGTTCCCTTAATAATCATTGTGATACACTGATTCTGATGGGAGCTGTAAATAACATATTTACTCAAATGTAATGTGCACATTTTTTGGCCAAATTACCATACATCACGAAAATTAGGGTACTCATTACATTTGATGGTGCATTAGATTTGAGTAAATACGGCAATTTACTCTATTTTAACACCAGGTAACTCTGTAACTGTTCTGATGATCCAGAAAAAATATTTTTGGTTGTTATTGTTAATTTATAAACCTGTATATATGCAGAATATATATACATATATATGAATGCAAGATAAAGTAACCAAGCTCTGCTTAAGTCAGAGGCGTATGCATTAGTAAGCATATAAAGAACTGGGGCACAAATAAGTATAGACTTCAGGCTTCGATAGCCAACAAATCTGCCAAGCTGCTTACTTTTAATCAGGCATGACAGAGGCCTTAATACCTTTTATTGTAGTCATTCTGCTACCTATCTATCTCCATCTCTATACCCTTCCCACCTGCCTTCTCTCTCACAAATCCCCAGTCCTTTGCCCTTTTACTAAGGTTTACAGTGATTAACTGATGGGCTGTGCATACTGCCATCCACAACATTTATCCATTTGTGGCCGTTTGTGGGTTATCATTTGATTTTAAGAGAACTTAAATCACCATTACTATTAATATTATTCTTTGATATATTTATTTAAATGTTCTAAACTATTAAAGTTCAACTGGCTGTTGATTCCCACACCTGCCCAAATCTTACTCACAAGATGTCTGACTTCCTTTCTTTGTAAAGGAGCCTGAAAAGTACTAAACAAAAGCCTCTGTTAACAGGCCTGGCTGCAAAGAACAAAAAAAGAAGAAAGCAACCAAGGAAAGAGAGCTTTGACCACATTATTCAGGCACTGTTAGCTTTCACAATGCATGCACGATAGGAGCCTCCCTCGACTATTCTCTCCTCTAACCAACATATCACCCCCTCAGATACTCAAAGCCTGGGGTCCTGCTAGCTGCAACAATGCAAGCACCCATGACAGCAGTGCAAAATTAAAATGCTTGCTAAACCCTTTGGTGCTCCAGTATGGTGCTTCTACGTTTTATAGATGTGGAGAAACAGGAACATTCTGATCCTGAACATGGTTTACTGGGAAACAAATACAAGTGATTTGAAGGGGAATCACTTCAGGTCGCCTTACCTCAGTGAGGATAGTATGGAGTTGGAAAAGGTTCAAAAAAGGGCAACCAGAATGATCATAGGGGTGGAACAACTCCCCTATGAGGAGTTGGGGCATTTAGCTTAGGAATGATGGGTAATAATAATAATAATAATAATAATTTTTATTTATACCCCGCCCTCCCCAGCCAAGGCCGGGCTCAGAGCGGCTTACAAGCAATAATAAAAACAAGATGAATGATTACAACTTAAAAACAAAAATAAAATACAACATTAAAATATTAAAATGTAGCCTCATCGCAGGAGGAGAAGGAAAAGAAAAAAGAGAGGGAGGGAGGGAGGGAGTCAAATTGGCTCCAAGCCAAAGGCCAGGCGGAACAACTCTGTCTTACAGGCCCTGCGGAAAGAAATCAGATCCTGCAGGGCCCTGGTCTCATGAGGCAGAGCGTTCCACCAGGCCGGAGCCAGTGTTGAAAAGGCCCTGGCTCTGGTTGAAGCCAATCTAACTTCCTTAGGGCCTGGGACCACTAGGGTGTTGTTATTTATGGACCTTGAGGCTCTCCGTGGGGCATACCAGGAGAGGCGGTCCCGTAGGTACGAGGGTCCTAGGCTGTGAAGGGCTTTAAAGGTCAAAAGCAGCACCTTAAATCTGACCCTGTACTGCACCGGGAGCCAGTGCAGCTTGAAAAGCACTGGGTGAATATGCTCCCATGGCAGAGACCCCGTGAGGAGCCTCGCTGCAGCATTCTGTACCCGCTGGAGTTTCTGGGACAGCTTCAAGGGCAGCCCCGTGTAGAGCGAATTACAGTAGTCAAGCCTGGAGATGACCGTCGCATGGATCACTGTGGCCAGGTCGGGGCGGGAAAGGTAAGGGACCAACTGCTTGATGCGGCGAAGATGGAAAAATGTCGCCTTGGCTGTTGCTGTAACTTGCGCCTCCATGGAAAGGGAGGCGTCAAGGATTACACCCAAACTCTTAATGGAAGGCAATGGCACTAATTGGGCCCCCGCAAGAGAAGGGAGTTGGTCCCTCATCCCCATGCCATCCCGACCTAGCCATAGGACCTCTGTCTTCGAAGGATTTAGTTTCAATCGGCTCCCACGAAACCATCCAGCCACAGCTTCCAAGCATCTGGTCAGTGTGTTCGGGGCCGAGTCGGTGTGGCCATCCATCAGCAGATAGAGCTGAGTATCATCAGCATATTGGTGACAGCCCAGCCCAAAGCTCCGGATAATCTGGGCAAGGGGGCGCATAAAGATGTTATGTATAAAGATTATAAAGATGTAAGAGGGGGCATGGTAGAAATGTATGCAATTATGCATGACATGGAGAAAGTGGATACAGAAAAGTTTTTCTTCCTCTCTCATAACACTAGAACTTGTGAACATATAATGAAACTGAATGTTGGAGGATTCAGGACAGATAAAAGAAAATGCTTATTCACACAGTGCGTAGTTAAACTGTGGAATTTGCTCCCACAGGAAGCAGTGTTGGTTACTACCTTGGATGGCTTTAAAAGAGGATTAGACAAATTATGAGGTAAAGTCTATCAGTGGTTACTAGCCATGATGGCTATCGGAGGCTGTATGCTTCTGAATACCAGTTGTTGGAAACTGTGGAAAGGGAGGGTGCTTTTGTGCTCAGGTCCTGCTTGTGGGCTACCCAGAGGAATCTGTTTTGCCACTCTAAGAACAGGATGTTGAACTAGAGGGTTGGATTCTCTGATGACTGCAATGAATGTAATGGTAGATGAGCAGAGAAGATGCCTGAAACTTTGAGGAGGCAGTCTAAGGCATTCATAATGCTGGAGGCAGATATTTCAACTGGTGCCCCTCATAGCAATAAAAACAAACTGATTCTATATTTGCCTTGCCTTTTCACTGTATCCAGAAAAAAAATGTGTTTCCTGAAGTGAGGTGCTTCATTCTGTCTAAGGTTCTATAAATGGTATTACATATTCTTTGGATTTTTAAAATTGGTTTTGCCAGCTATGTGCATGGTAAGCTGTTGCTTTACAGTCCTTAGGTTGTGTTTTTGTTTTGATAACATACTGGGGATTTTTAGTCTGCTCATTGCAGCAATGAAGTGAAGCTACAGGGAACCAGGCAGAGGACCTTCTCGGTAGTGGCGTCCGCCTTTGGAACGCCCTCCCATCAGATGACAAGGAAATAAACAACTATCTGACTTTTAGAAGACGTCTGAAGGCAGCCCTGTTTAGGAAAGTTTTTAATGTTTGATGTTTTATCGCGTTTTAATTATGAATATTCTGTTTGGGAGCCGCCCAGAGTGGCTGGGGAATAAATAATAAATTATTTATTATTATTACTACTACAATTCTATGGTTACTGAAGTGATTTTTGAAATATTACATGACATATAGACGCTTTAAAATTAAACAAATAAACCACACCCCAGCAGGGAGGCTACTACTGTGGCTCCCCACCCAGCAAGAGAATCTCTCCTGCAAACATCCCTCAGCCCTGTTTGAGATGCTGGCCTTCATGGTCTAATCCCCTGACCCCTTTTAGACACAGGTACTGTATTTGACTTCACCTAATTCTGAAGGGATGCTGCGTTTGAGGCCCTCGTGGCTTGTTCAGCTGCCCTCTCTCCCCCGAGGTCCTGCCCTGAGGGCGCTCCTGACGGTCCCGAGTGAATAACGGAGGCTGGTGGGAGTCGTGAGGAGAAAGAGTCCTACAGGTTGTGCGTGTGAGGAAGACAAAACTTTAGCGGTCGGGGGAAAGCGATAATGTGCGGAAGGAAAGGAAGCGAAGCTTGTGAGAAGTCGGGATGGGCGAGAGCCCAGGAGAAGCCAATTCGGTTCAGCTGCCAGAACCTTAAAGCGAAGAGGAAAAGGGATAACGCAAACGCCGTTTGTGCGTGTGTGTGTTTTAAAGTAATCCCTGAGGCAGAAAGCAGCCCTTCTCTTTTCTGCCCCGCTCACTGGCTACTGAGAATGCCGATCAGTTCTGTTGCTCGGATACAAATCCTCCCTCCCTCCCGCCCTCGCTTTCTGCCCGCCTCCATCCTTAGCCTAGATAGGAACGAGTGGGCGGGGACTAGTCCTCGACACGCTCGAGGGCGCCGAGGGGGAGGGGATTGAATGGCTCCCGAGCTGAGCCCGCTGCCTGGCCGCCGTTGCCGCCTGTGGGGAGTAGACTGGGAGCCCCGCGCCCGCTTGCTGTAGTCGAGCCAGATGGAATGTGGCGCGCGCGCGAGGTATGCCGCGGGGGCGGGGGCGAGGATTAGAACGCGAGAGGGGAAGCGCGCGCCCACCCAAAAGCCCTTATTTTGAGAAGAAGCGCCCGTTGGCGATGCGGTTGAGGGAAACCGTAGGGAAGAGAGGAAAGGCGGCGGGGTGGGGGTGGGGGGCGGGAGAAGTGGTTTTAATTCGAAGCGTGTTGCTCCATGGCTTGGGAGCGGAGGCGGCCCGCCGTCTTCCCCCGCCCACCTTCCTTATCCATCTCATAATCCCGAAGAGTTTTGCGACTGGGGAGATTTAAAGCGAAATGGTCACTCGATGCTTCCCGCCCGGAGAGTGAGCGAGAGAGCGCCTTCATAATCCCCCGAGGCCCCCTTCACACACACACACGCCCCGCCTCGCGTGGGCTTAGCGCCACTCGGAGCCCCTTCATGCGGTGTGAGGGGGACGAGGCTGGCCGACCCGGGTCAGACTGACATGAGCGGTATCTCTCTTTCTTGCGGCCAGCGAGTTGTGTCGCCTTGTCTTTCGGGACGGCTGCCCGCTTGATCTATACGGCGTAACTCTCAGAAAGAGTTGAGACTCTCCTCCCGCTCCCCTCCTTCCCAGACAAAGTGCGGGGAGGGGAGAGAGGGAGAGGCTGCGCCCCACCCCCCTCCCCTCACCCCATATACACATACATTAAGTCGCCCCCGGGGAATTCGTGACCCGCTTTGCTGGCTGCTTTCTCCATTCTGGAACAGGCGGTTGTTTAAAGGGAGAGATTTGCATCATTCTTCAGGCTGTCTTCCTCCCACTCCAGATCGAAGTTCCTTTATTTTGCTTTAAGCCGGGCAAAGGGCTCGACCGCTTAAGTGTGCAAATCTCTAGCCCTGAAAGCAGGTAAACCCACAATCATTAAGATATTTAGTGTTGCTTTCTGTGGGTTTGTCTTTTCTTCTTCTAATACAACCAGCCTCTAAAGAAATTTACTTAGGGTTTTGGTTTGTGTGAGATTAGGATCCTAGATAACGTTTTTAATTTTGTAAGAAATAGTTTGTCTGTGTGTGTTTATTGACTCGGTGTGTGTGTGTGTGTGTGAGAGAGAGAGAGAGAGAGAGAGAGAGAGAGAGAGATCCCCTAAGCTTTGAAATCTAGGTCCCCCTTTAGCTCCCTAAGAAGACTACACATAATTATGTTTTTAAAACTACTCTGTTCTTCCTTTTGTTGAGTGAGTGAGGGGTTGGTTTTTTTACTTGCCTATTCTGCCTTTGTGCTGGGAAAATGGAGCAAGTGAAGGTTAGCTAGTGGTGAAGCAAAAAGTGAAGAAAAGTGTTCTCTAAAACTGTCAAAGTATGCAGAATGTTAAGATAACTTGCTATATCAGGATAAAATCCTGATTCACTAGAGAACAAATTTGTTTATGATATCCAGTTATCTGAGTGTGTGACTGGACAACCGTAGTTCACTTTTTTTGGAGGTACTGTTAAAAACAGACCTATTTAACAGGCACAAAGCATTCTGGGTCAATTCAGACATGATGCCAAACTATGGTTAGGTAAACTTAATTGGTTAAGCATGTCTGAATACAATCATGGTTTGTCAGCTGTTTGCCAGCCACCTTCAGAAACCATGGTTTGGAGTAGTTCATCATCCAAGATCTGTGCTAATGGATGTTTGATGCAATGTCTGAATTCACAAACCATTATGACGATTGCTCTATTTCCTAAGGCTGCTGAACCATAGAGATGGTAGTGAGTTTATGAAGCTATGATGGTGAGTGCTGGGTAGATGGACAGTGAAAGTAAGACAGTAGCTTTCAGCCATGGTTTGCTTTCTAAACTGGGTAGTGCAAAACATGTTTGGTCATCATGTCTGAACTGAGCCAGTGGATTATTTTTTTGGCAGTGTTGAATCACTGGGACTTTAACACTCAACATCTGTATTGCCTTCTCTACAATCATTTAAAACACCCAAAGCCAAGGGAATAGTTACTATGGGGTATGTGCAAATCTACCAAAAGTAGATGCACCCTTCTATGATTAAAAAATGGCAAACAACTTTTAACACCTTTAATAGTTAACATATTAATACCTTGTATGCTCTCTCCTGTGCTCATCTGTTGCAGTTAGACTCCCGATGGGATGTGTACATTTGATGCTGAAGTACTCAGAAACATAAGAAAAATAAATGCTAAGTGTATGTGCTTGCCCATTAGTATAAAAAACAGTATGTTGTAGCTGTTGGTGACATCAATAGCAGACAGCACAGATTGATGGTAGAGCTAATGCATGAGCACTGTAGATGGATGAGTGCATCTCCCAAGGCACTGTAACAGATATGCCAACATGATCTGTGGCTGCTTTGACATAGTGAGACATTTCCTTTCAGCAGATTTTACTGTCCTCCTCATGTGCGCTCAAAGAAAAGTAGTTTGAAGTTGGTTAGTCAGCATTTTAGGAAGCTTGAGGAAAACCATACACAAAGCTATGGAGTAAGGAAGGTATTGATACTTCTGATTTTTTCCCCAAGTCAGGAAAATGTCATAGAGATGCTGCCTTCCATTTGATTAATAGATCTGTGTGAATAGATGCCTTGGCTATTAGGTGGAGTCCTTGTTTTGGGGAACATTGTGACCTACTCTCAGATAGAACCTAGAGCATTAATTCTAAATACAGTAGTAAAATTGGGGAGCAAATAGTAAAAGTTATTTTTTACTTGCTATGATTAGGAATAATCCTTTGTTAATCATTATGCATTATTGGCTGTCTCCTGCCTCAGAAAAAATACTTTGGCAATTCCACCTTCCACTGAATGCAATGTGTTTTGACTATACACAATTTTGGCTTTACGCTGTATCCTGGAACATAACCACTGCCTAAGTTGGGAGTCGCCTGTACTACATTTATTTTTCAAATTATTTGAACAAAGTTAGGGAATCATAAAGGCTGTTATCAGTGTTATATGTTCTTGGTTTGTTTAACAAACCCTGATTCAAGAGATCTTAATTCTTTGGCTGTGGTAGTAAGAAGGTAAAATATGCAGAATATCATAGAAACTAGTTTCCATACAGTGATGTCAGCTTTGTTAGACTGTTGCCTTATGCTAAGTAAACCAGCTTATGTCTAAGGCTGCAGTTCTAAACCCAGTTACCAGGGAGTAATTCCCATCAAACTGAATGGGTTTTACTGCTGGGTAGATATATATAGGCATGCAGTATAATAAATGTGCACCACTTGTCTTAAGGTCAGTGACATAAGCAATCTGGGAAGTTTTGAATTGGAATACAGTCATACCTTGGGTTACAGACGCTTCAGGTTGCGTTTTTTTGGGTTACAGACCGCCAAAACCCAGAAGTACTGGAACGGGTTACTTCCAGGTTTCGGCGGTCGCACATGTGCAGAAGCACTAAATCGCGCTTTGCACATGCGCAGAAGCGCTGAATCGCAACCTGCGTGTGCACAGACACGATCACGTTTGCAACCCAAGTGTCCACTGTATGTAGTCAACAAAACTAAAAAAGTATGTTTTGTTAATCTTGTGTTTATCTGAAAAGTTTTTGTTACTGCGAAAAACAACAATTGAAATATCTCATTAGGGGGAAAGTTAGGGGAAAGAGTGTGGATGAAATGTAATATTCAAAGTGTTATTAGAATACTAGTAAATATATTTATATGCCAACTGAATAGAATGTACTTTTTACATTGGGGTCACTGATGTTGTGCCCTCAAGGTGTTCTGAGCTACAACTCCCTTCAGCCCCAGCCAGCTATACCAATTGTCAGGGATGCTGGGAGTTGTAGTCCAAAACATTTGGAAGGCTCTATGTTGGCTCCTTCTGCTTTACATTAATATATATATATGTGTGTGTGTGTGTGTGTGTGTGTGTATATATATATATATATATATATATAAACAGTGCGATCCTACATCACTCCTCCAAGCTCAGTGGAATTTGGTCCCTAGTAAGTGTGCTTAATTCTTCAGCCTCAGAAAGTGGTCAACACTGTTAGCATACTAATTTTAGCATGCCTAAAGAGCTTTATGTATAAATATATGTGCTTCCTAGGAATAGTCACCTGAACAAAAAGAGTTTGGCTTTAGATCTGTCTGGCATTTTATCTATTCCTGTTGTTCAGTTCAACTTGTATTGTGTTCCTGCTTTAACTGCATTAGTGATATATTGTTATGTGAATGAGTCTCTGGCTTGTGCCCCCCCCCTTCCTTGGATGCAGCTGTGCGAAGGAGATCAGAAGCTTTTCCTTCTGTTCTCAGTTAACAGCATTTTAGTATTAGTTATAAATGTGGACAAACTGTGATTAATTTTAACTATGGAAGCAAGTTCAGGAACTATGATTTGAACTTGGTTTGTTTTAGTAAGCCACAGTAGTAACATCAATTTGTTCCAGTTCAGATAATCATCTCTCCCCCATGCCTGATGTTGTTTTTTTAAAAACCCATTAATGTGTAGTTAAGCTGTTAGAAGAATCACAAAGCTTTTCCTATGGCCACCTAATACGACATCTTTGAAAGAATGCGAGCAGTCATCAGTGGCAAGGGTAATTGTTTTAACTTTTGTCTGCTTAGATACCCAAACCTTCTTGAGAACAGATTTGGATGGCAGGTTCAGCAGCACTGATAGCGTGAACACAAAGTGGAATATGAAATAGCAAAAGGAATAAGTTTCAGGGCATGGTCAAAATACATGCAAAGCAATAACAGTACTAAAGCAAAACAGTTTTGGTCCTTATCGGTGCTTTGTTAAGTACACATTCCAGCCAGGCAAAAATACTTAAGGAGTGTATGAAGCAGGGGTGGGGCCTTGGAAGAGGATGTAGCTGAGGAGAGGGTGGGGCCTGAGGAGAATCCAGTGGGCCAGATAATGAGGACTATATCACCTAAGGTTGCTTTTTTTTAGGAAGACCCCAAAATTGTTGAGCTTTTTTGAGCTGTTTCATTTGCTTTTCCCATCACATTTTCATACATTTTTACATCCGAAAACCAGGACATGTCAGGAATTTTCCTGACGTATGGTGAGCCTAGTATCACCACGTTTGACCCCCAGGCCTGAGGTTCCCACCACTTCTGTACATGCTTGCCTGGGATTAAGTCCCACTGAATTTAGCGAAATTACTTCTGAATAGATTACACTGTTTCTCTTCATTATAGTCCACAAAATATTGTGCCATAAAAAAATTTTAAAGTCTTATGGTGCTTTGTTGCAACAAAAGCAAGCATACATAGGTACTCCACTGAAAATTGATTTGCCTTACCTCTCTTGGCTTATGTTTTTAGGATTTTGGCAACATTTTTGAGTTGCTTCGCAAGACGATTTTCCCTATGGGCTTGCTTTGCAAGACGGAAACGTCTTGCAAGTTTGTTTCCTTTTTCTTAAAACCGTTAATACAGTTGCGACTTGACTTTGAGGAGCAACTCATAGCATGCGGTGTGGTAGCCTTTTTTTGAGGTTTTTGAGGACTTTGGTGATTTTTGAAGCTTTTCCAAAGCTTTTCCTACACCGTGCTTCGCAAGATGAAAAAAACCGCAAGACGAAAAAACTCGCGGAACGAATTAATTTCGTCTTGCGAGGCACCACTGTATTGTCAATGTACGACCTGTGTACAATGAAATTCAACAGATTGAATTCCCTTCTCTTGTATACAAGGACATCTCTTTCAACTTTCCAGAGGTGTTGGAATACTTTTTGAAGCCTTTACAGATTTCATATCTCAGTGGATATGAATTAAAATAATGGAGCTATTCATAATAATTTGTTATGTTAAATTGATTTGTCCCCATTTATTTTTGTGGAAAGAGATCCACAGTTCTCATTCATTCTCTTCTCACCCTTTAAAATATATCCAGTATAACCTCATATTGTTTCTATATTCATGAAGTATGATGGGAATGTGAGGCAGAGTATTCTTTGTGTCTTTTCTTTTTCTTTTTCAGTATTGCGACCCTAAAGTTCTGTGTGCATTGTTGGTAGTAGATAAATAATCATAATAATTAAACATACAGCTTCTATTCATTTGTGGGACAGTCTCTATTCAAAGTCCTTATGGTTCTCGTGCTTGGTTCTTTTCCATAATTAACTGAAAGAACTTGGACAAAATGCCCATACTGTTGAATAGCCTTTGTGCATATTTGGCTACATGCTAGCTTCACAATTTGTCTTAAGCATGGCCTGCATACAAATAGATCCTTTTGAATACTGCTTTCTGTATTTATTGGGAAGTCCTGCTTTGTGGAAGTGTGAAGTGACACTACACTTTTGAAATACACTACCAATAACAGTAGAAAATATCACTGACTTTAGGAACCCACAGACTTAAATGTACTCTAATATAAAAATGTAGTGCTACAGTACGGTTACCATATTTTTTTCAATGAATCCAGGGACACTTTTCAACTTCAGTAGATTTTGCATGGGGACTGATCTGTAAATTCAGGGACTGTCCCTGGGAAACGTCTGGTAACCTTATGCTACAGTGCTCATAGTGTTGCTTCCCTTAAACTGGCAGTTTTTCTTTACAACTGATGGATAAAACCTGTAAATATCTACACAGTGGCCTGATACCTCATTAATAATGGCTTATGATATGTGTGTGGTTGTTGTTTCTTATCAATCTGGAACTGACAATCATTTAGTTCTATATTGTTGATTAACATCAAATATTAAATACTGTGCTATAGCAACGAAAGTGAAAAATGTGTATGTAAAAGTACTTTACTACACTTTAGTCACTTTTGTAACTCTCTCCCCACTGATTTGTGTCTTGAGCGTTGGTGGCAATCATGGTTAACATTTCTCTGTAACCTTGATAATATTGATCAATCTTGCATCCTTATATTGCTCTTAACTGAGTTAACACTTATGGACCTTCATCCATAATGGAAATCTTTGAAAAGATTGAGTTGCAAAACATTTGGCCCTGAAAAATGCTTATGCATTAGCTTTGAAACGTGGTCTTAGGAGTTAGGCTAATACGAATACTAGCAGTGAAGACCAAACAAATGAATGAATACTATCCAATATTTAGTAAATAAAAGATTGTGACTTCTATTAATAAGCTAGCAAATCATTCTTTTTCTTTTTTATAAAAGAACTCTTTAAAAAAGTTTTAAGTTGCAAAGTAGATTTAATATTTGATGCTTAAAATATTTAAAAAATGATATATCCAGTTTCTTTGCAGGCAGTTGAGTAAGGAGGACACAGAATACAAATAATATGTTCAATAATGTTCAGTTTCCTTGTTGAGTCATGTGCATAGTTTCTACTCTTCAGTTTTACAGTAGTTTATGGTAGCATGTAAATAACAAAGAGAGGCACCTCTGTTAAAAAAGAGAGCTTTGTTTCCAATTGTTTCTTAGTAGTGGGGGAGAGGGAAATCTGAGCATGTTTACTATGTAGATCTGCTACTTTCTTTCAGGAACCAAAATGTACCTTCTCTCTCCTCTGAGAGTAGATTGTATTGATTCTGTATCAGGATGTGTAGTTTCAATGCATTAGTGGCTGAGCTGTCTGTTGTCTGTTCTCTTTTTGATTGTGGTTTTCTCCCCCACCCCATTTATTTTGCCCTTTCAAGCCACTTTCTCCCATACAAAAAGCAGTTATGCACCAACAGGACCTCCCTTTCATTATGGACTGTTTGAAAGATCTTTAGTTTCTTAAGTTGCATTTTTTTAAAAAAGAATTGTTTCTTCTTTGTATGAATTTATATGATCTTGAACTGAAAAGAATTCAAAACATTACTGTTACATGTATACATTCCATTTGACATCAGCCAGCAATATACATACTTCATGCAACTGCAAATTATTGTTCTTGGAGCAAAGTTCGATGTGCATTTTCTTTTAAAAACAGTGGTTGTTGGGAGCATCTATATTGTCTGCCAAAACCATTGCATTTTTGTCATGTGGAAAATTTTCTCTTCAAAACATGTTGCAGCCAAGTGTTAAGTGTTTTGCAAGCACAACTTGAATTTAGAAACAGAATATAGCCCTTGTCTATCTTCTAGAGAGAATAAATCAAACCATGAAGCATTTTGTTGCTGTGTCAGGGGATCCAGGAACAGTGACCTTTGTATTTGGAGCTGTAGATGCTGAGAATTCCCATTGTCAGCATCTTTGACTGGAAAGCAATAAAAGGCTTATGATATCCACATAGAATATAAATACCAGAAGACTAAACTTCTGTCCATACTTTGCCAATGGACCAGTAACACACTGTTCTTTGGGGTTCTTTGCAGTTGCACGTATGGATTTGAGCCTTTGTTGACCAAAGGCTAGCCTTTCTGAATAGTTCTAGAACTTAGCTGATTTCCTCTCCTTGTTGGTGAACTTTGTTGCTAATTTCGTGACTTAAGCCAGCACCTTCTTGCTCAGACCATGTCATAAGGATTGCAGTTAAGAACTCCCTACTCTGACATTTCTCTGCCACTGGCCGTGATGGATGCAGGGACTGAGATGTGTTATCTGTCTTCCTTCAATATATAGAAGGATGGAATGTATTGTGCCCTCTGTTCTTTATAGTTGTAAGCAAATGCTGCCAGACAGTTATTGCCTGTTGTTAATAATCAGTTATAATATTGATTATTTTAAGGCATTTTTTGTTAATAACAAAAACCTCCAGAGGACATGCTATGCTTATGTAATGACCTCTCCACACCAACTTTTTGTAGCCTCTCACCACAATCACTACCAAGCTGTCCTTTCAGTCCAGTTTTTGTTGCCCTTTTCTTTGTCTCTGCACCTGCTACTATATTTATTGTTTCATGCCAGTTGAGAACCACATTCCTTGATGATTAAGCAACTACATTTTTGCTTTTGTTGCTTTCTTCTTAATCTCTGGCATTTTTATTCACTTGGCCTCTAAGTTGATGATCTTTCTGAACATTTCATATATATATGAAGAACAGTTCTGGATCAGACAGAACATCCATCTTGTGAAACATCCTGTTTCCCACATTGTCCAAACGGATGCCTATGGGAAGCTGGGATGTTTAAGGTGTAAGTTAAGTATCAACAAAATCACTATCAAAATAGTTTTATGCTATTGAAATGCCCAATAAAATAAGAATAAAAATAAATATAAACATTTAATGTGATGAAACACACTGCGGACCACCTGAATGAAACTTACAGGGTGGTCTGTGGTGAAAGTTGAGAACCCCTGAAATAGGCTATTGTCACTAGAGCATTAGTGGATAATTTAGTTAAAATTGTGCATATTTTCCTTAATTATTTCATGCTTGTGAAACTAGGATAGATGAATAAGTCAGTTTCAGAGTCTTTCAGTTTGTGTTTCATTTTTCCAATCTTAAGTTTGGTTATCCACTTTTTCACATCAGTTTTTGAATTTTGGGAGGGAAAGTTTTCATGAAAATTCATTAGCATTTTAGGGCAAAGTATGCCTAATATACTCAATTTTTTATGCATTTTTGCAGAGTAAACACATTTTTGTGGAGCAGTTTGCCATGATATGCATTTTTGTGTTCTTTTCACCAATACATGCATTTCTATGCATGCTTTACCCTAGTATATGCATTTTTGCATACATTACTTGGTTGGAGACCAGCATTGCAAAATTTGAAGGATGGCTGTAGTTTGCCTTTAAATATGAACTGAATAGAATTTCTTTTCCCATTCCTGCGTGCAGCCACTGGAGATAGAGCATTACTCCATCGTGTTAGGAATATAGGAACCAGCCTAAGATCTCAATGCTCAGTGTGTCTTAACTTGTGATCAAGGGAAACGTTTGTGACTTTAACTGCAGTTATCTTTTGATTCTCCTTAACCCAAGGTTTAAAACATTTTAGAAGGTTATTGTTTATTATTTTTGGTTGTTGTTTTTTTTAAAAAAGGCTTCACTCCCATTCAAAGGCAGCATCTGCACACTGCCACTGTCAAAATGTGTCAGGGCCAGGATTGAGTTGAATGGTAAGTTAGTGGGTGACAGAATTCCACTGGTGATGAGTTGTTCTTCATATGGGACAGCATATGTCTGCTTACTTGCATTGTCAGCAGCAGTATCCTACTGTTAATAGAACTTTTTCTTAAAAGGTTATTAGGTTTAACATGACTATTTGTATTTGAACAACATTTTCAAACTCCCTTCAGGCACCAAATGTAGTAAGTGCACTGCAGGAGTCATAACTATCTGTTTTGTTTTTCAGGGCTTTTAATAGTGGCATAAAGTTTGAATGTTCGGGAAAAACCTGTTTAACATTATAAATATGATTTGCAGTACTTTGCAGTTTGCATAAGTGACTCAGAAGGTAAAATATGGGTATTCTATGTTACTTTTATGATTTAATGCAAGTTGAGGTATGTTTCAATTCAACGGCTTAAAATATTCAGGAGTTCTGGTTGGTAGTCCATTCTGTCTTTGGACAGAGTTCATGGATGGTATAGTATCTGAGTTTCATACCTACAGGGAATTCTTCATGATACAGAATGTGTGAGGAAAGTTCTAGATTTATGTACTCAGTCTGTAGTTCTTTAGTAATGGCTCAGTTCACATGACTTGCTAGAAAAGCTGTTGTATTCAAGTTCTAAGGAATGGGGTAGGTGCAGGGGGATAGTGCATTTGTTTCATTTGCTTTGTTGCTGATGTGGGGACACACAAATTCTCATTTCTATTAAGCAACATGACTACCATAATGAAACACTGATTAGCGTTGTACAGCTCTTGTTTGCAGTTTGTCATTATTTTCATCAGGGGAAAAAGAGAAAGGAATGTTTTGTTCCCCATTAGTCCTCCATGTTTTTAAGGGTCTGTTACTTATTTCCTGTCAAGCTTGGGCAAGAGCAGTGATTATTTGCTATTCCAAGTGGTTTTTCTGGGAAGAGGGGGTACTCATTCTTTTTCAGTTAGGCCAATTAGAGTTTTCGTATCTTATTATTTAGATTTGTTGCACATAATGGAAAAATTGGTGTAGTAATCTTTCAGAACTGAAGAGAAAATAGCATTAAGAGGTCTGTTATTTTCTAGAACAGTAAGTGAACCTTAACAAATGCTGAATATCAGCAAGATTTATGGTTTTGTCAGGATTACAAACTATTCTGGGCTTGTTTGACTTGAAAAGTGCAACTTCTCTGTCACCCCAGTATCTCTTTTCCATCCTGCCAAATTAGCAGAGTGAACTACAGTTTGATTTGAAAGTTTGACTGTGGTACCATCATTTGTGAAAAAGAAGTCTATACAACATTTTGTTGCAATCTGAAGATCTGTATACCTGGTCCCCACTCATGGTCCAAAAGCACGTGACACACTAAGCTTTGTGCTGGCTGAGAGCTTGTTTGGAAGCCCCACATACACTGCCATAGATTCTGTGCAAGAAAGGAAACACACACACTCCATTATAAAGGAACCTAAGCAAACCAGGGATGAGAGCAACAAAACTGACTACACATGGACTGTATTGAACAAGACCCTAGTAATTTCCATCGACGGCCACTTGTGCCACATCTCATAATGTTTCCAAGGCTCCCTCATTCCACAGATGGATTTTGGGTTGGTGGGGTTGTAGTGGGATGGGGATAGGAAAGCCCTAATCTACGAATAGAACAAATTATTATTTTGGTTACATCCCAGTATTTCATACTGATGACCTTGAAATGAGTAAGATTGGTACACTTAGCTTGGCATCTCTATCAGAAATGCACTGCTTTGGGGTTTTCATCAGCTGTACGCCATAATCATCACAATTATAACAAATAAAGTCTATCTCATATATTAGTTTCACCTTTTAAGTTGAATTACTGAAATAAATGAACTTTTCCATGATATTCTAATTTTTCGAGTTTCACCTGTAAGTGTTTCTTGTTGAAACCAATGGTACATAAAAGTGACTGACAGGATTGTCCCAATTTATTTTATATAGAATTCACAACAACTTGTGAAGGTGTTATTTATGCAATAACATTTATTCCAAAGATCATTTAAGAGTTTCAAGTGGCGTAGGATATATTCTGCCTGTCTGCCGTTTCCATCATATGCATTGAGAGCCATCTGGAAGATAAATACATGCAGATGAGCAGCCCTTACAGTTAAGAACTGGATTAACTTGTTAGCACCTTTTGTTAATTCTGTAATCTGATCATGTAAGAGAACAACAATACAAAGCTATGTTTGTCTATTGAGGCTGGGCAGTTAAATAGTTAGCTACCCGCATATTCAAGATTCCATATAGGAGGAGAGGGAAATTGTAAAATGATAAAATACTGTTTTATTTTCTCTACTAGCTTTCCTTTGCAGTCAGGCTATGTCCAGATGATTCAATAGAGAGGATTTCCCCCCCTCAATTTATAGCTAGTTTTGTTAAAGCTACTTTGGTATTATTTGATTTCATCCAGGTAGCCATGCCAGTTGGGGCTAATGGGAGTTGTAGTTCAAAACATATAGAGTGCATTAGGTTGGGGGAAAGTAGGATAGGTAACACTACTGGTTCTCTGTGAAAATAAACACACGTGCCCTCGTTATTCAGTGTTTAGCTCTACAACTGAAAGTGTGAGATGAACTATATATGTGAATTATTTGTACATTCTTCCTTTGAAGGGGAGAGGATAGCACAGAAAGGATAGCACATTTGTTGCACATTATGTTGCAGGCATGCTGGAGGGCACAGTAACCTTTTCTAATGTACACAGGCTGTGGAGAGGACTGCCCCAGTGACTGAACTAGCTTTATATTCAAAGCTGACTGGTAAGATTGTTTCATTAAATAGGGAGTAGGTATTTAAGAACTGTTGTTCAAATCCTGGCTGAATCTGACACTAGCAGATTCTAATCTTGATCCTATGCTTGTTACAAAGATAAATTCCACTTGAAATCAAAGGAACTTTGTAATGTGTTTACATTATATCTGGTTGGCATCTGCCAGTTTCAGGAGATAATGGAAGAGTGTGCCTTCAGGGGTAAATTCAAACCATTGGAGAGTTACAGTGCCTGCTGTGACTGTAGAGACATGATTTGTTGCAGCTGGAGCAGATGAAGATGTCTGGTTGTGCTGATGCAAGTGTGCCATAGTGTTTCTTCTTTCTGCACTCCTTCCCGCGGTCATTCCTTTTCTGGTCACTGTTGTGGATACATGACCTGACTGATTGTCTCCAGATGTTGTGGTGGTCTTGCAAGGGATTTCTACATGGCAGGCTTAATGTTGTCAGCCTTCATATCATGTTTGCAGATGTCATTATAATGCAGAGTTGGTCTGCCAACTGACCTAGTACCTGCAGCGAGCTCCCTATAGACTATATCCTTGGTGATTCTGCCATCTTCCATTCTGTGGACATGACCAAGCCAGCATAGACGTTGTTGGAACAGGAGGGCAAACATGCTGGGATAATGTGTACATTATAGTCTACCTAAGGAATTCATTTATGAACATCACTACTGGATCCGACCAAAGGTTCACTATTTATTCATATCCCAACTTTCCTACATAAGGAGATAAAACAATTAAAACATCTTAAACAATTCCAATACAGTTGCAGACTTAAAAGATCTTTCCTTAAAAGTCTTGTTGGAAAAGGAAGGTCTTCTGTAGGCACCAAAAAGACAATAGACAAAAGCTGTCTAATATCAAACAGAAGAGAAATTCAAAAGCATTCAATCCAGCCCACATCTGTTTTCCACATTGACCAGCCAGATGCTCCTGGGAAGCCCACTAGGAGGGCTTATAAAAGCAATAGTTTTGCCTTGTTACTAATTCCCAGCAACTGACTCTAAACCTGGAGGTCCTGTTTCGGTATGACAAAATCCATTGGCTTTTGTTCTAACACTTTCTGCTGTTGCTTTTTTAATAAATGAAAGGTAAATAATACCTTGAGAAGGAAGTAGGACAACTCCTGAACATGTCCTATCCAATACTTAATTTACAAAACATATTTAAAAATATTTAGGGACTTATTTGCTATGAGAATCTTCATTTCTAGTCTAATATTTGTCTTCAGAGGAATGATAGTGGTTTATATTTTTCTTGGGATTTCTCCTGAGAATTTAGTGATACGCAGCAATCCCAAACACCTAGGTGGTGGTTATGTTAGATTGAGCAGAGGCATCCATTCCGCCTGTCAAATGGGCTGGACACCAGCAGAACTCAGTGAAAGACCCCAAAACAAGGCCTTGTGGGGCAGGACTGAGCCAGCCCTTTTTCTTCCCTGCCTAGTAATAGTATTCAAACACCATGAGTATTCAAGCCATGCTGTATTATTCTCATACTGCAACGACAGCTGCTGCCCTTTATAAAAAAGTTTTGGGGAGTATTGTGGTGGGGTGAGACTAATGTTTTATTCTTTTGTTTTGGCAGACACTGAATCATGCCGTTAGTCAAAAGGAACATTGAACCTCGACACCTCTGCAGAGGAGCTCTGCCCGAGGGAATTACTAGTGAATTAGAATGTGTAACCAATAGTACTCTTGCTGCTATCATACGCCAGCTAAGCAGCCTAAGTAAGTAACTGGGTGGCTTTTAAAATGTGTTTTTTTCTTTTTAAGGGAAACTTGAAGAGTATACACAGTTTCGAAGCTGGCTTAAGTGGCATGATGACTTTGGGTTTAGCAGTCTCAGCACCTTTGCATGTGAATAATCAAAATAAGTAAAATCAATGCCTTGCCACCTTGACTTCATATCCTGTATGGCCTTGTGTCCAGTGTTTCCCTCTTTCTTTTACCTTCCTTTGTGCCAGTGTGGTGTAGTGGTTAAGAGTGGTAGACTCGTAATCTGATGAACCGGGTTCGCGTCTCCGCTCCTCCACATGCAGCTGCTGGGTGACTTTGGGCTAGTCACACTTCTCTGAAGTCTCTCAGCCCCACTCACCTCACAGAGTGTTTGTTGTGGGGGAGGAAGCGAAAGGAGAATGTTAGCCGCTTAGAGATTCCTTCAGGTAGTGATAAAGCGGGATATCAGATCCAAACTCTTCTAAGGCTAGGGTGTGTAGAGAAGTTTTTATGGATTTTTAAAGCTTTGGCCATGTGGATCCACCCCCTCTTCCCAAATGCCTGTTTGCCTTTGGGTATCTAAAGATTTGGAACCAGCACTGGCCCAACCATTAGGCAAAGAGAAGCCATTAATTCATCACACATGCCATATGTAGTATATGGAATTACATTTATAATATTCAGTTACTGAGGGTAGCAGCCGCCTGTTCCTCCTGGGCCATTCTTCTCTGTGGGATATCACAGACTTGTAATATACCCCCTAAACTAGTCTGCTGCTTTCAGGTGCACTGCAAGGGGAGGACACTAGCCTGTTGCCAGTGCTGAAGTAAGATTCAATGGGGAAATGCTAACTTGTCCTTTATCACAGGCAGCAAAAGTTGTTGGGCTGGCCCTGCTTATACCTGCTCTGACTGTGTAGCATTCCTGTGTGCAGGATTGTGTCTGAAAAGAGCAGTTTTCAGTCACATTGGATAAATGTGGGAATTCTGTGCTTGTCAACTTGCATAAAGCACCAGAAGCATAGTGAAAACACTCTGAAGAAACTTTGTACTGTTTCTGTGTGCAAATACATGTGCATAGTGTGTGTCAAACACCTGGGGAGATGTTGTCTTCTTTCTCTATAGGCAAACATGCTGAAGACATATTTGGTGAGTTGTTTAATGAGGCCAACAACTTCTACATCAGGGCAAATTCCCTTCAAGACAGAATTGACCGCCTTGCTGTCAAAGTCACCCAGCTGGATTCAACTGTGGAAGAAGGTAGGTAATTGTATTTGAGCATTGAGCCAGAAGTGATATTGACAAGAGCACAGTAATTAATTGCTCAGCAATCACTACTTTTTCCTTTGGAGTTGGTACTGAGTGATATTTCATCTTGGTTGTTTTTTTTTAAGGTAGCAGCTTTGGGAGGGGGGAATCTGTGGCAGTTGCAGGGGGGAAAAGGGGAGGAAGAGGAAAATATATTTAATATTTGCCACTTAATATTTGCCACTAGAAGTCCATGCCCTTATCTCTCTTTGCAGGAGTCCTACTTTTAATTGGATCTATTGCTTGGGTATATTTCATGTATTATTAATTTGCAGTAGGTAGATGAACATGAGCAATGCCCATCTCAAACCTCTTATTCCAGAAGAGTAATAGATACATATCACCACTGTAGGATAAACTGTTGTCCAAGAAAACTGATCTTTTGGTATTTTATAACCAGATTGTTAGAACACTGGATGCATTCTACACTGTTGTGTGCTGATACAGCCCATTGATTTTATTGGGCCTAGGTTACTTCTCAAGATTCAGTGGCTGTGTCATGGAGATAAATTCTGTATCAGTATCAATTGCTAGAGTCTCTATGGTCAGAGTCAGCATGCCTCTGAATACCAGTTGCTGGAAACCGCAGAAGGGGAGAGTACTCTCGTGCTCAGGTCCTGCTTGTGGGTTTCATACAAGCATTTGGTTGGCTGCTGTGAGAACAGAATGCTGGACAAGATGGGCCATTGGCCTGATCCAGCAGACTCTTCTTAAGCTTGTCATGTAGAGCTACTGCCTCACAATTGCAATTTCAGATACCTTTGGTAACCCCTTTCATAACTTATTTCTATGTGTTGGCTCTTTGTATGTTGGAGGGAATGGGATTCCACCACTGACGGTGCCTACAGCTTCCACACAAGGAGCGCTTACACATGGAGGTTGGAGCCAAGGCCAATAGGGCATGGTAGTGATTGATGAGTGTGGGGCCACCAGCATAATACTACTCCCTCCTCGCATAAAATGAATGTGCTGAGGATGAGATATGAAAGGGGTTAGAGTAGCAGCACTACTACCTATGTAACAGAGCACAAATTTATGACCATAATTGTAGCTAGTTTATGACTACATTATATTTTGAGAAGGACTGTAGCTCAGTGGTAGAGCATCAGCTTTGCATGCAGGTCTCAAGTTCAATCCTCAGCATGTCTAGGTAGGTCTGAAAGTGATACCTGGCTAAATTCCTGGAGAACCACTGCCAGTCAGTATAGAAAATACTAAGCTTGAGGACCAATGGTCCGACTTGGTATAAGGCAACTTCCTATGTTCCTGTTTGCATCACTGTCTTCAGTCTTAATGCAACATCTGAAGTTCTAATACTTCACTGAATACAATATGACTGCTTATATCTTTGCTTGCTTGTGTATACTTACAAAAGGAGTGCTTAGTTGTGTTCATTGAGGATGCCATTCTAGACAACTGAAGACATTTACAGGAGCAGAAGTTTTGTCATTTGTCTAGAACGGCGGTTACAGAAGCTACATATTTTCTTTGGATTGTTGGCAGAAGCTGCATAGAAATGAAATTTAGAAGCCTCACTTTCACATTCTGCTTCTGAAAATTGATTCATAGTCAATATAACCCCTTAAAAAGCTTAAATAATAGATTGCATAATTTGTAAATCTAGTGTTGAATACACATTCTAATCAAATATGCAGAAGTATAATGCATTTATTTAAAGCTGGTTTCATTGATTGATATATTTTGTAATTAAAAGCAGATGTGTGTTGCATTTTAAGCCAGGTAGCATATTATGTTACAATATAGGTCCCCAAATGTAGTGTCCATGGGGTCCCTAATGTGACACCTTCCAGGGTTTCTGCCCCTCCCAAATTTGTAAAAGAATTGAGGGATTTTTTGGGAGAGGTTGCCTGTTTTGTGGACAGTGTTGCATTGCTTTTTCGTCTCTTTTTTTGGAGTGGCATAGGTATGTTGCCTGCTTTATTTTCAGCTGGGGTAGGAGCTGTTCTGAACAAGACCAGTTTTTCTGTGAAAAGGGTATTTTGTTGCCCAAAACAGTTTTGATATTTCCAAATCTGCTCCAAAAGTTTGATGTCAGGTTGGTGTTATAACAACAACTTACAGTTGAGGTCAAAGGTACTTAGGTCCTATGGATACACAATTTGAACTATGATAAATAAAATACAACTGTTTGCAACCAAATAATCCAAAACACTAGTTGTGCAGCTCAAATGCATTTTGCAGTATGTATTTATATCCGTTAGGGAAGCAACTGTGAAATTAAGGGTTTCTGCTTGGCTTTCGCCTCACTTGTATGGATGCTAGGCAAAGGCCACTTGAAGAACTTAGTTTGAAAACAAGAGCAGGTTGTCACTGGGCAGATCAGTTTTTCTTCATGATATGCAATGCACATGTTTATGCTGTTTAACATAGCACATAATGTGCATACTAAGTTACTCTATATACAACCTGTTATGTCATACATAATATTGTGGATTTGGGGGACAAAAATTTTTACTTACACAATGTTGTTGGGGAAATATTACCATGTCTGACTTGTTAAGAATCTTGCACCCACAAATTGTGTGAAGGGCATGTTTTGTATTCTATATAGGAACAAGAATTTAATCAGTTTTGCTCCTCACTTCTTCCTCTTATCAAATGTGTTCAATATTTTGATTTGCTTTACTCCTGGATATTGTGGTTAACTTTTTCTCAATTTAATTTTGTTCTTTTTGTCAACAGTGTCATTACAGGATATCAACATGAAAAAAGCATTCAAAAGTTCTACAGTACAGGACCAGCAGGTGGTTTCGAAGAATAGCATCCCCAATCCTGTAGCTGATATTTATAATCGGAGTGACAAACCACCTCCGTTGAATATCCTTACTTCATATAGGTAATGTAACTGCAAATGAATAAATAGGCCTGCACAAGTAATGATGTAATCAATACTAGATTCAAGCTACTGAATATTGCCCAGTTAGCTTTTCTTTGGAGTCTGATATAGACAACAGCCCTGAGGCATAGCTCAGTTGGTAGAGCATGAGATGCTTAATCTCAGGGTTCTGGGTTCAGCCCCACATTGGGTGATAGATTCCTGCATTGTAGAGGGTTGGACTAGATGATCCTTGTGGTCCCTTTCAACTCTTCTATGATTCTAAGGCTCCATATCAGTAACCCAAAGATAGTTCAGTTGACTTCTATAAGAAAGTCGGAAAGAGTCAATTTAGCCCACAGTACGCTGACAGGCAGCATATCTTCAAGTTAAAGTATCTCTCTAGTGCTTGAGAGTTTTTGTTTTTTTAAAAATATTTTTACGTGCAAAGATACTGAGCTAAGGCACCTCTCAGAGTAAATATGCTAGAATCTCAAAATCTATCTACGTGCGGGGTGGTTTAGCTTGCTGATTTGAACACAATATACCGTATTTTCGCCCTATAGGACGCACTTTTCCCCCTCCAAAAATGAAGGGGAAATGTGTATGCGTCCTATGGGGCGAATGCAGGCTTTTGCTGAAGCCTGGAGAGCGAGAGGGGTCAGTGCGCACCGACCCCTCACGCTCTCCAGGCTTCAGGAAGCTATCCGCAAGCCTTGGGAGCCCGCAGGAGTTCCCGCCGGGCTCCCACGGCTTGTGGATAGCAGCCTGCATCCCGAAACCTGGGGCGCGCAGCGGGGCGCGCCCCGGGCTTCGCGCAGCTCTCCGCAAGCCGTGGGAGCCCGGCGCGACTTTGTGCTGGGCTCACACGGCTAACGAAGAGCTGCCTGCATCCCGAATTTTCCCCCTTTATTCCCCCAAACTAGGTGTACCCTATGGGCTGGTGCGCCCTATGGGCCGAAAAATACGGTACTTCTAAGTTTTAAATAATAGTTTGAACATTGCTTCTTGTCATTTTCAATTTACCTCAAACACCCATTCATACTGGGTTTTCCCACTTGATACCTTGGCACAACCAGATGCAGTTTGCACCGGGCCCTGAGTGAAGTGGCCAATGGGTGCTGCACTTACGGGTTTGGTTGCAGGAAAGCCAGCTTCTCATTAAAGTGTAGGTCTGCTCCCTATGATAAACTGTTTTATCCAAACAAATGTAATAAGTATTGGGCCTATTCTTAAGTAAGCACCTCATTGTATCATTTGAGTCACCAGAACCTGGGTGCTTATTCATGACAGTTCAGTTGGCAGAGTAGCTGGCTTGTTACTTGAAACAGACAGAACTGTTCCATTTCATTGGGAGGTAGGTCTTCTGTCTGGAAATGGCATCCTATGCAGTACATTGGCACCATTGGAGCCTTTCCCACTAGGTTATCTGCAGAGTCATGAGTACGCTAGAATACTTGCTTGGGTCTCTAAGTATGCTTTAAACAATAATCCTCCTGTTTTCTCAATATCTGTTCATTTTGTTCACAGAGATGATAAAAAGGATGGGCTGAAGTTCTATACTGATCCCTCTTATTTCTTTGACCTATGGAAAGAAAAAATGTTACAAGATACAGAAGACAAACGAAAAGAGAAGAGACGCCAAAAGGTAAACAGGCACATTTTAAAATGTATGCACGTGGTTTACCAGCCATATTTTGGAATAAAAATGGTTCATTGTTTAAATGTTTTTCTTGACATACATATGACTGGAAAACTAGCAAGATTATTTCATACTTTTGTATTTCAATCTTAAATGTGTGTCTTAATTTCTTCTCTTAAAAAATTCTAGCAAAAATAGCCTACTAGTTTCAGAAAACATATTTTTGAAAAATAGATTATATGATTATAAACTTATTTCATAAAGTTCTTTGAGCTTTTGATGGTTTTCTTTAGATTGTTTCCACTCTAAAATGCAAATTGACTTTATTCTTCTTATTCTGAGAATATGTCCATCTGCTTTTTATGGGTGAGTCTGAATAAAGAATCACCTAAGGTATGTCATGGAAGAGTATATAATGGAGCAGTTTTAGGAATGATGTTCATTGCTGTCAGTGTGAGTACATACAAATTAAATCCCTGAATAATGTCACTAAGCAATAAATCAGCTATTTTTAAATAGAAAATGTACTGGCATTTCTGTGTGGCTATGGTCATACTGGAACTCCCAGACCACCTATCTGACCTAGGCAATGTACAAAAGTAAATAAGAACATCACTAAGAGAAGAAGACTTTTTTGTTTACTACTCCTTCTGAAATAAAGGAAAGCACCACATTCTGTGATCAGGAGACTTGGATGATTATTTGCTTGGTGAGGGAAAGCTTGCTGATTTGGTGAGGATATGTGAAGTGGGGATGGGAGGGCAATATAACATGTGTGCTAACAAGGTTGAGTTTTTCTGCATGTAAAATGCCCGTTTTTAGTTTGACTTTGCCTAAGAATGTTGAGGTTTTAATTCCAATGAAATGGTTACTGTAGCATACTTTATCCTCCTTCTGTGAACAGATGGTCTTAAATGGGCTTGCCTGTTGCTGTTATCACTAACCTCGACTGTCTTCCCATCTGCATAAAATATGATGACTGTAATTTAAGAGTTTGCAACAGAATAAATGTTTGAGTTATAAGCAAAAGCACTGCAAAAAGCTCCCTCCAAACACTAAAAACAAACAAACAGGCAGAATGCATTGGTCACTGGTATCAAAGATTGCTAGGAGACCCAGGACAATTAAATCATCCTTCCTCAGTCTTCATCTAGCTTAGGCCATTGACAAGGTAACCAAGGCAGTTTTGTATCTGAAATCAGCCTAGAAAACGGGTGTATCAGGAATAGATAGCCTTTGCTGTCCTAGGTGCCTAGAACTATACAGGAAGAGAAAAGGTGAAGAGACATGCTTTATGCTTCTTAGTAGCTGTGTGATTAAAGAATATATTTTTATGATTTCATTGCAATTTTTCTTTCATAATTGAAAATCAATTAATCTAACCGTTCTCCCCAAATGCATTTACAGTCGCACCTTGGAAGTCAAACAGAATCCGTTCCGGAAGTCCAGTCGACTTCCAAAACATTTGGAAACCAAAGCGCGGCTTCTGATTGGCTGCAGGAAGCTCCTGCAGCCAATCAGAAGCCGTGGAAGCCCCGTCAGACGTTCGGCTTCCAAAAGAATGTTCAAAAACCGGAACACTCACTTCTGGGTTTCGATCATTCGGGAGCTGATTTGTTTGGGAGCCAAGGCATTTGAAACCCAAGGTACGACTGTATTTTTATCGTTGATTTTAATATACTCTAATGAGTCGTTTGTGTTGTGATCCATTATCCTTCCATGTGCATGAAACCTATTTGGTATTTGTTTGGCAGGACAGTATAAGTACTGAGCTTTTTCCATTTGCAAGGATGAATACCACGCAGCTCTTTGCTGTAAGGTAACTGCTTAAAAGATGAAGTCAGTTGCTTTCAGAAAAAGTACATGTGGTGTTGAAGGGAAGCCAAGTTTATTCCAGTGCCAGAAAAAACACACCAACTCTTGTTTGTAGATGTATCTTCACATACCCCTGGACTCTGATGGGAAAATATTTCCATGCTACTTGCTGTGATGCACTGTGAACCTTTTTATTTGCTTGTCTGAACACTAAGATTACAGTAGCTCTGTAGAACTACAATTTAGCATGGTATTGTTTAAAGCAGGCTTTGCAAACCATACAATTTTACAATTGTGAAAAAACACTAATATGTAAATTTAATGTTTGTGTTTGCTATGTATATATTACTGCACAGCTGATAACTTGTCAGATGTATAACCTATGAACTCTTTAGAATATGGCTTCATTATAATTTGCTTGGCTCACCTATATATCTACTTATTTTCATTCTCTTAACAGCATTTAACTTGCTCTTTCCTTCCTTGTCTCTTCCTTTCGCATGCCTTGCTTTCTTGTTCTGTAACATTAGGAGCAAAAGCGTATAGATGGCACAACTCGTGAGGTGAAAAAGGTTAGAAAAGCAAGGAACAGGCGCCAGGAATGGAATATGATGGCATATGACAAAGAGCTTAGACCAGACAACAGGTTGTCTCAAAGTATATACCATGGAGCATCATCCGAGGGATCTCTGTCCCCTGATACTAGGTCTGTTTACAACAAACCTTTTTGTTGTATTATACATTCAGATATGCATAGTATCCTTATATTCTTAATAAGCAACTGTAGAATTGCAATGAAACATTCAATTAATGTTACAACAGGCATTTTCAAAATTATTTGAAAGGCCAGTGTGACTTAAATCTGTTACTTGTTACTATACAACCACATTGCACGTATGTTTGTGTTTCTGTTCTAGATTGCCATATTGTACTGCTATAGGCAACTTAGTACATGGATTTTTTTTTTCAATTTATGATTTTACTGATTTTAAGAAAAACATATTCTAAACTTTTGTGTAGTACTTAGAAAGCAATGGTTCTTCACATGCAAGGCAATATACTGGCTTCATATTAGTAGATTTTGCTAATTGAATAAAGTTCACTGTTCATACAGTTGGTATTCAGAGAGGAGCTGCAGAACCAGAAGCAATATTTTTAAAAATGGTTTTGAACAGAAACATATCCCTAGTGTGTACAACGGTATTTACCACCGGTATTCTCTCTCTGTGTTGTACTTCTTTGTGCTAAGTGGGAGGTCTGTATTCAAGCAAAGTGGAACATTCAAGTTGATTGGCCAAGCGGTCTCTAGAGACATTTTTGTTTTCATATTTGTTCTCCAAATTAATTTAATTGGAAGGAACAACCCACAGCAAATAATGCAGACTGCCTAACAACATTTCACAATTCCACTAACATCTATTATGGCTTGTTTATGTCATCTTGTAGTTATTTTTAAAGTCCAGGCTGTTAAAGCAAAAGAGGATTGCAAGAAGAGCCCAGAAGCTGACTTCCATAGAAAGCCATGTTTTAAAGAGAATTACTTCTGTATTTCTATGATGCTATTCAGGATGTTTTGTCTGCACTAGGAAAATATTCTTCTTTCATGCTACATAACTTCTTTCCTGAGCAAAACTGTTCTCCAACTTAATAGAGAGGAAAGCATTTCTGTGATTCCCAGTCACTTGTTGAAATTCTACTCCTCTTGAACCATGGGAATCATATTCTTGTCAACTCTGTTAACTGGATTAATTCACTTACTCCAGTCATTTTGTTTCCTTGACTGACATGTACTTTTTTTACTCCTTTTTTTGTAGCATGAAAAATTGCCTTGTGAATGAATTGTAATAGGAGTATTGTAAACACAAGTGTTACATTCAAAACAAGCCTACACAAATGCGCTTCTTGTTATAATTTTGATGCACTGCTTATATATGCATAAAAATGATAAGCAAACATAGCAATTTTATGTAACTATTGGAATTTGAAATTCTGATGTTTCCAAATTGGCGAGTCCTATTTACAATGCATTTATGCTATGCCCATTGTGATTCAGAAAGAGAGACACAAGCTGAATCCAAGCCGGCACCAGCAAATTAATGTGAGGAAAGTAAGGACAAGAAGAGAAGAGTGGGAGAGAAGGAAAATGGGCATTGAGTTCATAAGTGATACAAAGAAACAAGAGCAGACAGGAAGCACAAAAGAGGCCAAGATGCCCAAAGGGTTTGTCTTTTTGTTTTACTCAAACCTCTGGTGCTTTGTTGCTTGCCTAGCTTCCTGTCTGAAAAGATGATGAGCATCTATTTTACTGATACCTTTTTAAACCAAATTACTATTTGACACAATTTGTCTTTACTAATGCAGCTTTTTGCAGCTCAGGCATGCAAATAAATTGTCTGTTGGCCCTAACCTATAAGCTCTACAGTGTTAGTATCTTTATAAGTTCTGTGTTCCACTAATAGTTCTTTTTTCTCTGCCTCTTTAATCCAGTTGTAATTATTTGCCCAAAAAAAAAGCAACTTATAAAATATTAAGGTCTTGGAGTTGGGTTGTTTTTGATAAATGAAAATATTCTCTTGGTCTCAGCTTCTAGTTTTGCTTTCATCTTTTGCTTTTCTTGGTAATAGTACTTCTCTATCACTTCTCATAGAACTAATATCGCCTTGTATGTGAGAGAATGCATACCCTGCAAGTTTACGGTTTCTGTGTATTAGGAAAATCGATGAATTTGAAAATTCAGATTTTGTAAATATAAGCTGCACTTTGTGGCTGTAGAAAGTTATTTGCAAAGACAGTGAAACTAATGCATTTCCTCCTAATTTCTGCATTATCTCCGCTTGTATTTTAGATCTCATGCCTCAGATGTTACCAGCTATTCATATCCTGCTACTCCAAATCATTCCCTCCATCAGCAGCCAATGATGCCTTCATATGGAGCAGGAGATGGAGCTCAGTACATGCTTGCAAACCAGGGCCTTGAGCATGAATTTAGGCCACCTTCTACAACAGTGCGGCATGCTACCTTAAACAGACCTCAACAACCACCTCCACCCCCACCCCAAGCCGTAGATGGATCCCTAGGGACTGTGTCATTGGTACCAGCTGATTATGGGTAAAAAATCCCTTTTGTTATTTATTTAAAATGTGTTTACCTTGCTTTTCAGCTGAAATGCTCCCAAAGCAGCTTACATGAGATCAGTTAACAAGACAGTCCCTGTCCTCAGGCTTACAATCAGCAACAACGTGGAGGGAAGGGATGGGACACATAGACAAAAAGAGTGGAAATAAGAGGTCTTAACTATGGTTAATGTTCAGTGAGGGATATACTTAAGCTGTATTGTTGTATGATTAGGTTGCTACAGTACTTGAGGCTCACATGCTTAGAGAAAATACTCCAGCAAACTAGGTAAGGACCCTTTACTGCTTCCCAGTGCTATATTTAAACCAAGGTAAAAATGGATGTGGGAAAACTTGATGTTGATATTGAAACAGAGAGATGTGTGCTATGTGTGTTGTGTGTTTAGTAAGAGGCAACTGGAAAAGTTTGAGTTGCCAGAAAAAGTGAAGAAAATCAATGCAATGTAACCCAGTATTTTTTATGCAATCATATTCATTACCAAATGAAGCATATGCTACTGGGTGCACACTGCAAATCTGCTAGCTCATATGCCAGTTAACAAATATTGTGTTCTATTTTATATATAGGATGCTTGCAGCTCAGATGGTGGATTATTACAATCCTTCAGGACCCCCGCCGCCTCCCCCTCCACCCATGATTCCTTCTGCACAGACCGCTTTTGTTAGTCCTCTCCAAATCCCTGTGCTACCTTCCCATCCTGGACTAGTGACTGGATCTATATATTCTGCTGCTCTTCATCCTCCTTCTACTGGGCTTGTTGTTACAGCTCCCCCTCCTCCAGGCCCGCCTCCTCCCCCTCCAGGCCCTCCTGCTGCAGGATCCTCTCTCTCATCCTCTCCGATGCATGCGCCTGCACTGGCTGAAGCAAAGCGGCATGAGCCCACACAATCACCCATCAGTGATGCTCGAAGTGATCTTCTGGCTGCCATTCGGATGGGTAAGGGTACATTCAGAATGGTCAGGCTTAAACAGACCAGTGTTCGGGTTTTCCATAACTTTGCATAAGCCGTGCTTTTAATTTATAAGTACAGTCATACCTCGGGTTGAAGTAGCTTCGGGATGGATATTTTCGGGTTGCGCTCCATGGTGACCCAGAAGTAACAGAGCGCGTTACTTCCGGGTTTTGCCGCATGCGCAGATGCTCAGAATGATGTCACACACATGCGCGGTAGTGGCGAAACACAACCCGCAGACACGCAGTCGCTGTTATGTTCACTTCAGGATGTGAACGGGGCTCCAGAACAGATCCCGTTCGCATCCAGAGGTACCAGTGTACAGTGTTGCATCTTGAAAGCTAAGTAATGGCATTCAGATTCTTGTTGTTGGGTCCAGTGCTTTCTATTCTCCTGATATACAGTAATTTGCCACAATGAAGTATTTGATTTTGTTCTTGGGCAAACAGATGGAGACACACACTGACATTCATCCATACAATATACCGTATGTGTGTGTTCATGTGTCTATACATACCTATAGAAAAAACCTAGTTGGCTCCCTACTAGAGAAGAATGGCAGATTAAGTTGGTAGACTATGTCGAATTGACAAAAATGACTGGAAGAATCAGAACCCAGGAGGACCAAAATTTCAATAAGGAATGGGGGAAATACATAATTTACCTTAAAAACTGTTGTAAACAACTAAAATCATTAGTAGGATTGGAATAACACTTGTAATTCTACGGTTGACTCGTAATCTGGGGAACCGGGTTCGCGTCTCCGTTCCTCCACATGCAGCTGCTGGGTGACCTTGGGCCAGTCACACTTCTTTGAAGTCTCTCAGTCCCACTCACCTCACAGAGTGTTTGTTGTGGGGGAGGAAGGAAAAGGAGAATGTTAGCCGCTTTGAGACTCCTTCGGGTAGTGATAAAGCAGGATATCAAATCCAAACTCCTCTTCTAATTCAGTGTTGAACTTTGGATATAATAGAGATGGAAAAGATTTGGATTAATGAAAAAGATGCAGGAGGAAAAGATGCAGTTAATAAAAGGACTCACAAAGGGGAGGAGGGAAATTCAGGAGATTCTTTGGAATTCTTTTTTTATGATGGTGGTTGGATAATTGATTGTAAAATTTTAAAACCTGAAAACTTAATAAAAAATCAGCAGATCAAAGTAAATTAATAGCCTCTGGTAACATGAGAGGTATTTGAATTGCCTCCTTTTATCTTGGGGAATAATGACTGTTTTACATGATAGATGAAGTTGTCATTTCCATTGAAAAGTACAGAGGCCTGTGGAAAAGCCAAAACAATCACCAAGAGCATATTAACTCTTGGAATTCCTTATTTCTGTGAATTCTCATTGTGTTTTAAACCCTAAGGTATTTTTGTTAATTTTTAAGTCCTGTGTACTTTACTTGTAAGGTTACTCTTGTTTAAAAAGAAAAAAAAAACTTTACCCATGAAAATAACAGTGTGATAATTTGTCTCACTGCTTTCTTCAGGAATCCAGTTGAAAAAAGTACAAGAGCAGCGTGAACAAGAAGCTAAGCGTGAACCTGTTGGAAATGATGTGGCCACAATTCTTTCCAGACGCATTGCTGTGGAGTACAGCGATTCAGAAGATGATTCGGAATGTGATGAAAATGACTGGTCAGACTGAAAACTGGAGAACCAAAGCATTCTATTAATTTCTTAAGGAAATTGTTCATGTTGTGTAGGCACTGATATATGTTGAAACAGGTTAATTAAATTGATGGTATTCAGGATGCTGTCAGTATGTTTGGTGATAATATAGAACTCTTTTATTTTCAGTATTTACTGCCTAATACTGTATACAAGTGCCACTGAATGTAGCAAATCATGTTCTGCCCCAAGAGAAGGCAGTGTTTGTTCTTGGCCAGGAGTACATGTAAGTTATTTAGATTGTTTGAATATTAACACCAATTTCCCCAGGTACTTGGAAATCTTTCAAAGCAGGTGCTTGATCTTGGAGCACAACATGGCAGAACAATGTCCTCCACCATAAAATGTCACTAATTTGCATTTTTGGTCTAGCTTCATGGAGAATACGTATAAAACTGGTAGCAGTTAAATGTTTCTTGTTTATTTTTAATTCTTACTCTGCCCGTCCCATATATTGTGAGTTTATTTTTAGCATCATAGCTACACTTTAAAATAATCAGGGGTTGGAGCCATACTGACATTGTTAGTGAATAATTGGGTGACATTAGGTTAAGTGCTGAATTCCCTCCCCTTATTTATCTGTTTGTTTGTTTGTTTAGTTTTCATAATCAGTTTTAGAAAATAATATAGTTTGTAACAGGCATATTCAAGCATATTGTTAAATGAATCCTAAAATGGAAATCATACTTCTCTTAGGAGTTGTTGAGCTCAAAAGGTAAGGTTTGTTGAGAACCATGTTCAAGCTGTGTCTGGCTCATGGGTGACTGGACAAATTCTTTATAGTTACAGCACCTAAATAAATTTCACCTCAAGTTGATATAAATAATTTTGTTACCTCTCATATGGTTTACAGTGCTGCATTTATTACATGTGGATAGACATGTAATGCCTTTGTCAGCTTAAGAGTGCAGTTGTGTCATATTTATTTTTGTATGCCCCTTTTTAAAAAAGTGGCAGTTGTAATCTACATTTTCAGTCTTATATAATATTTCATTTTTAAAGGCTGTTTTCATGTTTTCTTTCAGTTGCTCTTAGTTATTCACAATTCAGTACTGTATTGAAACTAATTTCCTTTCTTGGCTATGATTCAGGATCTTGTTATGCTTGATTATGTTTCATAGAATAGAAGTTTAGAAGCAGTCAGTGCTGGCTTTGGCTTTTGTTTGTGGGGATTTTTCGAGGGTGGGGGGTGGGGTGAGACCAGGCAAGTTGCCCTGAATGGTCCATGTATTTAAAGGTGCCTGCAGTTGCCTAGAGGGGAAAAGCAAGGTGAGCAGAGGTTGCTCCTCTTCCTCTTTGCTCCTGTCACTATATGCTTGCTTAGGAGGAGACAGATGACTAGGTAGCAATAGCAAAGTGTAGGAGTAGTGGAGGTCTGGGGTTGTCAGCCCTCTGTTGGAGTGTGGGCTTCAGCAGTGCTAGTCCCTGATTCCAGCCCTAGAAACAATCCATTGAAAGCTGTTGCTGCACAATTAGATTTGTGTTAAGCTTGGTGGGCGGGGGTTGATAGATCACTTCTAAATAAGTGAAAAAAATGGAGTAATTCATACCCAATAAGCTTAAGTATTTTTGCTTTGGGACATGAAGCAGTGTCCTTCATCCACAATCTCTTTGAACTCCGGTGTCTTCCATTCCTTAGCCCTGTCAAATGAAAGAGAAGACAAATAGTCTCTGAGATGAAGAGAACTGCTGTGTGATGGCTGTTGTTAAATAGGACTCTGGAATAGAGTTGTCACCACCAGTCCAAGAAAATGTAATCTTGGCCCAAGCAAGCTTATTTTATTCTCTTCTTTCCCCTCCTATTCTACCTTGACTTAAAAAACAGTCTTACAAATTGTAATAACATTCTAAAGTAGCTGTTGATAAAATTTTATATATGATATAAAATCTCTTTTCTGTACAGCAACCACTCAGTAGGAACACAGAATTTAAGTTTTTGTGGGGGTTTTTCAAAATAAGAACTATGGTAATATTTCACTACAGCATTCCTCCAGATCCACCAGGGCAAGCATTTTGTCTTGCCAGGTGGAATGATCCCCCCTTTCCCTCCCTTTGTGCTGTTCCAGGGGTTCTCCTGATCCAAGTCAATTTCAGGGGCATGTGAAGAGAGGAAGGGGGAGAACCGCATTGTAAAAGTGGAAGCCCCACCCTATAAAAAGGTAACTGTATTTAGTGTCCCTATTGAGAGCACAGCATTCATTGTTAACAATCATGGACCTTATATCAGTACCAAGATTATTTCCTGAAATTTGTAAAGAATAAAGTGACCCTGAGCAGGTATAGAGTGCCTTTCCCTTAGTACTAAATAAATATAGAGAATCACCTCACTCGGGTCTTTGAGGTCCAGAGAGACTTGAGCACTAGCATGATTCATGAAGGGCCAGGGATCCTTAAGCTGATCTGACTTTCTCAAAAACATTCAGTCTGGCATTGAACTTATACCTACAAGAAACATTAAACTACCTGGTTTTTAAAAGAAGAGAACATGTTTTCAGTTAAAATGCACAAAACCTACACTTTGTGCATTGGTTTTTCATTTCCTTTACTTGTGGATATCACAATAACAGTATAGACGTACCTTGTTTTGCAACTGGGATCGGTTCCAGAGCCCCATCCGCTAGCCGAAAAGGACACAGGGCAAAGCGCCGCGTCTGTGTATGCGTGATTTAGCACTTCTGCACATGTATGAGAGGCAAACCTGGAAGTAACTCGTTCCAGTACTTCCGGGTTTGCCATGGACGTTTTCCGGAACAGACACTAGACGAGGCAGACGTTCGTGGAGGTATTACTGTATTTTGCATTTAATACACATGCAAATGTGTACATTGCCTGCAGAGGGATAACATAATTGGTAAGCATGAAAAATGGAGATGGATGGACTGAAGTCACACATGACTTCCCATCTCACACATTGAGGGAGGGCCATTCACTCACCATATAGCAATCCATGTGAATTGGACAAAATATGCAAGTAGAATAGGAGGCTGTTTAAAAAGGTAGCTCTGGATTATTATATAAGTAAGCAAGCCACATGGAGGAAGGAAAAGTTGCTTAGGAAGTGTGGCTTATGGCTTAACTATGAGCGCCGCAACCCCAGAGTCGTTCGCGACTGGACTTAACTGTCAGGGGTCCTTTACCTTTACGTTTATTCTGGAAGAAATTCCTTCCTAATGCAAAATATATTTTTCAACCTTAATTCTGAAGTATAAGGAAATCCTCCTGAACCAATTTTACAGCAAAAGACAGAAAGATAAATCCTGAAATCAAATTGTGGTAAAACTAATATTTGATATGAGAAGATATTATGTGTGCATATATTGAAATATACTCATATAATAAATAATGGCTGGGACAAATTCACTGATACTGTAGAATGTCAGGGTAGTGTTAATGCTGGTTTTGGAGCAGGGAGTCCTGTAATTAAGTCTATTTGTCCCTGAAGCTCATTGGGGGATCTTGAAAATCAATTCCACATGTCCAGTTGCAAGATTTTTAACGAAACACTCAAGGAAAACCTAAAATACTTAAAAATATAGTTTCTTGATCTAGAAAATTAAAATACACCCCAAACTTATGCATTTGGGGCAGACCCATGGCATACACTTAAGCATATCTAATGCACAATTTAAGTACATGGCTTCCACCAAAGAATCTTGGGAACTGTAGTTTGTTAAGGGTGTAGGGAATTGTAGCTTTGTGAGGGGAAATTTTGGATTCTTTGCGGAAGGTGTGTGCTTTAAGTGTATGGTGTGGATCTGCCCGTAGTTACGAATTTCTTTCGGGCAAACCAAAACATTAAAATGAGTTATTTGTGTTGGTGATTTTATAATACATCCACAGGCCAGTACAATACCATGCCACTCCTTGCCACACTGTTATTTGCAATGCAGAAAGGCACAACAAATGTTCGGTAAAAGACCTCTTTGTACTTCATACACTCATGAGATGGAGGTTCTTTTCTGTTAAAGCTTATGCCATCATAGCAGTTTTGAAAAGGTGCCACAGAACTCTTGGGCTCTGTGTGCTTCCTGCGACAGACTAACAAGCTACTGCTCTAGAACAACTCTCTTAAAAAGCTGATTACATTGGTGTTTACTTGCCAAGCAGGCACTCAGCTGTGGGTAGGAGATGATGACAAAGAGCATGCAAAAGTAACTTTTTTCATCTTAACTGCAGTGCTCAGACGAGTGAAAAGGCACCTTAACCCTGTGTGCTGTGGAAAGCAAAAGGGAAAAGGAGAGCAGCACCTTATGCTGATCTGTACATAGCTCATTTTTCTGTCTCCTCTCCTTCCAGAGGCACTGCTAAAGAGCTCATGAGCACTAAGCCGCCCTTGCAGTGTCAGTACCTTTGGATTTAGAGTCCAGTGACTGTGCCTCCTCCAGTCCAAAAAACTGTGCAGTCTCTTTGGCTAGCCCTCCTTCTCTTACCACTAAATGGGGTCATTGTTTGTTGCACGTCATGCAAGCCTTGAAGTTACAATAACTGCTCTTGGCTCCAAAGTTCACAAAGCCGAGATCTACCGGTATCCACCTTTCCCCGCAACAAGTTGTTCTTATGTTTGAAACGAGCATATTCTTTCTGAAACAATATGACCAAATAAAAGTCTACCTACCACCTTGTGCATTTTGTACCTTTAATAGTAAGGGACAGCATAATGGCAAACACTTCTTTTCCTTAATAGATTCCCATTAAGAGTCTGAAGATATATTGAGTAGCACCTAACAAAGCACAATCTCCAACTCCTTTATGAAAACCCCAAGGTCACTCAACACCTTCTAGACTTTGCCTTAAAATGTGAGGAAAGCTGCATTTGACTTTGCATGTGGAATGGAGACATCATGGACTATACAGAAAAGAATCTGAACCTTCATTACTGTTGAGGGTGGTCCCACATCTGCATAGTAATGAATTCTGCTATATTCTCTGAAAGCTATAGAACTAACCTCTAGGAAACCAAAGGGGTTCATCTGATCTGTGTTCCTAGTCAGTGTACAGTACTGAGAACAACTAATGGTTGCTTCTGCTTCTGGGGATATTAGTGAAGTTGTCACATGATGCATTTATTGCATGATGGTGTCGTTCTTCATCATGCATGATGTGAGAATATGGTTCTATATGTTCATTCGGTTGAACAAATGTAGAGTTGCAAGGCAAGTCATACTGCATGTTTTCTCTACACCCCACCCTGAATAAATGTCAGGATGTTTAAATGGCTTTCTGGAAATGTTTTTTGTTTTTGTTTTTAATGTTGGAAGTAAAACATCAGTTTCTTCCATTGTAAGAAATGAATATATTTTAGAAGCACAGAAACTGAATCACAGAATATTTGTATTTTGAATTTATTCTAAGCTACTAAATAAGTTGTAGTCACTAAGATTTCATAGTTAGGTGACCACCATTTTTCTTCTAAACTTGAAGTATTTTCTCATCTGCTTTCAGTATTTTATCAATAAAAATGTAAATTAAGATTACTGAGCTAAATTTATACTTTAGGTAATTTTGTTTGTTTATTTTATCCTGGGTTATGTAATAGTTATGAATAAAGCTCACATTTCAACTTTTGTCTTCCCATTCTAAAAGTTTTTCTTCAATTTCAAAAGATTCTAGTTAACAGGAGCACTATTATGTAGTACTGAACTATTATGTAATTATTAAGATATTGTTAATACTGGCCGATTTCACTGTTTATTCTTCATTTCTCTAGAGATTCTCATGTAGACAACACTTCATAATTACTATGTCTGCCTGACATTGTACTTCAAATTTGTAACCCAAACAGCATGATACAGTCAAAATTAACGCCTTATTTCAGTGGGCAATAGTTTAGCCACATTGCCTAATTCTTCTTCTGAAATAAATGTGGCATGCAGGTGCTTAGCTTCAGCTGAATTCTGCCCATTCCTTGTGTAGTCTCGTTACAAATGTCAGAAGAAGGAAAACATTCAGTATGTTGGGGATACCGTCAGTGGTCCAAACACAGGAAGTTAATAGTAAATTAATTATACTGTGATACATTGCTTGAACAGGGACGCAGGTGGCGCTGTGGGTTAAACCACAAAGCCTAGGACTTGCCGATCAGAAGGTCAGCAGTTCGAATCCCCGCGACGGGGTGAGCTCCCATTGCTCGGTCCCTGGTCCTGCCAACCTAGCAGTTCGAAGCCACGTCAAAAGTGCAAGTAGATAAATAGGTACCGCTCCAGCGGGAAGGTAAACAGCGTTTCCGTGCGCTGCTCTGGTTTGCCACAAGTGGCTTAGTCATGCTGGCCACATGACCTGGAAGCTGTACGCCGGCTCCCTTGGCTAATAAAGCGAGATGAGCGCTGCAACCCCAGAGTCGGCCATGACTGGACCTAATGGTCAGGGGTCCCTTTACCTTTACCTTTACGTTGCTTGAACAACTTGGACACTCCAGTCTATAGAAAAGAATTCCACAACATCCATCAGTGTACACTGTACACCAAACATTTTCCTTTTCCTTGGGTAGCCCTTGGTTGTGCAGATCACTCATTGATAAGAGTGCTTTAAACGTGGCACTAAAAACTTGTTTTACAATGGCGTCTACCTAGGGATTACAGTGTTTAAACTTTAAATAGGCTCTGTTGTGTGCAGAAGGCATTAGGAATTCCTGTGGAAAGATATTGACCTCTGGTGGTCACTTGTGGTAACTGAGACTTTGAAAATTATTAAAGTGCTTTCCTTCCTATATCTTGCACCTCCTCCCACAACAAGGAAATGAAAAGCAATCACATTATATAATGCCTACAGCTAAGCCCTAATTAATGACAGTTGAAAATGTATTTGACAAAGAGAGAAACACATCTAGATAATTTGTTCCCTATGGGGAAAAGATCGAAATTGCAATTTTCTTGCACAGCCTTCCCAGCTTTGTACTCTCCTAGCCCAGATTCATGTCTTTGTTCTCATTCAAGCCTACAGTTTATTGGCTATTAATGCTGATCTGTGAAGCAGAAGGACAAAATCATCCTGTCTTTGTTCTCAGAGCTGCCTTTCATTTCTGAGCGAAAATAACTTATTTACACTTGGCGTATTGGAGGAACAAAAATAGTTCATCTATCCTGTTTTCCGGCTGCTGAAACAGAATGCTAGCTTGGGTGCCATTTAGCCTGATAAATTAGGGCCTAAATCTTAGGCCCTAAACATGAGTTCAGAATTCTGGATTCAATCTGGTGAGACTGGCATGATAAAAATTTCTTCCCAAATGTCACCCTTTAAAAATCCTGTTTCCCCTGGTTGCTACTTCTCCCCAAATTAATTTAAAAATAATTATCCATAATACATATAGAACAGAAAGTAAATGTGAAACAAGAATCATTATTCCTGAATTATTCACATGGGTGACCACCCAATCAGTGATCGTTAACTGAAGGTTGCCCCTACTTCTGATGTAAAGACATCACCAAAGACATCATTCCTTGCAATGTTAATTTACTCATTTAAGCAGCTAGCATTCACCAAATGCTAGCTGCTTAAATGAGTAAATTAAAGGAGTGCGGAGGGGGGGATTTAAAAAGGAGGTGAGTTTTTGTGCTGTTCACTTAAAAACTGAACAGCCAGGCAAACACAATCAAGGATGGTTTAAAACAGGGCTGGGGAGAATGTCAAGAATCCAATAGAAAGGCTAAATGATGGACACATTTAGACCAGAGGTTCCCCATCCCTGATATTATATAAAGTTCTGCATGCATGGGAGTCAGTTTCTCTCTTTCTCATCAAAGCATCAAAGGTCACTAGGAACATGCATTATACTGAATTAGACCATTGGCCCATCTTGCTCAGTACTGCCTGTATCAACTGGAAGCAGCTTCTAGGGTTTTTGGCAGCCATACCTGAAGATGCTGGGGGTTGAACCCAGGGACCTTTTGATGTGCAAATTATGTGCTCTTCTACTGAGCCATAAGCTATTGCTGGTGGTCATGACAACTGTTCAACCCCATTGCGCATTCTGCCAACCTCCAGAAATATCCTTTATGGAACTAAATTGGGTTCCTTTGATCTGCAAAACAATTGGGCAGCTGGATGCGGGGATGCTGAGGTTCGTCTAGTTTTGGCCCACTGTAGCCTGTTGCACCGCCGTGGAGCAAATACACAAAGGTAGACCTGATCCTGTGTGCAAGTTGCTCTTTCTATAAATGGCTTTGTACACTATGGCCCCTTATAGAGTACCCTTCAGCTGGAGTCATAATGTGCAGAATGATGCTGCTTTTCATGTTTGTTTGCCTCTAGCTGTGCAGTTGCAGTTGTACATTCTATCAGGGACATCTTTCCCTCTGTGAAAACACTTCCAATAGTAGCAAAGCCCCACCTCCACTTTAGCTGTCTTTTTATAGCAGTTTGCTTTGATGCAGGGGTGGAGGTGGTGATTTGCTGCTGAAATAAAACACTTCCATCATAGTAAGTGCCATCCCACAAGGCCCTGTCGCAACATGAAACACAGTTAAAACTGAGTCGGCCACCCACGGTATTCCTTCCCGTTTTACACTGATTCACAGCTGGAAGAATGGAACGGAAGGATGAGCTTGTTATGGAACAGAATTCATCAGATGATACTAAACGTGGAAGGCTTCATACAATGGGATGACGTACAAGGACATTTGAAATAACTTTTTAAAAAGCTCATTTGCAATAAAACATCACAGGAAGTGGAAGGGCCATAGCTCAGTAGTAGAGCCTCTGCCTTGCAAGCAGAAGGTCCTGGAGAGCTGCTGCCAGTCAGTGTAGACAATATTGAGATAGGACTCAGTATAGTGTAGCTTCCTATGTTCCTAAGCAGTGAGAGTAGGAAAGGTAGAGATGCTCTTAATCAAAATCCACGAGCCCCTTTGTATCTCTTCTTCTTCTTCTTCTTCTTCTTCTTCTTCTTCTTCTTCTTCTTCTTCTGTCCTGTGTTGCCTTTTTCAAACAGAAAATTACAGAGGCAAGCCAGCCCCCTCTGTAATTCAAGCACTAGTAGGGATTTTGTATTGTTCCTTTCTGCTGAGACTCCCCGGTCCTAGCCCAGCACTCTAACCACTACACTACATACGCCATCAACCTTATGTCATGGACTGACTGGATGCAGAGGAATAGTGGGATTCACCAGCTGGGGAACCCCCAGGGGAAGAAGGCTCAGAGCCAGGGGATTGGTGGTGGGACGACAATGAGTGGTTAGAGGGAGAAGAGAGGGGAGACTGGGAGGAGGAGGTGTCGGAAGCTGAAGAGGCAACAGGGTTTAGTGAGCAGGAAGAGGCTCCGGCAGAGAGCAGTGCAGACTCAGAGGCAGGAGAGGAGGGAGGCAAGGAGACAGACATGTTGAAGAAGCCAGGGGATCTCCCCTTCCTGCTGTGACCAGCTCCCCTCCCCCAGGTTTTCCAGAATACGCAGAAAAATGAAGAGGGTGGAACAATAAGAGGCAAGACAACAACACCTTAGGTTTCTGGGGAAGAAACTAGGGGAGGTGGGGCAGAACAGTCAGCTGGGAAACACTGCAATCATTCAAAACATACTCAACTTTTGTGTGTGCTACTCATTCCTATCTTGCAATAGTGCGCAGCATCATGGAATACCATTAAGGAATGCAGCTGTAATGGTTGCAAACAGAGCATTCCTAACAGAATAATGTGGCTGAAGGATGGTGTGTTGAAAACATCTGTTATAAGAGGCATTTGTGGCCCTCCAGAAGTTGCTGGACTTCAACTCCTGCCAGACCCAGCCAACATGGCCAATGGTTAGGAAGGGTGGGAGCTGTAGTCTAACACCATCTGGACTCCCCCATCTCTCTAGTAGAAGATGTTGAGATTTCCATTCCACCTTAAGGAGCAGACGTGTGGAACTGTTTTGTGTCACATATCTGTACATTCCAGCACAACTTGCTGGGCACTTCCGTTGTGTATAGCTTTTGCTTTTCCCGTTCTCTCTGAGAAGACGAGAGAGAGATATGACATGTTTCTTTGTCCTGATTTATGATTAATAAATCTGTAGTTGTAGTATGCTTCCACAAGCCTCACACCTATTCTGTGTGTGCAGTTTGCTCTGCTGATAGTGTGCCCTGGCTTTGAAGCCCGGGTCGCTGATTTACTTCGGGGCAGAGGCCAATGGCCTTCACAGCGGGATGGCTGGAAGGAAATGGCCCAGCTGGGGCTAGCCAGCTGGCCTGCCGGCCCTCTGCATGTCGACAGAAGACTAGTAACATCAAGGGAGTGGCTAGGTGACTTGCACTGGGTGCATACCATCTTTGACTTGGCCTTTGGGTACTATTTTTCTTCAGAGGGCATCAGCGGGTACCCACCTGATTTATGCTACTCTAAACTGTGACTCCCAGGAGAACAGGAAGAAGCTCCTTTGTGTCTGACTGCATTTGCTGGACGAACGTGCACCTACTTTCTTAGTGTCAGCTACAGTTTTTTTTTGGGGGGGGGTTGAGCAAGGCACTCACAATAAGCTTCCTTCCTAGTGACTCCACCTCCTCACTGCCTTTATTACTGCCATCTGCTGCTGCTCCTCTGCTGCCCAGAAGAATTTTGACAGAACATAACTCCCTGCGATATATGGATCAACAAGACAT